GCAGCGGCAGGACCTCGAAATGGACTCGGAGGAACCTGTCGAGACATTTCCAGAACTTCATCATCACCTATCGGATTCATGCATCAATGTCATCAACCTTGCAACATTCCTTCGTGACCATTCATCTGATCCGGCAGTCAAAGTCAGAGTTTGTCCCTTGCGCACCTCATTTGCCAGATACTGATACAGATATATATTAGGACTTCATTCTCAAACTCAAAAACCATATTCTATCTCGCTTGCTGGGTCTCGAATATGATGGCGATGAGCATCTGTTTTCTGATTCCGAGAGGAATGAGCTGCGTTTCATCAATAACCTGTCTCAAGTCCAGCAACCACGTCATTTTCAAGTCAACTACACTACCTACAATGTTCGGCGTGACCAAGACTCCATGCGACCGGGACATAATTGCATGGTCATGATACTATCGAGGGAAGAGGGCGAGAATGCACACCCTTTCTGGTATGCGCAGGTATTACGTGCCTTTCACATACAGGTGTTGCATACTGGATCGCAAGCTCGAAATCGTTCGTCTCAAAGTGTAGAAGTTCTTTGGGTTCGATGGCTCGGGGTGGATCCTACTTATCGCTGGGGCCTTAAAGAAGCTCACCTACCTAAAGTCGGATTTGTCCCTGAGACTGATGACAATGCTTTTGGCTTCCTCGACCCGTCACTTGTTATCCGTGGTTGCCATCTCATTCCAGCGTTTTCAGAGGGGCGTTCAAATACTCTCCTCAGACACGGTCCTTCTCTCGCAAGGCTTCAGCATAAAACTGACGACTGGGAGTTCTTTTATGTAAATATGTAAGGAGAAATGGTCCTCATCACGCTACAGCCTACACTCACCTTGCTTTGTAGTTTTGCAGATCGAGATATGTTTGCGCGATTTGCTGGGATTGGTGTTGGACACAAGGTCCAGTACACCTCCTCAGCAATCAAGCAACATTCCAAGAAATATTGGGATGACGCTTTCAGTTGCGGAGACGAATCATCCAATGAGGAAGACGCCATCAAGGATGGAGATGCTGAGGGAGATGTCATTGAGGAAAATAACATGGAGGAAGGCAATGTTGAGTAAGGCAATGTTGAGGAAGATGATGTTGAAGAAGATGACGATGAAAGTGATGTCAGTGAGGATAGTAACAGTAGTACTGAGGATGTTGATGAGCCTGAAGAGTCAGACTCGGACGGGGAGGATGACAGTGATGACAACGACAACCTATACTATAGATTTTAATGCATGGGGAACGTTACATTACACAGGCCATTTGCAAATAGCTGTAAGTTGAAGGTACTAGCGGGCGCCAGGAATGAACATACTTAATTTGGACTTTGTGTTACAACTTACAATGGTATTTCTTAGAATATAATACTTCGACAAGAAGGGTAGCTTTTCTCATTGGTGGAATTAGCGATCCACCCTTGTCAGACTATCCAATACTATCTCAACAGCAAGAACAATGATTCACGTTTGTAGTTTGAGTTTACTTGCAGATAGACTTTGTAGCGCTTGATAATAATAACAAAATTTGGAGCCTGTGTTACAAGGGTATTTCTGAGAGTATAATACTTCACCGAGAAGGAGAGATTTTCTCGTTAGTGTAATTAATGATCCACCCTTGTCAGACTATCCAATAAAATCTCAACAGCAGGCATGATGATTCAGCTTTGTAGCTTAAGTAAGGCCATATCACGATATGAGGTTTTCAGTGGTGGTGATGGTGGTGTGAGGAATCTACATGGTGATAGTCCCGTCAATGCGCCGAATGGACCGCCCACCGACGAGGTCCTTCATTGGGCATCTGTTGATGATTCACCTGTTATACCTGCCTTGCGAGCTATAGTAAAACGACAAGTGCGACCTCAGAAGGGTTTAAAGAGTCCCTGCAGGCTCGATGACAAGATTTGAAGGGGAAGAATGAAGAGGTTCTGTGAATGTGAACTGATCAGAGAGAGATAGTGAGGTTCCTTTGCTTGATGCTCTCCTTCGGCTTCTGATAGTATCACAGGACGAAATGTCTGAGATATTGTTTGGTATCATGACTCGGTCATTGTGTTGACACTAACCTTAAGGCTTGAAGCTTTGAAGCTTCAAGTTCGCTTTGATTGGAAGGCTCTGCATCACCGCATCGCACATGCAGTATATTTCGAGCAGCTGCAGGCCCGGGAGTTGGTTGCATCGACATTCTCCCCGACGAAGGATGTTGAAGAAGGGAAACGGCGATTTCTTATATATCCCCATGGACAAAGTTCATTTCCTGGAATGCGAGGCACCTGCATAAGAGCTCACCCGTTGCGGGGCACATCAGTAAACCGGTGAGTTCTTGCTGGGGATTATGCTGATTATGGTGCTTTTACATGGTCATATATTGCTTTATATCACTTTATATTACAATGTGATGAAAACCTTTCCTATATATTACGATATATAACGATATATGACGATATCTTCTTCTCACAGGTTCTCTGATGCGGCTGACAGGATCGTGGCTGCCAAGAATAAGGATACGGCCCCAGGTCAAGAATAAATTTACATGCGGGCAGTATTTCAAGAACTTCAAGCCGAAAGTGATGATACCGTGCGTGTAATAGATATCAAGTTACAAGTAGAAATGTACCAAGTACAAGTTGTGTCGATGTGGCAAGCTGAAAAGTTGAGTCGCAATTCCTTCCGAAACACTTTCCCGAATTTGGAATTACGTATTACGACAAAGTTGCGACAAAGTACTTTATGCTAAACATGGCGTGCGGGGGTTTGGGGCCGTGGGTGAGTACTAGTGTTACCTCATGTCTGAACCGAAGGCTTCGAGTGCACCACATATACTTGTTAGTTTTCAACCTTTTGCTGAGTATTAAACTTTCAAGATGCATACTTCGTGCCCCGTACGACATGTACGACTGTGCACACCACTGTGGGAAGTAAAAACACTGAAAATAAATGTAAAAAGCACTACATGACAAATATCAATGACGCAGACACTGAAAAAGGCAGCAGTTATTTTCAGTGTTCACGTGACCATCATGTCAATCAGTACTAAATACACTGACTAATCAAACCAAGCTTTTCAGTGTCGGTACTTTCAGTGGTGAAAACGCTGATTTGTTTTCTCAGCGTCTAAAGTACTGGTGATGTTCTCCATGACCGTAGGCCTCTACACATGGTCTCCATCCTCGTAAAGGAGTTTAAGTTTTCTGGTATTGTGCATGGTTTGGGACATGCCTTTGAATGGGAACTCTTTTGCTGCCGGTCATGCAGGAATATGAAAAGGGAAAATCACCCTATGCACATTTGAGGCATGCCACTGCCAATTTGGGCAAACACATTTGTCACGTGATAGATACAAACAACACGTCAACAAAGGACTTCTTCGCAATCGTCCTTGGATTGGTCACCTCTCCGTCCACTATACCAAAAACAAGGCCATTGAGAAGTTCAATAGGTGAGTTGAGCATGCTCTCGCAGCTAAGCACTATATACTCAGGCTATACTCTGTTTCTCCCCAACACTCCATCTTGAACAGTGCCTCTAGGAGTAAGCGCTACCTAATGAGCAATTTGTGTTATGGGACTCCCAGGGCCTCTCTCAAAAGGAGGGAACTGGTGCGTAATGATCGTTCATTCTTATTTTAAGGTGGACAAGTTAAAATTTGATGCATATACTCACTATAACTGCGCATATAGCCACTCAAAGGCCCACACCAGCACCATGCGCAAACGCCCAACGCACGCCAGCAAGTGCTGATGTGGCGCGAACACTCGCGGATGACACCAGGACGCCGAAGACACGAAAAGGACGAGAGGCGGCACTCATTCTTGCTCATCGCACTCTCATTCTCACTCGCACGCAGTGCTTGTAGACTCGGCTCTGGATGGGGAGTCACAGTGAGTGAGTCTGTCAATCCTCTCTCGAGCTCAAGCCATGCTGATCCAAGCTGTTCCCCGCCATTTGCAGTGAGTGAGTCTGTTGGTTTTCCTTCGAGCTCAAGCCACGCTGATCCAAGTTGCTGCCTGCCATTTGCAGTGAATGAGTGTGTCAATCCTCCTTTGACTGGAGCCATGCTTATCAAAGTCGTTGTCTGCCGTTCACAGGGTGTCGATCCTCTATCAAGTGTGAGCCATGCTGATTGATGTCGTTGCCCACTGTTCACAGTGTCTTAGTGAGTCCTTTTTTACCATCGTTTTTTTTTCACTCTTGTTTGTATTCCGACAGTTTCGGCGACATTCTCGCACGTTTGCGTTCATTTTATGCGAGCTCAAGACGACGCTGATATACTTCAAAAAGGCAACCGTCCTCCTTGCTACAAGTGGTATTTTCGTCAGTACGAGCTTCATCACCTGCTCCATATTGTCTACTCTTTATATCTCTCACCCCCCAGCTTGTCCCAGAACTCATTCTCCGGCAACTCCACTGTAGGCTCAAGCTCAGCTGCGCTCAACAAGGGCAAGTGCGTAACATTGTGCGGTGCTCTCATCCGAGTCATCCCAGCAGATCCTACAAACCAATTTAGATGCGCTCAAGAGTCAATATCATTTCCCTGACACTCGATTACTGCGTTTGAAGCAACGGCAGCCATACACCTTGTTATTCGATATGCTCTCGCTTTGGACTCTTTTCACAGATCCTGGACGCAAGCTAGTTACCTTTTTTGACTGCCCATGCGTCATGTATCACTCTCAAATTAGTCTATTGTAATCCTATTCATAATTGTCAGCATCGCAAATGGTGTTTTTCAGTGTTTCGAGGAGTATCACGATCTTTGTTGTTAATCCGATTTCAGCGTTGAAAACACTGAAAAATGTCACTTTCACTGTTCTAAACACTGAAATTTTGCACATCTTATCTTCTGGTTCTGATGTTGACTGCGATTCAAAGATACAAAACCGTGAAAGTCAGTGTTTTGGACCCTGACTTTCAGTATTTAAAACACGGATTTCCAGTGTTTTTACTTCCCACAGTGACACTTGCTAAAGCAGTGTCTACCTGCAACGGGTGATCTCTGTTGTTGTCAATTGTGAGTGAAACGACCAAGAACATCAATGCACATTCAAAGGTAATGAACTCATCATCATGATCGTTCTTAGAGATACTAGGTATCGCGGTCAAATAAGGGAGAGCGGGCAATGCGTGCAAGGTTGGTAACGTCAGACGAGTTCCCAACGTCACGTAGCTTCGGGACATGTTTTTAGACAGAAACCTTATGACGTTCTGCAGCCTCCCGTGCAGCCTCTGCCCAATCCTGCTCGCGCACACCAAGCTCAATTCCTAGTATGGTCTTGTTTAACTGCATCAGAGTTATTCCGTGATGTTGGCGGATGTGCGACTCCCAGCCTTCTGGGAGTCGTTCTTCATGAAGGAAGCTATGGAGGTCGTCTACACGGCCTCCAAAGACAGTGACTAAGGTTGCGGCACTAACGAAACGTTAGTTAGTGCGCTTAAAAATGATTGATGCAATAACGTACTTCGTGCTCCCGAAGATCTTGTGGAAAAAGCTGAGAGAGAACTCCTTGTTTACTGCGCGTGCGACTGCACGCCGCTTGCCCAGTATCCTGGAGAGATCTTTGGTGGTGATGACAGTATTGTCTTTTTTGTCCTTGCCCGTAGCTGTTGTAAGTAACTCTTCAATGAAAGGTACGTGCTTTGTCGATTGTGTCTGTTCGAGAGCGGAATCGAGGCCTAAAGACAAATTATTCAGACATACACTAACAAGCATATCAAATCACTCACGCAATAGGGATCCGTCGTGTTCAATACCATTATGTAGGTCAAGTTCTTCCAAATCAAATAAGTCCTCGCTGTAGTTTTTCTTGAGCATACGAGCGGCAAAGCGCGGCACAAATGAGCAGAAGGTAGGACTGAAGTTGTATGTCGTCCGGATATGATCGCCAACCTCGACAAACGAGATGTCGCGGCCACTGCGTGGGATGATACCTGGGTTTTAATATCGTTAACACCAATACTACCACCTAGGCTTAAGCACAGAGACTGGCAGGACCATTCACCGTGGTTGGCCATCGCATTGAGTGCAGGGCAAGAGCAGCGGGAGTCGGTCTCCTTGGGAGGGCTATACTCAGGCCAGTGCTTTCCATAGCCTGGGTGGCCCTGGGGGGTGACATGCCCGATGCGACGCTTCCTCCTCACGAGATTGGAGAGCGTAAGGAGGATATCCCAAGATAAGATCCCGACATCGAGGAAAAGACGAGACACAATGGAGAAGGGGTCCATTATAGCTATGTCGAAGGTGTTAAGTCGGGGATAGGAAGAGAGATGGATAGGAACAATTCACAGGAGCTTAAGTCTACATGGGATCCGAATAACGTCAGGGGTAGTGTAATAGGACTGACGGAAAGGGTTATGTATCCCGGTACTAAACGCTTGGCCTGTGGAATCCCATGTCCCCCAAGTATAGACCGAGACTTATGTAGGAGGGCTCAACATTAGTGGCGGACAAAAAGAGAGATCAATAGCTTGTTAGTTATCGCATGGTTAAGCCAGACCATAGAGAAACTCGAAGGAACTGAAAGAAAGAGTCGTCTAACAGCCATTGCTTTCAAGTCCGAATGTAGTATAGGCTTCATCAATTAGCTTCTCGGCTCTGGGTATGAATGGCCCAATGTTAACGTTCAGATATCAGAATTCGTGGCGGTTCCGAAGAGGATTAAATTTTGGACGTTCGATAGCTTGAATATCGATGCAGCCTTCCGAGTCGAAGCGCCTACTTGTCCAATCCCGAAAACCACGTGGGAGGATCAAAGGGGTCCACAGCAGTGTTTCGTGTTTGAGGAGTTTTAGGAACCTGGAGACACCTGAGTTCGAATGACAGTGACAGGTCTTCTCACCAAGCCAAGTAGCAAGAAGTGTGGTACTGATACCGCTGGACAATAGCAGTACAGTCCATTTTTGTCGAAATCAAATTCAAGTTGACGTTAAGCGTCTCGAGTGAGTCCGAACTCAACGAGTAACCGATACGAAGTGTTTTTGGTGGAACCGTACGCCATCAACTAGCGACAAGGTCAATTCTATGAAGGACACGTTCGGGAGTTTCAGCCATAGAATTCGATGCGAAGTTGTTCAAAGAATCGGAAAATTTGAATCGAATGCGAGTCACGTGATGTCGGTGCTTAATCTGGACTTGGTTCCTTCAGGCTTCGATAGCGAACATGACAGCAGCAGCAGCAAGATGCACGCCAGGGCCTGCTTCCACTTCATACAAGCTCCCTTTCATGACTTCAGCACTGAGATATAAAGGACACCGTAATTCCCGCTGCTTCTCATCCACGTGTCGACGAGCAGCCCACTTGCGCGATCACTATGCAACCCTTGGGGTCCCAATCACAGCGACGAAGGCTCAAATAAAGGCATGGGCCATTTTCTTCAATCCTTAAAGGATCTGTCCCTCACAAACTCATGATAGACACACTTCTACCAAGTGAGTTGTTCTCATTGGTAGCAAAGGATGCCTGCTGATGAACCTCGCCAACTCTTAGCTCAGCAAGAAATATCATCCCGATGTCAGTCAGGACAGTACGGCACGAGGAAAATTTCACGCAGTGAGTGAAGCTTACGCAGTGCTTGGGGATGATCGGAAGCGGTACCTCTCAAAGTGTTCACCTGATGTACTGACCTGATAACTCGATGGCAGGCGAGAGTACGATCGTAGTATCCACCACGCATCACCGTCACAACCATCCTCTCACCACCCGCAAGCTACCACGGCACGTCCCTCCAATCGATCAGGGTCACGCAATGCATGGCAAAATAATGCACATCAGCATCAGCACCGTGACCCCAAATCCAGCCATGCGCATGACCCAAACGCAGCTCATGACCACCCATGGGAGCATGCTCGAGCAGGCAAATACACCTACTATCAACCTCCCCCCGGTGCCCATTCGCGCACGTCCTATACATGGTCGCACACAAATCCATTTTCCAGCCCACACGTCCAACGAGCCACCGGTCGCATGTCTGCATATCCTTCATCAGGAACGGGCCCGTCTGATGGTAGCAATGAAAACATGGCTAAAGAAGAATCACGCCCGAAAAGAACGCAAACGGACGAGGACATCGTTGCAGCGGAGAGTGTTATAGGGCGTGTGTTTGCGGTGTCTGGACTTTTAACTTTCATGTTAGTGATAGCCCAGTTTGCGGGTGCACCATGGGGCAGTGCGCATGCATGAATCAATGCATTTTGTGATCAGTTTGTTGGAACGCATAGAAACTTGTGACCGGTTGGAAGCCTAATACTACAACGGTACTTTCCTGATACATACATTGACTGTCTGTCTAAGCCACGCCCCTCCCGCAGGTATCTACCATCCATCAGCACATCTGTATTAGCAGATTATGATGTAGGGTCTTCTATACATCCCTGTGATGCACTACCGTCACTCTCGTTGTTCTCTTGCAGTGCTAGCGCCCCGGTATATCCAATTCTTGACCCGATCCACATATATTACTGCGAATGCCGCAGAGACTGCCACAATGATTACTTTCAGTTGGAATTCGCTTAACCGAACTTCACCGTCGGTCTCATTTTCTTCCGGTCCGTCATGAGAAGGCATGGCTTTCTGGGAAGAGGACGAAGCTGCCTGAGCTTGCAACTTCGCCTTCTCCCTTTCCTTCAACTCCCTATCTCGCGTGAGCTTGTTCATCGCCGACCAGTATCCAGCAGGCGGGCGATAAAACATCGATGAGCCTGACTTGACTGGGTCCCAGAAAGTGGGATCAACCGGCCGGAGTTCAGACGAGGCAAGTTCCCCCGCCCGCTGATGTCGCAGTCCCATTATAAGAGCAGAATGCAGCTGCTCGTATTGATCGTATTTCCGTCTACAATGATGTTCAGAATAGTTGGCCGAGTGAAAAATACACAAGCGCACCGAGTCTTTTTCTTTCCAAGCACAGCATAAGCCTCGGTAACCTTTCTGAAAATTTCGGGGGAACTTGGATCTTGAGAGACATCAGGATGATGTTGCCTGCTCAGCTACACGCGCGTCACCTCAACGATACGCATCGACTATGACCAAACCACACCTCGTAGTACCTTTTCTGTGGTGCCGTATCAGCCACTAGAATGAACCTCGAACTAGGATCGAAGACTGACTTTGATTTGGTCCTGCGAAGCATCTCTCCATAACCCAAGTGCGGTATAGTAAACCCAACGATTCGTCTTGCCTTTTGAACTTTGGGCGGGCTGAGGTGATGCGGTATCTCTATGCGAATGTATCCATGATGAAAAACCAAGTGCGAGACTGCGAATCCGTGTCGGTTTGCCATCATCGTGTTTTGGACTTTCGGTGGCATAGTAGTGTTTGGGATGCGGGAGTACGATGTTCTTGTTCCGTAAAGACCATGGTGAGAGATTGAGAAACGGAAGAGAGGATGGAAACCCTCTGGATCTCATTGACTAATGGTTGCAGTTGAACTTGTTAACATTCAAGTTGGTCGTTGGTCATTTACATAACGTTCGGGACCATTACTTTGTCTTCGACACATGCTCATGCGCTCATGGTTGGATATTCTGACTGTCTTCGTTCTATTACCGCATAGGACATGTCAGTAGTTCTTATACGATAAGATCTATGGATATTGTTCATTCTAGGTGACGCCAGTACGTGCTATGCGTAAGTCAGGCGGCGGCCAGGCCTTTACATAAGCCAAAAGCGCGGCTGTCTCCGCCCGTCGCAAATTTCGTTGAAGCCACTCTTGGCTGTCCCGTCTTTTGGTTCGCGTCCCACAACCTCACCATTACTGTCTCATCATCGCTTCCACTTCTGCCGTTTGGAGACGATGCTATGGTAGACATTCCGGCTTTATCCCCATCTTGCCAGTCATCGCTGATCTGTATGCTGTTCCCATAGTCGGAGTAAGCCCTCAGATGAACATGTGATGATGCGTGGTCTAACAGGCAGGTGCACAACACCGTTCACCTTGCCAGCATGACCTCGCATCGTCTAGTTTTTTGTGGTTGCTGCGACCTCTTCTATCTTAATAGACATCGTCGGCGGTCGGGGCAACAATGCCAACAACAGTGGACTATGTATGCGCGAGAAGTCTGGTGAGGTCCTCGCGTTGGAACTGGTTATCTGGCGATTACTGGTGAGTCGACGAGCCTGCCTTGTGACATTGTTATCAATGCGAGTTTGCTAACGAGATAGCTTGCTCACAGGAATTCATTCTTGACTCATGGGACAGCCGCAGGACTACGTGTACCAACAGTCTTGGAGATCTGTAGGAGATCCTTACCGGGATCCGCTGGTAAATGAATGCTCAAACATCGCCTGGTAGATCAGCCCAAAGTATTATTCAAGAAAGCCACCGACTTCAACGGGAATTCACGCAGATACACTCCAATCACCGATGAGTGGTAGAGACCTTAAACTGAGATTGGTATTGTTGATGATTTATTTTGAGGAAGTTGGGAGTGTGGTGTTTCGATCGTCAGCTAAGGTTCTCATTTCATGCCTTATCTTCATGCTCGATACACGCGTTGGCCGTGATAATCTTTGTCTTCTGTAATTTGCGTCACTGAGTTTTTGCACACGTCGGGCATGTGCATGACCTTCCAGATTCAGAGGTCACCTCGATCCTGCCGATTGAATTAAAAAGTGGGCGATCGATGGTACGTCCTCTTGACATCCTGCCGTTTATAATTATCTCGAACTTTTTTTGATTAGTGATTCGTGCCGGTCTTCTTTCGGGAAAGCTCTCGCAGACTACTCGATCTCTGCATGTTTCTCGTTCGTCAGCGCGCACGTTCGAGCGAGAGCAGTGGGAGGCACTGGGAAAGCGTCTTGTTGCGTGGAAGGCGGGCCTAGCGAGCGTGCTGGAGGTTGTTAGTGCACAAAAGTGTGGCAACAGTTCGGCTGTGGGTGAAGTCGTGCAGCAGGTCACGCAGACAGGTGACAGCGTTCAGATTGACGCCACGTTGCCTACATCAGAGTTCCTCTGGTCAGCAAATCAAGGTTATGGTTGTTGACTACAATTTATGGGCAAGCCGGTGAAGCTCATTGTCGTTCATCTGAACATGACTTCGGCTTAGATGTCGAACGTTCAAAACTCTGCCTACTAAGACGAGAAGACACTATCAACGCCCGGGGACGTTGATTATAGCAATATTGCGCAGCCAACATCAAGCGACTCCCGTATGTATATATCCCTGTCCCCATCAGTCATGCAATCACTTGTCACTACTGTTTACTAAAGAGTGCTGCTACGCACTATGCACAGCGTACAGATTCGATATGTGTATGGACTCGCTCGAACGAATATCATATTATTCTACTCGCTGACAAGACGTATATAACAGACCAATGTGCATCGAACTGCCCACCGCAATGGTAACACAGCCACTGACATGCAGTGTCAGCAAGGCACCTGCAACTATAGCATGCAAAACTGACCCAAATAACAGGTCTCTTTATCACCTTCAAGTCGTATCTCTCCCTCCCCTCGATTGCTCACTTTGCGCAGTGTTTCTCTGTACAGTCCGTTTGTACAGTCCAGTATCCTATATCGATCAAGGTCATGCCACACAAAGAGGCCGAATCGAGCACGTCAATGAGACCGGCAGAAGCGCCATTGCACTCATCGAAATATCGGACGAGCATGAAATATTTACCACCATATGGTGCACAGCACCGCCAGGACGCACTTTGGGAAGGTGAGCAGCTACCTGGTGATACCCATTAGCCCACTCAATTAGAAGCAGGCGGGAATGAAGTGCTTCCTCCTATGTGGCAGCAGTATAAGACGACCTCTGATAGTGCAACAGAATATGAAGATAACATGCTCACGATAGTCTCGTACAACCGACCTTTACCAGGAGTACGACTAGGTGAGGGTTGAAATTGCGAGAAGGAGCGACGAACTCACGGTTGAACATAGACTATCCTGGATACCTGGCCGTTCCTGGATGCGAATGGCACATCTCACCACACGGTCGGTCCTACTTTGTCAACCACAACACTCGGACCACGTCGTGGAAGAAATCAAAGCCAGAACGTCCAGCAGGAAGCTTGATGCCGGAATGCGTCATCGAGGGTCACTCCAAAGGCATACGGAGCCTTGCCTACTTGGGTACTAGTGGCAATATAATGAGCACGTCTGACGATAGTTCGATTCGTCAGTGGAAAAGAGACGGAGAGCCAGTGGGAAAACCTTTGGATAGCGATGGGGGGGAAATAGGTTCGATGGTAGCATCTCCGGACGAAACGATGGTTGTTTGTGGAAGTGTAGATGGCAGACTGCGGCTGTGGAATATCAAGGAGGGCAGCATGGTCGGCGACCCGTGGGAGGGGCATACTGATGCAGTGAGGTGCCTCGATTGGTCTTGCAATTCCCTGGAGATAGCAAGTGGATCACAAGACGGCACCATACGACGCTGGAACCCGAATACCGGTCGACAAATAGCACCACCCATAGAGACCAGTCATGGATGGGTCAGAGCTATCAAATACTCTCCACAAGGCGACAAATTCATGAGCGGTGGGAACGGTCCGATCTGCATATGGTCAAAGGACGGAAAGCTACTTATCGAGATCAAGGGACATGAAAACTGGGTGTCATCATTGTGTTGGTCCAAGGACTGCGCACATATCTTCTCTGCGTCGAGGGATAGCACCATCCGAAAATGGCGGGTGATTGATGGACAGGAACTTGTTGTTTTTCGGGGTCACACCCACCACGTCAGATCACTCTGTCTTACTCCCAATGAACGCTATATCGTCAGCGCATCATATGACTGCTCCATTCGCATCTGGGATCTCGAGACCAATCAGGCAGTCGGAGATCCACTCTTGCATGATGACGCACTCAGGGCTGTTGTTATGTCCCGCGATGGAAGATACATTGCCAGTGCTGGACTAGATAAAAAAATCTATGTGTGGAACCTGGAGGCAGCGCTCAAAGATGTGGTGCGTATGCGCTTTGTTGTTTAATTTCCCTTTCTGACTGTTCTGACCATCTAGGGCGCAGACGATGGGAATGCAAAGCTCAAGGCAAGTCTTCTCTGCTTATCTGTCACACTGCATCTCACTTTTTATCAGGGACGCCCAACCCAACCGAGAGTCGTGCGGCAACCAATCGTAAGAAACTTTTTCTCGTATGTTTCGTTAATGTCCATCTGCACTTCAAACAATAGGCCATTACCAGAGGCTCGACGAAATACGTTAGTAGAATTTTTCGTTCTTCAGCTCTTGCTAATCCGACTTTGAATCTTTGATACAGGGCAATGATTTCTTCGCCAATGATGCAGATCGCGCACCTCGCCGCGCAGCTCCGCCTGCGAGTTCATCTTTCCTTTATTGGCGCAGTTTGATTGGTTCCCTTCGGTTCAGTACCCAACCTACAGATACGCCTCGAACATCACCTCACGAATCCCGACATTGGAATTTCAACTTATTTTCCGTAGGAAATTCCAGTCACACCGTTGAAGTAGCTCCTGGCCGCAAAAAAGATGTGAGTGTGGCTCGCAACCATGATCTATATTCTTTGATATCATTAAAAACACAATTGTAGAGATACGCCATTGCCCCTCCCAGCAAGGCAGAAGTGGAGGCAGCTATGCAACGTGCGAACGGCAACCAAACTAACAGTTCAATGCAAACGGGTCAACCTGCAGCGGGGACACAACCATCTCAAGCACTGGCAGGGACCCAAGGATCTCAAGCACGACCAACAGAAATACACCAGTCAACCGGTGGGAGGGGAGATGTTTCCTACGAAGTTACCTGCTGCGGATTTTACTTTGGTCGTCGTTCCACTTGGCATCAGTCATGAAATAATCTAGAAATTCTGTTACTCGAACGTTTCTCTTCCCTTTTACTTCCGTCTACCGTCCGAATCCGATACTTGGATCAAAGTCCAACCCACACCCACACCCTCTCTGGTCATCTTCACGCACGAACCTGAGGGTTCAAGTACTCCTTGGCAAACTCCTCGTTCACCTGCTCCTCTTCTCCAGATTTCCCCGACAGGCAGGTACTGAGCGAAAAAAGTATGTTGCCTGTCAACAAATTACTGTTAGTGGCGTGCCATTCAGTCTATGGTGTATCGCCCTGTTCAGCTGCTGTGGTTGGACTGGGATGAGAAACCCGAACCAAATATGACAATGGTGGAGTGACACTATGGAAGGTGTTTGGAAAGATTGTACTCTTCGTAGCCTGCAGCGTCTACATCCACGTCAGATCACGCCTCACCTTTCCCTTCCTCGCGCGTTGCCTTCGTCTGTTAAAATTATTCCAATCTTCCCAACACCTACGTCGACTGCTGTGAGCCAAGGCAATCCTAGTGATTCCGACTTCGAGAGAGTAGAGGGGGGCAAGGGCTTAGGTGGAAGACGGGGCGTTGGCATTCTCCACAACCAAGTGTTTCTCGGCGCAGCAAGCAACACGGCCTGTTCCTTTCGCGCAGCTTTGGTCATCGCCTGAAACCAGTGGTCAATTTCCGCTTGCGAAAGCGTTCGCTTAGTACAACCTCCCTTGAACTCACTAGCTCGGGGAGCACCTTTCTCTTCAGATACCTGCGTTATGAGATCGAGTGCGACCTATATCAGTGTCGACTCATTGTAGAGATCACACAGGATGCTCCGGATGGGGCGGTCGAGTAGAAGGTTGAGTTTTCATTCCAGACATGATATAGTTGGATGCTCTGGCGCTGGCTCATTTGAGACAAATTGGATCGCTGTTTGTTTCAAGGCCATTGTAAATGTCCTTAGTCAACAATGGCGCTGTCGATGAACTGCGCACGAGCTCACGCGCTGAAGGCAAGCAATGGCATGACCACAGGTTCCTTCGAGATGAAGGAATGGTAGTCATCATCATTCATGATTTTGACAAGCGAACAATGATCTGCTTACTAAGACAGGAATGCACAGAGCCACCACGTGTACATATGGTCTTTGCAATTGCGACTCGGAAGTGGCACCGCATCAATACTGAAATAAGCTTTTCAGAGAAACTACGTTCGCGCTCATATGTAGATGGAACGTGCATACCAATCACATAATCGGTTCCTCTCCCATAGCATCAGTGTCTGAAGTTTGAACTGTGACTTGCACGCTCAGCACCAGCGTGCCCTTTCGATACGTACTACACCTCTCTCCTTCCTCCTATGCTCTTTTTTCAGGTTCTACACGAAAACACGGGCTCGGGCAAATCGGCTTCGTATCATGGAACCCAATGGTTCGATGAGGACGTGACACTGGTGGGGATGGGCTGCCTGGCTTGTGGTATCATCACAAGATGGTTTAGAACCCGAGTCCAGATACTAGCGGCATGGACGTCCAGCTTGGGGATGTTGCTCGCAGAAAACATCAAGCGATCCTTGTATATGTCCCTGTTTCTGTAATTGCCTGTCAGTCCTGGCGAGGCTTTGCTCGGGAGTGCTGCTACGTGTTATGCACAGCGTATGGATTCGATATGGTATGCATCTGCTCAAACAAACTATAATTCCACTCGCTGACGAGAAGTACATATCAGACCGATATACATCGAACTGCCTCAAAATTTGAATGAGGTAAGTATTTGATTCGATGGTAACATAGCCATTGATATGCGGTGTTAGTAAGGTGCCTGCAACTACAGCATGTAAAATTGACCTAATCGCAGGTCTCTTCGTTACCTTTAACCCATACCTCTCCCTCCCCTCGATTGCTGACTTTGCGCAGTGTGTCTCTGTCCAGTCCATTTGTACACCCCAGTATCCTATATCGATCAAGGTCATGACACACGAGGAGGCCAAGTCGAGCACATCAATGAAACGGGGAGAAGCGCCATTGCACTCACCGATATATCGGACGAGCGCGAAGGATCCACCACCATATGGTGCACAGCACCGCCAGGACGCACTTTGGGAAGGTGAGCAGCCACCTGGTGATACCCACCAGCTTACTCAATTGGAAGCAGGCGGGAATGAAGCGCTTCCTCCTATGTGGCAACAGTATAAGACGTCCTCGGATGGTGCAACACTATACCAAGATGACACGCTCGTGGTTAGCTCGTGGAAGCGACCTTTACCAGGAGTGCGACTAGGTGAGGAATGAAATTGCGACAAGGAACGAAGAACTCACGGTTGAAGATAGATGAGCCAGGATATCTCGCTGTTCCCGGATGTGAATGGCATATCTCACCACTCGGTCGGTCCTACTTCGTCAACCACAACACTGGGACCACGTTATGGAAGAAACCAAAGCCCGAACGTCCGGCAGGAAGCTTGATACCGGAATGCGTAATCGAGGGTCTCTCTCAATGCATATGGAGCCTTGCCTACTTGGGTACCAGTGGCAATATAATGAGCACGTCTGGGGATGGTTTCATTCGTCAGTGGAAAAGAGACGGAGAAGCAGTAGGAAAACCTTTGAATAGCGACGCGGGAGCTATAGGCCCAATGGCAATATCCCCGGATGAAACAATGGTCATTTGTGCAAGTGTAGATGACAGACTGCGGCTGTGGAATATAAAGGAGGGCGGCATGATTGGCGACTCGTGGGAGGGCTATACTGCTGCAGTGAGGTGCCTTGATTGGTCTCGCAATTCGCTGGAGATAGCAAGTGGATCACGAGACGGCACCATACAACGCTGGAACCCGAATACTAGTCGAGAAATAGCACCACCCATAGAGACCGGTCACGGATGGGTCAGAGTCGTCAAATACTCTCCACAAGACGACAAATTCATGAGCGGTGGGAACGGTCCGATCTGCATATGGTCAAAGGACGGGAAGCTGCTTATCGAGATCAAGGGGCATGAAGGTTGGGTGTCGTCATTGTGTTGGTCGAAGGACGGCGCACACATATTCTCTGCCTCAGTTGATCATACCATCCGAAAATGGCGGGCGATTGATGGACAGGAACTTGTCGTTTTTCGGGGTCACACCAACACCGTCCAATCCCTCTGTCTGACTCCCGATGAAAGCTATATCGTTAGCGGATCTTATGACTGCTCCATTCGCATCTGGGACATCAAAACCAATCAGGAAGTCGGAGACCCACTCTTGCATGATGATCAACTCTTGGCTGTTATCATGTCTCGCGATGGAAAATATATTGCCAGTACTGGACTAGACAAAAAAAATCTATGTATGGAACCTGGAGGCGGCACTCAAAAGGATCGTGGTACGTATATGCGCTTTGTTGTCCAATTTCCCTTCCTAACGGTTTTGACCATCTAGGGCGCAGACGATGGGAATGTAAAGCTCAAGGCAAGTCTTCTCTGCTTCTCTTTCACACTCTATCTCACTTTTTACTAGGAACGTCCAGCCCAACCGAGAGTTGTGCGCCCACCAATTGTGAGCAACCCCACCTTTTTCCTATATGTTTTAGACCTTTGACCCCCGTCTTTCGGCTAATCAGCAGGCCAAAAAAACAGGACTGGCAAGATATGTCAGTGTAGTTTCTTGTTCTTGACCTTTCTCGCCTGACACCAAGATACAGGGCAATGATTTCTTTGGCGACGAATCAGACCACGCGTCTCGTCGTGCAGCTCCTCGCGCAAGCCCATCGTCCCTTATTCGTTGGCGTCGTTTGCTCAGTTCCATACATTTTGGCACGCGACCTGCAAATGCAGCCCAACCAATCCAACGACAGTCCCGACACTGGAATTTCAACCTCAAGTTGTTTTCTAGAGCACATTCCACGCGCACAGTCGATGTACCTCTTGCTCAAGATGAAAATGTGGGTGGCTCACCTTTCCTCCTCTTTCCTCCCATTAAAACACATTGCAGAGAATCGGTATTGTCCGCGAGTCTGATGCGGAAGCGGCCGCAGCTATGCAACGTACGAACAGCAACCAGGCCGATAGTTCAACGCAATCAGGCCAACCAGCAGGAGCGCAAGCATCTCAAGTACAACCAATCCAAACGCAGGCACAAGGCTCAACTGGCGAAGCGGAAGACTTTGTGTATAAAGGAGTGAACTGCTGTGGATTTTTCTTTGGTCTGCGTCGTCCTCCTTCGCATCAGTCATGAAGGATGGAAGACGTGTGGCACACTCACACTCAGTTCAGCCCCGCACCTGTTTTCGACTCCTCTCATAATCAATATTCGCCGCCATGACTGTCACCCACGCACTCGGATCCATCTATCTTCGTGCACCTCCTTTTCCTTGCGCTGCTTTTCTCGGGTCCATGCCACGTGTTGACGACACCACTGGGGAAGTCTGCCTCGTTGTCTGGAATGCAGCTTTTGGTGGTGCAATGGTCTTCTGGGTGGGGAGCTTGATGCTTGCTGGAAAGGCGACCCGTTGAAACGTCGGAGTTGAAATCCGCGCAGCATTGAGTACGTACTGCTCAAATCGTGCACAGATTGTTCAATATGTATTTGTATAACATGTATTTCCATCGATGAGTTTACTGACTACACGAAACTTACAAATCCGTCTGTGTACGAGGGCATCTTGTCCGATTTTCACTAGGGTCGAACGTTGAGACTTGTCTCGACAGCTCTTAGCACTGATGAGTCACTAAACGATTTATAGATCTGCCTGGCAGAACAATTTTTGCTGGTCGAACAAATCGAGAGACTCGCGGGAACGATACATTGGTGCAGGCCTTTTTTGACTAAAAACGGGGTGCTCAACGTGCCAGCGAGCTGAAACATCCCAGCACTAGTACTATTGATGCAGACTCCTGGTAGAAGGTTCTCATCGGGGGGCTACCGCTACCCCAACCGCGCTGACCTTCTCGTCCTGTTTAGGAATACAAGAACTGAACCTACATGTCTAGTGGGAGTACAGGTTCCGTCGCGCGACTGCAACTGCACCCAACGACCGACCAGCTACATCCAACCCACCGGCAGGGTGGTTTGCGGTTATGGTAGAGCTAGTGGGAGAGCAAGAAGCTTCAGGCTCCAGATCTCGTGGCCTTTAACACATCGAGACCCTGAACCCACTCACCAAGGTACCCTTTCGATCGTTTCCAAACCGAAACACACAGGTGCTGCCAAAACGCCCGTATTTTGAACATGAACGCACGGCGACAACACAGGCTCACAACAGGGGTCCAGACTCAGAAGGTCGTGAGATTGCAACCAACTTGGAGGACAACAGTGTGCCAGTGTGCAGGCAAACCTTTCGATCTATGAAAACGCAGTGCGCACATGCGGAAACTTTTGAATAAAACACGTAAACGCACAAGTAATAAAAGTGCATACTAGTAGAGCTAGCCTAGTAGGACTGCAGGCAACCGGGATGCTGTCCCTGATCATGATGTGTCCACAACCACGAGCTGGTTGACATAATACCAACCTCAGTTACCTCACATTTTGTGACTGAAATGAAATTTATTACGTATGGACGTGAAATTCAGCCACAACGCCCACTATTGGCGTGCCCCCAACGGAAATCGAATACACGTTTTATGTAATCGAGCGTTTGACTCGTAGTACTGCCCGTGATTGTGCACCACAGAATACATATTCCAGATAATCAGACACTGGTTGACAGGGGCCATCTCTTGATTTCAGCGATGTGCACACACTTATGGCTTAATTGCCGAGATTGTGCCGAAATACTATCCAATAGGCCACTGACGCGATCGGAACAGGCGTGCACATGCAGCTCGTCGATGGCAGTACTGAACATGAGGTTCGCGCATTCCAACGGAAATTGAATACACGGTTTTGTTCAAATTACGTCAGCGCGTCAGCAGTGAAAATCGAATACACGTTTTTTCGCACACAGTCAAGGGACATGATATAAAGCTTGGGGAGTCGGGGTCGACTAGTCAACTCAACTCATACCCTCTCACTATAACGAATTTCAACTCTCTGCTTCATCTGACATCACGCCCATGACATGATTCGGCCTCGCTATGCCGGCCCTCAGTAAATCGGCGAGTTCTTGCTGGGGATTATGTTGATTATGTGCTTTTACATAGTCATATAGTGCTTTATATCACAAAAACCTTTCCTATATATTACGATATCTTCTTCTCACAGGTTCTCTGATTGATAACCTAATCAGCACACAGTTTTCACTAGTGTCACACTCCGTCCAGTATCGCGTGGCCTAGCTATAGTATACTGTCATGGCCCCGCGTGAGGTTAAGGGGGGCACACATCGAGAGTACTAACAAGTACCATGCTGCATACATGCCGTCTTATTACCTGCCAACATGCCTTCCATGCATTGGCTTCAGTGCCTAGGTTGGCAACATCTAATTAATGTGATGTCAATTAATATTGAGAAAAAAGAGACCAAGAAATGAGATACCGCGTGTGCCGTGTTGTGGTCCGCATACGCTGTAAGTCCAGGAGGCCTCAGCCTCATGCAAATTCATGCGTGCTTATATACTTTAGATATTACAATGCAACAAAATCCTTTCCTACTATATATACACTTCTCTATAAGGTCGACTCGCAGTCTACTAACCTAAATGATTCTATTTCTCTTATCTCACTGCAAGTTTTTGTTAGAGAAGGTGAGGAAGTTATTGTGGTGGAGAGGCAGCCGCCTGCCATCTACTAGTAGTACTAGTATTAGTACTACTGTGACTAGTACTATTACTGGTAGTAGTGAGATGGACCCTGAATACAACTAGTAAGTTCATGATAGTACCCGTGACGATGCAGCATCTCATACAACTTCTTCCTACAGCCCACCTGACCTCACAGGATTTTTAACCAAGGAGTCGCCCAACTGCCGCCCTATAGCGCACGGTAGTTTCGGGGATGTGTGGAAATGCACGCTCGACCGTCACGCTGAGGTAAGCGATGTCACGGTCCCCGTAGTATTCAAATTTGAATTCGTGACAGGTAGGGCCCGTCACGGTAGCGGTCAAGTCAGTAAGACTCAAGGTCGCAGACGACAATGCCAAAGCCAATATCACCCAAGTACAGACTCGCTCCTCCTTTGCATCTGATATACTGGCTCAACCACATGGCCTCATAGATACTCTTGAACGATTTTCGTGCACGGAAGCAACTACAACATAAAAATCTTTTGTCTCTACTGGGGTTCAGTGACGATTTCGGTCGACTTCCAGCAATGGTTTTCCCCTGGATGCACAACGGCTCGCTTGCGACATATCTTCAACGATCCACAGAACTGACAATCGAATCAAAGTTGCGGATTGTGAGTCGTTTCTTCAGAACAGCGCGCAAATGGTATTCATTGGGTCCTTAGTTGTGGCAAGTCGCTGCAGCCATCAACTACCGTATGTGAAATCTTGACTAGTTTTCTGAAACACTGACTGACGGCATCGTAGTACACTTGAAAGGCATCGTTCATGGCGATCTTACTGCCGTACGTACATAGTTGTCTGATACCGCCTTCTAGTTCTGACGATCAGCTAGAACAATATTCTGATAGATGCGAACCACGACGCCTATGTATCTGACCACGGAATCCTCACCATGTGCTCTGAGCTCTGCGGAACTTCATACATCAGAAGCAACGTGCGGTGGGCTGCGCCAGAACTCTTCGAAGTGCCCGAGAACCTTCCAAACTCAGCGAGCGATGTCTATTCATTCGGCTGTATCATGTTTCAGGTTCGTAGCATTCATAATTGCGTTAGTTTGTGACTGAGATCCCGTAGGTTATGACAGGGCAGCCACCCTTTGCGGATGTGCAAAGTAATCATGCTGTCGCTCTCCAGATATTCGCAGGCGAGAAACCCCAAAGACCCTCCAATCCTTCCGTCGCGGAGTCCTTCTGGGATTTCATCGAAACATGCTGGAGAGATGCGGGAGGTCGTCCCTCTGCTGCTGATGTTGTGAGCTTTCTAGAATTGGTGCAGAGAAATCTGTAAAGACCTGATAAGTGCGATAAGAGAACTCGAAGGGATAATATACTAACGAAGTTTCTACTTGTCTGAGACCATATTATTGGAACCATCATAATGATTGCGTTCTATGTACAGTTCTACATATTATAAGGACGGAGCGATTTCCAATATGGTGTGGTATTGAAGTATCTATATGTATATATCTAATTAGTTAGGGCAGCTTATACTTCGCGAATGGCATTGGACCTTATGTTGCACCCGATCTCGGAAAGACCATGATCTTATTTAGATGGCGTCAATAATCGAGTAACAGTGAATACTTCATAGGTACAAGTGACTGATAAGTGTAAAGGAACCAACATCAACTATCACTGAATTCCAGCCCGTCCTTCCACAAATCCTAGGATGTCTTCATCAGAGGGTCGACACTCCGCATCCTCTAACCAACACCTCTGGATGAAATCCCAGTCAGTGTCAATGACCACAGATGCAGGCGGCTTTCTGGGTCTCATTCCTTTTAATACGTGGTAAATTATGGTTTCGTATCTGGCGATGTAGTGGTATGGGACCTTGCCCTCCAAAACCTGCAAGAACGTGAGCTGATTTAGTGCGATTAATATATGCAACATGCCTGCAGCATGATCCCTCCGAAGGAGTACACGTCGCTTTTCGAGGTGAAGACCGGTGTTAAGTTACCTTCATCGTCGAATATCAAGTATTCTGGCGCCATGTAATGCACAGTGTATGTAGGAGCGCCAGGCAACAACGCCTGACTCATTCTTCCAGGAAGGAGGGCAGAGAGACCGAAATCGGTGAGGCATGCCTTTCCATTCTTGTTAATGACGACGTTATTCTAAAGAAGCTTCAGATAGGCGTTTTTAAATTTCATTGACGTGTACGTACACCGCTCAGGTCTCCATGGACGATTGACTGCGAATGGACTGCCCGAAGTGTTAATGTTAGTTAATTCTCATTTCACGCCAACGTCAAAACACTGGACGTACGATATTGAAGTCCACGAGCTACATCCCTAAGCTAAAGAGACGTCAGCTTGGCGGGGGAGATGACTACTTGAGCGAACCAGGGCAAACTTTCCGTCATCAAAAAGCATCTCATGCTTGTGCTGAAGGTATCCGGTCAGAGAGCCATTTTCTAACCACGGCGAAATAAGTGCTGGAAGGGAATCAAATCCATCTGTAACACCCCAGAGAGGGACGATATTTTCGTGCTCAAGTTTCAACCATAGCTTGATTTCTTGAAACAATTGCTGGTGGACCCAAGTCAGTTGAATGGAGACAGCATGCATGGCTACTGACATTGATGATCTTCAGGATGTCTGGATCATTGGCCAAGATAAGTTCCTTGACTGTGACCTAAATTGCTGTGAAATACGCAGAAGAACATCAATGAGGTACCCACATCAACGCATTCTGTTGCGGTAGGGTACTGGTAGTAGCGGGAAACCTTTTCTTGGACGCTCGCGTCGATTTCCGTCAGACGGAGCTTGCATGGATGAACATATGTAAATCCTCCGGAATCGTGGTGGTCCTTGTTGAGCCGTTGGATCGAGCCCGTCAGATCCACAGCACTGGAGATGATGAGTACAGCAGTGGCATGCAACGAAGATAACTCACCTGAATTTTTTCACTAAGATTAAATAGAGAACCTTGTCGATTGAAGGACGGGATTTCTCTCCCGACAGGCATTGTCGCACCAAGTTCAGGTGTACTTCATCAATCTTTGAATTATAAGTTCTTTGAGGCCTGCGTAAGATAAAGTTCGCAAGGATCATACCTCCATGGTCGGAAGATAAGGCTCTGTGCCCCTTACTTTTTCCAAAAGCACTTGACTCTCTTCCTGGATCCACGAGTACGGTACCTTGCCCGAAAATACCTGTAGTACACTGGGGTAAAACGCATCCAGGATTGATGTACTCCGTAACGCACCAGAATCGCGACGCAGCCATACGAGTACACATCTCCGGATTTCGTTGGCTTTGGCATTCCTGTCTGGCAACCACTAGTGATGCGCTCGGGTGAGACGTATCGCGCGTCTCCCGGGAGCTGCTCGCTGAATATTCGACTATTGGCTTCAGCCAGGATCACCGAGTGACTGAATTCTGCAATGCGCACGCGACCTGAAGCGTCAAGGAAAATGACGTCCTACGGATGTGGTGAGAATCTTTGGCACGTAGCTTAAGCAATCGAAACATACACCCGTTAGATTGCCATGCGCAATGTCCTGCTTATGCACTAAAAGTGCACATGAGCTTTCTGCATGAACGGTCACGGGAGATACTGACGATACTTGATACCATCCGCGACCTGAACCAGCTGCCCTTTCGCGATCAGAGGTTAACTTGACAATGATACGAGACAGCTTACTATATCGAGCTTCCGACGCGCATTTAAATTGGAATTATCTCGTTTCAGGTAGTCATGCAACGAACCGCCTGCCATCCATGGATATACAAAGGAGGGGAGAACTCCGAAACCAGTTGTTATTCCATAAAGGGGGAGGATGGTCTCGCGCCTTAACCTTTCCATAACGTATATTTCACGGCGGATCCTCTGTCGAGAAACGGATAGTCAGTATTGATTGCCCCATGCTGTGTCGCTCAACTAGATGTTAGCTCACACTGTGTATCTTGTCCAAATCACTTTGACTGTCAACATTATCCGACATTGTCTTGACCGCGACCTATTGACTGGTCTGTTATGTACAGTGCCAACGATCCATACGAATGCACTAACCTCGGTTATACCTGACTCCTGCAACCACTTACATTCCAAAGTTGAACTGGGGTGGCTGAAATCATCGGCGTAGTGGCTACACTTCGTGAGTACTGTTTGTGGGATTATGTTCACTGCAAGGTTCGACAGAAACTTTTTCGTAGTCTCCTTGATGTCTGTCCGCAACCAGAAGAAGTCCGCAATGTCGGCAACTAACGGACGCTGTCTGATCTCACGTAACCAGCATCTTTGTGAGACCTCCTGGATGTCTTCGTCGACACCAGTCAACTGGGAGAACGGTTCAATCCCCCGCATCTTCGCCCCCATAACAGCAATAGAGTTCCTTATATTGTGATAAGGCTGACGTCCAGAAAATACCTACAGTATATCAGTAATATAACATTGAATAGGAATGTGCAACACACCTGCATCATGATACAGCCATAAGAGTAAATATCGCAGGCCTTGGTTGGTTTGATGTCGTCCATAGTGATTACCTCCGGCGCCATCCAGCGGACATTGCCTACGTGATAAGAGTTATGATCTGATTCTGCCAGGATCGTCGATAGACTGAAGTCCCCGATATGGAGCGTCCCATCACCGCTGACCAGGATATTGGTCTAAATTGCATAACCGTTATTTCCGGCTGGAGTAGGGTGGTAAACAACACCTACACCAGTAAGGTCACCGTGGACAATATCCTTGTCATGTACTACAGGACATCAATTGACCAAAATGTAAGAGCCGATTGCCCACTCACGATACCGAAGCCCAGCTGCTACCTCCCTAACCTGACGTGCCAAGTTAGGAGACTCGACTTGTCACTACAGAAAATGCATACCATTGTCAACTTCTTCTCCCTCGAAAGATTGACTTCCCGTCTCAGATAGTCGTTTAGTGATCCATTTTCCATCCATGGAGTGACTAACGCGGGAAGTGGCCCAAATCCCTCGGTAACACCCTCAAAAGGAAGAATGCTTTCGTGCGACAATTGAATCCAAACGTAGGCCTCGTGAGAAATCCTCTGGTGAGTCTATCAGAGAGAGTCGTAATGAAATACTTTAAGCGCCACCTGGCCAAATGTCCGTACTACTTGTGGTTCTCTATCCGCATGTTGAGGGACCCTGACGGCTTTAATCGCGACCTTAGTTGTGATAAATAATATTGGAATTGGACCACCTGACTGCAAACTCACAGGACGATTCTCAGATTGTGTAGACATAAAACATTTCCAGATATCGTTAAACCCTCCTGAACAAATAGGAAACAGTTCCGGTCGTTGGATGGCTGTCGCAGGAATGGTGTTTGGTTTGATCTTGAACATGATGCCCTTGCTCTCCTACCCATGTTATTGAGTCATGATGAGCGCAAAGTCAAGATTGACTTACAACGTTGGTGTTGTTCATGAGGTAAAAGCAGTCAGGTGCTGCAAAGCGTGTGTGCCGTATCTATATACCGCAACAACGGGGCGCCCTGTGGGCTGTGCTGGGTGTATCGAGTATAGGGTGTAACTATAGTACTAGTACGGACAGTCCATGTTTGTGATGATAAGCGCGATTTGAGTAAAGTTTCGGCCTACAATACTTAGGTCAAGATTACATGAATTTTGCGATGAACATTTATAATAAATATTTAAATATATGAGTGTCTTCATCGCTGCGGGCGAGCCAATTTGGTGAGGTACTAGTTAAACTTCTTATCTTAGAGTCTTTGAGGCACGAAGTCTGCAGCGAGGCCTTGAGGCCTGCCACGAGGTAGGTACTAAGTCTAGATAACTGTTATCCATCGATATGATCCAACTTCATATAGTCACTCATCTACAAAGTTGACACCCTCCGATCTCGACGTCAAGGGCCAACTTCAAGTACTTCTTGGACCGGTGACCCGCTTTGGCCACACTGTGTTTGATCGATATACGATTACATGTCCCATCACAATACCAACATTCACAATCACGCACAAGCCTCATGGCCGCCCACCCTCATTTCTGTCGAAAGATGAAAAGAAGTCTCCATTATAGTCGTGCCTCAGGGCCATACAGCTGCCTCGTGGTCTTCGTGCCGAAGACGGCTTAGTTATCAATATTTTAGGTATGCATACTTATAAGAATGAAATTACACTATGTATTGACCTTAGCACTCGTCAGTTGTCACTGACCTTGAATGCGGCTGCTAAGCTGAAAACTTACTTCATGGACAGCTCCGTTGTAAGCGATCTTGAAGTTGCGCTTATTGCATATCGATGATGACTGATTACAGGAGAATAATGGTGTCCTTGCATTCAACACAATTCCTGCGACAGCCGTCCAAAAAGTAAACCGGATTGCTTATAGTTCGGGAGAGCTTGGCGATGTCTCGAAATATTCAAAGTCTACTCATGTAAGTTGACAATCAGGTAGTTCGATTCCAAATTATCTATCACTACCAAGGTCGCGGTCAAAGTCATCAATTTGAAGATCCCTGGACCTGCGAATGGAAAACTAGTACAAAGTTTTGTGCGGGTTAGGGCATTATCAAAGTATTTTACTATTGCGTTCGCTCATAGACTCTCACTAGAGGATTCGTCGCAAGCTCAACGTTTGGATTCAATTGTCACATGACAACATTCTTCCTCTTGAGGATGTTACCGAGAGATTTGGGCCACTTCCCGCGTTAGTCACTCCGTGGATGGAAAATGGATCATTAAACGACTATTTGAGACGGGAAGTCAACATTTCGAGGGAGAAGAAGTTGACAATGGTATGTGTTTTCCATCTGTGGTGACAAGTTGAGTCCTGACTTGATACGTCAGGTTAGAGAAGTGGCAGCTGGTCTTCAGTATTGTGAGTGGGCAATCGGCTGTTGCATTTTGGTTGATTGATCTCCTGTAGTACACGATAAGGATATTGTCCACGGTAACCTAACTGGTGTAAGTTTTGTTCGTTACCATGTTTCGCGCAGAGATAATGGTCCAACAATCCAGACCAATGTCCTGGTCGGTAGTGATGGGACGCTCTATCTTGGGGACTTTTGGCTCTCGATGATCTCTACAGAATCAGAAAACGTTATATTTGGATGCTGTAACGGGGAGAGTATCCGTTGGATGCCACCGAGAACAACCATGCCTCTCGATGTAAGCGAAGTAATGGAGGATATGCCGACCAAGGCCCGTGATATTTATTCTTATGGCTGTATCCTGATGCAGGTGTGTCACGTGTTCCCGTTCGATGTCATGTTACTGACATCATGTAGGTGTTTTCAGGACATCAGCCGTATCATGATATCAAGGCTGCTGCCCTTATACAAGCCATATTAACAGGAACCAAACCATTTTCACAGTTGACTGATTTCCACAAAATACAGCAGTACGCGCAACGATGCCTGTCAACAAACAGCGAAGACCGTCCGGTGATTGCCCATATCGTGGAGTTTTTGTGGGAACAGACAAACATCGCGGAGACCATGGAGACGATGTTGCCGAAAACGGTGACTAAAATACCAAAAGCAGATCTCGTGAAGTGTGACCGCCATGCCGATGATGTGGACGTCCTCGGTGCGGCTTTGAAATGCAAGTGGGTGCATAAGATAGAGGTTGGTGTATTTGTACGAACCCACGGAATTGCGCGTAATACGTCAACAGGTCACAGTCAAGACTTTGATGGACGATATTCACAATCAGAATGATTTGAACAAGATGTGCAATGTGAGTGAACACGCAGTTATATAGAAAATGTTATTACTAATCATGTATTGCTTGGCAGAGGATTCGTCGTGAACTATCCGTCAGGGAAAAGTTGAAGCGCGATACCATCCTCGCCCTCTATGGAATGACGACTGGTTTCGGGGTTCTCCCCTCCTTTGTATATCCATGGATGGCAGGCGGTTCGTTGCACGACTACCTGAAACGAGAGAACTCCGATTTAACTGCGCGTCGAAAGCTCGATATAGTACGTTGATGTTCTGTATCATTGTCAATTCCTTCACCTCTGACCGCGAAAGGGCAGCTGGTTCAGATCGCGGATGGCATAAAGCATCGTCAGTATCTCCCGTGACTGTTCATGCAGAAAGGTCACGCGCACTTTTAGTTCATATGCAAGACATTGCGCATGGCAATCTAACGGGTGTATGTTTCGGTTACTTAAGTTACGTACCAAAGATTCTTACCGCATCCGTAGGACGTCATTTTCCTTGACGTTTCAGGCCGTGTACGCATTGCAGAATTCAGTCACTCGGTGATCCTGGCTGAAGCTAATAGTCGAATATTCAGCGAGCAGCTCCTAGGAGACGCGAGATACATTTCACCCGAGCGTATTGTTAGCGGTGGCCAGACGGGAGCACGGAAGCCAACGAAACCCGGAGATGTGTACTCGTATGGCTGCATTGCGATTCTGGTGCGTTACACAGTACATCAATCCTGGACGCGTTTTACACCAGGGTGCTCTAGGTATTGTTGGGCAAGGTGCCGTACTGGTGGATCCAGGAAGAGAGTCAAGTGCTTTTCGAAAAAGTCCGGGGCACAAAGCCTTTACTTTCGAACGTGGAGGTATGATACCTGCGAAGTTTTTCTCTGTGCAGTCCTCACAGGCATTTGACGCAAAGGTCGATGAAGTGCTGCCGAACTTGGTACAACAGTGCTTATTGGTGGCTGAAAGATCCCGTCCTTCCATCGAGAAGGTTATTTACTTGGTGTTAGTCCAAAGTTTCAGGTGAGTTATCTTTGTTGCATGCCACTGCTGGGCTCATCGTCTCCAGCGCTGTGGATCTGACGGACTCGATCCAACGACTCGACAAGGATCACTGCTATTCAGGAGGATTTGCTTATGTTCGCAAGTGCGAGATCCATTTAACGAAAATCGACGCGAGCGTCCAAGAAAAGGTTTCTCGCTACTACCAGCACCCTACTGTAACAGAATGCGTCGACGTGGGTGCCTCGTTGATGTTCTTCTGCGTCCTTCACAGCAATTTAGGTCGCAGTCAAGGAAATAAACTTGGCCAATGATCCAGACATCCTGAAGATCATCAATGTCAGTAGCCATGCATGCTGCCTCCATTCAACTGACTTGGGGTCCGCTAGCGATTGTTCCGAGAAATCAAGCTATGGTTGAAACTTGAGCACGAAAATATCGTCCCTCTCTGGGGTGTTACAGATGGATTTGGTTCCCTTCCGGCACTTATATCGCCATGGTTAGAAAACGGCTCTCTGACCGAATACCTTCAGTACAAGCATGAAATACTTTTTGATGACGGAAAGTTTGCCCTGGTTCGCCCAGATAGTCATCTCGCCACATCCGCCAAGCTGACGTCTCTTTAGCTTAGGGATGTAGCTCGTGGACTTCAATATCGTACGTCCATTGACGTTGGTGTGAGATGAGGGTCAACTAACACCAAGACTTCGGACAGTCCATTCGCAGTCAATCGTCCATGGAGACCTGAGTGGTGTACGTACGCTTCAATGAAATTTGAGGACGTCTATCTGAAGCTTCTTTAGAATAATGTCATCATTGACAAGAATGGAAAGGCATGCCTTACCGATTTCGGTCTCTCTGCCCTCCTTCCTGGAAGAATGAGTCAGGCATTGTTGCCTTTTTTTTTTTTTTTTTTTTTTTTTAAATCCAATTTATGTCTATGTGGGGTACAATACCCTATGTAAGACAATTCTAACTAGGAAAAATGGGGGACTTCCTAGTCCCCCGCCACGTCTCCGACTTCGCAAATGCCCTGAGGGAGGGGTGACCTCCCCCAGTCCGCCGTTCCCGCCGGCCGTTTTAGATGCGCAAGTCTTCTAATCCGCGGGACCTTTGCTGTACAGTTCGTGGTGGGTGGGTCCCTAACGTTGGCTGTGGATGATACAAGTACTCGGGTGTGACACCGTGTACGATGGGGATGATGGAGCGCGGAGCGTAAAGTAAAGTGTTTGGGTGCGGATAGCCTCGTTTCGCCGGCGCCTCCAGGTTGGTCTGTGTGGGAGGGCGTGTGTTTGGGCGGCGAGCAAGCAAGGTATTCTGTCCCTCCTCCTTCTTTCTGCGAATGTCCTTCCCTCTAACTTCTCCTTGTTCAACGCTTCTCGTGTTCTCCAGTTGGACCGCTGGTAGTCCTAATCCCGTCGTCGTCGAGTAGTGGGTTAAGGTCTGGTGTCCTGCACCCAGAGGTTTCCTTAACCGTTATGGGTCTGCTTGGGTTCTTACTATGGTATGCTAAAGAGGTAGTCATCGTCTGTCTTCATTTAGTCTTAGGAGAAACATCACCGAATATTGACCGTAGGCGGCCCGTGCTGTTAACATATCGAATGATTGAGGCACTTGCTTTGGGGTTGGATAACAGGAACGACATGGAAGAAGCGCGTCGACGGTGAGTTGTGGTGAGAATGTGTCGCGCTCTCGCATACTGGGGGCATATAAGTAGGAAGTGCAGTACTGTTTCCGCGGTGTTTTCGCAGTGCGGACAGTTGGGAGAGGGACTTTTGCCGATGCGATGAAGATGCTGGTTGAGAGAGATGTGCTTGGTGCGGAGCCAGATAAGCATGCTGATATGTCGTTTCGGGAGGTGTTGGGCTAAGGAGATGAATGATCCTTTGAGTATATCAGGGTCTAGATTATCAGTATGATGGTATCGGGGTGACTTTCGCCAAAATCTGGTCCAACGCTCGAACGATTCGCGCTTCTGTGCTTGTTTCAGCGCGGATATACTGCTTGGGAGCACTCCTTTACGAAGATAAGGAGGAAGGTGCCTTCTGGGACTGGATTCCGTTCGTGATTTGGCTGCTTGTTTTGCCTCCCTGTCTGCTAATTCATTCCCCATAACTCCATCGTGTCCCGATATCCATCTAACCGTAACTTCGAAGTGGCGGTCGCGGCTGGTTTTCTTCAGTTTCGTTATCATGCTGCGAAAGTGGTCTATCAAATAATGACCTGATTTGGTCGAAAGGACTTCACCGGATTTGATCGTGGCTTGGTTGTCCACGAAGATGGATACAGGGTAGGTGACATCATCTTCCATAGAGAGTAGTTGCGCTGCTAACGTTAGTCCAACTGCCTCGGCTTCGTATACAGTGTGGTCATCTGTAGAGCCCAGGTGGTAGCGCAGAGTCTTCGGTTGAGGTTGGCCGTTACGAATGAGCACCGCTGCTGCTCCCACTTGTCCATCTATGCCCGAACCATCGCTGTAAATCTTGATCTCGTCGGCGTTATTGTTATGTTCCTGAATGGCCAGTTCTCTGGTGTTAGCTATAGAGGTCTGATATGGAGTTCGGGAACTGGGGGGACGTTTATTATGCGTGATGGTCTCGATGGAACCCAGGTCGAGCTTGGTAGCGTGGTATAGGTGGTGGAGGGATGATCTGTGACGTCTGACAAGTCTGTTAGCAGCTCGTCTCACCGGTATGTACAATGGATGGGTGGTGGGGTGCGCCGCCAGGCGAATAGCTGCTTGGTAGCATAGGTTTTGGAGCCGGTGCTGAAGAGGGATCAGCTTCGCATGTACTTCCAGGGTATCCGTTGCCGTGGTGTGCATTGCCCCGGTGATACTTAGAGCCGCGATACGTTGGACTCTTGACAGACGCCTGACCACGCCTATCGAACCTCGTTGAGGGGTGTCGCCGTCCCCTATGAACAAGGGACGGAACCAGAGATCTACTGCATATAACATCTTAGGTAGGGCTACAGCAAGGTATAATTGGCGCATTAGTGAGAGTGGCATTCCCAGGGAAGTAGAAGAAAGACGGCGCAGCTGAAAGACATATGCGGTACCCTTCGCTAGAGCATATGCGATATGGGCTCCCCAGCGTAGTGTTTGGTCCAGTATGACTCCCAAGAATCGGTGCGTTGCTGTTGGGGTGATCATGGTGTTCCTGGTTATGAGAGGAGGGCGTTCTTTGGCGGAGTTCACCGAAAAGTCCATTAATGCGAATTTTGAGGTTTCAAACTTAGAATTGTGGGCTCTCGCCCAGTCGTATCCACCCTCTGGTCTTTCTAACATGTCCTTGAGGATGCCGTGAGTCTCGTGAAAAGATTTCCCTATGGCGATAAACGCAGTATCGTCGACGAAGGCTAACGTTCTCTCCTTTTTGCCGTTTCCGACAGCGATGTCGACGAGGTCCGAGTCGTAAATGACATATAAGATCATGGAGAGCGGGTCCCCCTGACCTATTCCATTGCGGATTGGGATCCATTCGGATAAGTGCCCATCAAACTTGAGCTGAGTGCGACGATCTGTTAACAAACGTTCAGTGAATCCTACCAGAGATTCTGGTAGGCGTCTCTGCCTCATGTTGTGCAGGAGGCGGTCAGTTACGGCGTTCGGGAATGCGCCCTCTATATCCAGGAATAACGCTGAAACAACTTTACCTTGCCTCCAGGCATCTTTGACGGTTGCCTCAAGTAGATGTAAGGAGTCTGTGGTGGATCTTCCAGGACGGCCGCCAAAATGGGTATCGGGGAGTAGATTGTGGTGCTCGAGGAGGTAGGTCATTTGGTCCGCGACCACGGCCGTAAGTAGCTTACACATCGTGTTGAGGAGCGCGATAGGTCTGTAGGCCTTCGTGACGGTATAATCCGGCTTTCCAGGTTTGCGTAAGACGACGGTTGTGAAGTCTTTCCATGGGGGGTGATATGTCTGGAGCGTGAATACAGCTGTAAATAGATGAAGTAGGTACTGGTTGAGCAGGGCTGCGCATCGAATGAAGACTATGTTGCATATGCCGTCGGGGCCAGGTGCCTTGTAAGGACTGAGTTTGGCGATACTTCTCAATAGTTGAGTTCCGTTGATAGGTGCCGGCGTGTGGACTGGTTCGGGGTAGATGACCTCTGCTGGGACGGATGAGACAGCTGGTGGGGGCGGAAAGAATGTGTTTGCTAGGGTCGCACTTTTCTCCTCGTTAGTGTCTGCAAAGGAGCCGTCAGGCCGCCGTAACGTTGGAATTCTAGAAGGGCCGCCGTCGCCCGCTGCTGCTGTGAGGTAGTTGTTAGCAATCCAAATATCGTTACCTTCGATCTCTTCGAGCCAACTAATCCAATGTTCTTTTTTAGTCTGCTTGATGGCTTCCGAGTACTGATTACGTTTGATGCGGTATTCCTCGTGGCTGGGGTGGTTAGTATTATCTCGCAGTCGATATGAGCAGTGACATAGTTTTGCTACTTCGCGTCGTAGAATGGTGAGGTCTCTTGTCCACCATCGTTTGGAGTGGGGGTTAGGCTTCGATTTAGGGACGGTTTGCGCTATTGTACGTTGAATCGCAGTGGTCAGAGCCCGCGCTGCATTCTGGAATTCCTCGTCAGTGACAAGTGGCTGAGCAGGAGGAAGCGTATCCAGTTCTAAGGCTAGACGTTCGTTGAACATCTCCCAGTCCGTTTCCCTAAAGTTGTGCTTCTCCTCCACTGTGGCTCTCGGGACGTCGAATTCTAAGATACTAAGTATGGGGAGATGGTCAGTAGCGGGTCCGCGCAATGCTGGGTTGGTTGAGCAGCTCAGGAAGGAGTCGCTAGTGTGGTCCGTGCAAAAGACATTGTCGGGGCGTGTCCAGTTTTTCGAACTTGATGACTGTAGCGTCGGCATGCCCTTTGGTAGGGCTAATATCATACCATAGTCCGCCAGAAGGTCTAAAAGAGGCTGAGCTGCGTTAAGATAATGGTTAGTGAATAATTGGGTGTTGCGGTCCTCGTCCCATAGGGGGTGATGTCTGTTGAAATCACCGAGCCAGATCATGTGATCATCGGCAGATGGGCGTAAGTTCACTAATTCTCGTTCTAGGAAGGAGGCGAGTGCCTCCTGGGTGTTCGTTAGTAAACAATCGTTATAGATATTAAATATTGTGCATCGGCCGAATGGGCCCCGAAATTGGATTACCACAACGTCCGGCGAGGGGAATGCGAGTTGCTGCCACGAGTTGGTTTCTAGAGATTTGGAAACGAGTGTGACCGCTCGTGACTTAAGATTAGGCGCTGAGAATCTGGTGGTAGGGTATACTGCGTGGAAGAAAGGGGACGATATGGTATTCTTCATTGAATTGATGTGAGGTTCCTGGAGGGCGACGATGTCCCATTCTCGGGCGATGGGACTATTGAGGAGTGAATGTTGCGCCACTAGTGATGTATTTAGATTTTGTTGCCATACGCGTAGTCTAGTCGATGTTTCGGAGTGGTGTTCAGACATTGGGTGGGGTCGAGGGCCGTGGGGTCGCGTAAACGGAGGAGGATGTGAGAGGGGAGTCTAATATGGAGGGGGTTGAAGAGTGTTGGGCTACCGGAGTGCGTCGTCCATGGTCCCAAGCTTTGTTAGCGTTGGCATCAATGGGGATGGAGTTGGGTCCTGTGGGTGTGGGGGCCCTGAAGCCCCTTTGGCCTATGTGACGCGGTGCTCCTCGTGTAGAATGTCCTCTAGTAGGACGGCGTGACTCGAATGGAAGATTTGTCTGACGAAGGGGTGGTGGGTGATGTGGGTTGGTGGGTGGCGGAGTGAAGGTCGAAGTAACTTTCTGAGGTGGAGCTGGTTGTGAAGGTAATAGTACTTGGGTCCAGGGGTCGTCGGTTGGGAAGAACGGCATGGAGTTTTCTGGATGTTTGGCGTCTATACCTGCGCACCTGGACTCGAATTCAGGACAGTTCCGGTTCCAGCTGGCATGGTTGTCCGAGTTGCAGCTAACACAGTAGAAGGTGCGGTAGGCATTGCAGTCATTAGTGCGATGGTTCTTTCCGCAAGTGCCACAGGTGTCTTGCGGGGCCTGGCAGTCTCTTGCGATGTGTCCCCAGAGCTGGCATCGGACGCAACGTACTGGTTCGCGTTTATCCTTTCGTGGGTGTAGCTTTTCTTGACCGATGTAGATGCCGTCGCGAAGCGCTTTATTAGCTGGATGGGGATCTGTGAAATGGAAGATTGCGTGAGCAACCCGTTGATCCGGCGCTCTGCGTTGGCTTGGCTTGATCCAATTAGTCGATTCTATAGCGCCCGGAAGCATTTCATTTTCCTCTTCTACCGTGCGTAGCCAATTGGGATCTTCGATTCTGGAAATAATAGGTAAGAAGGGAACAATGATGGAAAAACGCCTATCTTTGATGATGACGGTGTTGTCTAGAGCAGTTAGTAATGCTAAGGCGGTTTTCAGGGCGTCTAATCCATTTGGCAGCTGCAATAGAAGTTAGTTCAACTATTATTCCCCCGCTTCTGAGACGGGTGGTTGCTTTAATGTTGATTTCCGGTGTGTCATCTGATTGGGATGCTGAGAACGCTTGTTTTAGTTTACTCGCTATGATGGACGAGGTCGCTTCGGGGGCGAAGAGTGTCTGGCCCGGAACAGGGTCTATTAAGATCTGGCGATCTCGTGTAGCCGCGCGTGCCACCGCTGCCGATACAGGTGCCGGGGTCTGAGTGTGTTGTTGAACTATTTCGCTGTATGATTTTGAGGTTCCTGGTTTTGTCGTGCTAAGGGGAGCGTTTAGAGATTCCACAACGTTCTTGACATCAGCAATACTATTCAGGACCGCGTCGGCCGCCTTTTCAGCTCTAGTAGCTGCTGCAGATGCAGTTCCGTTGTCTTCCTTTGAATTTTCTGTTATAATGTCCTTCAATTTCGCGATTTCGTCAACGTTTGTTTTGAGGGTTTCTGAGGCGGTGAGAATGGAGGCTACATGTGGAGAGATGGCCGCAATAACATGGGCGGATAGTGAAGATGATAGGTCTGCGGCCACTTGAGTCGAGAGCGAGGCTGAGATAGACTCCGTGATTTGCTGAATGTTGGGGGTTGCCGCATTGGCGTTACTGTTAAGATTGTCTTCCAGTAGTAGGACTGTGGCGCGAAGGCCTTCGACTACGATCCGGGGGATTCCTGTGTATTGGGTGATATACAGAATCGTGAGTAACAGACTTTCGTTAGAAATGGGGGTGCCCGGTTGACGGAATGGAGACTTCTCTAGGAAGGCAATACTGCTTTCCTTGTCTTTAACATCGTATTCTTGCTGTATAATTTCATCTCTTGGCAACAGTAGGGAGATAGTGTTGCGGTAGGATGTTCTGGTTCTATTGGTGGGAGTGGGGACGCGGATGTTTGAATTGCCGGGTCCCACAGACGTTGAACGCGTCTTCCCCGTTGCCATTTGTGCTATATTCGTCAGTATGGACTACTGTACTTAGCCTGGCAAGTTTTTGGGTGGTAGGTCGAGAGTCTTTTGGCGTTGGGAACGCCTTGAACGCCGGTGAGCGCAGTGCTGGGTGCCGAGATTTTTCGGGGTCCTAGCTGGGGTGCCACTTGGTGTGTGACCAAGAGGCGATGCATTGTTGCCTAGCACTCCTACATGTACCGCGCAGTACATGGCGCCAGAATACTTGATATTTGACGATGAACATAACCTGACACCGGTCTTCACCTCGAAGAGCGACGTGTACTCCTTCGGAGGGATCATGCTGCAGGCATGTTGCATATATTAATCGCACTAAATCAGCTCACGTTCTTGCAGGTTTTGGAGGGCAAGGTCCCATACCACTACATCGCCAGATACGAAACCATAATTTACCACGTATTAAAAGGAATGAGACCCAGAAAGCCGCCTGCATCTGTGGTCATTGACACTGACTGGGATTTCATTCAGAGGTGTTGGTTAGAAGATGCGGAGTGTCGGCCCTCTGATGAAGATATCCTAGGATTTGTGGGGGCTAGAATTCGGTGATAGTAGATGAAGGATCCTTTATACTTGTCCGTCATTTATAGATAGGAGATCTCGAGTGCGTCACTCGAAGTACCGATAATATTGTAAAGCCGACAATACTGTAGATAGTAACTTCCACTGAAATAGCATGCAGTTAATTTTTCCGGAGCGCCGATTCTGAATTTCAGTGTGAACCAAAATGCAGAGTTCTTAGTCCATCAAACTAGCACTAGGCATCCCGGCATTAGGTACATACATCATATATACTGAGTCCCTCTATCCAGACTGGGACTATACATTGTCTTTAGCGCACAGCTCCTTCTTTGACCTCAATAAATAATCTGATGCAGGAGAAATTTACTCAAGAATTGGGAACGGGGGGGCGATAAGGTCAACGACCTATAGCTAGTCGGTGGGTGTCTATTTCTAGCACATCGCAACCCAAGTCTTTATCGATGTGGTATTCCGTTCGGCTGCTAAAACTTACTACCGATATCGTTATCCGGAAATTGGTGGGTCTCTGAAAGGCGAACACAAGTGGGGGTTAAATCGCGAGAGTACCTGGTGCAAATACCAGCGAGGAATACAAGAGATGATAGTGTATCGTGTATTCCGGAGAGTAACGGCGGATGGAGAGGACGAGACAACGGTGGACATGCAACTCGCGATAGACCTTTGAACAACCAGCAAGTCTAAAAAAATTAAGTTCAGTCGACGATCAGTTTCAATAGCGATCCTCGACCAAAGTGTTCAGAGATTGAACGGGAATAGATTGAAGAAGGTACACGTCGAACATACAGGTTGTCGCAGGACTTCAACGGATAGTCACTGTCGGTGGCATAAAGGGAAAAAGTATTGCATAATCATTGGTCTGCATTCTCTATAGGAAGTTAGCATACCGATCAAAGTAGAACTATAGAAGTGACCGGTATTTTGATATATAAATATGTAACAGCCCACATGGAAGACATACTACGCCATTTATCACAACGAGAGAGCTGAGTGACAAAAAAGTTGAGCACTGTAGCATGGGTAGCATCATTGAAAAGACTCACTCAAGGCCCAAGAACGTAAGTTGGTCTGCGTAATTTCAGCACTAGCGTCCATCGCGAAACGGTACGATTCGAAAGCTTCTCCAAGCCTGCCAGCCCTAAGGAGCGCACGTATCAGTCTCTTGTTGGAGGTTGGCCACAATGCTGCGATGTCCCATCCGAAGAGCTGCAAAAAAGCACAGTTGATGATCAGTGAGTTTTTCGGTGACGTCATATTCAACGCACCACAGTGAAGGCCTCCAAGGCAGTAGGAACGAGGGATTTAGCCAAGACAGCGCTAGCATCGACAGCGGCACTGAAGTGCTCAACCGCCTCATTATGACGCGCGCCGTTGAAGGCAATGATTCCTAGTTGGAGTCGCAGACTCGCCTGATGCACGAAGCGCAGACCCACCAGTCAGCAGACGAGCATAAGCGTGATTGCGAACAGGAGACTCACCACTACTATACCACAAGCGATGGGATCGGCAGAAGGGTCAGCAGCCAGCTGGTCCACACGCAGCATTGCCTCTTCATGTCTATTAGCATTGAAGAGCGCAATAGCCTGAAACACGGTGAGGCGCGGAGTACGCAAGATGAGCAAATCAACGTGCCTTGATCAAGTAAAGGAAAATAGTGACATCCGTATTTCCCTGTGTAAACGTGAATGCCAAGTCAAAGGCTGTCCTCGCGTCATCGAGGCGCTGCTTTCCACAGAGAGCGATACCTTTGGCGATATAGCCAGCGAACGATGTCCTTATGACAAGGGACTACGAGAACATCGAAGTCAGCAGGTTTTGAGTTAGGGCATGATGGGTCATTGTTACCTTGGTCGCATCATGAAGCGCATTGTCCCAGTCGAGTTTGCGTGCCAGAATGAAAGAGCGATTGGCATAGGAGGCGAAGTTCTTGGCGTCGGTGGCAATCTCCAGAGTAAGAATCCTTTCAGCGGTAGACAAATCCCCTCTGATTGATGCACTACGGGTGGTGTTGGTGATAGCAAGGAGCTCAGCCGTGGCGATCCCTAGTGTCTGCCGCGTGAAAAAGTTTGAGTGACACCGTACAAGTAAAGAATGAAATCATACCTTTGAAACAACCCGCTGCACCTTTGTCTCAGACTTGGCAGCATATTGTTCTGCCTTGGACAGGTGTTGCTCGGCCTTGAAGGCAGACTGCTCGAACTCGGTGATAGGCTGCTCGACCTCCAGAACAGACTGCGAGTGGACAGTCGTCAAAGACGATTGCTGAGACCTGGAATCGGAGCTTGCAGTCGTCAAAACTGACTGCTGAATCATGGAATCGGAGCTTCCGGTCGTCAAAACAGGCTGCAGAGACTTGGAATAGAGGCTTCCGGTCACTGGATTAGATACTACGAGTGTCTGCGTGCAAAAAAGGTTTGAATGGCGCCATACAAGTAAAGGATGGAATCATACCTGCCCGCCATTTAGAACAGATTGATCAGACTTTGTAACAGATGTTGCTGCCCCGGACAGAGATTGCTGGGAGTTGGAAAGAGACTGTTCGACATGAGAAATTTGGGATTGTTCCGTGTGGACAGATTCAAATGACCGCTCATTCACAATAGACTGCGGGACCTTGGTAATGGTCTGCTCGACTGTGATGATAGGCTGTTCAGCCTTCAAAACAGACTGCGAGTGGAGAGTGGTCAAAGACGATTGCTGAGAATTGGAATTGGAGCTTGGAGTCGTCAAAACCGACTGCTGAAACTTGGAATCAGAGCTTCCAATTGTCAAAACAGGCTCCAGGGACTTGGAATCGGAGCTTGTGGTCGTCAAAACAGACTGCTGAAGCTTGGAATCGGAGCTTCCAGATATCAAAACTGACTGCAGGGACTTGGAATCGGTGCCTGTGGTCGTCAAAACTGAGCGCAGAGACTTGGAATCGGAGCTTGCAGTAGTCAAAACAGGCTGCAGAGTGGAATGGGGACTTGCAGTCACTGACTCGGCGACTACGAGTGTCTGCGTGAAAAAGCTTTGAATGACCGCGACGCCATACAAGTAAAGGATGGAATCATACCTGCCCGGCATTGAAAACAGACTGATCCGACTTGATGACAGGTGTTGCTGCCCTGGACAGAGACTGTTCGCCATGGGAAATCTGAGATTGTTCAGTGTGGACGGATGTTGCTGCCCCGGACAGAGATTGCTGGGAGTTGAAAAGAGACTGTTCAGCATGAGAGATTTGAGATTGTTCCGCGTGGACAGATTCAGATGACTGCCCATTCGCAACAGACTGCTGAACCTTGGTAATCGTCTGCTCGACTGTGGTGATAGGCTGTGGAACATCCGAAACTGACTGCAGCTGGACAGTCGTCAAAGACGACTGTTGCAGGTGAGAGCTGGAAACGGGGGTTCCTACAGTAACAGTGGACTCTTGAACCTTGTATTCAGTGACTGGAACCTTTTTGATCAAAAGAAGCAAATGAGATCACGGAGGTTCACTTAATGAGGAAGAAATTACCGTTGTCACAACTTCCTTCAAGTAAAAGTCGGGAGTGTCTAGTACTGGCAAAGTGCCCGCGGGTGCAGTCCATACTGAGACTTTCTTATCATAACCTCCACTAAGGATGTGTGCGCCATACGCGGAGAAGGCTGCGCAAATAACAGAAGAAGTGTGCTGGAAAATGGCAATGGTTTGTTTATCGGAGAGTTGCCAAAGACGAACAGAGTTGTCGCTAGAGGCAGAAACTGCGTGCGTGCCAGCAGAATGAACGGCGATGGAGTTGATTTTGTACGTGTGGCCCGTCCATGGTTCACCGACCTGCGTCCAGCTTGATGTTTCCCACTCCCTAATGCTGGGATCATGGTCATCTCCTCCAGAAAGAAGGCGTTTGGCATCAGGAGACCAGGCGAGTGACAAAGTACCGTGACTGTGACCCTTCAACGTCTTTTGGAGTTTGCCGTCGGTGTAAATTTGGATATCTTGATCTGTTGCCACTGCAAGCGCATGTACGCTGGACCGCGCATACCGAACGCAGCGGACAGTATCACCACAGGCGTAAAATCCGGCTTGCTCCCAGGTTCTGGTGTTCCAAAACTTGATCGTCTGGTCGTTGCGTGCCGCTGACGCGGTAACGACGAATGCATTGTCGGGTGAAAAGTCCAAGGAGCGGACTCCACTGCCGTGGGCTTTGGGAACTCTGGTGAGAGACTCCCCAGTTTTTGCCTGCCAGGCGATGAGCTCGCCGTTCTCGTCACCAGTCGCTATCAATTCCCCGTCTCGCGATACCGCCAATCCCATCACGTCACCGGTGTGCCCCCCCAACTGCTTCAATACTTTACCTGTCTTCAAGTCCCAGAGACGGACCATCCTGTCCTCAGAGGAGGTCACCATTAGTTCGCTATTTGGAATATCTGCGGCTGCGTAGATGGTCTGTGTGCGATCTTCGAACACCCAAGTAGGGTTGATGATAGGAGTGAGATGTGCCATTTTACTAGAGGTTGTTGGTGTTGAAAACTGGTGAGTGAACTCGATAGAATGATTCTGGATGTAGCTGAAGTGGTGTGCACACTGTACGTTTCACTGTAGGTTTTATACTACTTCACCAAACGCTGAACACATACATATTCTTACAGGTATGTACCTTGCTCGCCACATTTCAGGTACTTAGGAACATAACACCGCATGCTTTTCATAATAACGCTCTAGACAATCATCCGCCCGGTGACATGTGAACTCCGGCTCCCTGCATTTTTTTTCGGGAGATTCGAGATCTGCACTGCAGGTATGTACGCTATGTGCAGATTTCTATGGGATCGACTGTTTTAACTCTGTTATCATTGTTGGGCCTTTTCGAGGTCGGTCACGGGTAAACTGCGACTCCATCATGATGGCAGCATTTGCATATGGCTTGGTGCTAGAGCTCCAGTAATCATGCTGTGAGAAAGCAAATCTAACACGACTCGGAGCACTTCTCGATCCGAGTTCCCTGACCGCTAATTACAACAAGACTACAACTGCGAGTACCTCGCCTTAACATAAAATTTACGGTCAGACTCTTGACTGCATCATCTTCGTACACCATTCCTCCTGATTCAGACGTATAGTATGCGTGTGTTCCAAATAAGCACGACAATGGCAACTAGCTCACGATGCAATATAACAAACACTCCCTCGAGCGAAGACTCGGAACAAATTGAAATAAAAATGCCTTCCCCTGAACCTGCAAGGCCGCCACGGTGCTCTTTCCGCATTTTCCCCACGAATCGGGGCAACTGCAGAACGCCCGCTTTCCCGCACTGATCGCAGATGCCCCTTCATCGATGCAATGCTTATTGTCTCCTCACTGGCTCCACTGAACGTTTGATTGGGTAAGCGTTTGACAACTGTGATCTGCGGCAATGCGATGACAAATGAATTGTCGAGTTCACGCCAGAATCCAGACTTTTAGCTTTACATCGGCCCAGACCAGTAAAATAGGACGCACTAATCCCATTTTTATGTTTCATGTCCGTTGGGAATGAAGTCGCGCCTTCTACCAGGGCAAGATGAAGAACGGTGTTACCCTGAAATGTTTCCGCGCGGTCATAGCAGACTATTTGCGCAACCCCAAGTTATGAAATTTTCTCGGAGCTCTAATGGTTTTCTCATGGATGTTGGATATAGGATAGTTGTGGGGCTTCTTTTCGAATCTCGTATGTACGCTTGCAAATTTGCGAGTGTTCTAACTCTGTTATCGTTGATGGGCCTTTTCGAAGTCAGTCATGGGTAACTGTAAAATGCAATTCCGAGTCAGGATCCGGGCTTTGAATTAGCGACTGCCGCTTGCCATCCAGGTCCGTTGTTTGATTTTTCTTCTTGCTCGCTGAGTTTGCTGATCCGATGGATTCTCTCATCAGTGTTCGTGTGCATTAGCGCACTGCCTTGCGGATATCCTCCAATGTTGCATCACAGCTCATTGTGATTTTGTTGAACCACAATGCCACCTTGACGTGCTGACATATGGACATTTTACCCGTTTCGTGTCTACTGATGTCAGTCGTATGGTACACATTTTTACCAAGTTCCCAGCATCTCGTCAACCTCGAGACCGATCACCGCATAATCTCCATGACATTCTGGAGGATGATCGTAACTGAAGTACTGACCTTCCTCACCTGTCTTTCACCCTTTTTACATCAAAGAGCGAGGTCCTGATCCGTTGTACTCCCGGTGCAACAACCCTGCAGTTGCAAGGGGCATGCCACTCAAAACTTACCTGTATCGTACAGAGCCTCCCTTGAGCAATCGAATTACCGACTACACATTCGTGGTTGAACCGCACGCTCCGAATACAGTAATTGTGATCGTGGACGTGACATTCAGGACTCTGCTCATGTGAGCACAAGGTGCATGAACTAATTTTAGAGATCGAAATTCTGGTAGCCTTTGTCTATATGCGCAAAGGGGGACGTGCGACTCGCATCCCATTTGACTGAGCTTACGGTGCGCTGGATACCAATCTCCTGGCAATCTTCGCATCATCACGGGGATTTCGTATGTCCGACTATGGTGTAACTGGTCGATGCCTATGTAGGTTTAGATACACAGACGGCACTCATGCACAGATTTATTGATGTAGGTACTGCAAGGAATATATGTCTTTAGCATGAACCATTGTAGCGTTGTTTTCGATCCAAGCTTTATGTTCTTTCGTCGTACTATCTTAATGTCACGGAAACAAGCGCAAGTACTTACGCGTACGCCTCAACAGAAGAGCTTTAGCGCCCAGGTCTGTGACACTCAAGTTTTTGATCGGCATCACCACTTCAAAAATAGAACCACACGGCCACCGCAACGAACCTTGTGGCGGAGGGACGATCACTCTGGCTTTCAGGGGCAAACACGAGTATGGCACAAGTCTTTACCGAATTAGACTTTGACAGAAGGTAAAAACTCCTGAGATCTACGAGCTCCGAGATATATTAAAAGAAGTTCATTCATACCCTTTGCTGTGGTAAAGGCCTAGACCAGTGATCATGAGACAGGCGGCTCATCGATGCATCCGTTTGGGAACGAAAAGACAGGCATCTCAGCGGTTGCTTCCACGGTCATAGCATTCTTATCACTTACTTACAACTTGCTGGCAAATTGATAGTTATTTTCACTCGTCCGAGGTTCTTCAGTACTTCAGTTCCCTGGGTCCTAACTTTGCATGAGCAATCACAAGTTCTCGGACTTCGAAGTAAGGCAATGAGTTCAGAAGAGTAACTTTATTTACTGATTGATCGTCTTGAGTAGTCCGTTGATTCGAGGGCTTGACCTACTAGGGGCAGCATGAGATGATTTCAGATCCACCAACAAATCGAGAAGTTTGCGAAGGAGTTTGGATCTTGCTCGATATAAAAGTATTGATAGTTGAACTTCATGATGAGAACGCTCACCGGGTATTCGCCATTCTTGATTGCCTCGGAAAAGTATCGGGAATCATTGTCATGTTTGAGGTAATGTTGAATAAGAATCCGATGAGATTCAGTAGGATTCAGTAAGGTAGTCACATATAAGTGACTTGAACAGCTGACCGCTAGCAGTTTCTGTTCAGCAAATGCTCAGGCCGTATGACCACATAAACCGGAAGAGCGACAAGTTGTTCACACCTAGATACCTAAAGTTACCACCATCCGGTTCTGAACCTCGAACCGAACCACGGTTTGGTCCAGTGACGATCGGTCAGGTTCGGGAGGGTCCAGAGGTGGCCAGGTTCGTGGTTCAGAACTTCAGAGAGTAATAGATTTTGAGAACTATGCAGAGTCCAGACCCCGGATGTCGATGATCTTGTCCGATTTTCACTAGGGTCGATCGTTGGGACTTGTCTCGACAGCTCTTAGCACCGATGAGTCACTAAACGATTTATAGATCTGCCTGGCAGAACCATTTCTGCCGGTCGAACAAATCGAGAGACTCGCAGGGACGATACACTCCTGCAGGCCTGTTTTGACTGAAAACGGGGTGCTAAACGTGCCAGCAACCTCAAATATTTCTTTCAGCACCAGTACTATTGATGCAGACTGCTGGCATGGAAAGGATCTACTAGAAACAGTGCGTGGCGTAAGCAGTGATAGCGAAGGCTGCTGCCTGCCTGAAAGCCTGATGTGTCGCTTCCATTAAATGGCGCTTGTGAGTAGTTGAACGACAGAATATTGACTAGCTATGATCAAGCCGACCGGTCGAGCGCTGAGATAATATTTGAATTAGATTAACGATCTGAGAGAAGGTGCGTTGTCACATGGTTGCATCCTCTGACTGATTTAAAGCATTAAGATATCCCACGTGGCGCTTCGTGCGGCGTTAATCATATCGAGTTAAATATGATATATCGTAGGCACATTCTGTCAAAGAGTCGTACTATTTAAATTTGATATTCCGTTCGGCTGCTAATACTTACCACTGATATCGTTATCCAGAAATTAGTGGGTCTCTGAAAGGCGAGCGCCAGTGGAGGCTAAATCGCGAGAGTACCTGGCGCAAATAACTACTCAGCGAGGAATCCAAGAGATGCTAGTGTATCGTGTATTCCGGAGAGTAACGTCGGTTGGAGAGGACGAGACAACGGTAGACATACAACTCATTCCTCATGTAATCATAGACCTTTGAATGACCAGCAAGTCTAAAAGAATTTTTCAGTCGACGATCCTAGTGTACAGATGTTGAACGGGAATAGATTCAAGGTACACGTCGAACACAGATTGTTGCAGGACTTTAACGAATCATCACACTGTCGGTGGCATAAAGGGAAGAAGCATTGCAGAATCATTAGTCTGCATTCTATAATAAGTTAGTGTAGCGATAAAAGCAACAGGCATGCATAATCAAAAAAGTAGAACCACAGAAGTGACTCGTGTTTCGATACATAAATATGTAACAGTCCACGGGGAAGGCATACTATGCCCTTTATCACAACGAGAGAGCTGAGTGAAAAAGGTTGAGCACTGTAGCATGGGTGGGCATCATTGAAAAGACTCACTCAAGGCCCAAGCACGTAAGTTGGTCTTCGTAATATCAGCACTCGCGTCCACCGCGAAACGGTATGATTCGAAAGCTTCTCCGAGCCTGCCAGCCCTAAGGAGCGCACGGATCAGCCTCTTGTTGGAGGTTGGCCACAATGCCGCGATGTCCCATCCGAAGAGCTGCAAAAAGGCGTAGTTGAGGATCGGTGAGTTTTTCGGTGACGTCATATTTAACGCACCACAGTGAAAGCCTCGAAGGCAGAAGGAACGAGGGATTTAGCCAAGAAAGTGCTACCCTCGACAGCGGCACTGAAGTGCTCGACCGCCTCATCATGACGTGCACCATTGAAGGCAATGATTCCTAGTTGGAGTCGCAGACTCGCCTGATGCACGAAGTGCAGACCCATCAGTCAGCGGACGAGCACAAGCGTGATTGCGAACAGGAGACTTACCATAACGATACTACAAGCGATGGAATCGGCAGAAGCCAGCTGATCCACACGAAGCATCGCCTCTTCGTGTCTATTGGCATTGAAAAGCGCAATAGCCTGAAATATGATGAGGCGCGGAGTACGCAAGACGAACAAACAACGTGCCTTGATCAAGTAAAGGAAGACAGTAGCATCCGTGTTTCCCTGAGTAAACGTGAATCCCAAATCAAAGGCTGTCCTCGCGTCATCGAGGCGCTGCTTTCCGCAGAGCGCGATACCCTTGGCGATATAACCAGCCAATGATGTCCTTATGACAAGGGACTACGAGAACATCAAAGTCAGCAGGTTTTTAGTTAGGGCATGATGAATCGTTGTTACCTTGGCTGCATCCCGAAGCGCATTGTCCCAGTCAAGTTTGCGTGCCAGAATGAAAGAGCGGTTGGCATAGGAGGCGAAGTTCTTGGCGTCAGCAGCAATCTCTTGAGTGAGGATCCTTTCAGCAGTAGCCAAATCCCCTGCGATTGATGCAGCACGGATCGTCTTGGTGATAGCAAGAAACTCAGCCGTGGAGATGTCAAATGTTTGCTGCGTGAAAAAGCTTGAGCGACACCTTACAAGTAAAGAATGAAATCATACCTTTAAAACAACCCGCCCAACCTTTAACTGAGACTTGCTAGCATATTGTTCTGCCTTGGACAGGTATTTCTCGGCCTTGAAGGCGGACTGCTCGAACTTGGTGATAGGCTGCTCAGCCTCCAGGACAGACTGCGAGTGGACAGTCGTCAAAGACAATTGCTGAGACCTGGGATCGGAGCTTGCGGTCGTTAAAACTGACTGGTGAAGGCTGGGATCGAAACTTCGAGTCGTCAAAACAGGCTGCAGAGACTTGGAATAGAGGCTTCCGGTCACTGGATCAGATGTTATAAGTGTCTGCGTGAAAAAAGCTTTGAGTGACGCTGTACAAGTAAAGGATAGAATCATACCTGTCCGCCACTTAAAACAGACTGTTCAGGCCTTGTAACATATGTTGCTGCACCGGACAGAGGCTGATCGGCCTTGGAAATTTGATATTGTTCAACCTTTGAGACAGGTTGCCCAGCACGTAAAATAGTCTGTTCAACCGTGGTGATAGGCCGTTCGGCCTGCAAAATCGACTGGGAGTGGACAGTCGTCAAAGACGATTGCTGAGAACTAGATTCAGAGCTTGTGGTCGTCGAACCTGAGAGATTGGAGCCTGCAGTCGTCAAAACAGGCTGCACAGACGTGGAATAGGGACTTCCAGTCATTGACTCAGATACTACGAGTGTCTGCGTGAAAAAGCTTTGAGTGACGCTGTACAAGTAAGGGATGAAATCATACCTGTGCGCCACTTAGAACAGACTGTTCAGGCCTTGTAACATATGTTGCTGCACCGGACAGAGGCTGATCGGCCTTGGAAATTTGATATTGTTCAACCGTGGTGATAGGCTGTTCGGCCTGCAAAACAGACTGCGAACGGACAGTCGTCAAAGAAGATTGCTGAGAACTGGATTCAGAGCTTGCGGTCGTCGAAACTGACTGCTGAAGCCTGAGATCGGAGCCTGCAGTCGTCAAAACAGGCTGCACAGACTTGGAATAGGGACTTCCAGTCACCGACTCAGATACTACGAGTGTCTGCGTGAAAAAAAAAAACTTCGAATGATGCCATACAAGCAAAGGATGGAATCATACCTGTCCGCCACTTAGAACAGACTGTTCAGGCCTTGTAACATATGTTGCTGCACCGGACAGAGGCTGATCGGCCTTGGAAATTTGATATTGTTCGGTGATAGGCTGTTCAGCTTGCAAAACGGACTGCGAGCGGACAGTCGTCAAAGACGATTGCTGAGAACTGGATTCAGAGCTTGCAGTCGTCGAAACTGACTGCTGAAGCCTGAGATCAGAGCTTCCAGTCGTCAAACCAGGCTGCAGAGGCTGGGAATAGGGACTTCCAGTGACCGACTCAGATACTACGAGTGTCTGCGTGAAAAAAAGGCTTTTGAATGATGCCATAGAAGTAAAGGATGGAATCATACCTGCCTGCCACTTAGAACAGACTGTCCAGACCCTGTAACAGATGTTGCTGCACTGGACAGAGATCGCTGGGAATTGAAAAGAGACTGTTCGGCATGGGAAGTTTGAGATTGTTCAGTGTGGACAGATTCAGATAACTGCCCGTTCCCAAGAGACTGTTGGACCTTGGTAATCTCGACCGTGGTGAGAGGCTGTACGGCAGTTGAAAGTGGCTGCGACTGGAAAGTTGTCGAAGACAATTGCTGCAAGTGAGAGGTGGAAACGGGGCTTCCTTGAGTGACAGTGGACCCTTGAACCGCATATTCAGAGCCTGGAACCTTTTTGATCAAAAGACGTAAATGAGATGGTAAAGGTTTTACTAATCAGCGAGAAGTTACCGTTGTCACGACTTCCTTCATAGTAAAAGTCGGGAGTTTCTAGTACTGGCAAAGTACCCACGGGTGCTGTCCATACCGAGACTTTCTTATCATGACCTCCACTAAGAATGTGTGCGCCATACGCGGAGAAGGCTGCGCAAATGACAGAAGAAGTGTGCTGGAAGATGGCAACGGTTTGTTTATCGGAGAGCTGCCAGAGACGAACAGAGTTGTCGCTAGAGGCGGAAACTGCATGCGTGCCAGCAGAATGAACGGCGATGGAGTTGATTTTGTACGTGTGGCCCGTCCATGGTTCACCGACCTGCGTCCAGCTCGATGTATCCCACTCCCTTATATTGGAATCTTCGTCATCTCCTCCCGAAAGAAGGCGCTTGGCATCAGGAGACCAGGCGAGTGATCGAGTACCGCGACTGTGATTCAACGTCGTTTGGAGTTTGCTGTCGGTGTAAATTTGGATGTCTTTATCTGTTGCCACTGCAAACGTATGTACGCTGGACCGCGCATACCGAACGCAGCGGACAGTATTACCGCAGGCGAGATATCCTTCTGACTCCCAATTTTGGGTGTTCCAAACCTTGACCGTTTGGTCGTTGCGTGCCGTCGACGCGGTAACGATGAATGCACCATCGGGTGAAAAGTCCAGGGAGCGGACTGCACTGCCGTGGGCTTTGGAAACTTTGGCGAGAGACTCCCCAGTTTGTGCCTGCCAGGCGATGAGCTCGCCGTTCTCGTCACCAGTAGCTATCAATTTCCCGTCTCTCGATACCGCCAATCCCATCACATCACCGGTGTGCCCCGCCAACTGCTTCAATACCTGACCTGTCTTCAAGTCCCAAAGACGGACCTTCCTGTCCTCAGAGGAGGTCACCATCAGCTCGCTATTGGGAATATCTGCAGCTGCGTAGATCGTCTGTGTGCGATCTTCGAACACCCAAGTGGGATTGACGATAGGAATGAGCTGTGCCATTTTACTAGAGGTTGTTGGTGGTGAGTGAAATTGGTACTGGAATGATTCTGGATGTAGCTCAAGTGGTGTGTACACTGTATGTTTCACTGTAGGTTTTATACCACTTTACCGGATGCTAAACGCATACACGAAACTGATATTCTTACAGATACCTTGCTCGTTACATTCCAGGTACATAGGAACATAACACCGCATGCTTTTCTGAATAACTCTCTAGACAATCATCTGCCCGGTGACATGTGAACTCCGGCTCCCTGCATTTTTTTTCAGGAGATTCGAGATCTGCGCTGCAGGTGTGTACGCTATGTGCAGATTTCTGTGTGATCAACTGTTCTAACTCTGCTATCATTGGTGGGCCTTTTCGAGTCGAACAAGTGCGAGTACCTCGCCTTAACATAAAATTTACAGTCAGACTCTTGATTGTATCATTTTCGTACAACATTCATCCTGATTCAGACGTGTAGTATGCGTGTGTTTTAAATAAGCACGACAATGGCGACGAGCTACATATGTTGGCAACGGACTCACTATGCAATACAACAAACACTCCCTCAAGCAAACACGGAAAAAAAAAATAGAAATCCGAGTGCCATTCCCTGGACCTGCAAGGCCGCTACGGTGCCCTTTCCTTTACATAATTTCAGTCTAACAGAGGGCCTGGACCAGTAACATAAGACGCACTAATCCCGTTTTTACGTTTCATGCTCGTTCGGAATGAAGTTGCGCCTTCTACCAGGGCAAGATGAAGAATGGCGTTGCCCTGAAATGTTTCCGCATGGTCATAGCAGATGTACTACTAATTGTGCAGCCGTAAGTTATCAAATTTTCTCGGAGCTGTGTAATGGTTTTCTCATGGAGGTTGGATAGTTGCGAGGCTTCTTTTCAAATATCGTATGTACGCTTGCAAATTTGCAAGTTGTTCTAACTCTGCTATCATCGATGGGCTTTTTCGAGATCAGCCATGGGCCCGGGTCTGCAGTTCCAAGTTAGGATCAAGGCTATGAATTAGCGACTGCGGCTTGCCATCCAGGTCCGTTATTTGATTTTTTTTCTTGCTCGCTGAGTTCGCGGATTCAATGGATTCTCTCATAGTGTTCGTGTGCATTAGCGCACAGCCTTGCGGATATCCTCCAATGTTGCATCGCAGCTCATTGCGATTTTTTTAATTTGTCAATCTGATGTTGAGCCACAATGCCGCCAAGTTGACGTGCTGACGTTTTACCCCGCTCCGTGTCTACTGGTGCCAGTCGCATGCAGTACACATTTTTAACAAGTTCCCAGCATCTTGTCAACCTTACTGATTACCGCACAACCTCCACGGCAACGATCGTAACACGCTTATTGAAGATTCTTGACTCTTCATTACCATTCTTCACCTGCTTTTGCTGTGTCTTTCACCCTTTTTGCATCAAAGAGCGAGGTCCTGATCCGTTGTACTTCCGGTGCAACAACCCTGCAGTTCCAAGGGGCATGTCACTTAAAATTACCCGTGTCATACAGAACCTCCCTTGAGCAATCAAATTACCATTGATAAGCAGACTACACATTCGTGGTTGAACCGTTCACGCACCCACGTTATTGTGCCAAGAGGGCATCTCATCGTGCTCACTGTGGACGAACTTTGCTCATGTGATCACAACGTGCGTGAACTTATGTAGACTATTTTGAGAGAGATTGGAATTCTGGCAGCCTTTGTCTATATGCGCAAAGGGGGACGTGCGACTCGCATCACGTTTGACTGAGCTTACGGTGCGCTGAATACCCAATCTTCGCATCATCACGGAGGATTCGTACGCCCGACTATGGTGTAACTGGTTGATGCTATGTAGGTGACTGCAAGGAATATGACTTTAGCATGAATCATTGTGCCGTTGTCTTTAATCCAAGCCTTTTGTTCTTTCGTCGCAAGTAGTACTATTGATGAGTCACAGAAACAAGCGCGAGTCCTTACGCCTCAATAGAATAGATGTAGCGCCCAGGATTGTGACCCCCACGTTTTTGATCACCCTGTGGCGGAAGGAAAATCACTCTGGCCTTCAGGCCCAGACCCAGGGGCGAACATGAGTTTGGAAGAGTATGGCACAGGTCTTCCCCGAATTAAACTTTGACAGAAGGTAAAAACTCCAGAGATTTACAAGCGAGATATATTAAAAGAAGTTCAATCATCCGTTTACTGTGGTAAAGGCCTAGACCAATGATCATGAGACAGACGGCTCATCCGTTTGGGAATGGGAAGACAGGCATCCCAGCGGTTGCTTCCACGGTCATAGCATGGTTATCACTTACTTACAACTTGCTGGCGAATTGATACTTATTTTCACTTGTCCGAGGTTCTTCAGTTCCCTGGGTCCTGACTTTGCATGAGCAATCACAAGTTCTCGGACTTCGAAGTAAGGCAATGAGTAACTTATCCCCATCGACTGATTAATCGTCTTCAGTAGTGCATTGATTCAAGGGCTTGAACTACTAGGGGTAGTATGAGATGATTTCAAATACACCAACAAACCGAGAAGTTTGCAAAAAAGTTTGGACCTTGCTCAATATAGCAGTATTGATAGTTGAACTTCATGATGAGAACGCTCACCAGGTATTCGCCATTCTTGATTGCCTCGGAAAAGCATGTTTGGGACGTTGAGTAAGAATCCGACGGGATTCAGTGAGGTAGTCACATCTAAGTGACTTCAGCAGCTGACCGCTAACAGTTTCTGTTCAGTAAATGCTCGGATCGTATTGACCACATAGACCGAAAGAGTGACAGGTCGTTCACACCCAAGTACCTAAGATTGCCACCATCCGGTTCTGAACAGATCTGAACGTTGAACCTCGAACCGAACCACGGTTTGGTCCGGTAACGGTTCAATGGTCAGGCCTAGGTTCAGGAGGGTCCAGGGGTGGTTAATTGGTAGGTTCGTAGTTCAGAGAATAATAGATTTTTAGGTTAGTGTATCGCTGGAAAATAGTAGAGCACGCTTACCATCATTTCAAAAGTTGCTCGAAAGTACGATCACAATAACTGGAATGGATTGGTCGACTTGGAGGTGTGGTGTTGCACAATGCACTCGTTGGTTTGTTTCGAAGTCCGCCGCTTCTTGGAGTAGGCCTTCAGCATATGTTATTATAGCTAGTCAAGTACTGCTTATAATAGTCAGTCCCCCGTAGCCACACTACTATTCAAGAAGGACGACAGCCATTCCTTCTCAATTTAATGCTATGGTGTTCAAGTTCAGACCGTCGGACCCATGTCAAACGTGGAGACTGCTAGAGGACGTAAGTTGCACATTCGCTATGTAGTCACGGTGAGTTGTATTGGAACCATGCCTCATCGATCATCGATCATCCTTGACGTTCGAGAATCGAGAGTATCTGACGCAGGAATTGCCTTGAGTACAACTACTTTCCAGGAATGTGTACACGCTTCAGCTGGCCCAGGCAGTGATGCGTAGTGCATGAGACACCCTGAGTACTTGATGAATGTGGAGCTCATCGAGCAGAATCATGTTTAGAGTTTCATTTGAAGTGTTGATATGGTGATTCGATTGCTTGGATTTGGAAGAATGGATGTTTCTTATTACGTGCAATACATGGTGCACGCTCCCAACAGATAAGTTTCAGAAGGCAAGTTAAGTATTACATAATACTTCAACTTCCTCTGTCACCAAGCGCACTGAATGACCACCACGACAATAATGATTTCCAACCATCTACAAGCTACGTACGGATATACTGCAGCTCGTCTTTTTGTTTTTAATGGCTCAAGAAACGGCTTGCTTCAGTAAGGCCACTCGATGGATATTACGTGCACTCATCAGAACACAGACATGAGGCTTTTGTAATTGGGGTGTTGACCACGGCATGATAACTGTCCCAAAGATCGACTTATATACTAAATATCGACCAATTTCCAACTGTCCCTCACTAAAACCCCTCACATTTTCAGATTCCGTACTACCCATCCATCATGTCCTTTGCTGCAGTGGGATCAAGTTTGCGGCTCAGTGCAGGCGAAACACAAGCGCTGAAGTCTCTGCCAGTGGCAACACAAGTTGGACCCCTTATCATACTTATTCGTTCCATGACTAATATGCATTCAAGATCACTGCAAAAAGGGCTCTACAGGGATCCACCGCAGATCTGGGAAGGCTGGTTGATTATATTTCGATGCTTAATTCCTCCCGTTATTGCTGCTTGGCACTCATCTTCCACGCGACGCTTGATTCAATTCAAGTACCAAACTACATCAATCCCAAGACTATTCCTACCATCATGCGTGCAAAGTGGTCTCTCATGGGATTGGTGAAAATCTCCACGGTTACCCCTTCAACGTCTGAGGGCGAGGACGATCCCGTGACAAAGTATATTGTAAGGAAGTGGGACGAAGTATACCCGTGGATGCGGTTCTTCGCTAGAAATTGCCTCCCTCCTCCTTACGATGTCTCAGTTACTCCTCCGCGCCCTGATCTTTGCAATGTGTTCGATGCTGCAAAATTGTGCATCACTCCGCTCTCATTAATCTGCACCCAATCGGAAGAAGGGCGTCATTTGCTCCGTTCTTCTATTTCTGTGCAGCACTTTGTTGCGCAGTTATGGATATTGATCGGAAACCTCCAGGGAGATGTACTTCAAGGCGATCCTGGAAATACAACGGACGGCCTTGTTTCCATGCTCCGGGCGTCCTTTGCGCTAACAAACCATGTTTGCGTATCTGAATCCGAAGATCCAGACAAAATCACTCTTCCATTATCGAGTTATATACAAGCTGCAGGAGGGGTGAAGCCCGTTGTTTTCACCCTTCTCAGATACATCCGTCGGATTACCAGAGATGCTGCCGCCGTAGAAGAACCTCGATCATGGACGACAGGCGATCGGAGTATAAAACAACTTCATCTCTACACTGTTGGCCTCCATTATTCCTTCGAGTTTATCAAGGTTATCAGTCGCCAAGACGTTTCATGCTGCGCACAACTTATCCGCCAAGGTTCAATTCGCACGGTGGTGGACGCGATCTCTCAGATGTTGCCTAAGATCTTGGTGCAAGCAAACAAGGAATTAGATTTTCATCCCCAGCTGGGACTCGCGGGTAGGCAGAACGTTCTGTGGTCGGGGTACGCGTACATTGCATCTGCCATTCGCGATGCAGATGACGGGGTGGCATGTGTATGCCAGGCAATCGATGCTGGCCTCATTCAAACGTTGGAGAAGGGGGTTGTTTGCCCGCCTCACGCCAATCGTCGTGATCACCCAACCCGTGGCCGCTTGGGCGACATAGAGTTACTCTTTCTCCTCGCCACATTCTTCATGTATCACAGGGTCGTTGAATCAATTTTCCGACACTGGTTTCGCATGCAAAGTGCTCCTATGGAAAAACGAGAGATACGCGACAAAGGGTTGGGGGTTGCTCTCGAACTCGTCCTGACATCTACTATCGATGCTATGGACCATCGCAGTGTACAACCTATAAACTTCCACGAATACAGGTGCAGTGGTCCAGGAGTACGCTAATCATCACTAGTTCCATCATGTGGGTGCTCATATGTGCGCCAGTGTCCAATGTGCACATCCAAGTTTGTCAGTAAGAAGCGTCAGTGCGCAGGCTGCTTGGTATCGATCTATTGCTCGGAGAAATGCCAAAGGACCGCTTGGCACAATGGACACAAGAAGTGGTGTCAAGTTCTAAGGTGCACCGTTGGTGAGTCCATTCAGCCCTCGTCTCATACTTCTCGTTCGAATCGCCAACAGGGCCGTGGGGCTCACGCGATATCCGTAAGAGTCTTCAAGTCATTGCAGGCTTCGAAACCAGTGAAATCTCGGGAATGGCCAAAGATGTAGAATCGCGCGTTCGTGAAGCACAGCGGCAGTTCCCTGCGTTCAGAGATAAACTTGTGCTCATGCTAGACATGACTGTGTATCCGCCGGAGGTCCACGTGCTCCCCGTGCACAAGCTTGAGCAGTTTCCTGGGGATGACCCCATATGGCCAGAGATCGCTGACGAGATTCGCCAACGAAGCGACTCGCCACCGAAAGGATATATGTTTTCGGTGGTCAAGGTCCACCTGGGGAAGTCGAAGTTCACACTGTTCAGCCCGAGCACAGCGTTGCGTATGGCATTTGTGGATCAGTACTTTTCGGATGATGAGGCATCTGTTGATGAAGATGAAATGAAAGATTCAAAAGCGTTAGGCGATCAATCGATTAGGACTTAGATTATGATTCAGAATCGGATGACGAATGCGTGCTACGATATTTAACGGACCTTGTGCTATATGTTTTAGTAGCTTTTGTTGACCAATGTGACTTTGCTTTGCTTTGTGCAGGAAACGTACCATACTAATGTTGTGGGTTGATCAAACCGAGAAGTGGTAGAAGCGATCGATTGGTATTTCGACATTGTATCCAGGCGACGTCCATGATGCATGATTCCTAATCTACACACGACAAAAAAAAACAAGTGCAGAGGCAACATTAACTAGGACTGAATTCTAGTCCGTCCTTCCACAAACTTCAGGATGTCTTCGTCAGAGGGCCGATGCTCCATATCTCCTGACCAACAGGTCTGCATGAAATGCCAGTCGCTGTCAATGACAACAGATATGGGTGGCCTTCTGGGTTTTATTCCGCGTGATATGTTGTTCATTACGGCGAACTGGTTGTGGATGTAATGGTATGGGACCTTGCCCTCCAATACCTGCAGAAATATGAGCTGATTCAATATTGATGAGTCATGTTACGTGCCTGTAGCATGATCCCTCCGAAAGAGTATACATCACTTTTCGGAGAGAATACCGGCGCTGACGCATTGCCTTCATCATCCACCGCCAGATATTCTGGTGGCATGTAGTGTGCGGTGCCTCCGCAACAGGTTGGCTTTAATGCTACTTGACTTATTCTCTCAGGAACGAGAGCAGAAAGACCAAAATCGGTGAGGCTTGCTTTTCCATCTTTATCAACGAGAACGTTGTTCTGAACAAGCTTCAGTTGGGCTTTCACACGACTCATAAATGTGTACGTACGCCGCTCAAGTCACCATGGGTGATTGACCGCGAATGCACTGCAATCTGCGTTAGTCGACTCTTGCATCAACGACAAAACATTGAACATACGATACTGAAGCCCTTGAGCTATGTCCTTGAGCTAAAGAGACATCAGCATGCGGACTATGGTAGAATGAGAAATTGACCGAACCAGTGCAAACTTTTCGTTGTAAGAAAGCATTTCGTGCTCACGTTCAAGGTAACCGCTCAGCGCACCATTTTCTAACCATGGTGAGAGAAGTGCTGGGAGGAAGCCAAAGCCAAAGCCATCTGCAACTCCCCAGAGAGGAACGATATTCTCGTGCTTAAGTTTCAACCATATTTTAATCTCTCTGGACAACCGCTAAAGAACTAAGGTCAGCTGAATGAAAGTGGAATCCATAGCTACTGACATTGATAATCGTCAACGTGTCTGTATCGCCTCTCAAAAATATTTCCTTGACTGCGACCTAGATTACTGTAAGAAAGGCAGAACGAAATGACGGACAGGATACCTACGTCAACACAAGTTGACCTGGAAGAAGACTGGTAGCGGAAAACCGCTAGTTGAACGGCATCGATGTCTCTTAGAGAGAGACTACACCTATGAACATTTGCAAATCCTCCGGCGTTCTGGTGAACATTATTGAGTCGTTTGACCGAGGTTGTCAGATCAGCAGCACTGAAAATGATGAGCCCAGTAGCCACACGAAAGAAGGGTCAGTAACTCACCCGAAACTTTGGACTAAAACTAAGTAGAGGACCTTCTCAATTGAAGGACGGGATTTAACTGCCGACAGGCATTGTTGCAGCAAGTTCAGGTGCGCTTCATCAATCTTTGGATCAAAAGTCTTTTGAGGGCTGCGTAAGAGAAACATCGCAAGAATCATACCTCGGCAGTAGGATGAAAAGGCGATGTACCCTTTTTCTTTCTTTCTGAAAGCACTTGACTCTCTTTCGAAATCCACCAGTACGGCGCCTTTCCCGACAATACCTAGGGAATAGCGGTGTAAGAAGCGAAAGTTGATGAGCTGCACAACGTACCAGAATTGCGACGCAGCCATATGAGTACACATCTCCTTCTTTCGTCGGCTTTGGTATTCCTGTCCGGCCACCAGTGAACATAAATTCGGGTGCAGTGTACCTTGCATCTCCCGGGAGCTGCTCGTTGAACATGTCACTATCTGCTTCAGCCAGTATTACAGAGCGACTGAAGTCTGCGATGCGCACACGGCCTGAACCGTCAAGGAAAATGTTATCCTAGAAATGCGGTGAGAATCTTTGCGTAACACATGTAATGGAAGCATACACCCGTTAAATTGCCATGTGCAACGTCCTGCTTGTGTACTAAATTTGCGCGTGAGTTCTATGCACGCGCAGCTGTGAGGGACACTGACAATATTCGATACCACGCGCCACCTCTAGTAGCTGCCCATTCGAGGTCAGAGCCGAAGAATTTAAATATGCCACGGACTTTGAAATGACTTACAATATCCAGCTTCTGACTCGCAGGTAAAACGGAGTGCTCTTGTTTCAGGTAGTCACGTAACGAACCGCCTGCCATCCATGGGTATACGAAGGATGGGCCCGGGATAATTCCAAAACCCGCAGTTATTCCATAGAGGGCAAGGATGGCCTTGTGCCTCAACCTTTTCCTGACATACACCTCACGACAAATCCTCTGCCGAGCAATACATGATTTAGTGATGATTTATTTATACAGCGATGCTAAACTGTGTGTTTACTCACATTAGATATTCTGTTCATGTCATTGTAGCCGTTAGCATTATCCCTCAAAATCTTGACTGCGACCTGTCGATTGATGCGTTGCATATAGATCCGTAGATCCATGAAAATACACTGACCTCAGTCTCCCTCGACTCATGCACCCACTTGTATCTCAAAGCCGCACCAAGTACGTCCAAACCATTGGGATAGTCGCATTTCGTGAGAACTGCTTGCGAGATTCGTGTCACTGTGACTGGAAGTTGCAATAGCATCGTCTCTACAGTCTTCGCAATGTTTGTCTGTGACCACAAGAACTCCGTAATTTGGCCAATCAACGGACGGTCTTCTCTGTTCCTCGACAAGCATAGTTGCGCAATCTGCTGTATTTCTTCGCCGATACCAGCTGATTGGTAGCCTCGGAACGGATTGCGCCCCTTTTGCAGTGCTCCCATAACGGAGATAACATTCGTGATCCAGGCGTAAGGTTGATTGCCAAAAAACACCTGCATGATGTCAGCAACATGACATTTGAATGAGACCACACAACGCACCTGCATCATAATACAACCATACGAGTAAACATCCCAGGCCTTGGTTGGTTTCTCATCTTTAGCCTCATCGTCATCTTCATCTCCATCTTGAAATGCCTCCGGCGGCATCCATCGGACATTGCCCATAGGACACGAGTTAAATGTAGCGTTGCCTGATTCTGCAAGGATCATCGAGAGACCGAAATCACCGAGACAGAGCCTCCCATCACTACCGACTAGGACGTTGGTCTAAAATGTGGAACCGTCATTTATGCGTAGAATACGGCGAATGAAACCTACAGCAGTAAGGTCACCATGGACAATACCCTTGCCATGCACTACAGGAGATCAGTCAATCAAAGTGCAGAGTCGAGTGCTACCCACAATACTCGAGACCAGCTGCTACTTCCCTTACCTGCAATGTCGAGTCAGAGTTGAACGCGTCTCCGCATATATAAAATGCATACCATACTTAACTTCCTCTCCCACGAGAGACCAACAAATTCGCGTTTCAGATAGTCATCGAGTGATCCATTTTCCATCCATGGAGTGACCAACGCGGGAAGTAACCCGAATTCTTCGGCAAAGGTAACACCCTCCAGAGGGAGAATGTTGTCATGCAATAATTGAATCCAAACGTAGGCTTCGCGACGAATTTTCTTGTAAGTAAATTCATCAGCGAATGCAAGGGTGAACTACTTCATGCCTTCACCATGCCTATTTTTTTTAATAATTTCGCATCTGCAAATTGAGGGAGACACGGACTAATCAGAACAAACCCTTTGAATAGAACCCCACTGTGCATACCTGTTACCGACAAGACCCTGATGGATTTGACCGCGACCTTGATTGTGATAAATGACCGTAATACTGGAGCTGTAACATCCCCTGTTTGTAAACTTACCGGACGTTGGGTCCCAGATTGCGTAGTCATGAGACATTTCCAGATATCGCCAAGGCCTCCTGTCCAAGTAGGAAAGATACTATCTCTTGAAATGTTTATCGCAGGAATGAGATCTGGTTCGATCTTGAATTGAACGATGTCATTGCTCTTCTGCCCGTGTTAATCAAACATCATTGATAACGCTTGTAAAATCAAGATCAACTCACGTCCATTGTGAGGTAAAATTCTCAGTGCAGCATTCAAGATGAGAAGCGTTAGAGGTGCGACGGTATTGTTTCGTCCTTATATGTACGGTTAAACGCCGAATGCCATCATGAGGCAGTGCTTTGTCGGACTATGTGCATGAGGGTCAGTGTGAAAACGGGGGTGATCCCTGGCATGAGTTATTCATATCTTTCAGATAGGAAGATCCGAACTATGCACATGCAGCCTTTGAAGCTTCTCTACCTGTTAGGTGACGTAATTCAAATACGTACATCAAAGTTCCATCCCCTTCTTGGCTCAGTGGAAACGTACAGAACGTTCCGTGATCATGCACACGATCTATTTGACTATCGTTTCATCTTTCCATCTTCAACGATATCTCTCCTGACAAACCCAGAGCGCTTCCCTCTCACTGGCTGCGAGTATTTATCTGGAGGATTAATTCTTATTTCCTCTGAGGCATCCTAATCACCCGAATTCACAGGAGTTATCTCAACCTACCGTCTTTTCGAAAACATCTTTCACCCTATTTTCTCAATCTCAGCGTCCCCACTTCTTTTTCCCTATCTCCATTCCACGTCATATATTCATACGCCACCTGCAACGCTTGCAAGGTTGACCTTCGCTCTGATAAAGCGGACACCCTTTCATTTCAAACGCTATCATATCCACTTCTCAAGCACAAGACTTTGCCACTTGATTCGATACCTTTACCAAAGCACTACTCAAAGCTTTACGTCTTGAAACCAGTCCTCCTCCTAATCGTCGAATAATGGATTACACGCCAAAGAATGCTGAGCACGTAGATTTTGGTGGGGAAGTGGACTATACTGAACACTGGTAGCTTCAGGAGCTGCCTCCAAGACCAGAGGTACGTTCCACCATCATCACTAATTCAGACGCTCACGCCTCATGCAGCCGTGCACTATTAATCTGACACGTATCATGAGGACCTGACGGCTTTCGTGAAGGCGAATTGATGGTAGGTCTGTGTGATTGACGGAGAAGACTTCTGCGGAGTAAGTGGTTACTGCAATTGCCTGATGAGCGTTCTCACTTCGTCTGCATTCTGATTTCGTCGTTTCTGACGCACGCACCCAACATTTGCTACACATGGTATCCTCCCGGGGGACATGACTATTCCTAATGCCAGTTCGCGTTGTCTCTCGGTCCTGTCGATGATTTATTCTTGTGATGCTGATGTACTGAGCATATGTATGTCGGCTACCTTTTACAGATGCCCAATCAAGAACCTCATCGGTGGGTGCAGCTCATTCGGCGCATTGACCGACCATCTTGGGGTTATTATCACGTGGATCACATCACCATCGATTTCAATCCCAAGTAAGTTTGCTACATAATTTGTGGGTCAAAAGCTGTATTGAGCTCCAATGCATTAGAATCTTCCTGATCCTTACGACTCATGAAGGTCGTCTTCAAACAGGAGACAGACCTTAAAGTCGAAGGCTAATGTCATTTCTGCAGTGCTATGAATCACATTGGCACCAGGTATTCGACTCGATGCCAAGCTCGTCACTCGATCGATCGATATGTATCTTTGTCCTTTGGGTGCTAATGGCACCTAACGACCGAAAGTCGAGTATGCAAACGATGATCATAGAGCTCCTACGGAGGCTACAGTAAACAGTGGCACGCACATTCCTTCATTAACTCTGTTCCAAGAACTGAAGGCAGACATGCACCTTATTCACAACTTCCACATCCAGCAGACAATATGTTATCACAAAACTTCGCTTGCAGTCTTCAGTTGAAATTTCAACAACCCTAATCATAGTCTGAATGCTGATGGTGCTCTGGCCGCATCCCGTTCTCAGGAAGTGCGTGTTCTCGTCTTGTGGGTTGCTAACCTGAAACTGATGGTGCTTTGGCCGCGTCCCGCTCTCAGTAGGTGCGTGTTCTCGTCTTTTGGGTTGCTTTCCCGACGCTGATGGTGCACCGGCCGTGTCCTGCTCTCAGTTGGCACGTGTTCTCATCTTCAATAGTTAGTCTAGACATGCAAAAGAATTAATTTACGTTCTTATCGAAGCCTATGAATCAGGCTATGTACGTTTGATGGCGCTTACCTCCCCACACAGGGTATTGTACTAACTTTTGATTACCGCCCGGTTACCATCTTAAACAGCTATCACAAGGTCCAGCCTAGACAACGACCATGTCGGAGAGATGCTGAACCTGTTATCTACTCAGTATCACAATTGCGATACTTATACCCTCGTCAGTATTAGTTTTTTTTTGTGATTTAGTCTCTCGATGACACTATCTGTGGACACGCCGATATGATAACTCCAAACCTGCGAGTAGCAGGAGTGAGTCTTCAACAGAGATATCAAGACATGAAATGTTGCGAACAATATGTTGCATAGAGCGCAAGACAGAGAATACAACACAAAAATGCTAGGAAACCGTCATGGCATTACGAGTCGTATTAGAGTATCAGGAGCTTTCCTCTAGCAGTTTCAGCTGTCCCTGTATAAATGTAAGGACTTCCTCGGCCGAAGGCCTGTGTTCCGGTTTATCAAGCCAGCACTTCTGTATGTAATCCCACAGAGTATCTGCTACGGACGGAGTCACTGGCCGAGCAGGCTTTCTGCCTCTGAGTATCTGCACGGTAACTTGATGGTCACTTCGAAATTCGGAATACGGAACTTTTCCTGTAAAGACCTACAAAGATAATAACAATCACATTGAATGGTGCCAAGATCCGCTCACAAACCTGCAACATGATACAGCCGAAAGAATATATGTCTGATGCCAATTGGGGCAGGCTTATTGACTCGTCATCTTCCGGGACTTGGAAGTTTTCAGGTGCAGCCCATCGCACATTACTCCTGATATATGACGTGCCGTGGAGCTCGGCACAAAAAATGAAAATTCCATGGTCAGCCACAAAGGCGTTGCCGTTCTCATTGATGAGGATGTTGTTCTGAGTCGCGTCAATAATTGCGATGACGAAGGAGGCACATGTGGTACTCACGCCAGTGAGATCCCCGTGTACTATGTTTTTGGAGTGCACTAATATTCACGTCAGCTTTGCGCCAAACAAGTGACATTTACCGCGTACAGTATTGAAGAGCTGAAGCGACATCTTTGAGCTATAACAGCAAAGATTAAGACGGGAGCTACACCGTACATAAAGAAAGACTCACGATTTGGAGCATCCGAGTGAGAGTGAGTTGCTGAAAATCGTGTTCCAGAAGCATGGTAAGCGAGCCCTTCTGCATCCATGGGGAGACGATAGCAGGCAGCGGACCAAACCCTTGAGTTATTCCCAGAAACGGTAACAGATTGGCGTGTTCTAGCTTAGCGTTCCGCTGCAAGTCGTATTCTAGACTCTGAAATGTTGTACATTAGCAGATAAACACGTGGTACCAGCATGCGGAGCCGCCCAAACCTCGGTAACCTTTATCTTGCAGTCATCGTTCGGAATTTCAAGTCTCAGACACTTTACTGCAACAGACTGGTGGAGAGGGAAACGGTAGTGTGAGCACATATTAACAGGTGCAAACTTGAAGGAGCCACTCGCCTCTACCGCGATTTGAGGGTGCTTCAAGCTGTGTATGCACTTCCAAACATCCCCGAAGCTGCCTTGAGCAACAGGATATCGGGATGATTCCTTGGTTATTTGCTCAGTGAGGTCGGGCAGACTAATAACCCGGTGCTCAGTCAAAATTGCGTGACATAAATGCATAGAAAAACAAACTCATTCTCAATTACATTCTCGTCATATGTTGTTTTTTGTGCCGACTTCGAACCAAGCCCGAGGCTGGCAAGGAGCAAGCGTGATCTCCTCTGCCACTTCTTCAACCAGACTTGAAACCAAGTACGAAACAGGACCTTCATACTGAAAGAAGAAAATGTGGGATAACTACAACTTGAGAGGCATGCTTGATTCTTATGACAATTTGCTATCTTCTATCGTTATGTAATTATACTTGTTTGGCCCCTCTTACACCGATCCTCTGTCAGAGGATCGGTGGTAGAAGTGAGCAAGGTCATTTGCTCCATCAGCGCTCAGCGCTCAACGCTAGATGTATAACGACCAATGGTCATTCCTGGTCTAGGGATGACGCCTGTGGGCGCATGGACTTGCCATTCTAACCTATGTTATTAAAATACCAGATGCTGCTAATCCATCTATACTCATATGAAACATATAGCTGTGAGGCTGCAGCGCTGAGCCAGTCACCGAACGGTCTATGATATGTAGCCGAATGTCCGACTCGGCACTACGCTTAAGTTATCTGAGAAAAGTCATCAGTATGCAGAAATAAGATCTCACCATTGTCACCCTCAACGGACGCCTGAGGTTGGCGCAACATACTATGTTGGCAGGCTACCCCACTAGAATGATGAGATCTTCGATTCAGCCACCAGCGAAGTGGGAAATGGAAGTGGGGAAATCCGAATGAGGTTTGTTCCTGTATATTACCAATGATATGCACGTAATAGCGCTCTGAGCGAGTCAGCTGAATCATGTTTTCTTCAATCGAAACTTCGACTGCAGCTAAACGCCTACGATAACGTTGCTGTGCTGGTTCTTGAGCGTTCAAATTTCTTGTTTCATCACATGTGTCAAACATTTTCCAGAAAGCAGGTATGTGGTCAAAAGTCGCCCTAGTAGCCGTCCTCAGTGCTCACTGGCGTGTCATTTTTTGGCTCATGCAAGACCCAGACAAGTATATCATCAGATAATCTATCAATCCCAGTGAAACTAAGACGGACACCCTTTCACGGAGATTGACAGAAATCTATGGAATCAGAAAAGTTTGGTGTCCGTAGATGAGCGCTGAACGTTCCAGCGCTCGGTCGAACGGTTGGCCCTTCAATGCTGTAGTTGGAGCTCTATGCACGAAACTTAGTGTAGGCGCTTGCCGGTATGTCACACATTCTTCATCGAACATCAATGACTTGTGATATACTTGTTCATGTGATGTGCTTATCATTTATCTGTTATCTGCCATTTAGGTGGAACGCTCTGTACTTATACCCTGCTTGTATTTGCTATTTGACGTATCACATACACCCACACTCTCTTCCAAGACAAATAAAGATGCCACGACACAACATTAATTTCAAAACTCCTCTCAAAGAAATCCCAGAGGCAGAAATCAAGAGAACTCTCAATATTCCTAATCACACTGGTGGTTTTGGTGATATCTGGCAATGCATCTGGTCCACCCCTTCCGGCAATCCCCCTGTCACAGTGAGCCCAACTCCAAGCACGCGTGCACGCAGATTGATTTGTTTGTTCCTAGGTTGCAATCAAGGCAGTAAGGGTCCTTGACGCCAGTGAAACGGCACTGTTGGCAAAGGCTGCAAGGGTAAGGTTTCGTTATAGCATATCAACGTGACTTGCAGATTTCTGGTTGACAGGACCTACGACGCGAGGCCCACGTTTGGGCCAACTTGAAAGACGAACACATCCTCTCGCTTCACGGAATTACAACTGGCTTCAGCCACTTGCCGGCGTTTATTTCATCATGGATGACCAAAGGGTCTCTTGATAGCTACCTGTCAAAACAACAAATTCCGCTTTCGACATTCCAGAAGCTGGACATGGTAAGTGCTTGTGTTTGAAAGACTAGCTGAATCTCAAGCAAAGCAGTCACGTCAGATAGCATCCGGTCTCAAGTATTGTGCGTGGTTTCTATTTTTTGATGCGCGACTCAGGTTGAAATGGTCCCTTAGTGCATGAAAAGGGCATTGTCCATGGCGATTTGACACCGGTATATCTCTTATCATTTACAGAACTATGCTTGAGAGATGACGATATCATGAATTCAGAACAACGTACTCATCAATAGCGATGACAAGCTTTGCCTTGCAGACTTCGGTCTCTCGATGATCCTTGCAGAATCGGGAAACCCCACATTCAACTCCTGCCACGGGGGTAACGTGCGTTGGATGGCCCCCGAAATGGTCGCTCTACCTGATTTAGAACAAGAGGAGGGGACAAAGCCAATAAAACCAACAAACTCAGCAGATGTATATTCTCACGGTTGTATCGTGCTTCAGGTAAGTATCATATTTCGTTCATTGAAATCGGTGCATGTCTGACATTCTGAAGCTACTTTGTGGTCAACAACCTTACTACTCGCTGGTGCAAGCGTTTCACGTGATAGCGGCGATATTGGGAGGAAGAAAGCCTTTCCGCCAGCTCGCCGGCATTGACGAAGGCCATAAGCAGTATTGGCTGAAATGTCTGTCCACCAATTCCAATGCTCGACCTAAAGTCCAGGAAATCGTAGCGTTCATAGAAGCCGAGCTGCAGAAGCTTTAATGACGAGTAATTACAATCTATGTAGCTGCTATGAATACTATAGCAAGATTTCGGGAACAGCCGGAGTAGTAACGGCCGAGTCACTTGACCTTGAACATACCACCCCGCAGATATCAGAAATAACGTAGAGTCACCGGAAAAGCACAGTCATTTTTACTCAGTGATCCCAGTGACTCGCCTGGGCCGGAGCCGGAAAGGCTGACTCAGCAATATATATTTCGCCTCGAGCACCCATAGAGCCAGCAGCTTATACTAGCTTATACCAGTCCCCTTCGCATGGAAACATCCTCACCTGGAACTACAATCCAACATCAAGTTGAGAACCAAGTACCCTCTATAGCGAATCCAACCTCAAACTCGAGCAGAAACCGTCGTGGCAATCGCCCCAGAAGTCACATTCCTTCAGCGAATGCAGCCAGTTCGATTGTCGTAGTTGCTCCGGAGACAGATAGTACAAGCAGCAGGAAGCCTCGCCGAAACTTTGATCAGAACCGATCTCATGATCACGGGCAGGGAAGCTCAAATTGGCGTAGACCACCTGGCGCTTCCCAGACCACAACTGGCTCTGACTCTGTTGCAGGTGAAACAGGTGGTGGAAATGCACGGCCAAGGAAGAATCGCCCTCCAAGACGTCCCCAGGGGGCCATCACTGTGAATGAGCCCAACGTCACTGATTCTCAACCCCAACCGCAGTCGAAGCGTCCATCGCGACGTTCCAAATTTAATCCGTCACTTTCTGAACCGACACCGTTAACCGGCGATTCAAAACCTGAGGTTGAAGCCCATCTCTCACAGAAAGCTTCTTTGCCGCTCAAGAAAGCCAAACCTCCAAGACCCAAGGCACCTCTCGCCGATGACCTCACTTCGACCCTTACTCATGCCCTCAGCACCCATCCTTATCCTGACTGCCCAATTTGCTTCAACCCCATTCGTCCAGAACAGCCTACATGGTCCTGCTCTTCTTCAGATCTCTCCGAAAACCTCCAATGCTGTTGGACCACATTTCACCTGAAGTGCATTCGGGCTTGGGCTTCCAAAAGCGTCAAGGACCTTCAAGATGCATGGCGTGCCCGTGGCGAGGAACGTACCGGCGAATGGAGATGTCCTGGTTGTCAAGCCAAACGTGAATCTGTACCATCCAGCTACCGGCAAGTGCTACTTATCTATCTGTATCGTGTACTTACATTTTATTATCAGGTGCTTTTGTCATCGCATCACAGATCCATCCCCCACTCGCCTTGTCACCCCGCATAGCTGTGCACATCCCTGCTCCCGCGTACGTATCTCTGCTTGTGGTCACGGCTGTCCTCTTCCCTGCCACCCTGGTCCCTGTCCACCGTGCGCTGTTACCGTCCGGAAGGGCTGTTGGTGTGGACGCCAAGTCTCAACGGTCCGTTGCTCTTCCCTGGCATCTCCAAATGCCACCACTGGCGTGTCCTGTGGCGTCATTTGTAGTAAACCCTTGTTGTGTGGGAATCCCCAGCATACATGCGCTCAGGTTTGCCACCCTGGTGAGTGTAAGCCATGTGTCGTGGCTGAAATCGTCGCGTGTTATTGTGGGAAAGAGGAGAAAGAAGTGCCGTGTGGCGACAGGAAAAAGTGGGCTGTTGTATGCGCTGTTGAGGGAGAGCTTGGTTGGGAGGGCCGCTATGAATGTGATGGCGTGTGTGGCAGGCAAGTATTTATTCACCTTCATCTTGCTTATTGCTTATGGCGCGTGTTTGACGGAGGCTCGCGCATGATGCAGCGCATATATCCATATTCTCTTTTTACTCTAACGTATCTCCTGCAACCGATAAAGGATATCCTACCTCATTCTAAAATCATTGTGACGCACATGTATGCTGACGTCCCTTTCACAGACCTTTTGCATGCGGAGTACACACATGTGAGAAAGGATGTCATCCCCCGTCCTTCACACCTCCAAGATGCCCGCTTGATCCATCCATCATGCAAACCTGCGCCTGCAGCAGGTTCGCTCTCCCTACTGTCGAACAACACGATCGCTATATCCACGAACTGGAATCAATAACTACTCCCAAATGCGACGCCAGTGGTAAAGACATTGCGTATTTCCTCGGACCCCGCACATCTTGTACTGTTCCTGTGCCTACATGCAAGCAACAGTGCATCAAAACCTTACCCGACTGCTCGCACCAATGTGGGGTAAGCTGTCATACTGGCCCCTGCCCACCATGCACCGAGCTCATAGAGCGCACCTGTCGATGCGGAGCGACGAAAGTGATGATCAAGTGCGGCGAAGTCATCGAAACTAGTAAAGGTAACGAAGCCGGGGATGTCCTTTGCGATCGTGCATGCATCGCCCTACGCATATGTGGACGCCACCAATGTAATCGCATTTGCTGCCCTCTCGCATCCCTTGCTGCTGTGCAAAAAGGAAAGGGCAAGAGACGCGCAGGATTGTTGGACGAGCTTGGTGCTGAAGAAGGCGGGCTACACGAGTGTGACCTCCCGTGCGGGAAGATGTTGAGCTGTGGGAATCACCGGTGCGAGCGAAAGGACCACCGAGGCGCGTGTGGGGTGTGTCTGCAGAGTGTTTATGAAGATGTAAGTTGTCTTTTCTATTGATCATCGTTGTGTTTTGGCCTGACGTTCGAATAGCTTATATGCCCGTGTGGCCGGACGGCTTTGGAGCCTCCAATTCCATGTGGTACGACGATGACTTGCAGTTATCCGTGCGCAAGGCCTTCACCTCCATGTGGCCATTCGCGCGTCCCTCATGCGTGTCATGAGGGCGTCATCATCGCTGGTGCGGATCCAAGCGAACCAGTGGAAGCATCTCCTTGCCCACCGTGTCCTTTCCTCACCAGCAAACAGTGTGCGTGCGGGAAGAAGGTGGTGGATAATGTCAGGTGTGCGCAGGAGCGGGTGAGTTGTGGTACGGTATGCGGAAAGTGAGTTTTGTGTCTGTCTGACAGTGATCGTATCGATTAACTTTACTAATGCTTCACAGATTGCTAGCATGCGGTTTCCATCATTGCGAACGCTTGTGCCACGCAGACGACTGTGGAACGTGTACTGCTGTATGCGGCAAGTCTCGCAAATCATGGTTAGTTCTTCCATTCTCCCCACTTCAACTGATATAAATTTCTCCTTTAATCTAGCTTGCCAGCACAACACCCATGCACCCAACCATGCCACGCCCCAGCAGCATGCCCTGAAACCGAGGCCTGTCTCGCGCTCGTCACTCTCACTTGTCCCTGCGGCCTCCTCCGCTCCTCTATCCCATGCTCCCAAGGAAATTCAACCGCTCAGCTCAAATGCACTGGTGAATGCGCAATCAAGAAACGCAATGCGCGACTTGCAGACGCTCTTGGCATCAATCCCGAGAAGCGCGAGGGTTTACAGGCCAAGGTCACTTACAATGATGACCTAGTGACTTTTACGAGAGCGAACAGTAAGTTTGTGGGGCTAGTGGAGAAGACGTTTGCAGAGTGAGTGACGGTATTTCTCATGAATCTGATGCACGTTCTCACTCTATCTCTGTTTTAGTTTCATCACTTCTGACAAACGCACGCAAGTCCTGCCGCATATGCCTCCTGAAAGACGTAAAGTCGTGCATGACGTGAGTTTTCCAGTTTTTGAAACAATGTTTTTTGTGATGCTGATATATCAACTACGCCCAGCTCGCATCTGTCTACCGCATGGATACACAGATGATCGATCAAGAACCTCACCGAAGCGTACAGCTTATCCGGCGCGTTGACACGCGCATCCCGACGCCACTCCTATCTGCGTCGCTCCCATCACCAACGCCATCGCCTGCAGTCCTAGGCAAACTCGCTGATTTACGAGCTCCGAAGCCTATATCGAGCGTGACGAGCGGAAGTGGTGTATGGGCCAAACCCCAACCAAAGGTCGCAGAAGCAGGCGGGAGGTGGACGGCAGTTGTCACACGCCCTGGGTCTGGGTCTGGGAGTCCTTCGCCTGCGCCTGGTGCGTCCTCGAGCTCGGGAGGGACTCAAGTTGGTACTGCTACTATGAATTTGAAACCGAGTGGTGGAGCGTGGGTGTCGTCCTCTGTGCAGCGCGCGAGGGAGGCAGCTAGTCTGGAGATGGGTGGAGAGGAAGAGGCGATACCGGATGATTGGGAGGATGATGTGTAGAGCCAGTTAGTTGAGAGCTTGGCTGGCGGTGATCATGATGGGAGAGATTTATAGATAGATTTAACTGTGATAAAGCGGACATGAGGCTCGGATAGCCGTCAATCGGAAGTATATTTCGAGAATATACATGAGGTTTTTTTCTATTCCAAGTTTTGTCCTATTGAGAGATTACTCTATGGAGGACAATTCGATCTAGTCTAAGGACGGCACCCGATGCCCTGATTGCATTTCTGAATTCACAAAATGCCCTGGCGTAGGACGTGCCCCACCAGTCAATACATGGGTTTGATCTGGCGGAGTAGGGAGATGAGGCCTAGGCCTCATGCACATGCCCCATAGGATTCACAATTTCACGTGTTTATTTCAAAACGCACAGTACTATATGATGTTAAATTACAGCGCTGCACAACACCAGATCTACAGAAATAAACTCCCTAGGGTGATGTGTACATACTGTGGGACTTGGAGAGTTCAAGGATCCCGCATGACCTGAAGGTGAATTTCTTGTTATGGGCATACGACCAACCAGCTATAGAACAATTGAGTTTCAGTTAATCACACGTCCTGTGGTTCATTGAGTGCTAGAATCTGCTGGGGTGATCGTCGATGATTGATGCGTCCCTTACCATGCGTTACATGCATTTGCAGTTTGTTTAACAGTACAATCTGGAGTACCGCAATAAAGTAAGTATGAACCAAGTATACATAGAACATAGAACATAGCTAACATCTAAATTAAAAGATACAAGCCTGGAACAATATGACACCGCTTCAGCTAACAATATAGTCACAAAGTCTTCTTCGAATCCAGGGATCCCCTTGGCCTTTCCTTTTCCATCCTATGGGGATGTGTTTCCCTCTTCGTTGACGTTGGCCTGCACCGAAGTGTCTCCAGAAAGACAGCCAAGGATCGACTGGAGCGTATTGAGCACCTCAGACCGGTACTCTGCCGCACGATGGCTCTCTGTCATAACAGTCTTCCATCCGTCACGTCCTTAAGTAAAGGCTCATCCTGGACGATGACCTTGGAGGTGGAAGTTGAGATCTGAGGAGTGTGTAAGTGACGTGAAACAGGGTTACTAGATGAGTGAGGACATACGGAATCATCAGACAGGTCAAAAGGTTCAAAGATAGTGAGGTATGACTCCTGATCCGGAGGTAGAAAATCCTCGAGGTAGGTCTCAGCTTCCTCGAGGAATTTCTCGGTATTTGCACGGTGGTGGGCAAAAATCTGTGCCTCCTCCATGTCAGATCGTAAATCAGCCATAGCCTGCAACTGTAGGGTCGTAGTCCGCTGCATTTCAGCTATCTGGCGTATTGCGTGCTTGGCATGCCGCATTTCAGCGTGCTTGTAGGCCATCATGTAGCCAATTTCGTCCTCATGCTGCGGCGCACAGGTACGCAAGACGTGCATCATGCACTCCTGGTCGGGAGATTCGTCGCACTCTTGAGCAAGGAGGGCAATTTGGGTAGGCTGATCCACAGGCTGCTGCTGGTAACGCAGAGCCCATGCACGTTCACGCTGCTCGGCGAGATACAGCGTAGCACGCGCACGCGCAGAGAGTAAGACTACGGGGCGGTAGGGATAGTAGTCGAGAGAATAGGGACTCGTTCGGACAGGTTCAGTGAAGAAAATCATGATGCGAATGAAGCAAGGATGAGTTGATGGAAGATGTCATGTCGAGCGGCGAGTTTTATAGCTGAATAATCAGTGGACTTGTGGACTGGATGAATAACAAACCACTTGATTGAGCAGACACGTCCACTAGATTCGGTAAAGCGCGACCACGGTTTGCACAATAATCACATTATTGCCACGATGCAACGAGCAAGTACCACAATTGCTCAAGAGCTCCGTATCCACTAGTCAAGCGGCTGATGACCTTCTTGAACCACGCGCATGACTTGATCATGCGCAGCTGGACCGTTAAAGACCTACTGCAAATGGTGGATGAGCTGCATGTGAGCGGCGTAACATAATGTTCATTTGATTCCTTGTAGCGAACGCCATTACCAATGCTGGATTTGCGCCCACTTGCCTGAATGCGGAAAAAATTTATTGTAAAGCGTACTCTGGAGGTACATGTGTACACTGTGACGGTAGGCGCACCTATGGGCTCCAAGTTCCCGGGATGAAGAGAATGTGTTAGCGATGGTAACACTACTCTGAACTCTTAGCATTTGTATCGCTGTCGCTCTAAGTTAGGGGAATGGTGCATTCTGCAATCGTGCTGGCACTGAGAACAAGTTGAGTTCGCGCACCCGACGCAGCAGCCTGTCCGAGTCGTTTCACCATTCAACTGCTCTCTGAAGTGCGCGAATTCGATAGGCTCGTTGAGATATACCATGCCTGTCATCCCTGCAGTCATTCTACACAGCACGACGACCCGAACTCGACGAGTGGTAAGTAGATGCAATAGAAATCATCTCACGTAGAATGGACACTATTGCACCCGATGCCGGCGGTTGGAATTCTTGGCTCGTCTCGATTCTCTGTAAGTACCTACATCCTAGAACTTGCTCTTCCGAACTTGCTCTTGCGCACTGGCAGCATTCATCGGACCTTCCTGAACTCTCGTTTTGTGCACTTACTTCAATGGTTCAACTCGGAAAGCAGGAAAGCAAGCCATGGTTTACTACCTATCTCACACCACGTATCTCTTCCGAGCAAGGCGACGGCGATAGAAGCGCTAGCTGTGAAAGTCATGTTCACATAACAATGCAACAACTAGAAGATGGATGCGTACCACAGTGGGCTACCCGAAGAAGAAGTTCAGTATCATTAACAACGCCCGAATCCATGGTCTGAATTACCGGCAGAATGCAAACTTTGATATTCTGATTCCAGACTACACAGGGTCTCCATATCTTTGAAGGAACTGTGCATGAGAAAATGCATGTATTCTCTTGCAATTGTCGTATGTTCAGTGTGTTCTGTCGTTGATGCGAGAGTCAATTGACACTGAATCAGGCAGTCCACTCGCAGTCAGTCATCCATGGAGACTTGAGCGGTGTGCGTATGCCCTCATGAGATCCATGAACGCTCAACTGATTTTTTTTAGAATATCGACAAGAATGGAATAGTGAGCCTCGCCGATTTTGGTCTCTGCCCTCCTTCCTGAAAGCACGAGTCAGGCATTATTGCCCACCAATCCCACGTGCACCGCGCCATATATGGCGCCAGAATATTTGATATTCGATGATGAAGGCAATGTGTCACTGGCATTCAGTCCAAAAAGCGATGTGTACTCTTTTGGAGGGATCATGCTGCAAGTAAGTAGCATGGATGATCGTCACTGAATCAGCTCATCTCCTTGCAGGTTTTGGAGGGCAAGATCCCATACCATTATGTTGCCAGATATGAAGCCATAATTCACTGCATATCGCAAGGAATAAGACCCAGAGGGCCGCCTGCACCTGTTGTAGGTGACGTTGACTGGGATTTCATTCAGAGTTGTTGGTCACCGGATATGGAGCATCGACCCTCTGGCGAAGCCATCCTAGAATTTGTGGAAGGACGGGCTGTCCTGAATTAGTCACAGGTTACTAGAACAAATAAGCATGTTATGATTAGACTGGTGACTTTGATCCATAAACAACTCGCGTCAACATCGAGCGCTCAGCAAAGCCCCAATCCCTTTCGCATGGGAGCGTGCTCACAAGCCTGGAACTATAATATGAGAACCAAGCTCGAACCCCCGTCTCAACAGTTGTCCCAGAACTCATGTGCTTCAAAGGGAGGAAGGTTCCACAGACAACTTTCTTTGCGAAGTATGGCTTGAAGAACTGATACACCTACCTCCATCTACGCAATCCTTATGAATGAGGGCATTCCTCAAGTACAAAACTGTAATTTTCCGTGCAAATTATCTACATATTTCTACCTGGGCGACATTTGACACCTGTCTTGTGGCAAGCCTTTATATGTACAGAGAACAATAAGACGAATACGGATGCGCGTATGGGATATTGGTGTCACGGCACCTGGAATTGTGAAGTAGGCGCTCTTGCCTCTGCGGTCACTGTAACGATCCACACATGATGCATCACGTACACTCTCACAACCTGTCTTCACACTGGTGGGGGGACAAGCACTGGATAACAATTGATCTGGGACTGTAGCGTTATGATATTGCAAGGCGTGGTGGCAGGGAGATCTCAGGGGGACGAATTGTACCATGAATGGTACCGGTCATAGGCTGTCTCCGCGACCTCAAAATTCAATTGCATCAGCAGGCCGTCCCAATCAGGACTGAAAGCAACGACAGTGTCTTGAATGATAGTAATGTCACTGCCCAGAGCCGCCTCCTGGCAGACAATTGCAATAGAGTCCCGCATCATCACCATGCCATTCTCGATCATGGTGTCGACCGCATCCATATCTCGGTTTGGAAGCAATGTCTGCAGTAAAGCCATCAACGAGGCGAAGGTGATGAGCGTTTGTAGATACTTACACCACATGCATGCAGTTCATCATCATCATCATCAATGTTGATGGGTTCATTCCCCCGCACCCAAACGTGAAATCGAACAGAGCCAAGGTGACACCATGTATGGCCCGCGATCACGACGCGATGATTGTAAGATCGTGATGCATCCCCTTCAAGCGAAGCGAACGAAGAATCTGAGCGACATGATGTCTCCTGGCTTAGCATCTGCCATGCTTCGGACATACGTTCAGGCGAGCGATATGGTTGATGTTCATCAATTACAACCAATATGACCATCAAAACTTCTGGTTGGCCGGCGATTTCATGTTTGATTTTCCGAAGAACTGAATCTGTGTCCTGTGCAAATGCACATTCCACGATGACAAGAGGCTTACGAATCCAATAGCGCGTATTTTGTATAACTATTTGCATTGCTATGTCTGGGACGGTATCTGTAGATGTTAACCGACTGTTCATGGTTGTTATGGTAAGCACAGGGCGGCGAACGAAGCCACCCAAAAAGTGACCGAATATCGATTCAAAGTGTTGTATTGGGGCTTCGTGCATGCGACTGCGCATTTCGATGAGAAGGATGCGATCGTCCTCGAAGTAACTCCATCTGCAAAAAAGTGGTCCATTATTAATGACAAGGAGAGATCCATTCGCCCTACCTTGGTCTTGCCGGTAACCATATCCAATTCAAGTCGATGATGTGCGATACTGTTGGGTATACCTTGCGACTAACATCAAAAAACTCCTGTTACAATGATCAAATGAGTGCCTGCACTCTGCCCATGAATTCCAGCATACCGCATACTCCTCCTCGGGGTTTGGCTCCATGATGAACTTCAGGGCTTCGCCGCATTTACCTTGAAGATCAGATGTTGATCAGCGTGAGCCTTGGTGAAGTTGAGTCATAAATACCAAAATCAATGGCGTCAAGTTTGGTGTTGGCTTCTATGAAAATGTCCGCCAAATTAGCTGGTGTTGGACTCCCAGGAGCGTCGGAAAACATATCAAAAAGCAATTCAATCCTGTTTTTATGTATAGAGTCGGGTAGGCCGATGAAAGCTTAATCTCCCTCGCCCAACCTACAGAAGAGAGGTGAGTCGACGTTAAGTTCAAGTTGTTGTCTTTCGGTGACAGCGTGATGGTCACACGGCTACGTGCAGTTAAATAGGGGTCGACCGTGTCAAGCAGATACGTCCGGATTCCATACGCTGAGTTACATCAGGAGAAATAACGGGTCTGGCAGACTAGAAGCACGTTTGCAGCCACATTGTTTGGCTAATTTGTTGGAGATTCAAGTCTTCATATACTACAGCACTAAGTTTGCGTATTAATGTATGGTATGAGAATTTTATGGACGAGTCGAGTACTTATTATGTCTTTGCGAAAGGTCAAAATTTTGTTGGAAGGGACTCATAGTAGTAGTGGGTCTTGACGTAGTCAGAAAATTAAAACAGGATTTGCATCCTCCTGTGGACCCAGTTAGACGAGTTATAACTTATAAGGGAACGGGCATTCAAAAAATAAGATTGTTGATACTTCTAGGCTTCGTCCAGCTGTGCAGAGTACAAGTACTGGTTGAGCGCCGTGGAGCAGCCCCAGCTTCTTCAGGAATCAGCTGGCGCTCAAAAGTGGACGGAAACACATGATATATTTCAGTTCCTAGGAGCGAACAAGTCATCAATGATAGTACAAGGTGAGTGATGTTACAAATTCAGTTAATATTGCCAAGCTAACTACTACGTCTTGTTCAGAACCTCACCTCCCCAGATGTTTCACCAGCATATGTGCACGCCATGTGGACTCGTAGCATGGTGTTCGCGTCCGGATCCCCTGCACCGCGCCCTTCATCATCATACAAGGACGATGGATATACCCACTCAACGTTCTCCCCCCACAGTTCGAAGAATTTGTCAATAGTGGTTTGAGGCTGTCCAGAAGAGAGCAGGTACTCGTACACTGCGCGCCATGCACTATCCAATGCACCAACAACCCAACTACAAGTGGCATTGCCTTTGAATTGCAATCATCCCAAAGACGACTGCTTCACTCACGCATGACGGGTGCTGATAGCCTCTCCAGCGAAATGGAACCTCTTGTTGTGATTTGGACAACTGAGAGATGTGTACAAATGCTCGAAATCTCCGGGCCCGAAGTACGCAAAGGCACCTTAGTGGAGCGAGTAAGCATCGATTGGATCACATCAACATTTACAGACTCACCCATAGTGAGCGGGTCGTAGTTCCAGTCCCATGCATGCATATCCAAGAATTGTTCCGACAAGAAATCATAAGTGGCGCGACCACTGTGTACTTCTGCGAGATTGCGCAGCACGAGTTCCTTGAGTTGCTCGATGTACTCTTCTTTACCGGTGCTGACGAGCGCTCCCAAGCGCTCTGCATCATTTGTCCAACAGTAGCTCGCGATCAGCACTGTGGACGGTGAGCTAGAATCGACCCCGTAAGAGGGGTAGACGATAGTTCGAATAGGAAGGTCAGTGAATGACTGGCCTCCTACGATATCGAATAGGTCCGTCCACCACGCTGATTTGAAGCGGACCCCAATTTTGATTGAAGGACCGTACTGCAGCTTGCGCAAGGCGTTTTTCTGCATCACGTTCAAACCAGCACCAGAGAGATCAATCGTCCGCAGGCACGGCAGAGGGATGGTCGATATGACATGTGAATATGTGCGGCTATTATACTCGCCCCGCACAGAAACCTGCATGGTGTCTTCGCCACCTTCAGAGATGCGGGTGACATTCTTGTTGAGCTTAATGAGATCATTGGTGCCTTCAGCAGTGATGTACTTCGTCATGTAGTCGACGAGCACGTGAGAACCGCCTCTGTGGGTACGGGACGTGTGAGAGCATGAGTTCGGAGACAACGGGCGTGCTTACTTGAAACACTTCCATTCTACTTCACCGATGACTCCCGAATCGGCCTTGGCGAACGCCAGCGTGTCGAGAACTGCTTCAGTTAATCCGCGGTCATACGAGCCGGTGCTGTTGTCGAACGTCTCGCACCAATTGATAACATTGGTGGTAAGATGCATAGGCGGGAGTTTGAGGTCGACGCTGGGAATGTACTTGAACGACATGTATGCGCGAAGCGAATATGCGTCGTTTGCCTTCATGACCTCCCACCCCTTATTAACCTGCTTCTCCAAATCGTTTATGAGCATGCGGGCGAATGGCTCAACGACGTCGTCGACAATCTTCTCTACTCCCACAGCAACATACTCAGACTCGACGCCCATTTCCCGGGCACAGAAGTCAGGAGGATGCGATACCTCAGAGACTTGGTAGCGTTCATTGTTGAAGTAGAGGAAAGATCCTTCTTCCCTCGCCTTGTAATAGTAATCAATAAGTGTGGACTTTAGAGGCTCGGGACCGTCGTTGAGCTTTGTATAGTTGATTAACTCGCCCAGGCGCTTCATAATACCGGTCTTGTAATTGCCTTCACTGTCCTTCTGTGGCAGGGGGTACCTCATGGCCCCAACATCCTAGTTAGCGAGAGAGACAAGAGGTTAATCATCGGTACAGCAGCATCAAACGAGTAACATACGTAGTAATCATATTCTTTGCCTTTTGGGAACTTGTAGGTGAAGAGGCGGCCACCGGCGTGGTCCGACGCCTCCAAGATTTCGTACTTGATATCCAGCGAATCTAGCATGAGAGCGGTGTATAAACCACCAACTCCTGCCCCTAAAATTCCAACCGGGTAGGCTGTCTTACGAAAGCCAACCTTGGAGAGCGGTAGCTGCTGGGTCTGTCGACGACCAGCCAGGGGCCCAGAATGCCCAGGAAGCTTTTTGAACAGAGCATTATCATACTCTTGGATGATGTTTCGACCCCAATAGCCTAACACGTCTCCCCCGAAATCCATGGTAAGCGTAAGTGATATTGAAGGTGTGATGTGTTGGAAAAGGCTCTTCTAGTGTGAACAACACCGAAACCCACAATATATATTGTACTTTTCATTCGGAGAATAAGAAGGATTGACCAATTCTGTGACCGCACAGCGCAGTGAATATTTGGACAGGAGCACTCGCACGTCGTTTCTTCGATGAATTCTGTGGAGTAGTCGTCTGGCACGAAGTCTAGGCCAAAGTAAGGGGGATCAGACTTGACCCCAGATCGGCCAAAGCCTCATTCTAGCAAACTCAATTCAGTAGATCTCCATACTAGAAACCAGTTCCAGGCCAAAGGACCCAAGATCCCTGATGTGAAGGCGGTCAGCTGGAATATTGTGCTAGCGCTTGCAATGATGTCGGACCATGAAGTAGCAGGCGAACTATCAGAACGCCACCACCGGTTAGAACTATGCCGTCTCAATATGCTGTTTCTATTTTGATAATGTCATTTAGAGCTAGTTCGGCAACTCGATATTTTCGATATTTTTCAATATTTGCTTTGGCATGTTTGCGAAAATGTTCACCGGCATCGTTCCGAGATGTCGGAGCTCGAACCTTGCTTCTCTCCTACTGTACATATTATCAATGGATGTATACCCTCATCTAACCCTAGAGCGGCGTAAGAGGCTTTTTGCTGGTGCGGTCGCGATCACTGCGATCTGTGCACAGTACACTACTCTTCTCATGGCCCAACCTGAAGTCAATGCTCCCCCTAAGTCCAAGGCGATTCGGAGCTTGAATTTGAGCTTATCAACAAGATCAGTGATAATGAGGGTAGGGTATATACCTTGATGGATCCCCAACCACTGGGGTTCGCGATGGAGCGCCAACGCCTAGCAGCGCTCATGACGAATCCTCGGCCAGAGGTCCGGGAACGACTCCTCAAATGCATGGTACTCGTAATCAGCATCGTTGTTGCTTCTACGCACGGCATCCTACAATCAATATATCCCAAAGATCCCGAGCCCTATCACACTTCAGCGCTAACTGGGCAAGACTGGGTGATCGAGTTGCTCACTGGTCACCCAGAGCGCATCAGGTGTGAGCTTGGCATGCGCGCCAATGCATTTGTGGAGCTTATCTCCGAGCTTCGCACCATGGGCCATTCAGACTCCAAGTTTGTGTCCCTCGAGGAACAACTTGCGATTTTTCTTTACACCTGTGACTGGCCTATCAATCAGGCATGTTGCGGAGAGATTTCAACGCTCGAACGAAACGATTTCACGGTGAGTTTATTTTATTTTATTTCAAGTGACAGTATCTAATAGTATGTAGTTATTTCCGCAAGATGCTTATCATCTTCACGTCGGACCCGTTCTATTCAAGATACGTGCGCTTTCCAGATGGTTCGGTCCCCCGGGTGGCGGCAGTGCTTAATGGGCCTGCAGAAGCGGGAACAGCAGCAGCGCTTGGAGCAGCAGGAACAGCAGCAGCGCTTGGAGCAGCAGGAACAGCAGCAGTGCTTGATGGGCCAGCAGCATCCGCAAGATCGTTATCAGCATTGGTGGTGGAGGGAGCAGCGCCACCTGGACGGAAGACGTGCCGCCCTCTAGCGCCGCCCAATGGGATGATGGTCTGCATTTTTTCATAATGCTCCCATCCCCTGTTGCGGAAAGGACGCATGAGGTTATTTGCCTGACAAAAGTCAGCGCTCAAATCAATATGACGAAGAGGGGACATACCTTGACATACGATGTCCATACAGCCGCAGCCGCAGTTCCTTCAATCCCAGCTCCAGTCTCATTGTCCCAGTGGACCCCTGTCTGGTTGCGGTACTTCTCGATAGCATGAAATATGTTTTTAAGCTAGATGAGACTCGTCAGCTTAGATCAGATGAGATCAAATAGGGCTTACTGATGTCCACTTGTTTCGAGTTGATTTCGCTGTCTTCAGTGGACCTGCGCGAGTGGATTGAAGCGCCTCATGATTGTTGATGAACTCTGCAGCAGAGCCAAGAACCTGCTGCTTGAAGTTGCCTGCCCCTTCAGCCTCTGAGCGATGATCATAGAGATAGTCTACAAGGGTAACAGTCTCGACATCATTCCACTGCGCTGGTGGGGCCTTGGAGTGAGGGGGAGCATTGACTTCAGGTTGGGCCATGAGAAGAGTAGTGTACTGTGCACAGATCGCAGTGATCGCGACCGCACCAGCAAAAAGCCTCTTACGCCGCTCTAGGGTTAGATGAGGGTATACATCCATTGATAATATGTACAGTAGGAGAGAAGCAAGGTTCGAGCTCCGACATCTCGGAACGATGCCGGTGAACATTTTCGCAAACATGCCAAAGCAAATATTGAAAAATATCGAAAATATCGAGTTGCCGAACTAGCTCTTATGAATGTTCCTGGGACGGAGCCAAAATACTCACATGGTTGTGCATGTGACCGTATTTGTGCATTCTAGCGGCGATATCCACCGAGTCAAGTGCTCAGCGCTACATGGTACTAGGCAGGTGACGGTCACAGCTCGCTAGCAACCCCCTACCTGTCAATGTCAGAAACGTATCACGAACATGAATGGTAAGAAAGTTACGCCTTTATCAACTTCTCCTTCATATTCCATGTCACTGTGCTATATGATCCGTGACCAAGGTGGTCCTGGTTCTAATCGGTTAGAAATGTGGCTGAGACACATCTCAACCCGGTAGGAACTCTGAACTCAATTGACTGCTTCGAAACTTGTCAGATGACATGATCACTACTTTAATCAAGACTGACCTTGCGGACAGAATTTCTCCGCCGATCATTGAGAGCTTCTGCACCCTACCACTGTTCCGATAGGGTGGTCTTTAGTCTTGAAATTGGCAACAGGTGGAAGATTCAATTTGAAAGTTAGAGGTGGCTTAGAATCATTCCAGCGTGATCAGAGTCTGGAAAGGTGAACTTCGCGAACGGACTGTATCATAAAGAAGGGAAGGTGTTTTGGGGTGAATCCGAGAAAGGCTGCCCTGGCCGGCGATCCTAACTAGAAGCATCGACCCCATATTACGGGCAGTAGTATCACAAGTCCAATCCTCGAGCGCCCATGATGAAGTGCCAGTGAGTCTGCGAGCTGGAGTCTGAGAATTCTGCAAAAATCAGGATCCCAACACGGGCAAGGACCCACTGCTGCAAGTGTTACAAATTCATTCAGCTCGTTGTATTGGGGAACATTCATGGGCTAAGCTTGGTGGATCAAGCATATGCCACGTTCAAGACCCGGGCGGAGTTTCAAATGACAAATACAGTAGGAGTATGGAAGTCACTTGGAGTGACTTACGAAACTATGTTGAATTCGGATCTCTTGGTAAGTGATTCCCGGAAAAGACGTCGTAAAATTGACGAATGTCATTACAGCATTTGATCTGTGTGTTGCAACTGTCGAAGGAACTGACAAACCTAACTCCTGACCCCTGGGGCACAGCTGCGCGTAGCCTACGATCATGATGGAGGCAATGACACGCTTTCCTGCTTTCGAATCATTGGAGCAAGTGCAAGTTTATCGGTGTTCATTTCCACAGCGCTATTGCGTCACGCTGAAGCCTTGCCGCCCGCAGCCGCTATAAAACTCTGTTGATGGAATTACTCATAAAGACCCTTCGCATTCAACTCTTCTAATATCATCAAGTAAAATGTCTTCTGGGCAGACGCTTGCCCAGATGAATCTCACGTGTATGTGGCTAGCGGCCATACTTTACGGTAGAGTGGAAACTTTGTTGGGAATTGTAGATGTTGAACACTTTTGCAGGAATCAAGTAATTCGTTCACTTCCCATGAGGCATAGGTCAATCTAAATAAAAATCGTAGTTGCATATTATTCGGTACATGTGTTTGTGTCATCTACATTAGGAGTCCAGCCCACAGGTGAATATTTCACCATTGTCCTCTCGTCTGCGTCCTGAATTGTTTACAGCAAGCTTCTGCTCTGTGCTACCTCGTTTCAATTCGCGATGTCAACTGCACATGTGATATTGATGTTTATACAAGCAATGATTGCATTCACAAACACGACGATTGCTGCTACTCCTGACGGGGCAAACTTGTACTACGCAGCTACCGGAAACTACATTTTCTTAGCTGGTCAGTTAATCTATATTGTCAATGTGAGTCTGAAATTTGATCTCGCTCGCTCGACTTCGGACGAAATAATTGTCGATGCAGTCACTTGCTCAAGAACTACTTTTGGTCAGTACGTGCAGCGAGAAAATACATGTGTATTCTCATACATAGATCATTCAAAGATATGGAGACTCTACGTCGTCTGGAATCAGAATTTCAAAGTTTGCATTCTACCGGTAATTCAGATCATGGAATTGGACGCTGTTAATGATACTGAACCTCTTCTTTAGCTCATTATGTGGGTAGCTCACTGTGGTATGCATCATCTTCTGGTCGCTGTATCATCTTGTGAACATGACTTCCACAGCTACCGCTTCTGTCGCCGTCGCCTTGCTCGCGCCTAAGAATGCTAGCATCTTTTCGTATACCTTTCGAGTCCTCTCATTGTCTGGATGGTCACTCGAGATGATCTTAAATGTTACAGTAACTGCTGGTATCGTGTACCGCATCTGGCAAACAGGTCAGCAGACAGCTGCTCTGACCTCCGGCGGCGGCTTCAGGTACAAAGGCACCATCATAACGATCGTGGAATCTGGGGCGCTCATCGCAGCCTGTACATGCGTGATATTTTGTCTATGGGCAGCAGGTAATATTGCAGGGTTAGTGGGAAGCAACATTGCAATACAAGTCGCTGTAAGCCTCCAGTTCCTGAGCGTCTACAAACATGATGACTGATGAAGGTTTAAACATAGACAATGACCCCTCTCCTCATTATTGTTCGCGGCGGTCTTAGACGCTCTCATTCTAATCTTGGATCATATGAGAGATACTCATACACTCTAGATCCTTGGAGGTCAACGTCCTTTGTTCGCAAATTACAGACAGAGATTGCCCAATGAATATCATATCTAAATGCAAGGGTGCGGGCGTGAGCGTCGTCGTCTATAGCACAGGAGGAAATGATTGGGTAGGAGAGAGATTGATCTCGGAGGATGCAGTATCAAATGGTGTGAAAGATAGGAGTTGTTGCTCGGGTTAGCTTGGCGCAAATGACACTGACAGGTATGAGCGTTGATGTATCAATCAAAATCGGAGACAACTTTGATGCTTCTCAGATGAATCATATCGCATCTCGACACCAAATTGAGTCCATACAGCTTCCCATGAAGAACGGTATCCCATTGGCATAATTATCCAGCGAGCCAACGAGCGAACCCACTAATGTTGTGACAGATTGCACGCTTTCCAAAGTCACTTGAGCCAGGATCATGGAATCACAAGCAATAAAGGAATGTAGCAGACGCTGATGTGGGAGCTGACGGGAGACATGTACAGCGCAAAGCAGCGCGACTTTAGCGTGACATTGTCGATCTGACAAGGGCGGTTAAACTGGCCCCACATTCCAATATAGAGATTGCAACCAGGCACCAATGGGACCTGATACATGATGGGACTCCTTTACGTATGCGTGAAAGTCGCTCCCTGCTGTCTGATGAATATTGAATGGTGAGTGATTCCCGGCAGACACGCTGTAAATTGACAATCATAATCATAATCACAGCATTTTATCTGTGCGGGTTGCAACCGTCGAACCGACAAACCAAGAGTCGTGGGCCGCTCATAGCCCACGATTATGTAATAGAGGCATCTGAATTGATACTAGTGATGTGGTGACTCGCTGGAGGAGATACGTGGTGTGAGATAGGTAGTAGTAAACCATGACTTGCTTTCCTGTCTTCCGAGTCGAACCCTTGAAGTAAGTCTATTGGTGCTCATCTATCTAGTATCATCTAGCGTGCTCGTTAAGCCTCGCAAGAGCGCAGGATATGGGGTATAGCCAGCAAAGGCATCTCTCCAAACGAGAGTTCAGGAAGGTCCGATGAACGTTGCCAGTGCGCAAGAACTCAAGCTCTAGGATGTAGTACTTGAGGAGAATTGAGACCGAGAATTTGAACCGCCGGCATCGGGTGCAATGTCCATTCTGCGTGAGATGACATCTACTCGTCGAGTCATGCTGTTACGGTGTTGCTGCACATTCCAACTGGTTCCAAATCGATAGGCAAGATTCTATTTTCCTTCACTCACCGACGTTGTTTAATTTTGGAGTGGTTAGTCAGGAATGTCAACAAAGATGTAGCACCGTGACAGCTTCGAAACCGAACACCATCATATCCATCATCGGTGCTGGACCACTGCCGATAGCCTAGCGCACCCCAGACATTTGACTACCAGGCGTGGAATGACCGCAGGGATGACAGGCATGATATATCTCAACACCAGAGCATGAGCCTATCGAACTCGCGCACTTCAGGGAGCAGTGGAAGGTCGAAACGACTCGGACAGGTTGCTGCATCGGGCGCGCGAACTCAACTTGTTCTCAGTGCCAGCACGATTGCAGAATGCACCATTCCCCTAACTTAGAGCGACAGCGATACAAATGCTAAGAGTCCAGAGTAGTGTTACCATCGCTAACACATTTTCTTCATCCCGGGGACTTGGAGCCCATAGGTGCGCCTACCATCACAGTGTACACATGTACCTCCAGAGTACGCTTTACAATGCTTTTTTCCACATTCAGGCAAGTGGGCGCAAATCCAGCATTGGTAATGGCGTTTGCTACAAGGAAGCAAATGAACATTATGTTACGCCGCTCACGTGCAGCTCATCCACCATTTGCAGTAGGTCTTTAATGGTCCAGCCGCGCATGATCAAGTCATGCGCGTGGTTCAAGAGAGTCATCAGCCGCTTGACTAGTGGATACGGAGCTCTTGAGCAATTGTGGTACTTGCTCGTTGCATCGTGGCAATAATGTGATTATCGTGCAAACCGTGATCGCGCTTTACCGAATCTAGTGGACGCGTCTGCTCAATTAAGTGGTTTGTTATTCATCCAGTCCACAAGTCCACCGATTATTCAGCTATAAAACTCGCTGCTCGACATGACATCTTCCATCAACTCATCTTTGCTTCATTCGCATCATGATTTTCTTCACTGAACCTGTCCGAACGAGTCCCTATTCTCTCGACTACTATCCCTACCGCCCCGTAGTCTTACTCTCTGCGCGTGCGCGTGCTACGCTGTATCTCGCCGAGCAGCGTGAACGTGCATGGGCTCTGCGTTACCAGCAGCAGCCTGTGGATCAGCCTACCCAAATTGCCCTCCTTGCTCAAGAGTGCGACGAATTTCCCGACCAGGAGTGCATGATGCACGTCTTGCGTACCTGTGCGCCGCAGCATGAGGACGAAATTGGCTACATGATGGCCTACAAGCACGCTGAAATGCGGCATGCCAAGCACGCAATACGCCAAATAGCTGAAATGCAGCGGACTACGACCCTACAGTTGCAGGCTTTGGCTGATTTACGATCTGACATGGAGGAGGCACAGATTTTTGCCCACCACCGTGCAAATACCGAGAAATTCCTCGAGGAAGCTGAGATCTACCTTGAGGATTTTCTACCTCCGGATCAGGAGTCATGCCTCACTATCTTTGAACCTTTTGACCTGCCTGATGATTCCGTATGTCCTCACTCGTCTAGTAACCCTTTTTCATGTCACTTACACACTCCTCAGATCTCAACTTCCACCTCCAAGGTCAACGAAGAGGGAAATACATCCCCATAGGAGGGAAAAGGAAAGGCCAAGGGGATCCCTGGATTTGAAGAAGACTTTGTGACTGTGTTGTTAGCTGAAGCGGCGTCATATTGCTCCAGGCTTGTATCTTTCAATTTAGATGTTACCTATGTTCTATGTTCTATGTTTAATGTTCTATGTACACCTGGTTCATATTTACTTTATTGCAGTACTCCAGATTGTACTAACAAACTGCAAATGCATGTAACGCATGGTAATGGGCGCATCAATCATCGACGATCACCCCAGCAGATCCTAGTACTCTATGAAGCACAGTACGTGTGATTAACTGAAACTTGTTCTATTGCTGGTTGGTCGCATGCCCATGACAAGAAATTCACCTTCAGGTCATGTGGGATCCTTGAACATAATACATCTCCAAGTCCCACAGTATGTACATGTCACCCTAGGGAGTTCAGTCCTGGTGTTGTGCACTGCTACAATTTAGTATCATTGATCTGATAATGATTCGGCACTGTGCGCATCATTGAAATAAACACGTGAAATTGTAGATCCTGTTATGGGCCCGGGGCGTGACATCCGATATCCCACACTTCATTTTGGACGCGTCACTACTACAAACAACGCAACCAGTATCCATTCAAAATTCAACTAGTCCTTCCTATTTGCTTTACACTGTAAAAGTCTCTTTGAAACGGAACAAATCAGCATTATCGCTGGAGCGAATGACCTCATTCTGAGATACGCCAAGCTGGTAAGTCATAGCCTTACAAATTTCCTGCAACCGACCGAAGGGAGCCTTGTTTATGGTAAGTCACAGCGCTTATATTGCATTGGACTGAAGCCGATCAAAACTTGTTACCCGCAGTCGCTATCATACTCTGTTGATGGGATTACTAATGAAGGCCCCTGGCATCTAGCTCTTCCAAGTAAAATGTCTTCTGGGCAGACGCTTGCCCAGATGAATCTCACGTGTTTATGGCTCGAGACCATACTTTATGGTAGAGTAGACAATTTGGTGGGAATTGCAGATGCTGAACGCTTTTGCAGGAATCAAGTAATTCGTTCACTTCCCATGAGGCATAGGTCAATCTAAATGAAAATCATAGTTGCATATTATTCGGTACATGTGTTTACGTCATCTCAATCAAGGGTCCAGCCTACAGGTGAATATTCACCACTGTCCTTTCATCTGCGTCCTGATTTGTTTACAGCAAGCTTCTGCTCTGTGCTACCTCGTTTCAATTTGCTCTGGCAACTACACATGTGATATTGATGTTTGTGCAAGCGATGATCGCATTCACAAACGCGACGAATGTTATTACCCCTGATGGGGCAAACTTGTACTATGCAGCTACCGCAGGAAATCGCGTTTTCTTATTCTGTCAGTTAATCTATATTTTCAATGTGAGTTTGAAATTTTATGCCGCTCGCTTGACGTTGAACGAAATGATTGTTAATGTAGGTATTTACTCAAGAATTGCTTTTGGTCAGTACATGCGGCAAGAGAATACATGCATTTTCTCATGCACAGTCCTTCCAAAGATATGGAGACTCTATGTCGTCTGGAATCAGGATATCAAAGTTTGCATTCTACCAGTAATTCAAACCCTGAATTCGGACGTTGTTAATGATACTGAACCTCTCCTTCAGCTCATCATGTGGGTAGCCCACTGTGGTACGCATCCATGTTCTAGTTGCTGCATTGTTATGTGAATATGACTTTCACAGTTACCGCTTCTATCGCCGTCGCCTTGCTCGCGCCCAAGCACACCAACATCTTTTCCCATACTTTTCGAGCCTTCGTATTGTCTGGATGGACACTTGAGATGGTCTTAAATGTTACGGTAACTACTGGTATCGTATACCGCATCTGGCGAACAGGAAAACAGACAGCTGCTCTGACCACCAGCGGAAGCAGCGGCTTCAGGTACAAAAGCACCATTATAACGATCGTGGAATCTGGGGCGCTCATCACAACATGTACATGTGTGATATTTTTCTTATGGGTAGCGGGTAATGTTTCAGGGTTAGTGGCAATCGATATTGCAATGCAAGTCGCTGTAAGCCTCCAGTTCTCGAGCGTTTACAAACATGATGACTGATGAAGGTTTGAATATAGACAATGACCCCTCTCCTCATTATCGTTCGCGCTGGTTTTAAACGCTCTCATTCCAGTCTTCAAGTTGGATCATCCGAGGGACACTCATCATCCTACCCTAGGTCTCTGGAATTCAACGTCGCTACAGTCAGCGATTACCCGATGGATATCATTAAATGTGGCACTAAACGTGGCACTAAAGGAAAGGATTAGGTGGCCGAGAGATGTTGGTCTCCGAGGCTGCAGTTTATGTGGAAGATATGGAGTTGCTGGTTGGGTTAGCTTCGCGCAAGTGATACCGATAGGTATGAATGTTAACGTATCTCTGACTATCTTCGAATCCCATCGCATCTCGACACCAAATCAGAGGTCTGTTCTGATTCGAGTGACTGCGACGTTACGAAGCCCATGTCTAGACTGAAGACATTCTGAGTATGACTTATTGTTGACTTATTGCTGGGACACTTTCACTAAATTCTTTCCTTTAACATGTCTACGGAGAAGTCTGCGAAGGATTGGTATAACACTGTCGGGAGTCAAATAGTAGGGCCCCTTGTCTTGATGCGATTGGCCATCATCGGGATGGACAGGCGAAGTACCACACCCGCACTGGTCGCGAAAGTCCAACTAGGAATTGTTCCGATGTAAAAGCCAGTTCAATCCTGCTTGAGGTCACTAGGTTTTGGTAGATTGAGCGAAAGAGTTGACTGAGCATACAATCGCAAGGCTCGAAGGCCAGTTGGTACTCTGATAGAAGACTTGAAATACCAGGGGAATGCGACGCCCTCTTCCAGTGAATGAGCGATCGGGTGGACACCACGGAGCCCAAAGAATAATTGAATACGAGAATATGCTGTGACAAATGTAATTGCGTGCGACAGTGCATAAGGTGTGTATCATACAGTATTAAGTCCAGGCATAGCATATCGTAATCCACTCACCGAGATCTAGTCTCTACATACCGAAGAAACAGTCAAAAACACAAGACAAATTCACTCCGCCTCCGCATCATACTCCTCGTCCCAGTTCTTCCTCGTCCCGTCCCCGTTGACGCTCAGCCAAGCTTCAAGTCTGCGTCCCAATTCCCCGCCTCGCCCGCCACAGATATCTCCGGTGGTATTTAACATCTGCTCCTTCTCCCGCTCCTTCTTCAAGGGTATGTGTCCAGCCTTCTTTCGTCGCTTGAATGACGCAGCCTGTAGCGCACCAGAATTAGCACAGCTGCTCGCTTGGCTCTCTGCGCATACAGGCGCACTCGAGGCAGATAGCGCCTCCGTGGTACACTCTGCATCTTTGAACCATTCGTCCTCAGTGTCCTCGGGCCCAAGTATACTGTCGACGAGGCCTTCCTCCCATCCGTCCCATTCGACACACCTGTGAGCCATGCGCAACCGTGCGCCGATGGCTTCGTAATGCAGCCACTCTTTTGCGACCGTAACAGCATTCACGGGTTTGCCATTGTTCTTTGCTGGGTGCGTTGGCCGAGGAGCTCGGCCACAAGCCAAATCCTCGACCGCTTCTCGGAACATGCCAGTCGTGAATGGACTGGATTGTAGGAAGGTTGGAAGATGCGCACATGCCCAGAGGGGCCGGGTAGTTGTAGATTCCCAGTCAATAACGCATGTCTGTTTAAAATCATTCATCAGAACAAAAATACACGCTAAGTAGGTAGAACTTACTATTTCCGTGGGGTTGTTTTCGTCGACGAACACGTTCTCCAAGCTTATGTCGTGACAGTCCAGACCGAACTCTTCTTTCTCCCCAGAATGATCCGCGCACGCCCCGAGTCTCTCCATCATACGCATCCAGCGACCCATCTCTTTTCGTACAGATTCCTCACGTCGCATGATGTGGGAAATTAGGAACGTGCTTCTCTGCATGCGCCTGTAATCCCTGTACATGACATCACCAGGGCCATCCCATTCCTCCTCACTCTCCTGTGCGTCCCATTCGTCACTGTCGTCACTCTGATCGCCGGGTACTGCGTTCAAGTGGTGATGCCGGGAAGATTGAATCTCATCCGGGTCAAGATGTAGCCGGTGCGGTGCCGTCTTGCCCTCATTCTCGAGAACAACGCCCCGGACCTCCCGGTCCATGCATGAGGCAAGATACGAATGAGTACTAGACCACGGGCCACGGTCAATCTCATCCGGATGGGAGAGGTCCCCGCGATTGGATCCGAAGAAGGGCCATGATACGATGGGACCAATATGAGGCACTCTAGCTGAAGTTGGCCGTGAGACTGTTCTCTCCAGGGGTTCTGTGGCATTGGAAAACGAACTCATAGATAACAGTGGCATGAATTTGAAGCCGTTGATTATAGGACGCGTCGCGGTTGGTGTCGGGGAATTTGATGACCCGACCGAGAGAGGGGTGGGTGCGCCTGTGCCCGCGCCTTCTAAATATAGTGATCCGATGTGCGAGAATCGCTGTGCGAACAGGGGTACTATGATAGCTGCAACATTTGCGAACAGAGATTTGAGTTCTTGATTAGAGAGTGTGTGGTATACGCGTGACAAGGGAACCCCTTTCGCCTAATATGACACGTGACCTTCAAGGCACTCGACATGACAACGGAGAGATAAGACGTACCTTCGACATGAGGATATACTCACCCCCTAGGCGATTGTAGGGATTTGCATCATAATAATAGACATCCGGAACAGGAATGGACGTCCGTTCGCGAAGGTAGTGCATGGTGGCCACCTCAGATTCAGTTTTGAGGCGAGGCATGAACCGACGAGCGACGCGAGCGACCAGCTCGCGCGCGTCAACAAGAGTAACGAGATATGCCTGCAGCAGACATCAAGACGTCAAAATAAGTAGGGTGGCCCCTGAGCTGTACACTTGCCTTATGAAAAGTCCCTGATGTTGTAATTTTAGTGTCCTGCTAGCCCTGGAAGATGAAGATGACGTACCGGAACTCATGAACTTTATTCGGCCAACTTCGCAGGCGGTCATCTCTCGTACGACATCTTTGAGGACCCTTCGGTCGACTTGAAAAGGCTGTGCGCCGTGCATTGCTGCGTCCGCTTTTGCTTCAAGCCGTCGGTCATGGTGTTCAACATCCCAATCCCAATCAATGACCGTCGTCGAAGCTGATGCCTGCGGTAATGGAACAGTGCCAGGTAGCAGAGGTATGTCCTGCGCAACAGCATTGACGGGGTCGCCGTGGCCGTTGCGCTGCATTATCACCTGGGGTTTTACTGAACGTTCGTTATGAACAAAGGGTCTGTTTAATTTGTCCGAGTGCGCCAGGCGCAAGTTGCAGGGGGAATCGAGGGTGTCGGGAGCGAATCTTGGAGAGTGACGGTTCAAAATCAAGGAGCAGATACGCGCATCAGGTTTCTACGTACCTGCTCGTAATCTCTTTCGGTAATGCTATATTATATTTGGCCTTGTTTCCGTGTGTTTCGGGAATAGGGACAGGCATGATCCACTAGTACTTGTTTGAAGCTCTCAAGGCGTTGAGTATCAGAGAGTTCAGTTGGGGTGAACGGTAAGGCTGCTCCGAACTGGCCAACGGGTTTTATATCTTATGGGTTTCTCGGTTTCCCCGGAAGAAACCCTTGGCACCGCTTGTATGTCACTGTTTACCAAATGGACGTTATGCGGCGTGCGCAGCCATTACTTATCATCTTTCTATATATTTAGTCCTACTATATAAAAACTTTGACGCCGTGCACTCAATTGAATTCTGTTCTGTGTCAATGCATAATATGAAGTGGCATGTGACAGTGATAGGCCTGGACCTTGCTGGCATGGAATCTCGACGAGTCTTTTCCGAGTACCGGACCGAGTAAGTACAGCCAAGCGTTGGCTCCAAGCGAACTTCGATCCAAGCCGTGGCGTGAGGCCGCCTATGAACTAGTCAACTATGAGTAAACTAGATGATCTGATCTTACCAAGCCTCGGTCGACTGTGGGACCAATCATTTATTCTTGATCACTAATCAACCTTGCTTTGATCGCAGTTGCTTATCCTACCAGTAAAAACAAAAATACATCTTCACGGTAATAAAACATTCGGCGCAAGGAGCTAGCACATCTTCGTGGCGCTGCCAAGCAACTGCCAAGTGCAGTGCGGTGGCTGCGATCACTACTACACCCTGCACGTACTTCTGTACGTCGACATCGCGTCATGATTACGAAAACACAAGGCGGAACCAAAAAAATAAATACATATACACTCCAAGTGAATTACAACACCGTATGTACAACAATCAAAAATACGCCACTAAGCCACAACAGCTAGAGCCGCGAGTCCTGCGTAATAAATAGTATCAACACAAGTTCGGCTCACGCAACCTCAAGGAGACCTTACATACGAAGAAGGCTCAGTACAAATAACCTCATCTACCCTCTTCTTCAGCCACTCTATCACATCCTGTCCCAGTGTCGCACAATCATACAACTCCAGGTGCTGCAGTCTCGTCGGTATAACTCCATTTACCATCGTCGCAGATCCCGACTCTGGATTGCGAGCCTCCACAAGCTGCACCAGCTTCGCTATCCCATCAGAATGCGCATGACAACTTTTCATCGCCACCGTCGTCAAATTCGGGCACGCCCAATGGGTCTGTTCCTCGTCGGGCATTCCGAGCGCTGACAAAAATGGCTCGAGCGGCGTCCCGCCTATGCTCAACGATTGCAGATGGTTTAGGTCCGTTAAGAAACCCCACGAGATGACGACTCCGCCGGGGCCATAATAAAGCGTCGAGCTCGAGGTACTGCCGTACGAGACAGAGAGGCGGGTAATCGGTGGATTGTTCGAGCGTTGTAGGAGATTGGTAATGGTGTCTTCTATCGGATCACGGGCTTCTACATCGAGGTTGAGTATCTCTAAAGAGGGAAGCACGAGCGAGTCCGCTAGTTGCGACATGTGGTAGTGACCGCCAAAGGTGAGTTCACGAAGCCGAGGTAACGAAGTCTGGACAAGGGGAAGAATAGCTGGCAGAGCAACAGCAAAATATAAGGTGAGCGATTCAAGATCTGGGTTACTGGCGATAATGTGCATGATGCGATCCAACGGTAGATGATTCGATGGAAGTGAACGGAGATTAAGCGACCGTAGATTGGTTTTGAATATTGGTGATGACCATTTGAATGGGACGTGGTGTAACATCAGTGACTCTAGTTTGCCAAGAGCCATACTAGTCGCTGGACTTGAACTCGGTATCCATGGCCATTCACTCGCATAAATAGTTTCGGCGCAAGAGATTTCAAATTCTCTAAGTATGGGGGCGTCGCCTATTACTTTCCCATTAAATAACATTGAATCGTTTTGAGCATGGTTACGTACCAGCTATTGATTTCAGCGCGGACATGGATGGAAACTGCCTGTCGAACCTGAAGACAAACCGTTGCCATCGGTGCATTTGCTCGATAAGGTAGAATATTGCGATATGGCCCCAGTGAGCGTTCCGCTGAGCTTGTGGGGTATTTCTTGAAGAAGGTGGAGGGGGTGAACCCCATGAATCGTGATGCGAAGGTGATTGCGGGACAATGATAGGAGTATGGGCGGGTGGTAGGAGCATCGCTGTTCCCGGAGGGTGTGGGATCACATAATGAGGTGGTGGACTGGGCGGATGCAACCATGGCGTAGGTGAGGCAGGTCGTGTACGGGTCGATGAGCCCTCATTAGACACACCGTTGACTCGCAAGTAAATCTCGATATCGAGCGGCACTTTGTCTCCAGAACGTTCCAGCCAAAGCCGTATGGTATCGGCGGTTGCGCTTTGATTTGTCACGAGTCTTATCTAGCATGAAAGAGTCAACATCATGAAGGAGCAAAGGAGATCAAGAACGAGCTACGAGGGCAGTAATTAGTAACTGCCTCCACCGCACACAGATACGAGGATATCGATACCAGCTTCTATGACGCAATACCAAAGTTGAAAGGCGAAGAATTGCATCATCTCACCTTGGACCACAGCCTCGGCATTGACAGCGTGAGTCTTCGCCATAGCGTGCAGACAGATGCAAGCACCCAAGCACAGCAAGGATGATCATCGAAGTTGAAAAGGAAGATATGGCGGAGTAGTTCATGTGGCAACCGGCGTATAGGAGAGATATACGCCTTTGTATATATCACCTTCTCCTCTAACAACAACTTTTCGCGTCGTAGGTCACGTATAGCGCGCTTTCTCTCGACGACAATTTGAGCCAGGGCGTCTTCCGCGGATGTAATCTTTTCCGAAAGCGCTAAGAGCTGCTCTTGCTGTGCCTGGAGCTCTCTGCGAGCATCAGCAACAGCTGCGTCCGTTGGTGGCTCCGGATAATGGGCTAAATATGCGGAAGGCGTCATGACGGACGATAGTGTGGATGTGTTCACGGTGAGAAAAGGCGGGACAGGAACAACAGGTTGGATGAGCTGAAACTGATGGAAAGTCCCATATATGGCCACGTGGGTTTTGTGGGCTTGGCCCTTGGGGATGGCGGAGTGACGGGGCCCCTCATGTCTTCCGAGTTTTCTGTTTTATCTACCAAAGTTGTATCATCGTTCATTCAGGCTGTCGATACCCCAGTCTCAACGACCTAAGCCTAGTTAATCAAGCGACGATTTTAAAAAGACTTTGTATCGGAACCGAAACTAATATTTGCTTATCTATCCATGACAACCAGAAACAACAGCGTGGAAAGGTAGTACAACATTGTATGGATAAGTATGAAGTAACTGCCATAAGGGACGTTCGACCGGTGAGAGATGCCTCGGCTACTTCTTTCCTGCCTCAATGGCATCTCCATTCTTGCATGCGATTATTTTTATACGAGCCGCTGAGACCATTTCGTTCGATTCCATCTTGAAAGACGGGTTCTTGACGATGAATGTCCACACATCATCGCACAAACGGTATGTCCGAAGGTTGCCCTGAAAGACAAAGGATAAAAGCTGTGAGAAGTCTTTCATTTCAACTCAGAAACGAACGAGCCTTGAGGGTAGTCTTGGTTTTCACCTGCTTGACCATCGTGTCCGCGAGCGACTTGTCAAACTGTAAGAACTCGTGGTCAACTCTCATTGACATGACAGACATTAAATCAACAAATACCTGTTGAAGGACTTTCATGGCCAATTGCGGTGTGATAGCGCCGCTTGTGATAAGCTCGTCCAGCGAGTCTGTCAGGGCCATTCCAATTCTGCAGCCGTGAACAGCCAAACGATCAGGTAAACCGTTGGAACATACGATGACCCTCGGTAAAACTCGTAGTATGCTGAAGCCATGCTAATTTGCAGCAGTCCTCGGCTTCAGAGTGAAACAGGCGGGAATTGTAGAGAGCCGCTTCTGACCGCTTGCTGCCATGAGCTGCGGCAATGGTTGGTGGGTAATGCCACCGTGACGTGTGATGTCACGCAAGAGTGAACTTTGCACAATGCAGATCTGAATGTTGCAACACTCAAATTCTATGCACAAATGTCTTCCACCGTTTATCTCGATATTTTTATGGGAGATGAAGAACAGCACAAACTCGATGAAGCCGCATTTATTGCCACTCGCAATTTCCTCGCTAATCATGCAGCAATCTACGGCTTGCCATCCGATCCACATCATCTATCATCAGAGCAACAGGAAATGCTCAGAGAAATCGATGTATTTGCATTTCTGCCGATTGCTCTACTGTCAACATATTCAAAGACATCCATCTTCTAATCGTCGATAGAAATCGCATGTACTACGCTTCATGCCCGCAGAGGCCCTTTGTGTCGGCCGCCTCGTCTTTGAGTTGAACCCCGAGGCCTCTCTGAAAAAAACGACGACCAATTTCACTGCGCTTTGTACAGGGGAGAAAGGAAAGTGTAAAAATTCACGTAACAAAGAGCTATATTACTTGGGATGTCCGATACATCGCATTGTGAAAGATTTCGTGGCGCAGGGGGGCGATGTTACAAGGGGAGATGGCAGTGGCGGTGAGGTTCGTGCTCGAAATATAACTCATCAATTTTCTGATTTCACCCAGTCGATATATGGCGGCAAATTCAACGATGAAAAGGATGGCTTGAAGATCAAGATGAGAAGAGGAACACTGGCGATGGCTAACTCCGGAAAAAATACGAATTCTTCCCAGTTCTTCATTGTGCTCACGGATGACGAGATGCAACTTGCAAAGTTGAACGGCAAATATGTGGCATTCGGAGAATTAAAAGCGGGATTTGAGGTACTGGACAAGCTGAATCAAGTTGCTGGGGATGTCAATGGGAAACCCAATGTACCAGTGTGGATAGGCGGATGCGGGAAGGCCAATCATGTAAAATGACACGTAACAAGAGGTGGAGTGCTCACCCAAATCCAGACAGTGGGATGTAATGATAATCGACTTACTCGTTCGGGACTGGCACTTCTCCCGCGAGTGGAAACCACATAAGGAGGCGAGGTCGCTTAGAAAAACATGAGTTGTCTTGTTATGCTATGTGGGGAAAGCATACATTCAGTGTCACGTTCTCCCTATATTTGTGTTATTTAGACCGATGATAACTGATGTGAGACAAATCGCCCACAGAGGCCCTTGGAGCGAAAACACCTGCAGATAGAATTCAGGGTCCTAAGAAAAGTTGTCCGATCACGTTATCATGACCAGTACTCACTTGCTATCAAGATCCACCAATACAACGTTACTGCGGATATATTTGTAGGGCAGGCATGCACGACTCATGTCTGAAGTAATATTATAGGGCGAAGAAGTCTGAGAGAAGACTCGCATTACGCGATCCATCTTGCATGGTAACGCTGAGCTGGTTGCTTGTAAATGCCTTCGTGTCAGATGTATCCATGCTGGCAGAAGATCAACAAACAGCCAAGAAGGGATGCAACTATGTACTTATACTGCTGAGATGATCCAGCCTCGTTTCGATTGAAGCGCGACTCTCGGCATAACCGCGGCCTCGTGTGCGTTCTCAGTTTGATAGAAAACCTGCAAAATGGAGACCAGCCTGTGGCAATCAAACCATGCGCGACGGATCATGATGATCGACGGGTTTTGAAGAAGCTATGCCAGCGGGCGGAGCCGTGTGATAGGCAGGTGACCAATGCGCATGATTACCTATTTCAACATCGCCGTTAGCCTGAGATATACTAGATGGAGATGTTGTGAATGAGAAAAACAAGCTGGGGATCCCCAGCAGCCCACCACATGATTAGTTTAGGGTGTAGAGAAGCAAAGGAGCTTACATAAATGTTGATCATGAAACTTTACAGCAATAACGCCAACGCGGTTGCAACGAGGATCTGGCAGGGAATAGATAATCAGAACTAGAATGAACTTATCACTATCACAGACACTATGTGGCCGGCGGCATTGAGAAAACCTTAACCGGTGATAGCCAGTCACTGACTAAGGCTTGTAGCTCCCTCTGACAAACTTCCGTTCAAGTCGCAAAGAGTTTGGCTCATAGATAATCCTGCTTAGCACATGGCTTAGACTGCCGTTGCAATTAATGCAATTAATATGAAAAATGAACATGAGTCGGGATGAGAAATATGAAAACTCGGAAACTAACCACCCGACGGGAAACATTAATGAGAAAGCAAGATCCAGCGGGAATGAACACTAACGCAGTTTTCTTTGGCTGGACAGTCCTCGAGATCCGCAGGGCTACGATCCGACACAGGTTCCTGAACCAACAGATTCACATCCACGTCACTCATACGTTCACAAAGAACTAGTGCCTTCTGATGGAATCCTGCGGGAACACCCTCGACCCTCCCTGGCAGCAAGATATACGGCAGAATGGGAGTGAGAAACAAGCGATGAGCCACCCTGACACAATTGACGTGTCGCCACGGATGGTCGCAGAAACCAAATTTCAGTCTTGTGACTGTGGTGTAGCATGAGGCTGATAACGTACAAATTGGTGATATTCCCCTGTGACTTCGTAAAAATCCACACTTCTTGCGGACTGGTGCCAGCGTTTTCCGTCAATAGATTTTCCAATTCAGCAGCTGCTGGCTGTTTCGGGAGTGAACTTTCGAATTTCCGTGGGTCCATAGCACGCCTTGGGAAGCTGTTGAGGTCCAATCGTATAATAGGACCCAGAGACCACCGAGGAACGACGTATTCGCCCAAAGGGTAGGTATCTAAAGCGCAAGAATGAAGTTCACAGCCATATTAATGTTGATTCCGCGCGATGGAACGCAGGAAGAGCAAATAATACAACTCAAACACGCGACGCCCTGCCAGATGAGTAGAGAGAAAATTAAGCAGTTAATACACATCATGGATGATCAAATTGTCAAAGCTGGGCCCTTCATTACGACCGAGCCACCCTGTGACTTCCACGAGTGAGAATACGTTGTGCAAGCTCGGATGTAGTAAAACGAAGAGAGAGGAAGACGTTGAGTAACAAACGTCAGCATTATGGCATCCTCAAGAACTAAAGATGTTTGAGCAAGTCTTTTTCACTCTTCAGGGAACTGAATTTGAACGACTTGGCAGCTAGTGTACCGTGAAAAACCATTATCTACGTGAATGACTTGAGACCTAGTTATTAGTCAAACAGCAGTGTACGTGCACGGCCGGGGTTACATCAAATGTAAAAAAAGCTTAGCGCTTAGTTATGAACACTGCAGGCAGACTTGACTAAAAGTCATGATCGCGTGAAAATGGCAGGGGCGACACTGCTAGTATCATCGATCTCGACTCCGGGAAACTAGATCAGTGCTTGCTTGGCACCCGTGGCACCGAGAAACAATACCATTCTCCCGCCGGCAAGCTTACTACTTAGTAGTATCGGTGAAAGTTTGGCGAAACATGGATTGAAATTTTTGCTGCGCCCGGATCCGTGGCGGGCTAGGAGCGGCTAGGCCGGTTTTGCCGCTGGCAAATGACTGACCCTCTGATTTCTCCATGGGGAATATCCACCTTACGGGACAACATGATGTAGCAGAGTCCAGACCTTGAAAGTTGTTCTGTCCAACAGAACCTGAGCCTGCTAGCTGCCTACTGGAGGACAAAGTTTCAAACCCAATCAAAACCTTGGTGACCGTGGAGCTCGCAGTCACGTCATCTTGTAAAGTCACACCTTCTGCGCTAGCACACTTCGCCGCCATTCTTGTCACCTTTGGTTAGGTTGAGCCCACCGTTAGGCCAGTAATCACATACAGTCATCATTGCACAACTTCCTCGGTGTCTCGCGTCATTCAGGTTACTAATACTTGGTTTGTATTATATTGCTTGCCCAGAAGAGCGAGCATCTTAAGACATCCTCTGCGAATGCACACTAACTCATGTTCAATTTAACCACGTCCGAGCCCTTTTGGGGTACGAGATCTTCGGAACCGGGAATGCCAATCGGAATCTCCACAAGCATAGAGGATTATAGCTGATCGTACCGTAGCCTGAGTCGGGGATAGCGGTTTAAGCAAGAATCGCTGCGGATGGTGTGTCGGACCCTCGGTCGCCATTATGTCAATTTTGGTAGCATCCTCGTCGTCTTCTTCGTCGAATTGTTGAGATGACGTGGACGTCGATGCCGAAACGTCGACGATTGGAGCCAGCGCGAGAGGGTTTGCCTTCCCATTCGGAAGCACCTCCTGAATGCGAGCTCCAATGCCGTAGTTCTCGCTGCATTTGAAGGAGATTCTTTAAAACAATGGCCGTGATCAGGACTCAGATCATTACAATGCACGCGCAGTCAGAGAGGCGACGCGCTGGATGCCACGAGGTCGCGGAATGAACCATACTTCCCACCCGTCACTCATCACAGTCACAGTCCAGGCAGTTCCTCGCGTAATCAATCCCCCACCTCGCAAATAACTCGTAAACTGAATTAACCGTTAGTATTTATCTTCATTTTCTGGTTCCTCGATCATTCTAGGACTCCGTCCACATCAAGGAACGTGGGCGGCTCGATATGAAGACCGCATTTGGGAGTCTGATCCCTATGTTAGGTATCGTTCCAGAACCATAATAACCTGGCGGTAGTCGACTGTACCTCAGGGCTTGCACCCTTTTTTCAATTGCGGTTCGCAAACACATACATATATATATTGCACGAGTCGATCTTGTTCAAACACCACCTTCGCCTTTGGCAGCTCTCTTCCAAATGAACTTTTGCGTTGCTCCTTGCCTCACTCTGTCCCCAACGGCTGACAGTTGTCCCTTCGAGGCCATCAGGCTATCGTTCACGGGCAATGTCAGGCTAGGACCAGGAGTATTCACCCCTGGTGGCTCAATATCCATTTCATCACCACATGCTGAAATCTGGCTTCAAAATAAACAGGTTAGAGAACGCATATTCTAATATGACGAACAGACACTAAAGATCCATTCCAGATACTTATACGAGATCAAAACACCACACATGGAACATATGTGAATGGTATCCGAATAGTACAACAAACTCTCTTGCAGAATGGCGACATCCTCGTACGTATTCGCGTTTAAAACGCAATATACGCGTTGAATTTTACGTTTTCACAGACATTGGGTGCTCCAATAATGCGGTCCTCTAGTATCCCCAACCATGTAACCGATGCACAACTCAAGCCCATCAAAGCAACGGTGACCATTGTGGGCGTCTGATCTCCCAGCGGCAACTATAGTGCCAATCATCATTCTCGTGGCCTGTCTGTGGGTGTCGCGACCTGCGCAATTCAAGGGCCCACCACTGCCTTGGCATCATCATGCGCTTGCCCTTCGACAGCATGCACTCCGAGTCTTCGTTTCTTTCCTTCTTTTGTATCGATCGTCCTTTGATCACAGCGTCCACGATACGCTTGCATAGTTGAAGCATCTTTAAAGATTTCCTTCTGCTTAGCTTAGATGTGCGACCTAGTTAGCATCGAGACTCATACATAGATTAGACAAAAGCTGATGATGGTGTATGATGTACGCAGTAGTCAATCCCTAGATCCAGATTCCAAAGGCGCTCTAAAAGCCACGAAACAGAATAAATTGAAATCTTATCGTACGCGCCAATCTGTCGGACTTCAATTAGGCGATGAGCCGGCAGCAATATGATGGAGCTACGGACGGGTATGAATTTCATACACCAGTTCTGGCGGGCCAATCGTGTAGCTTGATGAAGGTCTCCACCTCATTGGTAGGTTCAATAGGGTCCAAAATCGACGTGAGCTAACATAACTCGCGGCCTCATCGACATCCCTAGCCATCGTATCTTCGACAACTAGTATATCGAGAGCGAGGATAGAGACTTACTTAGACATAGGAAGGCGGTATGGTTCATAGTCTTGCCCTAAGTTCTTGTCAACGCAAAAATTTGCATGCTTCATGGGCGCTTGTCCACACCATGTCCACTCGTTACCATGTTCTGAGAAGAAAGTACTGGGAAGACTGACCAAATGGAGAACACCCTTTGCCGATCTGGCGGCAGAATTTACTCGCCGTGCCCCAAAATGATAGCACAAAAGGTTCTTGTTGTATCAGTTGCGTCGTCACAGAATATTTGATCGCAGTCTCCGGACATGCATAGCTCTTCCACAGCTCGTATAGAACCTTGTTCATGGTTGTTGCAGCGACGATAGGCAGACAATTCAAATTTGATCCTCTCCTCGGACATGCCACTCGTTGAGCCTATGGAGTCATCCCGACTATGAAAATATCTGGTAGATTTCCAATCACACGATGTCTTTCCTTGATCGATGAGAGTTTTAAAGCGTGTAGGCACATTGGAAAATCGAAGCCTCACGGAGGAATGTGCACGAAGGTTAAAATCCGCCTTCGTCTGTACTGTCTATCCACGTCGATCGAGGATCAATTAAAAGTGGAATGTGCGTACTAATGTCACTGAAATCCGACCCGCTTGTAAGCAGTAGCAGTATGTCCTGGAATTGTGTGGTTTGTTAGGAGGGGGTGAATATTGGGTATAAGATGAAGAAGAGTGATAAGCGCCGGGGACGATCTGAAATTTCAGTATGTCCAACTCGTTGCACAAATCATCTTCTCGTCTCCGTTTGATAGATACGACCACTCAAGGTGGTTTGGAAGAAACATGAAACGTAATTGATACCCAATCGTTAATCGGACCTCCGCCTCCGCCATCATCGTCTACAGGAGAGCTCATGGATGACATAACGTTAGATCCCTTCCATGCGTGAGATATTTGGCTTGTTATTCTTGACGTAAACGAGCACCTCGGAGGAGAAGAAATCGCCAAGGGAGGAAATTCGGAAATGAGAAGGAAATTTGAGGTCAGTTGAGGAGACCGAACATCGTCATCGACGACCTTGTCGATCAACAATTTGGAGTTGTGACAGAGGCAACTAGATTTGCCACTGGAGTCAATATTGCTATCATCCAATTTGCAGCGAGGATGACGATATTCTTTCTCCACGGGTGACGTGACCATTCATTAGTACGCCGCGGCCGCGTGATTTGGGTGCAGATCCATGATTGGAATCACACACTCGAAATCTAGTCTCTCAGAATCATCATCAGTCGTAATATTGACACGGTCTTGTTTCTATTCTGGACGCTACCAATTCCTGATGACATACCGAAACAATTTCCTGCTTGTGAGGCATTAATATTGGTAGTCAGCCCCCTAAATCCATTGTTGTGCGACTGCACGATTTAAAGGCGCGGTCTGTGCCTGCCCAGACTTTGATAATCACCACGAGCAAGAAGACCATATGCTCGCACCTCCCAGTCCGGTACTTGTTCCAACAACGGTGAATTCAGCGGGATCTCTGTCAAACTTCTATCCCAGAGTACCGGTAATTCCGAAGGCCGTGCTGCCCAGATTTTCATTTCTGGTGAAATCATCTGCGAAGCGTCGTCATTAAGATTCATGACAGAGTTCAGAGAAACTACTGAGGACCAAGCTTCCTTCGTGCAGGCCCGCGCACCGCAATGAAGTCTGTGATGTATTGTGAAAGTCAGGTGGAGCAGCATATGCCAAAGATTGTGGTAGTTCGGGGCAACGACGATTTATGAGAACAAGACGTCGTGGCGTTTTCTTGCGGTACTAGGTAGGCCCGAATAATGACGCGACAAGTTCGGAGCGCTTCGTCTTGACTCTTCGAGCGGAGACTGAGTACTGATGTGACTCACCAGACTGATAGATCGCGGCTTTAGAATTCAATACCCAGTACCACTCACGTTTCACAAGTTGTTCTGGTTTCCGCGTAGGAGAAAAATGGAACTTTTCTGACTTAGGGGATTCCGAGTCATGTGGGTGTGGGAGCTGACTCAGCACACTGTGCGCCAATCTGAGTCAGCGACTCAGCGCAGCCAACGTTTGTCATCAAACATCATCTCCAGTAGACTTCCAGGGCTCGTTATTTAACCTGCGATTCGAGCAGGACGATTCACGAGACGACAGGAGTATGCATGCTGTCTCTTGGCCAGCGGAGGATAGCGGTATCTGCATGCGCTCGCCCATGCTTACACTCATTCACTACAAATACGACAAGCTCGTCTAACACTGTTTTGTCGATACCATCCATATCCCGAAACTATTGGAATAATCGAAGTAGAGGTGGACAAAATCTTACTGAACGCTACCGCAGACTAGAAAATACTCTCCGGGGGGAAAATGCTCTCATGAAGCAGATATCCGAGATTTCTCAGGATGCATCCAAGGCCAGGGCGCCTCCATTGCTATCCTCCTCGCCCTATGGTGCTCAAAATATTCCCAATACCATCGCGGGCTTTGTGATCCCCAAGGAACCCATACCACCTTCAGATGAAGGTAAATTTTCCACCAAAGCTAAGTTCCAGTGTCTGACATAAGGCAAGAATGTTGCATGTCAGGATGTGCAATTTGTGTCTATGACCTTTACGAAGAATCTCTGGAAGCTTACAAAGAGTCGATTGTGACCTTGCGCTCATCGCTTTCCGCTCTTTCAATACCAGAATCCGAGTGGCCAGACCACGTTCGAACCAATACACCAGCTACACAAAAGAGGCACGATATCGTCCTCAATGCGTTCGAAGAAATGGAGCGTCAGTTGAGGGAGAAGAAGGAGCGGAGAGCTGCAGTTGAAGCGGAGAGTTAGTTTGCGGCTACTAGCTGGGGCTAGCCACTACTAACATTCGGCTTCTGATAGAAAGGACGAGAGGAGAATTAGTCTCAGATGATACGGAGATGTCTCCTATAAACATTCAGATGTTGTATGAAGGCATCAGGTGGTTATTATTCCCAAAACGTTGACTAGTACCATCACTAGTGGGAGATCACTCATATGTTCCGTGTCTGATTCGCCTACGCACGACGTCAATATTATTACTATTTGCACTGTGCATTTTGGATTCTGCCTCCGCCACAAATCATGTGGCCCCTTGTCATCTACCACCACATATGACTTCTAGCACCGCGTTCAAGACCTTCTCGCTAGCAAACGACGTATTTGAAGTTTCGCCTCAAGATGAGATATATGCCTTTGATGTCGAGGCTAATAAGCGGATAAACCGGGAGGCACCATGGGACAAGGAGTATGTCGACGACCCCATATCACTTGAGCAGGCCTCATTGACTCTCCTAATAGTCCACAATACTTCAAATCATGCAAGATTTCGGCCGTCGCCTTAATAAAGATGGAAAGCTCCAACAGCTGAAGTTTCGACGTGCAATCTGACGTTGTTTCTTCTGCAGGTCATTCATGCACGATCAGGAGTGCCACATGAGATCATGGGACTCATGCAAGGCAAAGTGATGGGCAACTCGCTGGTTATCATGGACTCCTTTGCACTTCCTGTGCAGGGCACGGAGACGCGTGTTAATGCTGCGAATGAGGCAAATGAGTACATGGTAAAGTATATCTCGGAGAGCGAGAAGGTATGTAATTGAACCTTCTAGACAACTTGCGCTCACTCTCCCTTAGGCCAAAAGATTGGAGAATGCTATTGGCTGGTACCACTCACATCCAGGCTATGGGTGCTGGCTTTCGGGAATAGATGTGGACACTCAAATGAACAACCAGCAGTTCCAGGATCCTTTCGTGGCCGTCGTGGTGCGTCCATCATCATGTTCCGGCTCGATTGCTGGTCTGACTCTCAATGTGATAGATTGACCCAAATCGCACGATCTCTGCTGGCAAAGTTGACATTGGTGCCTTCCGCACGTACCCATCGAATTACACGCCTCCTAACGTATCCGCTTCCGAATACCAATCCATTCCCCTGAGCAAAATTGAAGACTTTGGTGTGCACGCGAACCAGTACTACCCACTAGACGTCGAGGTGTTCAAATCGAGCTTGGACACTGAACTGCTCGGTCTGTTGTGGAACAAGTACTGGGTTAACACACTCAGCCAGAGCCCTTTGATTTCGGTGAGAGGCTTTTACTAGCTTCAGTTGTTTTCTCATACACCACGTGTACAGAATCGGGCGTATGCAGTGTCACAGATCGTAGATTTGCATCAGAAACTCTCTAAGGCCCAGGCCACAGTGTCCAGTACACGGGCGCCTCTGCCAGCAATGAAGGGACAGGAGGAGAAGGCATCAAGTGCACCCAAAGTAGATTATCCTCCAATTGTCTGTGCACTAAATATTCATACGTGTTTGTTGCAGAAAGAAGAAAAGAAGAAAGAAGACAATCAACTCGCAAAGGGTGTGAAGGATAGGTAGGTTTCTGTTTTTATGTAGTACAGCCAAGCTTATGTTTTTGTAGCATCAAAATCGCTGCAGAGGCTCAACATGGTTTGATATCTCAGGTTTTGAAAGATATCGTTTTCTCTTCGCGACCGAGTCAGCAGGCTGGGGCCAGTGCCAATCGCGTCACCGAGATGATGGATACTGCAATGAGTGTCGAGTAGATCTGCATTTTCTGATCATTCTGCAGTTTGTAATGGTACAATTTATACTACATCCTCTTCATCATTATGAAGAATTTGCATGCGATAGATCTAATATTTGAGATCTTCGAGTTTGTATTGGAGAACAGCAGGCTTCGTGATTTGCCACAGCCACAAATACTGACAAACAACTACCTCAAACCTTGGTGTAGATAGTGGTTTCGCCATCCTCGCCAACGTCAACGCCTCAAGAACAAGTCAATCTCAAAGTAAGCAACTCATTTACGACGTTAACATGCGTATAGAGAGTTCTATCGAGGAAAACAACCTAGAAAAACTGTTTCTTTTGATGGATGTCACTCTTCCTGTCTGGATGTGTACTGATAGGTTCTACACCAGATGGGCCTTAAAGAATTCCAGGTCGTCGGACGCCACTTGCCCACCACTAATGAGCCCAACCCCAAAATCTATCGCATGCGCATCTTTGCTCCTAATGAAGTTGTTGCAAAATCCCGGTTCTGGTATTTCCTCAGGTACGCTAGCCTCCAAAGTTTTTTCCAGGCGTAATTCAACATCCACCTAGGCAATTGAAGAAGGTCAAGAAAGCCAGTGGTGAAATCATTGGTGTCAACGTTGTGTGTATCCCTTGCAGCCGTTCAAGTGGCAGGCGGAACGGGATTGCTAACGGTCTATATGACCTGTGTTACAGATACATGAGGCAAAACCTCTGAAGGTCAAGAACTTCGGTATTTGGCTGCGTTACGACTCGCGATCGGGAACCCACAACATGTACAAGGAGTTCCGTGACCTCTCCCGTGCTGATGCAGTCAAAAGCCTTTACCAGGACATGGCTGCCAGGCATCGTGCCCGCTTCCGGTCGATCCACGTATGGCCTATCATTTTCCCATCATTCATCATGTTGATTTCTGTATTTCCTCAGATCCTCCGCGTTGTTGAGATCGCTAAGACTGATGATGTCCGCCGCCCCTACATCAAGCAGCTCCTTACCCCCAACCTCAAGTTCCCTCTTCCCCACCGTGTTGGCAAATCTGCTGCGACATTCGTCGCTCATCGTCCTTCTACTTTCTGATTGTCTGTTACGATGTGAAGGCGCCACGGTGTATGGATTTGCATGCATACCTAAGTACGGGTTCATATGTAAAATTTCTTCGTCCTGCAATGGTCGATATTCATATGCATATATGACATCCAAGCTCATGATTTTAATCCTTTGCGCGATCTGTAGGTGATCGGAACTTGACAACATGGCACGTCATATCACGGGTGATTCTACCTGTGGTTGGCCATTCGAGGCGGCATGATTTCACGTTCATCACACATGTAACACGGTTAGAGCTCCTGTTGAGCAGCGGTGGTGCTCTCATATTCCCTCAAATGCGAGAGATGTTATGGATAGTCTCTGCTTGCCAGACATAGTGTGTGCCACCCGGTACAGGTGCTCGCCTGAGCACAATAGACTGTCAAAGATGGTTCTGACCCTGCCATAACTTACGTGCTGGCTGTCCGGCAGCAATCATTGCCCAGCCTTTCATTACTTAAGCCTGTGCAGCCGCAGCTTTAATGTACGCAGCGGGAACTTCACAAGCTGAAGTTCCCATAGAGTAGAGCAAGAACCTTAGAACCCAGCTGATCTCAACTTGCAACACCTACATCGCAGAATGATCATTCCTTCACAGGACTCTACCGTGACAGATCCAACCTCGTTTGAACTCAAAGCTCCCCCAGAAACTGAGGGTGAGCTTCCCGGAGAAGCAGTGCGTAAAATCTTTCTACTTCTGCTCTCCTAGTTCACTGATCTTACTTACAGCCTCCCTCATATTATAACAACACCTCGGACCAAAATGCAATTACGGGTGCATCCTCTTCTAGCACTCCTCTTCAACCCACATTCAAGTCCAAACCAACGAATTACTTGCTTCTCTTCAATGACAATAGCTCTATCAAGGGGGAATACGTCATAGACCCTGGCATGACCATCCCCACGTCTCTTCTGCCACCGCTGTCTCCAGAAGAGAGCGAGGCAGAAAGAAAGAATCTATCCTTACACTCGACACATGGATCTGTCAATGCAGACGTATGGCTACTCGGTGCTCGAGCCGCCCAACCCTCCGATTCCAAGAAGTCTACAAAACGCACGATACTCGACATTGGCTCTGACAATGGTTCTGTTACTGCGCGGGTTGTATGTCATTTATTCGATTGCATTAGTCCCCCATTGATCAGAATGCTAGCACACCATTCACGGGGCTGAGCCTTTCTTGTTAACCATTTCCGCCAAGAACGGCGGTGTGAATGTTACTGTTCCGCGCTCTTTCAATGGTCTCCTTCTTCTAACGACCAGGCACGGCACCGTCTCACTCGCTGATGCTCTCTCCGAGAACTGCACGCATCTTAGTCAAGTAGATCTGACTCGCAGATATTTTGTTGGAGACTTGTCCATGGTTGGTGACAGTGATTGGCCTGGGGACGAAGTGCGGGTAGACGCAAAACATGGAAAGATCTGGATAAGATATTTTGAAGAGCATACCAGTAAAGACGATACGAGCAAAGGAGGTCTTTTCAGTCGGTTATTCGAGTGGTAGTACTTCTTGTCATTGTACGGCTATTTTCCAATCCCGACTCCGCCGGATCATTTAGCGTCTCCTCTTTAATCATCCTTATCAATGTCACTTTGACTACCGCATGCACGTGCGCAGTCATCGGCACCCCTCTGCCTCCAATGATTTCCTTTTGAGTTTATTCTGCTCTTGGAATGTTCCAGACTTCAGAGAACAGAGACAGCGCTTGTACAAGTTGTACTTGCAAAGGGCGCTAGAAACGTGCAAAAAGCCGAAAGCGACATACAAGTTTTGATACAGGTACCTGAATGTTAATTACACTACTTCGGGGTGTGCAACTTACAATCAGTACCCATGATATGCATGTATGTGGCGTCAATCGACCAAACAGCTGCCTGCTTTTTTTTGCCTTGATCTTTTAATGCCGCAGTACGCAGCCGCAGTACCTGGAGAGAGCGCCACAGTATTCCCTCCTTGCATTTGCGAACTCACCCATTGAATAATCTTTGACATCTCTACTTGCACCACCACTAGCCCTCAATGATCATACCAGAGAAGCAGCCCCAGAATGAGTATGCCGAGGTGGAAGAGGCCGGGAAAGATCAAACAGAGGCGGCGAATAACGCCATGGATGTTCGTTGATGAGATATCTTCCAGACATTACCGCTATCGCTGACTGCTGTCCTCAGGATGCACCACCTCCATCGTATTCAACACACGTGCAGCACACATCAAGTTCGGGTTCCACGGTGTTTCAACCTCCTTCCAAGCCTACCAATTTTCTTTCACTTATACTCAAGGATAAACCTATACGAGGCTGTTATGTGATCGACCCTCAGATGGAAATACCCCTTAATCTGCTTCCTCCACTGGTTACTGGAGAAACAGATCAGGAAAGGAAAAATCTGTACCTTCGTACAAAGGACGGGAGTATCGATGCCGATATTTGGTTGATCGGCCAAGAGGAAGCTACTCCTAGGAGTGGTAGGCCGCACTACGCTCTCGCTAAGTTCCGACGATGGAAGCATCACGGCCAAGATTGTGAGTATTGATTATTACAAATATTGCACCGCCTGATGTGCTCTAGAACACAGTCAAGGTCGTTGCACCATTCCTGTTGGACATTTATTCACGCGATGGACGAGTAACCGTCCTCTTACCTCGGTCATTCCACGGTTCGCTTCTCCTGACCACCAGGCACAGTACAAAGCTTTCCGACGACCTTCTGCAACAGAGCACCATGTTAAGCACTGTTGAGCATACGCGGCGATATTTCGTCGGTGACGTTTCGCATCGAGTGTTTGGCAACGATTGGAATGGGGACGAGCTCAAGGTTGTGTCTCGAGACGGCAGGATTATAATCAGATACAAAGATGAGGCAGAGCTACCGAAAATTGGATTCTTCAGTCGAATATTCAGCAGCTAGATCAATGACGCGCTTATACGAATACTTAGAGAGGCCAGTGATTATGTGTACTGATTCAAATTGAATGGCACAGGCCACGGCTAGTGGCGGCTGACCGTTATGATCACGGAACTGCCTCGGAGGAAATCTCCCCACGCACGGTGGCAGATAATCACTTCCGAGATCCGATGATCATCTCCGACTCAGATCGGCATCGTCCGACTCTCCCTTTTATCAGAGCAGCTCCCGCAAACCTCCAATCTCAAGTCTCTCTCTTATCCATCATGGCCAACGTTTACGTGAGTGTCATATCGGCGTTATTCGCGATGGGATTTATATCTGACCTATCTGATTTTATAGTTCGACATCACCATCAACGGTAACAATGCTGGGCGCATTGTTTTCAGACTCTTTGATGACGTTGTACCGAAGACCGCGAGAAATTTCCGCGAGTTGTGCACTGGTCAAAATGGTTATGGATATGCTGGCTCTGGCTTCCATCGCATCATCCCATCCTTCATGCTTCAGGGTGGTGACTTCACCAGGGGCAACGGAACTGGTGGCAAGTCCATCTACGGCGAGAAGTTTGCTGGTGAGGGTCATAGTGGTACTTGGAATACAGCATCTAATCGTGATGTTCTAGATGAAAACTTCCAATTAAAGCACACTAAGCCTGGACTTTTGTCCATGGCAAACGCAGGCAAGAACACCAACGGGTCGCAGTTCTTCATTACCACCATCGTCACTAGCTGGCTCGATGGCGCTCACGTAGTGTTCGGTGAGAATCTTCATCTAGCAGCTGCCGACCAGAACTAACTTATGCATCAGGTGAGGTCGTCGAGAACCTTGAGCTTGTGAAGACGATCGAGAAGTACGGGACTGACACTGGCAAGCCTAAGGCCGAGATCAAGATCGCCGCTAGCGGTACACTGTAAGACATGCGACTAATGTAGAAAGGTTCTGAGAAAGAAGAATACTACTTTTATTCGTCACGAATAACTTGTACGTTGTGAGAAAACCAGTACTTATGATTCTTATCGATATGCAATTCAATCGCAGAGATTAGATGATCGTAGATCTATGAAACGTTACGTTTACAATGTCCGCCATCAGTGTTCTATTCATAGAAACTTCGTGGGCGCTCTTGCACACAAGTATTACAAGCAAATAGTAAGTGAAGCCCGTACAAAGTGGGCCGAGGTGAGCACATCAATGTAAATGCGATGAACCTGAGTCAGATCCCTAAATCAAAGGAGCCGCCCATTGATCATGAGGTGAGGCTAGATGAAGAGACAGTTCGTAACAAAAGTAGTAAGGTGTCAGCGTGAGTACAAGTGGTGGCATCTGTGCCAATGCAGGGATGCGTGTTAGTGCGAGCATCTGCGTCAGTACAGGCATCAGCGTCCACGAAAGTGCGAGAATCCACATGCAGGTGTTGTAAGGACAGCGCTCTCGCTCACCACTGGCAGAAGGTATCATCGTGACTTGGTGAATGATTCCCCCCCCTTATCAGTTCTCTGGCGAAAAACTTGACAAGAGTTCGCAATGGTGAACTTCTTACACGAGTAAGCTTGAGAGAGCAGTTTCGAGGACTCTACTCATGGCCGGCGTCCCCGCCGGGCTTGCCTTCATTGCATCGGATACACAAGGATATGAGCCATCAGACCCAGTGAAAACCGGACAGTGCAGGGAACGGCACGCTCTCGGATGTTCCCGCACTGTCCGGTTTCCACTGGGCGTCAGAACTCGCCGAGATTTTGCGGCAGGCGCACCGGAGCTTGCTGGAGTGTAGCGGCATGGGCGCTGTGTGCAGAAAGTGCAGGATTTGGCCGGTCTGCGTAATGTTTACGCAAACTGGATGTAGACTTGTGTCTGGTCAGTGGGTTGCTCGGATTCAGTAAGTCTGTCAAGGCCCCGTACGATGTCACTATCATCCTGCCCAACCTCCATCCCACTTGCCTGCCACACCAGGATCTTTACCTCCATCTCTTCCCATCCCTACAAGTCCCTCACGCCTGCATCTACTACTTCCTCGGCTCCATTGCATGCGGTACGGCTGCCGCCATGTCCTCTCTCCAGGTGACTGGAACCACGATGGCAAGCTGACAATGACGACGAGATTAGCATGATGGTGGTTGAAATAGATGCCAGGATGCCACGTGTGTAATGGGGGCGGGCGCCGTCCATGGTGGCTGACGTAGCAAGGCATTACTCAGTTGCGGCTTGGTTGCAGCAAGACAAACCTCTGACCGCCCGGAACTTTCCGATCCTCAGACTTTGACGCGGAGTACATATGCGCAGTCTTCGCAGCCCGGCCATTAATTCCTACGTGCCCTCCTCGCTGTGTGAGTGAGTGACCGGAAGCCACGTGCTGCACAGCCGCTCGCTCTACTCTCACGGAGTCGGAGTAGAATTCCAAGTTGCCATCAACGTCACCGAGTTGCTGTTCTTTCGTATAACTTCTTCAAGACAAGCAGTGACTATTCCTACCTGGATCTTGGCCCAGCGTGATGCTCGATCGCCATGGTGGCATTATTCCTGTGTTACAGCAAAGAATTTACCTTCTAATGGTGAACTTGAAGATCCATCAAACGCGAGGCCAGTACATGGTAACACACTACTTGAAATGCTGATGCATCGCACTATACACCCACGCTGTGCACTTGCCTTTGCAGGCCTGGTAAAATGTATTGCCGCATGTTTTCAATGCCATTCTTCTATTTCATGCCAGTGATGGATATGATTAATTAACTCGAAAGCGCAGCAGATGTGAGTGGTATATGGACATGTATCCTGATAGCGACTAATTACTTGCAGATTCATGTACGTCCTTTTGCGAAAAGGAAGTATCTCTGCCAATTTTACTTTTGATCCCCTTCGATTGTCATGGTGACCATGATCAGTGATGTGTTGATGGAGCAACACACAGCTGCAGCATCATATAAAGTCGTCGACTTGTCAGTCTCTTGGAAGTGTTTATTTGATTGCAGGCTTAAATTCACAGTATTATCGCGGTCACGGCTGGCACATAACGAATCGTTTCACACCCTCAACAAAATCTTCTGTCGCATTCTGGCTTATCGTACTAATGGATGCGACTAATTCGGAAGCGCAGGCAATGTGAGTGATGCGCACGTAATTTGATCATACATCCTGATCAACTAATGGCGACTGAATATTTACAGATTATTTCGCACATACAGCAATCTGGCGGGAACAAGTAATGAAGCTTAGCTTTATCTTTGGGCTCAGGACGATGACTCGTTGCTCTAGGTATCCTGATATACGACCATATGGCAACCCTACCAGAAGAAATCGCTTTTATTTGGCGTCGTCCGAAAGCCCTGTCTGCAATGTTATTTCTGCTCAATCGCTATCCCACTCTACTCGTCAATATCACCAACATAGCTATGGATTATTCGCCGCTTTCTTATGAGGTTCTATGATTTCATTGTGTGTATACTAAACTGGCAGGCTCACAACTTATTTCTATAGAGGTGTGTTTTACTCTGGTTCTTGAATATTGCTCAACAAATATTTAGCTGTTTGGAGTATGCCCTATTCAGAGAATTATCTATCATTTTACAAGCAGCGGCTTGTTTGCTGTGAGTAAAAAATCACTATTGCGAGAACTTCCTACACTGAGAATTGAAGTCATAATGATCATTCGCACATATGCTCTCTACGGTTCCAGCAAGCGCCTATTTGCTTGGTTGACAGGCATAATGATTACTCTTTCGATAGCAGTTTCTGTGCGTCTTCATGTAAAATTTTACATTCTTATACTGATGGTTTCTAGGCGGGAAGTTTTGGACAATTTTCAGGCGATGCGGTCCTTTTGCCTGGAGTTGGTTGCGATCAAACTTTTACAACAGCAACGTACGCCATCCTCTTCACCCTTCTATGTGCCTATTCATACGTTGTTGTAGAGCCGCCCGTCAGTGAATTCCAAGTCTAATTTGCATGCAACTTGATGTCACAATCTTATTCGAATCCAATTACAGGTCTTGGGTTGGCATGGGTGGCGGACATGGTATTCCAATCATTGATCTTGATTCTGATAGTGTACAGGATTTTCAAAACTAGACGCTCGCTGCGGTTCCCTCTAGTCGCCAGGAGAAATGTCATTGATATCATATTTCATGATGGTGAATTTTCTATTGCATCTGAATTGTGCACGCTGACACAATTAAATGCAGGTGCGATGTATTTCGGGTGAAGTTACTACTTGAGATCATGATCCAAGTGGTTCTGATTTGATCATCCGCATGCCCTCAGAGCCATGGTGCTTGTCAACGTACCGAACACCATGACGTACTACGTGAGTGAATGAATGAACATCGATGGTGTCACAAACCGCTTACAGCTTGAATCAGTCTGCTTCAGTGAGCATATGCAGCCGGAATTATTCAGGTTTACTATTTCCTGACGATTGGCAAGGTTTCTGCTAGAGGCAGTCTTTCCACATTGACTAGCTGGTGAGTGGTTGATGCAATAAGTAATTGATGTTATTTATGACATGACATCCAGCTTGTCCGTTACTCTCGTCTCTCGAATGATGCTTAACCTCCACAAATCTATGGACGCTGGCATTCTCTCCATCCCTTCCCAGGATGAAGGTCCCAGCCTCGCTGTCCTCACAACTAGGGTCAACCTACAGTCCGCGATTTCCTCTCACCATGATTAGGCTGGCATTGGATTCTATTTCTGGATGCGAAGTGGCGGAGATACTTGGTAAGAGTGAAAAGTTGTTCTTGTAGTCGAATCTCGCGTAACCTGTATGTGCATCGTGCTAACTATCATATGTATAGTCGTCCGTAATCAAATAAAACTGTAATCAAGCCTCTCAACGAGGGGGATCCTGTCCCTGTTGATCAAGAAAAGAAATGGTCCCGGAGGTAAATTGCTTGTGCGTTATTCCCTATTTAGTATGAGTTCGAAGGGGATTGGCCACAGATCGACATTGTTATGAGACGGGTGAAGATGATAGAAAGTTTGACCAGATCGACGTAGTTATGGGTCGTTTTAGGTAGATAGCGTGAAGGGTGACAATATGAGACGTTTAAAGACGGAGACTTCCGTTGACCCTGGCCCGGGAGCGTTCGGAATCGGGTGTGCTTTTGAGCGGGGAATCAGCGTATGATATTCTATTGTAGATGAGTGTACATGGGCTGTATATATACGTTTTCGGATAGTTGACTAGGCCAAACCGAGCATATGGAGCATATGGTGATGATCAAAGCAAGGGGATCGTGGAATCTGAGCACAAGGTGACTCGGCCCTCGGATCTTCGCATTACCGAGACTCGTCACGTGGACGACTTCGGTTTTCTTTCTGAAATTCGACGTGATCTGGGCGTAGAGGATATACGGTCCTTACAGCGACGACGTGCACCAGCCATCTCGAGATTTGCATCAAGATGCCATCAACTTTCTGAAGCAAGTATACGCTGCCAACTCTTCTTTTCGAATACCCCCTGATCGCGGTGGTGAGCATGTTACTCATTCTCAACAAGTACAAGCCTCGTAACCGCACAGCCCATTGAATTGCCCATCCATATGAGGCTCAGCTGAGCTATGTCCGCGCGCCAAACAAATCACGTTGATTGAACGGACCAAGTCAGACACCGGGCCCACGTGAAACATCTACAGGAATGTACAACACTATATTAAGTCTGAAACTTGATTTTGGAGTCGACGGCTCGTCTCCTTACCGGCAGTGTTTGGCTTGTATACATAACGCCTATTTGACGATCATGTGAAGGACCGCCATGGCTAGTATATAACAGATCACATTCTCAGCGCCCTTATTCTGTTGAATTTTGCCTCGTCGCGATGGATATTACTAACTCGGAAGTGCAACAAGTGTGAGTGATACACACGTGGATTCAGCGTCTGTCCTGACAGCGACTGAATATCTACAGGCTGTTCAACATGTATGCCATTCTGGCGGGAAACAGTACTCGACCTTATTTTCTTCTGTATCAGGATGATAACACGATATTCTAGGTATCCTGATATACGACCATATGGCGACCCTACCAGAAGAGATCGATTTCATTTGGCGTCGTCCGAAAACCCTATCAGCGATGTTATTCCTGCTCAATCGTTATACCGCTCTGCTCGCTAGTATCTCCAGCTTAATCGTGGATTTTCAGCCTATGATTTCAGATGAGGTTTTGTCATTTCATTGTGCGTGTACTGAACTGGCATGCTCACAACTTATGTAGAGGTGTGGTTTGCTCTGGATCTTGAACATGCTGTTTTGCTTAGCAAAAGCTTAGCTGTCGGAATTATTCGTTATACAGGGAATTGGCTCTTTTCCTCCAGGGAATAATCGTTTGCAGTGAGTGCAGATTTGTTGCGAGAAATTCACATCATGATACATAGTAACATTTTAGTCACAATGGCTATGCGCACATATGCTCTTTATTGCTGTAGCAAGCGCTTGCTTACTTGGATGGTAATCGTCATGATTTCTCTTGTGGGAGTGTGTTGTGTACGTCTCCGTAGAGTTTTGGATTCTGGAGTCTACTAATCGTTTCTAGGCGAATACATTTGGACAATATTCAGACGATTTGGTCATTGTGCCAGGAATTGGCTGCGATGAAACATTTTCAAAAACAGTGTATGTCGTCCTCATCCTCATTCTGTGTGCTTGCTCAAAAGTTGTTACAGAGCCATCCGTAAGTGATTTTTAAGTTACAATTACATACAACTCGATGTCATGACCTTATCTGATTGCAGGAATTGGACTGGCATATGTGGCCGAGTTTATCTTCGATTTATTCATCTTCATACTCACAGTGTACAGGTATTGCAAAATTAGAGGCTTGCTGTGGCTGTTTGCATTCTCCAGGGAAAATATCATTGATACCATGTTTCACGATGGTGAATTTTTCATTGTATCTGTATTGATACTGCAATCACTGAATCAACCGAATCCAGGTGTGATGTTTTTTGGGTGAGGTTGCTGACGAGATAGTGATTCGAGTGGTTCTAATCCCTATTCCAGAGCGATGACACTGACCAATATACCGAATATCCTGTCGTACTACGTGAGTCGCTGAACGAGTATTGACGATATCATGGAATGCTCACAACTTGTATCAGTCCGGTTCGGTGAGCATACAAATCCCTCACCTTGTATTTAGCTTGAGTGTTCCTGACGGCTGGCAAGGTTGGCCTGAGAGGGAGTTTTTGCACATTTACTGGCTGGTAAGTGGTTGGTGTGATACGCACGGATTGATATTAAATATGACGTGCAGCATTTCTGTCACTCTCATCTGTCGGCTGATGCTTAACCTGCATCAGACTTTCGATGCTGGCATTTTCTCCATCCCTGCTCAGGACGATGGCCCAAGCCTCGCCATCCTTACCACCAGGATCGACGTACAGTCCACGTTTTCTTCCGACATTTGATAGGCGATAGTGGATTCTGCTCCTGGATACGGAGTGGCGGGGGTTCTCCCTTGAAGCGGAAGGCTGTTCTTTTAGTTGTTTTCTTAAGCGCAGCACTGGGCGGTGCTTAATGTATGTAAAAATCTCATTTATTTATTGCCATCTTTGGTGCCCTAGATATACTAATTATTAGCTAATATTTATCGTATGTGCTCGTCCTTGCGATTTGCAGTCTTGTGTGAGCCCATCCTGACCGTGGGGGCTCCCAACATATGTGCACGATACTTAGTGTTAGCGCTCTAGCGCGGATAAGCCACGAAAGTAAAAGTGAAGTCGCAAGTAACTGTGGCTTGTGCATGGTTATGTAAGACTGTTACAGCATAGATGTATTGTAATTGAGCCTCTCATGATGGGCAATGGGCGAAAATGCTGTCCATTGCCGCAAGCGAAATCGACAATCAATCAAAAATCAACACGAGGCAGAGTTAAGAGTTAAATCATTGATCGAGAGCAATGGAATTGCTTACAAAATTTACCATTTCGGGTAATTTTCTACTTTGAGCACAAGGATTCGATCGTTGGGCTCGTTACCCATTTATCTGATACTCAACGCGCTGCAGATAAATTATGCAGGAAGCAAGCAGGATGCAAATGTATATCCGATGTCAATCTTGAAAACCTCGCTTGATGCGTTTGCGCCGCACTTATATATCCTCGTGGGTCCAAACGTGCTTGAAAACGTGCCAATGGCAATTACTAAAAAAGTCAATTTTCCAGCACGAATTTCCTCGGGGCATTTTTTCTGACTTCTTTTGTTGGTCCGCAGGCAATTGCTCTCTCGATTGCCTTCTTTCGTCGTATCCAGCTCTCGGTATATATCTAGGGCCATGTTCGTCCTATCATCCCAACAAACTAGCCCCGCCGCGCCTTCTGACAGCCCCACCAAACCTACCTCTATCACTTGAAGAATCTTTCTCAACCACGAGCTTTAAAATGTCTGCCTCTCCCAGAATTTCTAGTGTCTTTGGCAACTGGCGCGAGACTTCCATATCCTCGGTTGACATTGATCTTGAGGCACAAACTGTGACTGGTGCACAGGCCTCCTTCACTCTTCCTACCGCCATCCAGGCAGCTCACTCTGCTGCCACCTCTACGCTTACACAGCAGAATGACAATACCACAGACCCCATGGATGTCTTTTTCGGGGTCACTCGCACTCGTGCGACTCACGAGAGTCGCCATGACTCTTATGCCACTCCTAGTCGCATTCCCATGCCTTTGGATGGAGAAGCGCCTCCTCCATATGCAGATGCCGCGGAGCCTCCAGCATACAGCTCCGCTCCTGCAGAGCCTGTGACGCTTGCTATGTATCTGTTCAAACGTGGATTTTGTGAGCATTGCATCTGCTCGGCACCTATCATATTTATCTAATCGAATCTGTCAGTCTTCCCACCTTTCTGGGTACTTGGAGCATTCATCCTGTTCTTGCCACTCGAGGCCCCTGCCGACTTTGAGCCAACGAAGTCTGAGGATGAGCGCCAGGAGTTGGTCCGGATCATGAGAGATGCTGAGGTCAAGTGGGCTAAAAAGTCTGCTTGGGCACTATTGATCTTTCTCGTTATGGTTGGCATTATGGTTGGTGCTATTATCGGTGTCCTGGGACCGTAAGCACTCGACACACGCCCACTTTTCCCCACATGACTATTTCATTCCCTCAAAGACCATTGCATGGATGATTTCATTTCCGTCTTCGTACTTCATTTCAACGTCCTGAGGGTGGCCTCAGGTCATAATCACCCAATCTTTCCCTATATTCCTCGGAACTAAGGTTCTTTGTATCACAGTAACTAACTCCTCGCGATATTCACACCCAAGAATAGGTCGGGCTGTATAACTAGACGTCGGTATTTATAACTATATCATGTATGATGAATACCGCGAATAAAAAACATCGTTGTAACTTCGTGTATGTTATTTCGGCACATGTACCGGCAACTGATGAAAATTGTCGGAGAATAAATCATAAATTATTCGGGTGTGGATGTTGCGGAGTATTTTAAGCCTTGCTCGTTTCCTCAAATCACTCGCTCGTTTAAAATTCGCTGTGTCCTCTGTCTTTACACATTCCCTCCACACCAAAAAATTGACCATGTTCCGCCGTCTTGCCCTCACTTGTGCCGCTTTGCTCAGTGTTGTGTCTGCACAGTTGACCATCACGTCTCCCGGTGCCAATGACTGGTGGGGTGAGTACCCAGGATCCCAGATGTCGCAATGCTGATGACTTAATGTGCACCCTTCTTGGCTTTCGTCGGTCAATTCTCTGTTCGTAGTCGCGTCGTCGGTGAACACACTCGCGTGGTCGTGCTCGACTTCTCCGTATCTAAACTTCACCATTCTGTGCGCACCGTCTCCTTTGATGCGCGTGAGAGCCCGCTCAACTGACACATTTTTGTAGTCTCGCCAACTCGAACCTCTCTGTTCTCCCTGCACCCCTTGCCATCATCGCCGTTCAGGAAAACTTTGACTGTTCCGAATCCATCACCCAGCAGCAATCCGCGCAGCCCGCTGGCTCCGGCTACGTTATTCAGTTTGCCAGCACTTTGAACGAGACTGACGTGCGTGAACCATTTCTCAGGCTTGTTGACAAATCGTGTTCAATGTTTTTTTATATTAGATCTATGCCGAAAGCCAGCCTTTCGAAATCAAGGCTCTCGGCTCGTCTTATCCCACCACCACCAGCAGCGCAGGCAGTACTTCTACCGGGAGTGCTTCCGCTGGGGCTGCACAAGCCACCAAAACTGGTGGTGCCCTCGCGGAATATGTTCCTGTAGGCATGAGCATGGTCGCTGCTCTTGCTCTTGGCTTGGTTGTCGCATAATTCATTTTTGAACTTGGACTCCAATACCAATATCCCTTTGTTTATTATCTTTTCTTCTTCAGGACCCTCCACTTCGTGGGACATTTAACTGCCTTGGGAATGTCAGTTTTTTTACAGCTTTATGGCCTAATGTGCGGTGTGATGATTTTGGACGTTGTGGTTTAACGCACTGTTGTTTTGCTACTACTTGGATGGCGTTATGAACTTGATTCAGGTTGTGTAGCCTGATCGTGCAGTTGTTGAGTTCATGGTCCTTGAAGATGTGGCAAATTGATCATGTCATGTTTTGAGTTATGACCACTAATACTGGTCTGATTCTCATGCCGCTCATTCTTTCGTGCGGACCAAGACCACCGATACCCGGAGGTGTTAAGCCAGACTACTGCCTGCAACTAATCCCAGACTCTTACGACGTTAGCGGAGGAGGGTAGTTTGAAGCTTGTTGGTTGTTACGTGTCCAAAAAAGGAGGCTATGTTGGACCTGACGTATCGTGGTGGTTAAGAATTTACCAATTGCGAAACTTAACGAACGGCACACCACCGCACGGATGAACACGTATGGGTAATCCAATTAGCCAACAATTCATCATGTACGTATGGTCTATTTATACACAATCCTAGGCAAAGACAACAATAAACGAGATGTTTCAAATATACATTTATCGAGCACTGGCACGCATACCACGCTGCATTCAAAAAAGGATAAAGAATAGTTTTTAACTTCCAACGAGAGTCCTGCCACTTTGGATCCATAAACAGAATTCAATACCAGCCTACGGATCGGGGGAGGAATCCTCGAACTCTACGTCGACCTCGGTGGTAAGGACATGGGAGCTGGTCTCAGCAGGGGTGGAAAAAATGCCAGTGTCAACACATCCGTGCAGGTTGAGCATTAGGCGAGAGATGAGAGTGACAGACATGCTGAGGGTCATAATTAGGGTCGTTCTGTGTCTATCCCATTAACCACTCACCATGTAGTAAATGCATTCAGGCTGCCTGTGACGATAACCTTGCAAATAGTCAGAAAATAGTCAACCTGGTGAAACATGCGGATGTGTGCCCACCGAATCACACTAAATTATGGTGAGTGTGCGATTGAATCAATATTTTATTTGTTGACTTACGAAGTATGTCAGAATGTTGGGTAAATTGACTAATGCCATCCCTCTAAGAGAAAGCGGATCAGCTTCACTCGCATAGTTTCGCTAGTACTCTCACGCGAAGTACATCACACCTGTGCTCGGTTGGTTCAGTGTTTACAATACCGGTGCGACGAAAATACCATCTTCGAATATGACATCAAGGATATCTCTCCTAGATATTAGGCGCGGCGATCCCCTAGCTTTCCAAGTCCCGGAGACTGTGAGGACAAAGATGAGCAATTCGTAGATAAACATTGCCACCCATGTCGTCCCATGACCTGCGATTGGACAATTCCGTAGCGCCATTAATTTACACCCAGATGTGACTTAGAATGCACTGACGGAAAGATCTGACAGGACTTTTGAGCAGGCATGTGGATGATGAAGGGAATGACATACGTTGCTGTTGTGTATATTTCATGGCAGTGGCCGTTGTCGATCGCACTCTTTGTTAAATTAGGTCCAAAAGCTCCCACCTGAAAGTTCAGCAGACTTGAAGTCTAAAATCTTTCGTGAACACATACCGCCGATGCTGCTATAAGAACAACGCCCATGATTAGCATCCATTTAAGCAGGCGTTTGCTGCAGCCGTAGAGAGCATAAGTGCGAAGAGTCAATGTGACTGAGAATCTAAAACTTTAGTGTCTTTCTCGTGATACACTTCCAACTCACGGCAAATGAAGACTTGTTGGAAAAGACGCAACATATGTACGGCCAACAGATATCTCGAACAGCTAAGTCTTTGTTGAGTAAACTAGTAGATATTCAAGAAGCAAAGTGGAAACCTCTGCAGGGATAAAGTGAGCCTGTCAGTTGAATATATGCACAAGATTGTAGAACCTTAGCGGAAACAGGTAGGAAATTGCTCATTAGGTCAAGCATGTTGCCAAGTACGGCGACATAGCGATTGATGAGAAATAACACTGCAGACATTGCTTTTGGACGACGCCAGATAAACATGATTTCTTCTGGGAGGGTTGCCATGTGGTCGTATAGCAGGATACCTAAAATATTCAGTTATCGTCTTGAGAATCAAAATGAAAAGTCGCAGTACTGATTGCCACGAAAAGGGTGTACAAGCGCACTAACCTGGCAAATTGTAGTAATGTCAGTGCGCGATCAGCATACATAGTAAATCGATGCGTTTATTACTCACACCTGCTGCGCTTCCAAGTCAGTAGTATACATTAGGAATACAATATCATAGGAGGAAGGGGTGTTGAGACTCGATATCGACTGGAAAAAATTGACATTGGTATTATAAGGCCTGGTTGATTCAGGCCTGAATTGACCCATTGTCAATGCGACTTAACCTTACGGCCGTCCTTCCGTAAATGACTTACGTGGACACTGAACTTGGACTTTCCTGATTTGGCCACTACCGCGCACGTTCGACACTAGGTCGCATAATACTTATCCTCGTCCTGATCCTCGCTATATAGAGCCCCAGTCAACTGCCCAAACCCTCGAATAACCTTCTGATAGAGTAATGTTCATACAACGAGGATTAAGGCGAGGATACTCTGTGACAAGGTGTGGAACATGCGCGTTAGTGGTCAAATCAGGAAAAGGTTGAGTTCTTAGCCAGTGATCAGTAATTGACATGTTCAGGGACTCGGCCCTGTTGGGAGCCAGTCTACTTCGGAATGATAACAAGTCACTACACACAGTGAATGAGCCGTTTCTACATAGATATCGAGCCCGCATACCATGCTGCGTTCAAGAACAAGACTCAAAGAACACTTTTTAACTTCCAACGACACTTCACATCCATAAACAGAATCCAGTACCAGCCTACCAATGGTCCGAGGAAACCGCAAACTCTACGTCGACCCTGGTGGTAAGGACATCGGGGCTGACCTCGGCAGGGGTAGAAAAAATGCCAGTGTCGACACATCCGTGCAGGTTGAGCATCAAGCGAGAGATTATCAAAGGTGAAGAGACTCGGACTAGAGAAACTAAGGGCGAGAACAGAACTCAGTCTTGGTTCAAAAAGACTATAGGGTAACTATGGACCATACCTAAGGGCGAGAACAGAACTAGTAGAGTAGTAGTTAGTAAGAGTAGAGTAGGGATGTCAATAAGATAGCTCACCTCAGTCTTGGTTCAAAAAGACTGAGGGAGATTGTTCGACGAGAGGAGGAATTAATACGTTTGATTGGGACGGAGAGTCAATAGGAAACGTGTATGACGCATGGTAGGAGGAGTGTTCGTGTATGTAAAATGAAAAGGCTAAGTACGTGTAAGGGTCATATCTTGATACTCCCACTCGAACGCAAAACGCTAGAGACGCGGGCGTGCTCATTCAACTGGGTCTTCGTTTGACGATGAACGAAGAGCAAGCGAGTGTCGATGGTTGCGGAAAAGTTTTCGTGGTAGGGATTTCGTGAAGATGTCGGCAATCATATCATGTGTGGGTACATAGGGAATGATGATGGTGCCGTCGCTGACCAGATCTCGAACGAAGTGATAGCGGACGCGAATGTGCTTGGCCCGGTCGTGGAATTGAGGGTTTTTCGTTAGTGCGCGACTTCCATTGTTATCACCATATAACGTGGTGGGGGTGATCAGCGAGAGGTCAAGACCAAAATCGCATAGCAGCTGGCTGAGATGGATCTGTTCGCGGGCCGCGTTAGAGAGTGAGATGTATTCAGCTTCAGTAGACGAAGTCGCAACGACGGATTGCTTTTGGGAACGCCAACTGATGGGGGAACCGAAAAGAAAGTAGACATAGCCCCCAATTGAGCGACTGTCGTCTTTATCAGACGCGAAGTCAGAATCCGAATAACCGATGAGTCCTTGGTTGGACAAACCAAACGTTAGGGAATGATGTGTGGATCCACGAAGGTAACGAAGGAGATGGTGAAGCTGGCGGTAGTGGTCTATGCCAGGGTTACTCAGATATTTTGACAGCGCCGATACTGCATATGCAATATCGGGACGACTAACGCGCATGGCGAAGTTGAGTTCCCCAACGACACGCGCGTATGGCATGTGCGCAAATTGTTGGATTTCGGCTTGAGTGAGGGGTGCAGATGACTTCGTCAAGGAGATCCCTGGAACCATGGGGGTAGATACTGGTCGACAATCTGACATCCGAGTTTCACTGAGAATCTGTTCGAGAAAGGAGGATTGGTTGACGGTAAGGTGCTTCTTAGAGCGATCTCGTGTAATGTGCATTCCTAAGAAATGACGCGCTTCACCAAGGTCCTTCATTTCAAAACGTTTGCTCATCTCCGATTTGAAACCGTTAAGGAAATCCCGACAGTTCGATGCGAGCAACATGTCATCGACGTAAACAAGGAGCCAGATGGTCTTGTCATCTTTTCGTAAAACATACAGACTATAGTCTGCTTCGCTACGAACAAAATTAAAACCTTCTTTTCGCAGGAAATCATCGAGTGTCTTGTTCCATTGACGACCGGCTTGCTTGAGTCCGTAGATGGCCTTGAGGAGTTTCCAGACCCAATTTGGATGCTCAGGGTCTTCGAAGCCTGGAGGTTGACGCATGTAGATTTCTTCGTCAAGCTCGCCATTGAGAAAGGCGGTCTTCACGTCCATTTGATCAAGTTCAAGATCAAACTTAGCGACCATGGAGAGTAGTGCACGTACGGTGTCGTATTTTGCAACAGGAGCAAAGGTGTCGGTGTAATCTAGTCCTTCGATCTGTGTGAAACCCTGCGCAACAAGGCGGGCCTTGTGGCGGGCAATCTGGCCATTTTCGTCATACTTGTGCGAGTACACCCACCGTGAGCCGACTGCTTTTCTCCCTGATGGGAGTGGTGTTAAGACACCCACTCCTTTTTCTCCCAACGAAGCTAACTCTTCATTCATTGCGCTTTCCCAATGACCCGAATCCATTGACAAGCGAGCGGCAGCTATCGTTTTGGGGGGAAGCTTCCGTCCATCAATCTTGTTGCTGTCCGCCAAGGATACATGCTTCGCGGAGTGCTCAATGGTGACATCGGGGGTAGCACTAATACTAAGATTTTCTTCTTCAACAACCTCCTCCTCAACAGTGACCGGTACATAAGTCCAACGCCGCTGTACTGGGACATGTTTTGTTGGGATGGCAACAGTTTTCGGGACTGCTGGTCGCGCGTCAATGCGTTGACGTGTCGAACGTCGTGGCTCAGGAGATGGTACCGTTTCTACCGGAACTTCAGCAGGGACAGGGAGAACATTGTCGTTCGACTGCGGGAATGGCTGTGGAGGTTCGGGGATGAGAGGAGCAGAAGTCGGAAGTACTCCCACTGAAACGGTACTGGGTCCTGGTAGTGTAATACCGGAATCATCTTCTCCAGGTCGTGTGGTTCTGAAGCCGTCTTCTGATATCGGCAAATCATGTGGCAATGCGAGGGTGGGCTGCTGCATTGCAATGCGCTGGTTGTGTAATTCAACGAGGGGCGAGAGAACTGAGTTGGGTGTGCCGTAGAAGAATTTTTCATCAAAAAGGACATTTCGAGAGCGCACCGTCTGTCGTGTCGCTGGATCCCATAGAAGATATCCCGCATCTTTGACGTGCCCCAGTAGGAAGCACCGTCTCGAAACAAAGTCGTACTTGTGACGATTGTCGTCTGGGATGTGAGCATATGCGAGGCAGCCAAACGGACGTAGGTGCGAGACATTTGGTAGTTCACCATAGAAGAGTTCAAACGGCGTTCTGTTGTCAGTAGCTGACGACGGGAGGAAGTTCTTGATGTATACTGAGTTGAGGATGGCGTGGCCCCAGAACGAACGAGGAAAACCACTCTGGTGATGGGCACTTAATGCTCGGGTGGCAATGGTCTGGTGTCCACGTTCGGCAACACCATTCTGTTCGGCTGTATGAGGCATCGTAAGTTCGTGCTCAATTCCTTTACTACGCAGGAATTCAATAGTAGCGTGAGAGACGTATTCGCCACCGTTGTCACTGCGGAGGCGTTTAACTCGTTGCCCTGACTGGTTTTCAATCCAGGCGATATATCGCAGAAGGTGCGAGTGTACCTCACTCTTGTGCTTAATGAGGTAGATAGTGGAATAACGCGAAAAATCATCAGTGAAGGCAACAAAGTATGTTTCGCCGGACGGGGTTGCAGTGTTGACGGGTCCCCAAACGTCAGTGTGAACAAGTTCAGCGACGTGCGTTGCACGGTGTCGAGCATGAGACGGGAACGGCAATCGTTTTTGTTTGCCCATTAGGCACGACGGACAGTCAATGTGGTCACCAGGTCCTGTAGACTCGTCTAACAGGTTAAGTGACAGTCCTAATACAACCTTCTCAGCTTTGCGCAAGGTGGAGTTTGCGGCATGGCCCATGCGTGCATGCCATACAGCTAGTGGTAATGGCGTAGCCGAGGTGGACCTGGTGGCAAAGGCCGTATGGGTGTGCTTGGCTCGAAGGTAGTATAGACCGGCAGAGCATTCCACACGTGCGATCACAGTCTTATCAGCACGACGCATTTGTCCTCCTTCAGCATCCGTTTCGAAGAAAATTCCCTCCGACGCTAGAGCAGACACTGATATCAGTGTGCACCGTAGGTCTGGTACGTGGAGGAAAGGGAGTTCGATAGACTCATGTCTTCCGTCGAGCACTAGCGTGATGAATCCCCAACCTGGGGCAAGAACAGTATCGTCATTCGCAAGTTTCACGATTAATGGAGGGTTGTAAGTTCTGTAGCGAGTGAAGAGGGAGTGATTGGATTCCATATGTGCGGTGGCGGCAGAGTCTACGTGGAATTGAAAAGAAATAGTGCTCGTATTAGAGAAACTAGCAGAGTGTGTAGGAAGACGAAGAAACGATGGAATGCCGTCAGGTTGTCCTGGTAGGGGAACTGATATGTCAGTACCTTGTGAAGGTGAGGGGGGAATGCACGCTGACGTGTTTGATGAGTCGGATTTTGCTAGACGAGCACGGCAGTTGTTCCAGATATGGCCTGTGCGCTTGCAAGATCCGCACGTCGAGCGCCACGACAACTCCCATTTATCTCCCTTGGAGGCGTCAAAATCCTTCGGTTTGGCACGCTCAGTAGGTTTACCTGCTTTCGCCACCCTAGCAGCCATGGCTGTGTGGTGCGCATGTGGGTTTGCAGAGCCGAAACTTGCATAATATTGTTCCGAGTTCCTGATCTGGCTGATGACTCCTTCCAGCGTTAGCTTCCCGGTATTGGCGTCAGCACTATGGAGTATGAGCTGGGAAAGCGGCGCATAGAAGTCGGGAAGGGCACGCAGTAGCGCTTGGACAAGGGTATATTCGTTGCACTTCCATTCGATGGATTCAATGACCTTGAATTGGGCCTTGATGTCCGTGATCTCCTTAATGGTCTTGGTAAGAGAGTCGCTATCAGATGCTTTGGGAAGGTCAAAGATACGGCCCATGAGGCTCGTAAAGCGGATGCCAACAGACGCCTGATACTTGTCTTCTAGCGCTTTCCAGATGACAGCTGGATCAGTGACACCCATGAAGTGGATGAGGTCACTTGAGTGTACCGTCATACCAAGGAGTCCTTTGGTTATGCTTTGGCGTTCTCGGAAAGAAATGACGTCCGCGCTCGCATCATGTGCCGCGAGGCGTTTGTTGAAGTCAGCCTCAGTCTCAGTGGTGCTTCTGGTTGGGCGCGGAGGACCCTTCTCATCTCCTGAAAGGAGGCGCCAAAGGTTGAAGAGCGAGAGCCAAAGGTCCATGGTCGTTACCCACGAGGTGTAGTTGGAGCCATTGGCGTCCAGAGGAGGGTGAGGAAAAGATGTTGGAATCCGGATGTTGGACGACGATATGGTGGACATGACAGGTGTCGAACGATGTGTCGGCGATGGCGACAATAGAATGGGAAGATTCAATGGGTGTGGTAACGAGCGAGTTGGTACGACAGGCGTTAATGGCGGCGATGGCGGCAAGGGAATGGATAAGATCCGCAGGTCAAGCGGGGATAGAGGGCGACCTTGTTCCAGTTCGGAAAAGGTCGGAGAGGCTCAGATAAGGCGAGTGGAAGCGAGAAACGAATGTATGCCTAGTCTGAGCCAGGGCTCATAACCTATCAAAGGTGAAGAGACTCGGACTAGAGAAACTAAGGGCGAGAACAGAACTCAGTCTTGGTTCAAAAAGACTATAGGGTAACTATGGACCATACCTAAGGGCGAGAACAGAACTAGTAGAGTAGTAGTTAGTAAGAGTAGAGTAGGGATGTCAATAAGATAGCTCACCTCAGTCTTGGTTCAAAAAGACTGAGGGAGATTGTTCGACGAGAGGAGGAATTAATACGTTTGATTGGGACGGAGAGTCAATAGGAAACGTGTATGACGCATGGTAGGAGGAGTGTTCGTGTATGTAAAATGAAAAGGCTAAGTACGTGTAAGGGTCATATCTTGATAGAGATGAGAGTGACAGACATGCTGAGGGTCATAATTAGGGTCGTTCTGTGTTTATCCCATCAACTACTCACCAAGTAGTAAATGCACTAAGGCTGCCTCTGAGGATTTCCTTGCAAATCGTCAGGAAATCGTCAACCTGGTGAAACATGCGGGTATGCTTACTGGGCCACACTAAATCATGGTGTGAGTGCGATTGAATCAATACGTCATTCATTGACTTACGAAGTACGTCAGAATGTTGGGTAAATTGACTAATGTCATCCCTCTGAGAGAAAGCAGATCAGCTTCACTCGCATAGTTTCGCTAGCACTCTCACGCAAAGTACATCACACCTGTGCTTGGTTGGTTCAGTGTTTACAATACCGGTGCGACAGAAAAATACCATCGTGGAATATGACATCAAGGATATCTCTCCTGGATATGAGGGAGAACCGCCGCAATCCCCTAGTTTTCCAAGTCCTAGAAACTGTGAGGATAAAGATGAGTAATTCGTAGATAAACATTACTATCCAAGCTATCCCATAACCTGCGATCAGACAATTCCTTAGCACCATCATGTTACATCCAGGTGTGACTTAGATTGTACTGACGGATAGATCTGGCAGGACTTTTGAGTAGGCGTGCGGGTCGATGAAGGGAACGACATACACCGATGTTGTGTATATTTTATAGCAGCTGCCACCGCCGATCCCACCATTTACCAAATTATATCTAAAAACTCCCACCTAAAACTTCAGTACTCTCAAGTTTCAAATTCTTCGCGAATACGTACTAAGAGTATTCCTGTCACAACAGCAAGGACGATAATCCCCATCCATATAGGCAGGTGCCTGCGGCACCCGTAGAGAGCATAAGTGCGAAGAGTCAATGTGACTGAAAATCTGAAAACTTCAGCGTATTTCTCTCGCAATAAACTTCTAACTCACAGCAAATGAAGACTTGTTGGAAAATACGTAATGCGTATACGGCCACCACAAATTTCCTACAGCTGAGTCTTTGATGAGTAAGATAGTAGATATTGAAGAAGCAAAGTTGAAACCTCTGTAGAGATACAGTGAGCCTGTCAGTCGAATACACACACAAAATTGTAGAACCTCAATTGAAACGGGTAGGAACGTGCTCATTAAGTCAAGGATATTGCTGAGCACGGCGATATAGCGATTGACGAGAAATAACACTGCAAACGTTGCCTTTGGACGACACCAGATAATCATGATTTCTTCTGGGAGGGTTGCCATGTGGTCGTATAGCAGGATACCTAAAATATTCAGTTATCGTCTTGAGAATCAAGATGGAAAGTCGCAGTACTGATTGCCACGAAAAGGGTGTACAATTGCACCAACCTGACAAATTGTAATGTTAGTTCGCAATCAGCACACACAACAAATCAATGGGTTTATCACTCACGCTTGCTGCGCTTCCGATTCAGTGGTATACATTAGAAAGACGATATCATGAGAGGAGGAAGGGGTGTTGAGACTTGAGATTGACCGGAACGTTAACGGTTTGATCTTGATGTTATATCATATAGCCCGCGTGTTTTACTCTCCTCCACAAATACCAATTATCGCATCAGTGATCCACTGTACCCAGTAACGGTGATCACGCTGAGCGGCGATGGGCAGAGCCTTGCAAGTTGCGAGCCGAAGGCAGTGCATACTAATGTTCCAAGCTGCTAGTCCATTTAGAGCCAGTTTGGCAACGAGATGTTGACCGAAGGTTTGGCAAATGTCAGGTGAGGCTTCTCGGCTTGAAGCGTCCCAGACGTCGGACTTCTAACCTTACATCTCCTACCTGCATCAGTAAAACCTCACTTTTATTTTCTGCTATTATCTCACTTTACCCGCCTTGGCGCCAGCGCTAAGGCGCGAAAATGAATATAAGGAGTGTTAATTGGGTGTCCTGAATTTTCTCAAAGGCGCCACAGAGTGGCTAAGTGAAATTGTTGGTGCAAAGGGAAATAAGGCACGTTCAGAACGAAAATAGTAGTATATAGTCAAATTGTGTTTAAGTAGCTACACGCTAGTATCCAAAACAAAGTGAAGTCAAAATGCAATCTCGAATGCGTGGTGATCAGCATATTTGTTCACATAGTAGGCTTGAAATGCGTCATATGAATGATAAAATTTGAGCTCCTGGGGCACAAATTGCACGCCATACATGGGAATAAGATGCGCAGCACGATAAATAGAGTCAATATGAATGACCGCATACCCTGGAGCACTGTCTGCTCCAAATCCAGGACGAACTATCCACATTCCTGTATCTTCATCTGGGGCGTCACCAACTTTGTCGAACCAGCTTATTAGAGCGCAGGGATATCACCTGCCCCGGTACCTGAATGAGAAAAATGCACGAACATGGGCGACTTCGAGGCCTTGCATGCCAGGCAAACTGGAGTCTGTGTTGACGAAAACACAGTCATGGCGCTGGTACTCGTTCCGCCAGATGGGGCAAGAACGAATGTGTTCAACACGCATACCACCGATCCCGCTCAAATCACTCGGTGCATAGAATCGTGATGATGCGGAATTGAAGACCGAGATTTTGCTAAGATAGAGGGGACATTCGGTGAGGGGTATATTAGATGGGTCGCGAGGATCTTTAGGATGCAACTGTTGGAATAAGAAGCATCTGAGGAGGTCAGGTAGACTAGGAATATTGAGTTCTTCAGCAAGTGCAGGAATAGTTTGAGCACATTTTTTGCCCTCTGTACATAGTTTATTAGGACATTCAAAAGGAAGAAAAAGAAGCCTTACGGCGTGTTTTCGCCAGCTGGACATAAGCTTGTAGAACCGTCAGACCATCATCAATTTCCAGGTCCTCATTGATGCTGATCAGCAGAGGTGCTGGTGCTGGTGCTGGTGCTGGTGCCGGCACATTTTCATCAAGTTCATTGATCTGCTGTGCGGGTACTATTGTGCACATTAGTATATAGGATATCTCACGAACTGTTTACCCACCCAAGGTGTCCATAGTTACTGAGAGGCAAGTACCAGTTAACATTCCCTGACGTGTGAAGTCAGCTCGTGCTGCAGAAAGTTTGTCGAGCCATTGGTTGGTCACAAGTATTTGACCAAGTGCATTATAATGGCTGGATCGTCTCCATGGCTCCTTGACCGCTTTGATGTGCTTGTTTTCAGTAATCGATGAGCAGAGGCCATTCGGTGCAGCAAACAATTATATGTTTTGGACATAGTGCTTGAGTGAATGTTGACGAGGTAGGGAAAAGGTAGGAACCACTCCTGTCGTCCTGAAGATGTTACGGTAATGGTGAAAGCGTGAGAGAGCGTCTTCGATTTCGACTAGAGTGTCTTCTGTGATTATGTTATGACGGACTAGGTAACAAAATTTGAGAAGTGCACGAAAGGTGCGCACGACATCTACGGGTACATGACCCTCGATGGCAGGCAAGTAGACCTGAAGAATTAATAAGTTCTGCGACCATAGCATGACTAAATTGATGAATTACCTTCATCAGGGCCTTCGAATCATCTCCTGTCCATTGCTTGAAGCCACGTCCCTGAGGAAATCATTGCAAGCCTGAAAATGAGGCGACAGCGGCAATTCTAAGACAATGAGTAATGTTATGTAGTCTAAATGTGGTCAAGCTTACCTGCAATCAATATCATCCATAATTTGATCCGCCTTTCGTTTCGTATGCGTGTGTCTGAGGTATTTCTCGACCCATTCGACGAGGTGGTCCTTGAATGCTCCTTTGATGAGTTGATGGAGAATATCCAGTGAGATCATCTGATGGATGTCAGCTCTGGGGAAGTCGTTTGTAAATGCCTGTTAAAATAAGATCATTAAGAACGGTGCTGCAAGGAGTGCACTGATTCACATACTACAAGTTCCCCGACTATTCCAAAGTCATCCCACAGGTCACCTAAGGAACCTTCTTGAACGAGTGCTTCTGTGTATTCACGACAATGATGTAACACATCTTCGTCGAGATCCTCGCGAGATGCCATACATCTGCAAAAAAAATTGTAACTTATACAAAGATACATACTAGATGACAAAAATGTACTTAGAGCACCAACCACGCACGATACATGCTAACAGCGCTTGCTCCTCATAATCTGCTATGTATGGCCCTAGTCCGTATATAACCCGACGGTAGTGACCGTCTCCAAAATGAGTGACTTCGGGGGTTGTCATGCCTGGTTTCAGCGTGTTGAGAATCTTGGAGAGTGACGAATGGAACAGCTGTCGACAGAATTTTCGGAACACTGCCTCGGTAGCATGTTCCTTTGTAGCTGTAAAAATCAGTTAGTCATTATCGTAGAAGCCCGCTGTAGAGACTCATGCCTCTCATGGCGTGATATGGCAGTTCCCACCAAGGAGTACATAGCACGAACTTGTAGTGTCACTCTGTGCGCTACCCGCAGCTATCCCTATACGAGGCGCAACTTTCCTGCGCAATGCGCACCATGCGCGCACCATTCCCGCGCTTCGCGATGTATATGCACGCGCGCATTCCTGCGCTTGAGCGCCCTATAGTGCCAGCCATCCAGAAGCATCCATTGTCCACCAAGCCCTCTAGTGCGTATATTTCCATTTCTTTTATTAGCATATCATTCCACCTCTATTTTTATAATGGACCCTTACTTATATATATCTTTACATACCTACTCGGTAGCACTTCGGCTCCGCATGACCGCACTTAGGCACGCTATATAAGCGCCAGCAGTACATACTATTACTTACTTTTTCAACTAACTTTCCATTTTTACAACTTACTTTTCCTACCAGTCACTTACAACTTAGCAGAGTATAGTAGAAATCTATTTGTCTACACTTTGCATCTCTCTTCTCCTACCTTGCATCATATTATCACTTAAGCTTAGTCTTTATCAATTTCCGCATACGCGCGCGCACCTGCGCTTTCTCGCGCTTCACTGAGGCGCGTACCTCTAGATCTTTGCTGCACTCGCTTCCCCTTCAGGGTCGAACACACTTGTCTCCTCAGGTAACGCAGACTAGGCAACACACAACCTTACAACAATTTTTTAGATACAGTTTGGAGCATCATTGTTCCTCTCTGTATTGTTTGTTTCTACACCGCACCACGACACATTTGTCGCCATAGCAAGGAAGCCAATGACTGCTACTCCATCACGATGGGCTCGTCGAACATTGTTGCGAATGTTCCCAATTGAGGCATATAGCGGATAATACTCATTATTACCTGTCCCGACTGAAACTGTCGTTTTGTCACTGCCAAGGATGATAGGGACAAACGTAGAGCCGAGCGTGCTCGGGTCCTTAGCTATTTCATCCTACATACAGAATTAGCAGTCATTACAGGATGAAGACTGCACTTACTGCCTGATCCCATGCCCCGTCACCAGACATAAAATCCTTCCACTGGCGCTTGTCGCCCTCGGTTGAATATTCTCGATAGGGGCAGTAGTCTACTTCACTGGTGTATGTTGGATTTGCAAGCATATTGCGCACGACTTCACGTGGGTCACGAAACCAGACTTCGTATTTGTCGTCCATTCATGGCTTGGTACCATCTTCAGGTCTCTCACCATCGTAAGTTACTGTAAAATTTTGCCAATTCACGTCCCCAAATGGTGAATTATTGATGATGTCGTACAGATCACGATGATCTGCGAATGGCGGCTTGTCGCCATGTTTCGCAAGGGTAGATGCCCATAAATCCAGCAACTGGTTGATTTGACCTGCCGGCATCTGATTTTGCATATACAGGAACTCTGCCATTTCGAATTCTGTACGATTGCAAAAGGGTGTCCAGTCGCCAGTTGCTACGTTCTCCAAAGGTGGGGGTGGAGTGCCAGGGAGGAGGAATATACCATCCATGTTGCATGGTCTGGCTGTAATCACATTCAGCCACAGTGACAGAATCATGTGAATGAACTTACCATTGAGACCCGTATGATAGTTTCGATACAGGTGATCCCCAGGCCCAATGAATTCCATATCAATGTTTGGTTGAGGCGATGGTTGATGTTGGTGCTCCAAGTCGGCATATCCTTCATCCACATCCATGTCGATATCGTGGTCGACATGAGGCTGTGGGCTTGGCAGATGGGGCTCTGGTATGATGGGTTCCGGAGAGCGTTGGTGGTTGTCCTGAGGTAGTACTGGCGGGATGGGATGTGCTGAAATGCAATGTTTTGTTCGCCCGGCGATAGTTTTGAACCACCTTGGACAACTTCTACATGGTAGTTGGAGTGAACTATGGTTGCGACGGCGTAGTTGACTCCGTGGAATGTTATCGGGCATTGCAGCAATACTAGACTAGAATGATGTTCAGTTCTGGCAATTTGTACATTGAAAGGTGGAAAACTCACCAATCAGAGATCTGTGTGTTGAAAGGCGGAAGGATTACCAGTATTAGCTCTGGTGGTTCGCACACCGAAAGGACTGCCAGTATTAGTTCTGGCGGTTCATGCGTTGAAAGGTGAAGGATTGTCAGTACTAGTAGCTCTGGCACATTGAAAAGAGGAAAAATCACCAATAGGAAATCTGTGTGTTCAAAGGTGGAAGGATTGCCTATGTTAGCTTGGAAATCTGCACGTTGAAAGGTGAGAGCTCTAGCAAACAGCAAAGTTGAAAAGAAAGACAGCAAACTTACGTCAATTAAGGACAATTCAGTACACATGCGGACCCAGTTGCAAAGGACACTGTAAATGACTAGACTGATGAATTGAACCTTTAAAGTTTCGGGTTGATTTAAGTAAGGAACTTACAAATTCGCAGTCAAACTTCAACTACACGTTGTCCTTGACATTTTTTTCACCCATCTCAAGCTTGCTGCAGCACTCATTTAATCTGCTACTTGTCAGCAATTATGTCCAATATCACTGAGGGAATCCGCACTCGCCGAGACAATAAGTTCAAACACCTGGGCTTGCCAGACCTGCCAGTGCAAGGACGGGTTCCGTGACGTAGCAAGGCCCAGAAAGCAGAGGACGACAAAATCCTTGAGGAAGCCCACCAAGCTCAAGAGCGGGCTGCAGTCGAGGGGCTGCAGCGGCTTGCTGCAATGCAGATGGAGATGGAGGAGGCAGAGGAACAAGGCATGGCGACTAAACCAAAGCTAGTCAAACCCCGTGCTCGCCCTGTCAAGAAAAAAGTAGTGCCTGCCAAACCAGTAAGAAGCTCCTGGCAGCAGGAAGCACTGGTGTTACTAGTATCATGAATACTGACTCACCCAAGGCTGGTACCGGCGTCGAGGACCAAGAAGAAAGCAGCCAGGACACCAACATTGAGGACGGAACAAAGAAGAAGAACCAGAGGGCCGTCAAAATGTCTCTGAAGGACGCAATCAACAATGCACGAGGCTCACTCACAGGAAAGGTTGAGTTAATTCAGAGGCCATGTGTTGGCGACAAGAAAGGAAAGTCTTCTACCACGACGTGTGTCTTTTTGTTCCGATCAAAACCACGATGTTGATGCTGACTGAATCGACTCTTTTTTTTCTTAACTTGACCTCAAAATTCAGGACCAACCCCAAGTTTTCATTGATAAAGCGCGTTGATGGTTGGATTTCTGATATTTCACCAGACGCAACCAAACTACTCAAAACTTCCAGCGCTTCTAAGACTCATACCACTGCCTCAGCTTTGTCATTGGCGCATGGGCCACCAAGCAGTGCTTTATCCAGTTCCTGTGCTACATCATTTTTGGCCATAACTACCAAGTCCTCCAAATCTAAGGCCCCCCCTGCTCTAGCTAATGCATCTGACGCTCCCAAGGCTCTTGTTGGCGGCTTTGATGACAAGTCGGATGATTCTCAGGAACATTTGGATGCCTTCATTCAAAAGATGAAGGGGAAGCAGTCTTCACTTAGGGTGCGTACTAGATGTTTTGTAATAAATTCTAATTCTAATGCACAAAGCCAATTATATAGATTATCTCAGATGCAATGCCTGAGGATGTGCTGTCTTCAACAGAGGACTTACAGGATATTGATACCGACACACCGATGGACCTGGACGATGCATTGGTGGACCTGGAGGACAATTTGTTTGAGGGCAAAGATGCCAGGATGTCCAAGGTGGTGGACAGTGACAGCAGCCTAAGCGATGGAATCTTGTTCTGTCGGAGTAAGAAGCGCAAGCTTGCAGACACCAAATCCTCCACCCTTGTCTTGGAGAGTACCCCCTACGAGGATACATCAGATGTTGAGGTTATTGATGTCCCTTCAGGCCCTGTCGCAATGGCCAATACAACAAAGACGGCTGTGCGTTTGACCTCTTCGGTAAGCTTATTTTATTGATGATTATCACAACTTATATTCTCTGACAGACTGCTGTCGCCATCTCCCAGTCGGCCACCACAAAGATGCAACCACCTGCAAAGAAGGTGAAAATTGAAGAGGACATTGATGCCAGCACCGTGCAACTAACACTCACAGCCCCACCTGGCTATTGGATCGAGAAGCAATACAAGACGCGCTCGAGCTACTGAAACTATCATCTCCCTCCTCATTGCCAAGATCAACAGTGGCCGAAGCAGTTCCTCCCAACACTTTACCTGTGGGCCAGGAGTCAAAATAACCTCTGGCAATTCTTAGACACTCCTCTGGTCGAGGCACTCCAATCCATTTATGATGTCGTGTATTCAGAAGAATCAGATCTTGATTACAAGGTGACTGCTCAAGGGTCTGTCTTTGGCGTTGTAAGTCGCATTTTTTTTCTGTCACTATTACTAACAGTTACAATCTCAATCAGGCCACCCAACGTCTCGCAGAGTGGCGCAGCAATTTTGGATCAATGAGACTGGCTATTATGATGGATTTTTTCACTAGGAATGCTGACACTGATCCAGAAACACTTGCTGACGCGCTTCTGGAGGACTTCGCTTTCATTTATGAGGACATGGAAAACCTAGACCTGATGCAAGCCTTCCGGTCTCCATTCATGTTGCAGCTCTTCGCAACCGCTCATCTTCACGCCATTCTCGGGCATGTTGAAGTCCCCGCACTTAAAACATATGTGCTGTCCATCGTCGGGATGACTGGTGTTATTGGCATTTGTGCAGCTTCAGTAAGTACTCTGTACATTCAAGTAACATTACTGATAATTCTACAGCTTGAGCGCGCCATCAAACGTCTCCGTGTCAATGCCATTGACATTGATGTGGACACCCTAGATCTGGGTCCTGCACAAATGAAGCGCAAGCTGCGGACACTGAAGACCTTCAACAAGGCCACCGGCAAGGATAGCACTACCGAGAATGCCTTCTCCATCAACAACTGGGGATCAGTAACTGCGTCATATGTGGTTGCTATCAAGGCGAAAGGAGACGACTACATGAGGACCACAACATTAACAGCTCAGAAATTGCTGAAGAAATCGGGCAATGTCAGCCTCCAGAAGTACTTTCGCACTGATGATGACGGCTCAGAGGCCATTGACATCCGCGCCATCCTGTGGTAACGAGATATCATTCTATAGATGTCATTTCTGCACTGCTCACTGCAAGTTTCCAATTGTGCAGCGCCTGTCTTCAAACCATTGCATTTTGCCTATCCCACCATCGCTCCGGTTTGCTCGTTTTGTTTTTCATTATCCACATTTCATATCCTTTAATCTCCTTTTCTTTTGTTTTACATTCATTTTTGCTCTTACAATCACTGCCCTTTCTTCCTATTTTGACCACTTTTTCACACTTCACGTCGCCATTTACTCCATTTTAACCAATGTTTTGTACTTTGTATTGGACAATGTGACGCCATTTGCGCTATTATTACTGCTTTTTTTGTCGGTCAATGCCTAGTAAGTGACTTTTAAGAGCAATAAAGTAGAATTCAGAGGGCGAGTGGCCTTTTTCTCAAATTTTCCACCGTCTCTTTCATGTCACCCCAATGGCTCCTCAAACCCGGTTAAAGTGAGAAAATAAGGATAAATTAGGATTCATCACCAAAAATAAAAGTGAGGTTTTACTGATGTGTACATTATCTTATTGATTGTCATCAATGACAAAGGCTTCATACTAGCATTATTGCTCTTGCGGCTATCTGTGCTAGTTTTACGACAGTTCTCATGGCTCAGCCAGAGGTCACACAATAGACTGACAGCTCAAAGGCACATTGGCAAGATGCGGAGGTGGATGTCCTGCTTCACCACCTGATTGAGCATCGCGCATCAGGTGGTGATGGTGGAAAAATTTCTCAATGCCTACCTATAACAGTGCAGCAGCTGCTATCAACGCCAATGGTATGATTCAGACAATAGGCCCACCAAAGACAGGCAAGATGGTCAAGACGAAGTGGACCTTGGTATGTTATCTTATATTGATCAACCATGAATTGACAAGATCGGTTTAGCTCAAAAAAACATTCAATCAAATCGAGGTTTATCGCAATGTGTCTGGCTCTCATTGGGACAATGTGCAGGGAGCTGGAATTGAGGGCACTGCTGCTGCGAGCATTTGGGATACATATGTTGTGGCAAAGGTATGTCATTATTAAATATATTGCGCAACATTGACTAACATTGAACTAAGTCACAAATTGCAATGCGCCCCTTGCGCAACAAAGGGTGGCCCCCATATGACGACATGCAGGCCATCCTAGGCGAGAACAGCGGTGCTCATGGAAGGCACACATTCCACCCCGCTACTACAGCCCCCGCCTCCATCAGTATTGATGATGTGCTTGATGACGCTGATGGAGGCCTCAACCTTCTTGACATGGATGTGGACCCCAGTGTGCCAGACATGAGCGCTGACCTGATGATGCCACTCAGCATCAGAGCCTCCACTACTACCGGCTCCCAGTCCAGTAAATGCCTGCGCACCAACACTTTAATCAACTCTCTGGAGACATCATCTCTCCCTTCCAGTGGTGTCCCCATATCTACCCATCCCGCTACTCCCCAGTCGTCAACTCTCCTGCTTTCAACAACATTGGTGCCCTCCACTCAGGTCTTCAAGAAGGCTCGAGTGTCGGCACATGGCAGCACACATATGGGGGTGAGCAGTGCTGCCAGAGTTGCTGCGAAGATAACTCCAGCAGCTGCTGTCATGAACATGCAAGGTAGTATTAATCGCCTCACTGACGCTATCGAAAAGAGCTTGGTCCAGCCAATTGAGGTGGTGCCACCAGTTCCTCCTCCTCCTGCTCCACCCACCATGATCTCCCGCGGTCTTGCAATCATGCACAGTGCAGATGTGGATCTGGGAGTTGAACAGAGAGCCACCCTCCTGCAGATATTTACCCATGCAGGAGGGGAGAACAATCTTGCCACTTATGTCGAGCTGGAGGATGACTTTGAGATGCGCCATGCGTTTATCTCTGGGCTCCTCGTGTCTACATAGAACTACCATACTATTTGTATCACTTCTCATTACATTTTCATATCAACATGTAGTACTTGTATTGTACATCCTATATGACATCATGATGAGTATGCGGGTGTGATTGAGTGTGAGTATGAGAGTGAGAAGGAACTTGCAGGACCAGGAACAATGTATAGGTGCGATTGAGCGTGAGTATGAGAGTGAGAAGGAACTTGTGGGACCGGGAACGATGATGTATGAGAGTGAGAAGGAACTTGCAGGACCGGGAACAGATCAGGAGTAGATGGTTGTGGTTGCTGCTACTAATGAGGAGTAAGTATGAGAGTGAGAAGGAACTTGTGGGACTGGGAACAATGTATGAGAATGAGAAGGAACTTGCAGGACCGGGAACAGATCAGGAGTAGATGGTTGTGGTTGCCGCTGCTGATATATAACATTGTAAAGTACAAGTGAATACTAGTACTAGTCCAGTCCATCCTCATCCTCCTCTGCAATATCTTCTGATAGATCGTCGTTATCATCTCCTCTCTCCTGCAAAATGCGCTGATAATCCACCCACATCGCTTCAGCAATGCGATCACGCATCAAATGGACGTCATCATGTCCAGCCGGATGATTCTCTGCTGGCTCCTGCTCCCATTTTGTGGTGTGCGCATCACCGATGGGGTGGTCCACGTCAGGCAGGTTGCCTTCTGCAGGATCATGTAAGCGGATAAAATTATGGACGCTGCACAATGCAGCTGGAATCTGAGCTTGTATGCCCATAGCGTATGGTGAGGACAGCAGGAGGATCCGGAAGCGTCATTTGAGGACACCGAATATCTGCTTGATGATGTTTTGAGCGGATGCATGACGTAGATTGAACAGCTCTTGTTTTGTAGTTGGCCTTTTAAAAATTAGCACATAACATGAAGAAAAAGGCTGGTACAACTCACCTTACACTTGCACGACCCCATTCTGCAAGGTGGTAGCGCACATTATGGTAAGGAATGAGTAGTTCAGGCCGCAGAGGGAAACCTGCATCTGCAAGGAAATATTTCCCTGCAGGAATGCGAAGGTCATGGCCCTCTGCAGCCTCATAGATACGTGTGTCTGTAGCCGACCCCTCCCAGCCAGTGAGGGCATATATGAAGTTGAGGTCGAAATCACATGCAAACAAGCAGTTTTGTGAAACGAATCCCTTTCGATTATGATAGGGACCTCGTTCGAATGCACGAGGCGATGCATGAATGTGGCTGCCGTTGATGGCGCCAATGATATCTTTGAAAAATGGCCAGAACTTCGGGTTACAGCAGATTTTGTTGGGAACGGAGGCGTCTGATAAATGGACATATTTCATATAGAAGGGGGACGACGAGAAGATGTTGAGCATCTTGCGAAAGTAACTACATAGAACATGAGACAATATAAAAACTGTTAGCGCATAGTACTTACTGGGAAATTGTATCATTCGAGCGTTGAAATCTTTCACCAATGTGTCTGAGGGACAAACCTGTAACAGATGTGTACAGGAAAATCGCAAGCTGCTCTTCTAGCGAGACGAACTTGGAGGCAGTGTGTCCGAAGGCACGAATCTCAGAGATGAGCTCTGCAAAGATGTGTGCATGCACACCAAGTTTGCACCAAATCTGTTCTGGATGACCAGACAACAGCTCCATAACCCAGGCTTCACTGGAGAGGGCGGACGTGTGATAGGGCTCTGGATCCTTTGCATACACGGACTCTAATATATTGGCTGTAGCACTGATCAGAATACTAACAAGAAGGATCAAATATTGGACGAGGCGATGACCTGCACCAAACTGGTTCAGTGCATGGATGACTAATACTCTCCTATGAGCCCTATGCCCTATGAAATCATTTTTCCTGTGATCTGAAGTCAGACTAAGGCTAAGGGAATATTTTTCGTTTTTTTTTTTCATTTTACGAGATTATACGCGAGTGGACTGAATATTTTTTGTACATTTAATTTTGCAATGAGTTTTGCTTAGTCAGCCATGAGGATGACTCAGAAAGATTCTCACACATATCAGGTGACTATGAAAAATATGTTTGCATAAGGTTACCCTGTGGGAAAGCTTACAAATCCTTAAATACGCATCTTATGTCATTATGCTACCAATCAATTCATCAGCCACAGATTGCACAAACATATGTACACAATATGTAATCACTTTCTCACTCCTTGTCTAGCTGAGTCATCAAGGGACACCTGACCCATGGGCTACACACAGCTCTTGCTGGCTCATCATTATACCAACAAGAGTTATGAATATTTACTTTTTGACTCAAAGATATTGTGTGACTTGGTACTATCACAGTAAAGTTACAACTTTAAGTACGAGAAACTAGTAGTATAGCCACCAATTTGTCTATATAAGGAGCTGTTTCTTGCCCAATAAATGCATGCCCAAGTGCCACTTTTACCCTCTCAGAATAAAATTGTGAGTGAAGTGTGAATCAGCATTCAGCAAGTGTGGTTCAAGGTTGGAGCTCACTGTGCTCAACAACCAGCACAACATATCTGAGCTCACTGTGTTGAACATCTAGCACATACCTTGAGCTCACTGTGTCTGACAACTAGCAAGACTAGTGTTCTCTTTTTTTTATTTGTGTTTTTCTCTTTTTGTTTTATTCTGTGTCTCTGTGTCTGTGTCTGTGTCTGTCTCTCTCTCTGAGATTGTCTCTGTGATTGTTTTTCTTTTATCTGTCTCTCTGGAAATGTGTCTGAGATTTGTGACTGTGAAACTAACATCTCTGTTTCTCTGTTTCACTCTCTCTGTCTCTCAAGTTTGAGTGTGGTGTGTTGGTGACTGTGTGTGCTGACCATCTCCTTTGATCGCTGTCTGTGTGTGTTGTGATCATTGTTGCTAACAGTCTCTGTGAACGTGACTGTGTTGGTGTTTCTGTTGTAGCAGTCTGATTGTGTTGCTGTTCCTTCCTATCAACTTTCTCTCAAGTATCAAAGTTTCAGTCTCATTCTTACCCAGAAGTTTGGTGTTGTCTCTTTTGTCCACTGAAGACTTAGGATAGTCTTGTGGGGAGACTTTAGGTGTTGACAGTGAATCGCTGACCTCAGACATCTGCGTGTTATACTGGGCCAAAGTAGTCATTTGCGAGTTAGGCTTTAGCTATTGAAAAGGGGACTTGGTATTGAAGTCCAAGGCTGCCCGTTCCTGAGTCTGTTTGAATACTCATTGTGAGTTCCTTGGCAGCAGGTTCAATATTAGGCTAAGAGTGCTACGGTAGCTCTGACTAGGTCTGACAGTAGTCTCACCTGTTTTGTTCTTGAGGGGGATTATCATTGTAACTCCACACAACTTGCTGCACTAAGTTTGTGTATGAATCATTGTTGCTGTGTGAAGTGTTAGGAGGAGTGTCTGTTTGTATTGTGTCATCTCTATACTGTTAGAGTGACTGTGTCTCTTGATATTTTTGCTGTTGTTTGGTTGTTGTTGTTGTTGATCGCTGACCAATCGGGTTCTGTTTCTGTTATCATTGTGCTTCATATCCATACTGTTGGATTGACTGTTGACTGTTGATTGTTGACTGCTGACTGTTGTGCAGAGCTATACATTGCTGACTGTACCTTAGGAGCAAAGACAAGCCACCCACGAATGACCACGTTATAAGTCATTGGTATTTGTCTGAATCACTGACCGTGGAGATATTTGGTTTTATAGGTGTTTATCTATAGATCATCTATCTAAGAAGACAGTGACATCGAGTTTCTGGGCATTGGGGCACATAAGGTGGGAGTTGCGATTGAACACTCATTGCCATAGGACATAGATTAAGGACGATGTGTATAGTGTATTGATAACAGCTGGTGTTAGGGTTGGACGAATACAGCTATAATTTGAGCTCCGACATCTGGGACGCTTCAAGCTGAGAAGCCTCACCTGACATTTGCCAAACCTCGGTCAACATCTCATTGCCAAACTGGCTCTTACTCATTAGTGTGTTGCTAGCACATGGATGGTTCCTCAGGCCCTTACACTGCTAAGCTAAGTATGACATTGACAAGGAAGTTATGGGCCATCTCTTGCAAGATAACTGCCAATCATGGTGGTTGATCAAAGTCCAAGGCAAGCGGGGCAAGATCAGTGATACTTGGGCCTAGACTAGCTAGACACTGGAAACGCGGTGCAGCACTAGTGCAAATCAGTACACTGGTCAGTGGTCGGGAATTCGGAATTGGATAATGGCATACACTTTGTCCAGCTACGTCCACCAGCCATATCTTGTACGTTCTGTTGAGGATAATCACAAGTTCTGATACCATAGGATAGAAAGATAAAATTCTGGGGAAGTGAACATGTCTGACGGTCATATTTTTTTTTTCGGTAAGTTCTGCTCCGATATAACTCCGCTAGTTGCAGGTCTACTGATTGAACATATGCCTTGAACTTCAATGCATTCACCATGTTAGGTGCCAGCTGGGAAAGGACCCATGAGAACCCCTTTGGAACCCAGGTCGGCTGAGGCCCAAATTTGCCCAGACACATTTTGAGGATTTTGTCTGGACTCTGACCCAGGTTACCAAAAAATCTCAAAAAATGTGTTTTTTCTTGCTCACATCAGGAAAACCCTCCCATGTAAACTTAAGTAAAGCTGTTTGGATTAGATCTTTTTTTGTGCAGCTAACACATATTAGACATATTAGATGGGCTAGACAAAATGGCCAGACTATATTGCTGATTTTTAATTAGCCATACCTTGCTGCTATTTAGAACAATTAGATGTCCTAGTAGACAACTAGGAAGGCCTTTGCACACCTTAGGAAACACAATAGGAAGATTTTCACACTTGAAGTACATGGAAGAAATTGATGATATCATTAAAATCGTGTATCAGGCTAATGTGGTAATGTACGACTCATACAAGCAAAACAAACCACAAGAAAAACATAGCAAGCAGTCAGATATAATGAGCGAGTGAGAGATATCGGGGAATCAATCCCAGTGAAGAATGACAATATTTAGGTAGATATGTGTAGATATAAGTCGATAAAATGTTAAGTCATGATTCTTATTGATCTGTTTCGAGGTCTCTCGACAAAATGTCACTTTTTGAGATGCAAAAAGATATAGATCGAGACGAATTTCTAACATTTAGATATAATTCTCAATGCCTTTAGGTGTTTAGATAGGCATTTACATACAGATTGTTGCTCGATTTGAATCAAAAATGTTATTGATACACAGCTAATGCAATCAAATGAGAATATCAAGGGGTATTGCTGTTATTTGTGGGGTATTGCTAGGTATTGCTAGGTATTGCTATCACTGGGGGTATCCACTGCGTGCTGCGCCACCATCCCACTATCCCACTATCCCACCATCCCATGTCACACTACTCCTCGTCCACATCGCAAACGGTTCCAACAACCCCACATGATTTGAGCTATAGAACGAGACTGTTAGTGTAGTATACAATAGAGGATGGTGGGCCGAACTCACCTGAGCTGTCGCTTTGCATTTGTATACCTGGTAGACAGTGTTAGATAGATATCACTAATATAACAAAATTGACGCACATCTTTGTCAGCTTTAGATAACCTGTTCCAGTAAGATGCGAAGACTGTCCCAGGTTCCTTTTGATGGCCGTTTGATTGCCAATCCAAAGCACACAAGTTCCTACATCATATGAATCATAGAATTAGCTTTGATTGGCCTGATAATGATAGAATCACTTACCGTGCAGTGATCTTTGCACTCACACACATCGGCTTGGTACTCAGCTGACGCTTCTTGATGGTATCAGGCTTTGAGCTGTTGATTGTGATCTTCGTTTGCTCGGCGCTCTGGAATGCTGCAATGACTTCCATTTTCACATCAAGTGAAGTCGAATCGGCAGTTGATGGAACCTCTGGCATGGAGAGTAGTGTATGCTGTGTGATGTTGTTGGTGGATGGAATTGGGATAAGATTAAGTTCAGAAGTTGAAGTTGAAGTCGAAGTCGAAGTCGAAGTCGAAGTCGAAGTCGAAGTCGCAGGAATCTCCAATGGAATTGGTCTGGGCTGAGGCTTGGGGGCGAGATTAGAACTATATTGATTAGATCAGTGTACCATCAACAGTGTCATTGACGAAATGAAATAAACTCACAGAGGATTTTTGATCTGTAGACATATGAAATGCGTGTAGTTAGTACAATAACCCTTCCAATACAAGCTACATACACTTACCTCTACAGTTATCACTTCCTTTGCTTTCCCTTTGTCGGTACTGGGTGGAGGTGAATGTTCACAGTCGGGGGAAGAATCTTGTATGATATCATTGGTGGATGATGCGGTCTGTAAACATGTAATTAGCAAGCATTGATCATGATCAAGTGCAGAGAAAACTTACCAGATCAACCTCTTCTCTGATATTTGTAAGGATTATCTATTCCCTACGCGCCGACCATGCTTAAAACTGAGACGCTCGAACGGATCATACGTTCGAGCTAGTCCATGTGATTCATTGATGCGAAGAGTGCAACTCTTCGCATCCGAACTACAAGGATACATTCCTTTTCGTTTCTCTTACTCTTTCGTCATCATACCTTGTGCTCTGATTTCATGATTCCCGTTTCTTCACCGATATCTCTCAAAGCACCATATGCTACTTACTCTCGTTCCGGTCTAGTCAAGAACTCAAAATCGTATATAATCAGCATACGTAGATTCATACTTACAGCGAATCAGACAGTGAATTCCCCGCTCCAAGAACATTGAAAACCTCTCAGAAAAATCTCCTCTCTCTAGCCTTGTTCAAATTCGTTTCGTGTTTTACGCTGACACGTCTACATATCTATCTGTCTCGTTCACAGTTCCCCACAGAACTAATCCAGCCTTACATATTGGAATCCACGCATGATTGCTTGATGGCACATTCATTGTCGGGTTCAGATAATCTCCATTTCTGAGTGACGATTGGGACCGAGTCTGTGATGCTCTCATCTTCTAAGTCTTGCTCAGCCTTCATGTGGTCGCTGCTTCTTTTCTTCATGTGATACTTGTGCCATTGGGGGTAGTTGTTGGTCATAAGTTTCATTATTTTCCAATTATCGGCACAAAGTCGAAGCTTGAAATGGGTCTTGCACAACGTGTGAACCAGCCATTTGAGGACATCCAGAGAAGCTTGGCCAATTGATTCTGGTGCAAGTCCTTGAGTATGAAGTTGACGGAAGAAAGACAGCATTGTCGATTGAATTGACTTTGCACACTGAGCTGATACAGGCATGCTGTCCTTGTCCTGGAGGTAAGTCAACACATTGATACCTTGTGCCATCCGTCTGGATCCACATGCTGATTTTTTCGAGGAGGAACCAGGAACAGCTGATGTGCTCAGAGGGTATTGTTCCTGCCATCCCTTTTTGGTCCAAGACTCCACTGACAGAAATTTGGTCTGATCGAGCTCGTGATCGCAGGCTTTTTCGATTGTTCCATTGAGAAGGAGGGGTGGCTTATGTTCATCATTGCTATTGGTGCCAGATGAAGTGCTTGAAGTGACAGATAATGACAAGCTCAATGTGACTGAGCTTGCTGAACCTTGGATATTAACAATGATATTCCTACAAGACACATAATTAGATATCATTGAAATAAAAATGAATGAATGTATGCGCATATAGTCACTTGGCAGTGAATATATGCGCATAAAACTTACTGTAAAGTCTGACAGGTAGTATTGAGACTTGTGTTTTCACTCGCCAGCCTTCATACATCCACTTGGAGACTGGCAATCGCGTGTTGTGACTCCACAAGTTGATGCTTGAGTTGGGCAACAAGATTGGCATCGGAGTCCTTGCACAGCAACAGATCGTGATCGAGTATAGAGTCTAGAGAATCTTGATACATAGAAGACTCACTGTGTGTTTTGTATCAGTATACAAGCCTTCAGCGGGTCTTTTTAATTAATATAATGACTCACATTAACTTCTTGAAGTACCATTGGTTCACGCAAATAGTATGGAACAAATGGATGTGGTGATGGTTGTTGAGAATTATTCTGAGAGTTTGGGTATCTGGCGGATGAGATTATGTGGTTGAAGGACAACAACATGATGGTATGAGTTGAAGTCAAGAAAGGAAACTCGCCAGAAATTCACCAAGTCCATTGACACACATCCGCTATGCTACCACCAGCCATCCAGGATTTTCTGGACTTATCATTAGATCCAGACTTCGATGGTGATCCAGACCTTGACGGTTATCAGGCTGATACCAGGTGAGTCTTTGCTTCGTGATCTAGATCTATTAATCTTATATACTAGCTGTATCAATACAAATGATTCCATTCATTCCACTCGATCTAGTACCCCCTTCATGACTTTGTCTGACGATCTACTCTCCAATCCTGCGTGTTGGCCTACCTCCCATGCTCTCAGGATTCGGGCACGACTACTGTCACTAATGGAATTACCACAGTAAGTTTTCATTTTTATTTCTGCGTACTTTTACTCAAGAAAATATAGTGTACCTACAACCAAACCTCCGCAAAATGATCCGAGCAGCATCACAGAGCCTGAAAGTGATGTTGAAGAACCACTGATCAAGCTTATTCCCCCGAAAGATGATCTGAGCAGCGTCACAGAGCCTGAAAGTGGCGTCGAAGAACCACTGATCAAGCTTCTTCCCCCAAAAGATGATCCGAGCAGTGTCACAGAGCCCGAAAGTGATGTCGAAGAACCATCAATCAGCGCAACCATCACCCCCAAGAAGAAAAGCTTCTTTGACACACTGAGCCCCCCAGGACTGGACTCATTATATTGGAAGTATGTAAGCCGAGAAGAGGATGCAAAGTGGAACGATCATGCGCATACCGATGAAAGTTTTGATGCAGTACATCAAATCAAGAAAGAGCTCGCAGACCTTAGTTAAACTGTAGTTCTATTGTATGCTACAAAGAGTCTAGTTACATTGAAGTCAATGTATTTGTACAGACAAAATCAAACCCCACACAAAACCCCACAAAACATGTCTTCTTGTCTGATGGGATCAGAATACATACATTATTCTTCATCGTCCATTACATCTTCCCCAGTACCACCCATTGTCAGTAGGTCCAGGCCTGGGCGCTCTATCAGGTAGAACAGAGTTCCATCAATTCCTGGGAATTGGTGGGGAATTATTGCTACTACTGATTGTATAGTAGATACCTCAATTAGTCATAATGAATTGTTGCTGTGATGACGACATGCAAAGACTGTTTGAAAGGATCATTCAAGGAGTTCTGGGTGTGGTTGACTGAATCCTGAGACGAGTGTGAATGTCTTCTGCCGATCATGAATCGTCATGTTGAAATAGAAGTAGACCTCTGCAATGCTTGTATGGCCATCGACAAATAACTAAGTTGGAAATGAATATGTGATCAATTGATCAATCAAAAAAAACTTAAAAACTTACCTTCACGTTGCGTGCCATCCTTGGTTGCTTTGACATCCCATTCTCCTTCCAGGCCGATTGTGCCACTTGCCCATTAGGTAGATGTAGTCGAGCCCATCTAGTAATGGGGGGGCAGTGGCAATATGAATATGATTGGTGGCCAAGTACTGAACAATGGCGTCAGACTCGCAAGGACGGACTGTGTGGGCTGATCGCTCCCTTCGACAGAGTAAAATATAGCCATCACTGAGATCCAACGATCCTTTAGGGAGTGCGTTTGTTGATGGTTCGATTGTGGGAATGATGGCCTTGAGAGCATTGATCTGGCAGCGTCAGATGGCACATTGAGATAAGTTAGCATAGACTGAAGAATTATGCAGGCGGATTTCTTCCCCGAGATTACCGATTGTGCGCTCCATGGTCCATTGAGATGAGCAGATAGGTGGTCCCTTGTTGACTCTCTCACCAGCAATATGTGTGATCGAGTGGAGCCACGGTCGAACGAAATGAAGTCAATTGATCCAGCGCTGGTAGTAGAGCTCTTCAAATTCATCCACGAAGCTAAGAAGGTGATGGTGGCCTTCAATGAGATCTGATCTAGATATATGGTATTGTTGCATTATACATAGTCCCCGGGCAAGATGACAGAAATGTGACCAATAGGGCTCAGGAAGGATCCCATAGAGTGTGGCCGGTGCCATCCCATATAGGTAGAGAAGCCATTCCCATGCCTTATACCCGCTGCTGATCTTCTCTGCAGGGTTACGAGGAGGTTGATCAAATGAACCCGGCAGAAAGGGTGTTGCATCTGCAATCAGAGATCCATGTGCCTTCCAAGTCACCTTCATCAGAACAGCCAAGGCCCATGCAGATTTATCATCTGTAATCTCGGCTCTAAAGGTTCCTCTCCAGAGGGGTAGAAGAAGATCACCGGTATTGATGGCAGCAATGTGCATGATATCAGAGCCAAAACAGAGCGGGACCAGCAAAATATGGTCAGCCGCAGAAGATGCTAGGTTTCGTAATGCCTGTCTCGAGGCATGCAAGCTCATATTTCGCCATGGTGGAACAGCAGATCACACACTCGAGATTCCATTCATAATCAAATGATCCAGGAAGGGGAAGCCGATGTAGAAACTACAATACAGTGAGGCGCATATGAGGCTCCTGACTGTATCTATAAATGTCGTAGGTCGTGCGTTGCCTAGTCTGCGGAAGCAAGTACAGTGAAGATCTAGAGGTAAGCACTGAAAGCGCTACCGGTCGGCCAATGCGAGGTGCGAGAAAGCGCAGGTGCATGCAAGGCACGGAAGTGCAGGAACATGCGCGCATAAGGCGCGAAGCGTGGGAAAGTGCACACAGATATGCAGAAATGAGAGAGACTAAGCTTAAGTGATGTTATAATGCAAGATAAGAGATGAGAGTGCAAGGTGTAAACAGATAGAGTTCTACTGCGACTTTCTAGGTAGTAAGTGCTAGGTAAAGTGAGAGGTGAAGTAAGTTGAGCTGAAAAGTGAAGTAATGGTATGTACTGCTGGCGCTTATATAGCGCCTAAGCGCTGTCATGCGGAACCAAAGTGCTACCGAGTAGGTATGTAGAGATATATATAAGTAAGGGTCCATGATAAAAATAAGGTGGAACAATATACAAATGAGAGAAATGAAAATATACGCACTAGAGAACTTGGAGGACAGTGGATGGAAGCATCTGGATGGCTGGCGCTATAGGGCGCTCAAGCGCGGGAATGCACCTGCGCGCATATACATCGCAAAGCATGGGAAGTGTGCGCGCATAGCGTGCATTGCGCAGGAAAGCTGCGCCTCATATGAGGATAGCTGCAGGTAGCACACAGAGTGATGCTGTGAGTTCGTGCTGTATACTTACTCCCTAGGGAAAAGTGCCATATCAGACCATGAGGGGCATGATTCTCTACACTGATCAATGAAGAAGTCGGGATGATCAGGATGATCGGTACCTTCAGGTTGACGTAGGGCAGGATAGTATGTCGGTGCACCTGGTTTGTGCCTCCCTGGGAGTCCACAATAGAGACAGCATGCAAATCTGCCATGGTGACCGACGAGGCCAGTGAGGAATCCCATACCAGGGCCATCTGCTGTTGCAACAAAGAGAAAGGGATTAGATCTGAATAGAGTCTTCTTTGCGCCGTCCCAGATTGGTAGCCCTTCAGTCTGAATCGCGCAAAGATGGTGTAGGCCAGGGAAAATGAAAGAATCTAGATTTTTGGGTTTTTTTGGGCCGGGGATGATACCACCTGGGAGTACATACTTCTTCTTGTACCGGTCGTCTGGCACATGATCAAATATTACCCAAATATATATCCAACAGTCAGACTGTTTGGATTCATAGAGCTGCGCTCCATCGATCGAGAACATCAGAACTGCATCACCATCTTTAATTTTGCCAGATTGGCACGCGTCCAGATATTGCTTCCCATGAAGGATATCTTCATATACCTCCGGAATGCTGTCGGTTGTCTTCAATTTGTCGATGATCTTGTTGGTGTACTCCTGGCGCCATCGCATCTTCTCTGCTTGGTCTGGATGCCGCCATAGGGCCTGGAGCTGTGGACCGACAGGAAAAGTGTCGAATGTTCGTCAAGGTATGTTCTTCTGAGGTGTGCTCTTTTTTTGATCCCATCAATCTTCTCCGCATCTGGAACAATGATCGAGGTTGGCATATGGACCAGTAAATGCGAGGCATGTATTGATGCACATGTCATTAATGATCGGCTCAATACCACTAAGTTCAGCAATGGCTTGCTTCACTCGATAGTAGCTGTATATGTCGTCGTCGGGGTACTGTTCCATAGAAGCATCATGAATAGAATTGTATTGTTTGATAGTCGTATCAGCAAAGTAAAATTTTAATGATTGTATGAGGTCGGGATCTGTGGTATCTGGGAGTGCATGGGAAGGATTTTGAAGCCTATCTAATGCGTCTGGTGATAATTGAGAGTGTATGTCGTCAAGTGAGGCTTGTCGTAAGGCATTTATGAAAGTCATTGTGTCCTGTGCATCTCCGAGTTGTGCTGTAGGACTGGAAGTCCTTGTAGCCTCATAGAGGCTATTTTGCAGTATCTCATAGCATCCTATTACTTTACTACACCAAGCGCAGCTTTCCCGCGATCTGCGCACATCAGCCACTACTTTCCCACGACAGCCGCAGTGTTCCCGCGTGTGCACACAGCCGCGCTTTCTCGTGCTTCATCAGCCGACGTTTTGCACCACCTGTCCATGTCCAACCAACCCAATGGTGCATTATTCTATGATTATATTTACATATCAGACCATTTCCACATCGCACCACCTTTATTTCATCATATACCCTTATTTACATATAACTTTACATATCTTACTTGGTAGCGCATCGGCTCAGTTCCGCATGACAGTGCTTAGCGCAATACTTAAGAGGTAGCAGTACATATTATTCAGTAGCTTGGTTTTCTGGATGTTCCAGTAGCAACTCCCTTTAGCCTACAGTTAGTAGCTATTGGCAATCCATATCCATTTACCATCCGCACCGCTGAAGGTACAACAATTCAGATGGTGAGTCTGAACAATGTGTTGGGTCTTGCAGAACCTAGCTGCTATTCGACCCTAAAGGGTTTCTGGACCAGGCTCAAGGCTCAGAGTAGAGGAAATATCATAAAAACTTGCTGATCTCTCAGACTCATACTGGTAACTGGTGAAAAGATAACTTTATTATGTAAGCTACAAAAGTGCCAACATAAGGTAAGGTAAAAACAGTCTCTACCAGCCCAGCCAGAAATGAATCCCTACACCGCGTCCATTACTGTTCCGCTTTACGTCTAATTCTATTGTCTATCATCTCTATTACCATCCGAACCATCTGCGCTGCAGCTGCTTTGCAGCTGCACTTTCCCACACCTTCGGCTATCAGCCGCCGCTTCATTCCCGCGCTTCGCATTGGCTGCTAAGCAGCACCTTCAGCGCTCATTTCTTGACCTTTGCTGCACTAGCTTCCCCTTTAGGGTCGAACGCACTTGTTCCGCAAGTATAGCAGATTAGGTGTTGGACGACCTACAACATAAAGATATCAGTTTGGAGCCTATAGCACCACACTGAGTTGTAAACCTACAGCGCCATATGGTGTAATTCTTCCAAGTCCTCATCGGTCCAACCCATAGTCTGCGCAGGACCAATATCTGCTTGATCACGATCATGATCAGGTCCATATCCCCACGCAAGCCCTCAATATTCTCTGCCTCGAGGCCTCCTTCTTCTGCTTCTTCTCCTCCCTCTGCTTCCTCTGCTTCCTCTGCTTCCTCTGCTTCCTCGCGCCCTGTACTAGTATCCCCGAAATTGTTGTCCATATGCTCATATGCATCTAGATCTATGTAATACCATTAATTTTGATCATGATTGTAGTATGAAGAATAAACTTACCATAGTCTTGGTTGTGATCATCAACCTCTGGCACAAAGTCGTGGTCGGGAACATGCTCAACTCGAGTCTCGTCAATATGTAGATCTGTATGATATCATTATTTGAATTGAACCAGTTCTTTGATATTAATTGGTGACATACCTTCTTCTGTTCGATCAATGACCGGATCAGACAACTTGTCCTCGATCGAAAATGACACAACAGGATTTTGGATGCATCCTTTCTTGCTGGTTTGTTCCTCATTGTCGGGTGCATCCAGAGGGCGTTTACTTGAAGAGGGTCCAGTTGCTACAGGAGTTGGAGGTCGTGGTCTGCCAGTGCTGAGAACAGAAGTAGTAGGATATGATGGTACAGCAAGTCTGCCAGTTTTGTGTTTGAAGTATGTGTTGTGGTGTACTTGCTTGGGCTTACCTACATTTTTGAGTAGGCAGGAAGCGCAGTCGCAGACATATGTGTTTGTGCCATCTTCAAGTTGGTGTATACCAGCTTCATGGTAATGCATTTTGCAATCTAGATGGTAGATAGTGTGTATGCAATCTCGATCTTAGAAGGTGCAAAGTCGAAGTTTCATTAGCAAATTTGCACTGTTTTTTGCTAACATTTGCTCAAACTGCAAAGTCAACTTTGCGATGTTGAAAAAATTGAACTTTGCATTTTTTTTTTGCGATTATGCATCTTTGCTATCTCGATTCAATTAGATTTATATAGTTTTGTTTAGCTATGTCACCTGCTATCTACACATATCTACCTAAATATTGTCGTTCTTCACTGGGAATCAATGACTATCCAAACTGGCCCTTCGACTCTGCACAGAAAGCCACCACAACTAACACGTCAGAACTCAATGGTTTTGGTTGCCTTGATATTTGTCAGTGACTCAGCACAGCGAGTTTAGGAATTGTCACATGGTATCCGCACGTGGAAGGGGAGATTAAGACGGATCCAAACAAGAGTGTCTGTCATGAAATAAGATTGACAGTCAGGACTATTTGAATATAAAGAATGTAATTAAAATTTAAAAAAATCAGTGCATACCTGCGCAGCATCAGCAGCCATCGAGTGAGCGAGTGAGAGAAACCATCAGCATCAGGTAAGAACTGTAAAAGACAAGATCATGCGCATCCTAAGAGCAGGACATGGCAGAGGCATCATCAGTGGCTAGGGAATGACCCGGGGGTGTACCCATGAGTGTTGCAAGCATCACCCACACCCGCAGGTATACCAACACCCCCATGGCAGGTGCAGGTCTCATGGTTGGTTGGTGGGTAGTATAGTGGCAGGTGTGGCACAACAGTGCCCATGTCGACTGTGTGGACAGACGAGTCCATGCTGCTGCGCTGTGAAGACGAAGAAGTGCCTGCACTTGTCGTACCAGAACCCATTCTGAAACTGTCTCCTCCATAACGGAAGGAGTGCCAGGCTTGTTAGATGCACTTGGGGGCTCAGTGAGGGAGGAGCGCTGCGCACGAGCATCGTGTCGAGAGCGCTTCCGAATAATATCAGATTTCATACTAATGGGATGAGCAGAGCCGTGAAGCTTATAGTAGAGGCTGCATCTGTATGTATATAAGAGATTGGTATGAATAGAAGGAACAACAAATGAGAACTTACGCGTTGCAAACAGTCTTGCCTTCATCGTCCTTCCTCCACAAAGGAGTTGCCACCAGGACTCACCACCTCCATGACTCGGACTGGTGTCGCAGAAGAAGAAAAATGTGGTGGCGCTGCAGCCGAGGACAGTGTGGACAATACAGAAGCCAAAGATGATGCCCAGTGAAAACTGACTGTTATGGGAACGTGCAGCATATGATGAGATGTGATTTGGCTAGTGGTCGTCCAAAAAAAAACTTCAAGTGATATTTATCAAGTAAGATGAGAATTATATCATATTTGCAATATTATGGAGCAAAGTCTCTGATGCTCCCATATGATTCAAGCACATCAGGTTCATATCAGCGCATATACACGCGCACTCTGGCTGCCCTCGCAGAATATGCTCTAATAGTGTAGGATATTATTGTATCGCACATCTGCAATTGCTTGGAATATAGTAGGTACACAGTAATAGACGTAGTGGGGGATGCTACAACTTGAAAAAATGCTGCAAGTATGGTGACGACGAGTGGACAGATTGAAATTGAAAACAGAGTCTAGTACATCTTGCCTTGCCCGACAGTCTTGTCCCATTTGTTGGTAGCAACCTGTGAATATTTCATCTGACTCGTCAGCATAGTAAAAGCTATCAGATAGTGACTTACAAGTTCAGCAGCTTCTTTATCATAAGCCTATAATGTGAAGATGAATATAGGAGCAAGAGGGCCAAAGAATAACTTACAGTGCACTGATTCTCAGCAAGACCCATATAGTATACACCAAACTCGTCAGTCATCCCATTCATTTTGATCTGTTTGAGCCAGCGATGGGCGCATAAGTTACTGTAGTGTATAGTAGTAAGTGTCAAGCTCGATGAAATGGTGATATGCTTACTGTCCGTTCTTTGTTTGACTTGGACGCATCTTCCCCTTGGCTTTCTTTGGCTTTGGCTCAGCAGTGCTGGTGGTCGCCTTTTGGACTGTGCGCTCAAGCATGGGATCGACTACTAGTGGTGGAGACGGAGGTGGTGGGAACTGCATGTTTGCGGCACATAGAGCAAGTGTAGACCTGCTGACTAGTGTTAGTAGTAAATACAGCCAGACATTTAGACTCACAGTGGATTCATAATCGTAATTTTAACAGGTTTTGGCACAGGAATCGTTTGGCTGTCAGTAGGGATATTCTCGTCTGCATTAGCATCGAGTGAAGTAAGAGCATCCACAGTTGCGATTAGTTGAATGAGAGGTGCCGGAGATTCGAGAGCAGGAACCAGAGATTCGAGACCAGGCATCGGAGATTTGAGACTAGGTGCCAGAGAATCGAGAGCAGGCACCGGAGAATCGAGAGCAGGCACCAGAGAATCGAGAGCAGGCATTGGAGATTCGAGAGCAGGCGCCGGAGATTCGAGGGCAGGTGTCGGAGATTCGAGAGCAAGCAACACATATTCGAGAGCAGGTGAAGGAGATCTGAGAGCAGGTGACACATATTTGAGAGAGCAGGTGATGGAGATCTGAGAGCAGGCGATGGAGATGGGGATGATAGAGACATGACAGGATGTGTGTTTGAAGTAGGAGTAACTAAAATATAATTGCATTAATGTGATATTTAAACCAAAATAAGGATGAACTTTTTCTTTTCTTTTTCATCCCTTTGAATTTAACTGAGTCTATCGTCTGCTTTCGTTTTTTTCCCTTACTTGAAATTTTGCCTTCTCCATCGCTCTCGACACATTCGTTATCAATGTCATTGTTGTCGTCTTCCTTTTTGACATTACTGCCCGACTTCCAGTCACCATTGGTGTCAAGATTGTTTCTGCGCCAGGCAGGGTATGTCGTAGTGGCAAGGTGATCTAGTTTCCATCTGTTGTTAGCAAGTTTGAAAAGGGGAAACTCATTCTCCATGAAGTTATGGATCAATTGTCTTCCAGATGCCGACAATTTACCCCAAGAATGTGGGGCAATCTTGCGAGTAACAAGCTCACTCCAGCCACCACGGAGCACCCTCCGTATGGCTTTGATCATTCGTGACAAGACTGTGTGGCCATTTTCATCCTCAAGATAGACCAAGTTTGTGCGCGAAGAGCTGTGACCTTGACCTGCAGGAGTGTCACACCACTTCTGAAAATCGACCTGTTCCCAGAAACAGACATTTGGATGTGTAGTGTGTGATGGACGATTAGAGTGGGTTGGTGAAATGGAAATGAGGGGAGCGTTGAGCTGCAGAGGGTCAGCCTGTTGAATCCTCCCAGTACTACTAGCAAGCCATTCAAACATCTCCCTGCCATGTATCGAAGTTAGCTGAACTTCCTCTACAAAAATAATCTTACTTGATAGAGTCATGCTCGGTAGTCAATTTGACCACCTCCAGCTCTAACATCTTACAACGGTCTTGTAGGACCGATATTTGCTGGTGATCATGGATATATGCGCCCTAAAAATATATTTCTGATGAGGAAAACACATCATAAGCACTTACTGGATGGAAGCATGCATGTGAACTTGAAGTGCCTGAATTGAAATGGTCCTCTGGTAATGGTGCAGCGCCAGATAGGGGAGATGAATTCAAATCCCCTCCCCACTGAAAATTCTGACCTGGTGAAGGAAAGTTAAATTGCCTGTGGCCACCATGAGAAAATGAGCTGCTCTCAAACATATTAGACAGTTGATATGGTGGAGAGATTCAAGAGAAAGACGCCATGCATATACCATGCTAGACCAGTAATATTGCATTGAAACTCCACTGGAATTGTCTGCCAGGCCTTGAAATTATCTAAGTCCCATCAAGTCAGTGCAGTGTGTACCTTCATTTCATTTATATTTCTTCCATGTTGAATGCAACGATCAGTGTGCTTGGTAGTGTTGGTCTCATTGAGATTAGTGGTGATGTCTCTTCATGGGACATGTACTGCCTTGATCTAGAGATACCCACTCACCTCGAAGTGAGTTTTCTTTTTTGTTGCTGATGTCTTTATTATCTGATATACCTCAGAGGATTGTTTTTCGTATCAAGGACTCGGCCCTCACAAAACTGCTACCAAACCTCCTGGATACCATGTAAGTTCTATTTCAAACGATTGTAGACTCACATCAATATCTAAGACAGCAAGAATCAATGGAATCAATCCACCAGCAACAAGATCAAGAATGAAGATAACGAAGCTGAAGGACTCATGACTGTGAGCGCAGTGGGAGATGATACGAAGATCAAGGTAGATGAGATGGAGCAAACAAAAATCAAAGTAGAGGTGGAGGAAAGCAACACTTCCATGTGTGTCCTTTTGTATTTATGATGCTTCGACTGACATGATGTCAAAGGGATTCTCCAGTTTACCCATGCCATCTGCTTACTAGGCGTTATGGAAATCCAATCCAGGACTCACTCGACCCATTTAGGCCATGGCACTATTCAGTTCAACCTTTTTACCACTCAGAAGTAGCGATGGAGGTGGCTAAAAAATGGGCCCTCTATCAACAGATCCATCATGAAATGTACGACGAACTTCAATTTTATTCCAAGTCACTGTTGTGAATCGCTACTGTCATCTGCTTTGCACGCTCTCGCTTTGCTTTACTTGCACGCCTTTCCACTCATTTCAAATGTTGTACTTGCACATTTTTTTTCCATAGTTGCTCATCACAGATACATTGCACCGTACTGTAATATGATACTATTAAACAATCACCTTAAACCTGTAATATCTGTCACTAATCAATAATCTTGAGGCTGTATCATGTGTGGGAAAAGGCTTCAAGTTCAATAAGAATTATCATGAAGTACTAATTATGACAATGATACTACTCAAGATCAGCACCATCATCATTGTCATCATCCTCTGGCTCATTGCCACCTCCAATATCAAAACCAGAATATGGTACTCCCAGGTTCGAAATTTCTAAGCATGGTCGCTCCATCATAAAAAACTGACTCTCCATAACTCCAGATGGTAGTGTTGGCATATGTGGAACCATGGCAATAACACTAACAATATCCTTGACATCAATTGCCAGAATATCATCAAGGAGTGTGCAGGATACGAGGGTCTGTGATGAGAGCTTGAGAAGGTCTTTGTTGGGGACGGAGTACATCTGCACAACTGCAACATTCTTGAAGTGCCATTCATTGTCATTGTCATCCACATCCTCCTCCGAGTCATCTGCATTCTGTCCTGTGACATTGACAGCCAGTTGTGTGTAGTACAGTGCCTCAGTGAATCAAATTTGATCGTTAAGCTTTATCTGTCAATTAAAATTAGGTAGGCTGACAATGACAAGCAGATGTTTTGAAACATACCTTGATATTGCGTGACATACGTGTCTTCTCAAGGAGTTTGAGTTTTTCTCTCCAAGACGAACGTGCAGTCTGCCCATTTGGTAACCAAAGCCGTGCCCATTTTCGTATGTGAGGGAGTTGATGTCCATTTCCAAGAAAGGTTGTGATGGCAAGTGCATGTTGTCCAGTTGGGTGTATTGCATACCTCTCTCATTTTCACAACAACACATATCCATCTCCAAGATCAACAGCACCTTCTGGAGGGCCCTTCAGTGGCTCGTCCAATTCAGGCATGATTGAAAGAAGAGTATTGATTCTACAATGCCGAACTCCTTGTTGTGAAAGGTTAGCATATGGCTGTGATGGCTGTCGTATTTCTTGACCGAGATTTCCGATTGTTCGTTCCATCGGCCACTGAGCATAGCAGATAGGTGGACCCTTTTGTACTGTTTCTTGACCAAGATGATTTGTTTGATGAAGACATGGCCATACAAAATGGAGCCGATACTCTTTGCGTTGATAGTAGAGGTGTTCAAATTCTTGTTCCCAATGGCACAGGAGTGATTGAGTGTGTTGAAGGTCTTCGACCGTGATGCGATATTGACACAGTAGTTGGAATCCACGCACGAGCTTGCAATAATTTTTCCAATATTTCATTGGAAGCAGTCCATATAGAAGTGCGGGTGCGAGTCCAAATGTATAAAGCTGAAATTCCCATGTCTTGTAACTTGTGTTGAGTTTTTCAGCAATATTACGGGGTTTGTGATCAAAAGAACCTGGTAGATATATGACTGCTTTCTCGACAGCTTTGCCATGAGCAATCCAAGTATCTTCATCTTTCAGAACAGCCCAATCCCAGGTGGCTGGATTATCAGCAGTTGTGCAGTCTATTGTTGTGCGCCAGAGACTGAGGAGAAGGTCGCTAAGATTGCCAGCTAGATGCATGATATTGGGAGTCATACAGTAGGGAACACCGAGGGACTGTGAAGGGCTGAGACCAAGGATAAGTGGAGGTCTGGTTATTCCTGTTTCGGTCCTCCTTTTCTCCCATTGTCGTGTGTTGAGTGCCTTGACAAGTTCTTCAAGGTTTTCGGCATAGCCTTCAGATGCCCCAAGAGGAAGATCAAAGACATTGAGGTCAGGATGATCGCTACCATGAACATGACGGTCTGCTGGCCTGAGTAATGCAGGATAATAGTGGCTACTGCCAGTCTTATGTCTCCCTCTCACTCCACAATAGAGACAGCACCCGTTTTTACCACTATGCCCAACCATTCCATCCCAATAGACAAGTCCAGGGCCATCAGCAGTTGTGAAAAGAAGATGGAGGTCAGATGTGAAAACAGTGTCATGGGATGCATCCCAGATCATAAGGCCGTTCTTCTGAAGAGCAGCAAGATGGTGCATGCCAACGAAGAGAAATGAATCCAAGTTTTGGGGCTTATTTGGCTCAGGTATAAAACCACCTGGCTGTACATGCACTTTCCGGTACCGATTGTCAGGCGAGAGATTGAGAATGATCTAAACATACATCCAACAGTCAGACTGCTTGCTTTCATAAAGCTGCACACCATCAATAGACACCATAAGGACAATGTTGTTTTGCTTGATATCGTTGGCAAGTACTGCCACAAGGTAATCCCAGCCTGCAGCGATGTCGTCAATTACTGGAATGGATTGTGTCACCCTTAATTGTGCGAGGATTCACTGTGTTTGCTCGTGAAGGTACTGCATATTGTGTGCACTATCAGGATCATGATACAAGGCCTGCAATTGGGGACCAAGGGGAATGGTTGTAAATTTTTGAGCCGCAACCTTGCTGCAGCCATTGCTTGCTTGCAGCTTTCCCTGGTCCCAGCGTGATTTATCGCACAGGGGACAGATCTCGAGTGCTGCATATGGGCCTGTGAATGCGAAACACGAATCAGGACACATATCATGCTCAATTGTCTTGACACCAGTGTACTGCGCAATGAGCTTTTCTACATTATAAAAGCTCAGGATACTGTCTTCATCATCATGAGCATAATTGTGTATCGTTGCTCTTCATATATGATTATAAGCGTCTTGAGATGCAAGTTGCAGTGATAAGTACATCGAAATGCTTTGACGGGTTCCTGGATTGTCGATGTTGATAGGACCCCTGGGTGGATCGTGAAGTCGTTCAATTGTGTCGTCGCTTAGCTTGGAGATGGGGTCATCTAGTGATGCATGCTTTAGAGCAACAATGAAGTCAAAGGTTTCCCTGATTTTAGGGAGCACTGTGCTCTCTGCAAGCATGTCAATATCAATATTTGGTTGAGGCCTGCGCTCGATGTTTATTGCGGGTGGAGATGGGACTCGTCTGTGGTCTGGAGGAGGAGACAGGACTCGTCTGTCTGTATTAAGGTCTGGAGGGGGAAACGGGACTCGTCTGTGGTCTGGAGGGGGAGATGGATGCCGATGGAACAAACCATCTTGGGAATGGGGAGGGATATCATCCGGAAAGTAAGGGATATCATCTGGTGGCTTGAATGCGGTTGTCAATATTGATAGTTCAATTAATTTGGTGAAATTTTACATACCGGCTGTTCGATGTGGTCAACTGGCTCAGTCTGAGTGATCCGAGCACGCTTGCGACGCCCAATTCTCCAAGCAGCATCGTCATCTTGTGGTTTCATATAAGGAAGCATGTCCATTGCAACATTGCCGTGAATGTTCGGAGGTTCTGAAATGTTGCGAGCGGCACTTCCAGAAGCAATACTAGTGGCAGAGCCAGGGATATGACTCGGAGGTTGCAAGCTACCACCTCGTAACACTCTTCCAGTTCGAATATGTTCTTTCTCCTCTTGTGTGCCAGCGTCGTGCAGATGTCGGTACCAGGTTGCTATTGAAACAACATGGGGAACCCCATATTTCTTGCAGACGCACATGCATTGACCTGTATCATTGAGTTGCTCCGCACTTGGAATCGGAAACATCTGAATAGAACAAGTATGATACTTAGTTGACCTGAATTCAATTGATGCTACCATACCTTGCAAGTTGCATAATAATGCGACGGTGTACCAGACTATCGCACCAAGACAACAACAAGGTGGTAAAGCTGCACGCCGACAACGACTTAGATGTGATGTTCCTTAGTGGTACAAAGTTCGTTCAGTGCTTACAATATGTGATGTAATGTTTTCAGAATGCAACATGATGTTTGTTGATACAATATGTCGGAAATGAAGGTGTGCACAGTGTGATGTACAATGTTTGTTGATATAAACAAAGGGGTGCGATTCAGAGGTTATGCGTTGTGATCGAGTTGTACGAAGATTTGCATTGTTCATCAGAAGGAAGCATATTCTGACATAGTACAAAAATGGAAATTCACATCTCATCATATGCCGCATGTTCCCATAACAGTCAGTTTTCACTGGGGATGATGCACCACCCGCTGTAGAGAATCATGCCTCTCATGGCATGATATGGCAGTTCCCACCAAGGAGTACATAGCATGAATTTGTAGTGTCACTCCGTGCGCTACCCACAGCTATCCCTATATGAAGCGCAACTTTCCCGCGCAACGCGCGCCATGCGCACACCATTCCTGCACTTCGCGATGTATCCGCGCGCGCGCGTTCCCGCGCTTGAGCACCCTATAGCGCCAGCCATCCAGATGCATCCATCCACTGTCCACCATATTCTCTAGTGCATATATTTCCATTTCTTTTATTAGCATATCATTCCACCTCTATTTTTATAATGGACCCTTACTTATATATATCTTTACATACCTATTCGGTAGCGCTTTGGCTCCGCATGACTGCGCTTAGGCGCGCTATATAAGCGCCAGCAGTACATACTACGAGAGGAAGTTTTCCACTTACTTTTCACCCAACTTTACTTTTGACTTGAGTACCACCCACTATTTACCCAGGCTCCTTCCCACCTCCACTGTGAGTTAAAGGGGGGCGACATGTTAGTTCAAATGTCACGTGCTTCGAAAAAATTGAAACCCAGCATAACCTTACTTCCCCCCAAACTCACAGCGGAGGCTGGAAGATAACATATGTAAACAATCGTCAGCCACAGTGACAGTGACGGCCAAACCTCAGAAATACGAGTTTAGTCCTAGCGTAGGGTTACAATCTTTTTGAATAAAATATTGTCTTCTCTTCCCCGGCTATTCTTACATCCGATTTCATGTACAGATGACAGCTTCTAATTATCTGCGTGAGACTCCTGCGCTATCAGAGATCTATCAAAAGACGCAAGAAAAATTCGGTGTCCGTCCTTGTCTATGGCAGCTGAAAGTTGCCGATGCTCTTCTCAAAGGTGACCGGGACATAGTGTGCATTGCAGGCACTGGTATGGGTCAGACACTCAGCTTCTGGATTCCGTTGCTATTCCGCATCAATAGTATTCAGCTTGTCATCACTCCACTGAACTTACTGGGCATACAAAATGCATCATCACTTGCGAAGGCTGGCATCCAGGCCATCGCTATCAATGCAGATACCGCTAGCACTGCAAACTTCTCGGTCTGTGTTACTTTGAAACTGTATAAATATTTCCACTCACTTGATATCAGGCAATTAGAGCCTTGAAGTACCGCGCTGTCGCAGTCAGTCCTGAACAAATCATGAAGCCCAACGGCGAATTCGAAAAGCTTCTGAAGGACCCTTTGTTTACTTCTTACCTCGTAGGTATCATCATCGATGAAGCCCACTGTATCACAGAATGGGGCGAGTTCCGCCCAGAATACCGAGAGTTGGGCCACCTTCAATACATCCTACCATCAACAATATCCATCATGATCGCATCCGCTACCCTGACGAAAGCGGCCTTGACGCATACCACCCGACTTCTTCACATGCACGCTGACAAAATGGTCACCATACATCGCTCGAGCGACCGCCCGAATATCAAAATTGGAGTCCGAAAAATCAAGTACGCACTCAGTAGCTATGGTGATCTTGCATTCCTCGTCCCAACGGGTTGGAAGGTTGGTAATCCGCCCCCACCAAAGTTCTTGATATTTTTCGATAGCATTCCGGACGCCATCAATGCGACCAAATACCTGCGCAAACGTTTACCTGCAGATATGCAAGAAAAAATCAAGTGGTTCAATGCAGACATGACGACGGAGTACAAAGATACTGAGCTCACTAACCTCATATCAGGAGATACATGGGGCTACTGTACGACAGATTCCTTTGGAATGGTAAGCGTGTTCCATCAGACAATGTTTTATAAATGAACTTACTGGTCAGGGAATGGATGTCCCTGACATCATGCTTGTTATCCAATGGCGAGCGACATGCAAGTTGTCGACACTTTGGCAACAGTTTGGGCGTGCAGTACGAGATCGGCGCCTCCAAGGCACTGCATTGCTGTTCGCAGAGAAAGAGCATTTTGACGAAGAACGACAAGCTAAAGCAGCAAGGAAGAAGACACGGGAAACGAATCGGAAGAGAAAGGCTGATACTAACTTACCTATTGCATCAGTTTCGAAGCGGCGTGCCCTGAATACTTCGAATTCTCAAGGGATTGCTTCCCATGCCCAGCCGACTACCAACATTGGTGACCATGGTGATGAATCTGACGGGTCTGATGAGGATGCTACTCCTCCAATGGATGGAGGCCTGCAGGGATTGAATGACTTTGTGAAGGGTAATGTGGAAGTATCAAAATATACTGCGAAGCGACACAAAACAAGTCTTGACACTGCGATGGATTATTTCATTAATGCGGAGAAACACGACAGCCTCATGTGCCGCAGGAAGGTTTTTGACGTCAGCTTTGATCATGATGCAGCTGGTGAGAAAGTCATAGTAATTGTGTGTGATGTGACAACGCATACTTACCCATTCCAGACTCGGACCATTTCAACTGCAACAAAGAAGAGCCCATGGGTTGCAAACGGTGCTCCATCACCCAACCAACTATTTGCTGTGACATCCACCACCCCGAGCAATTTTCTCAATACGCTTCCCTCATTGACAAGCCAACAACCATGCCACAGCGCTCCCGCGTTCCCAAGTACCAGAAGACAGCATGGGACCGTTCTCTAGAAGAGGCACTGGATGATTGGCGGGAACAGAAGATGGTGTCTGCCTATGGCTGGCACCACCTCAACGACCTTGGTCCTTCCCTTGTCTTGCCAAATGCCATCTTGGATAGGATCCTTGACTGCGCACACCACCATAAGATTCAGAGTGTCTATGATTTGAAACGAGAGAGCGGTTGGATGGATGCAGAGAATTTTGGGGAGGAAGTCATTACTATCATCAAAAGACATGCGGCACCTCTTCCCTCACCATTTGTGACGACACCACTTAGAACTGTTTCCTTTCCCAACAACCCCCCTGCCCAACCGTCTTCTACTATGGTTGTTCAATCTGTTGAACGACGAAAGAATCGGTGTAGCGCATGTGGCCTTGAAGGGCATAATGGTATGTTTCATTAATTTCAGGTAACTTTCATCATGCTAACATCTTTCACTAGCCCGCAATCGTGTATGCGGGCAACACCCATCTCGCTCTGGACAGAATAAGGAGAACGCACCCTCGGCACGAATCGATGATGTCGGTCCAGTACCTTCTACTACATACCGTCGATTTCTTACATTAGCTCCATCAATATGTCCTCAATTTCTGCTCCCTCTTCTATCTCTGCACTATATTCGTCGTTACTCTCTCCTCGAGCCGCTTTTTCCATCATCTCTCTCCCCTTGTCAACAAGATCAAGGATTTCACAACGTGTCTTTCTACCTAGCGCCACAGTATGGGGGGATTGCACTGCCATTTGGTTATGCAGCGCTTGAAATGTTTTTGTCATGTTTGGGGCAGCGTGGTCTGTGGTTAGGTGAGCGTGCAGAAAATTCTTTTGCACGATCGTTTGAGTGTTTCGATAGGCCTGGACAAGAGGCGATTCAATGAAAATTCGTTCTACAGTACAGTTTGAACCCTTCCCGCCATTCTTCACCTGCATGGTGTCAAGTATGCAGCTAATTCAACAGCTTAGCTGGTGCACCTTCATAAACAGGTTGTTAAGCTCGACACACCAATCAACTGCACGCCATTTCATTGGCTTGCCAGTTGGGTTGACAAGTATGTGGTAACGCACAGCGTGTCTGGTACTTTATCAGCATCCAATGAATGTCGGCATAGGAATCCACGTACTTTAGGCCCGCAGGGAAAACAAAGTGTGTTTGGATTAGAAAATTTGTCATATGAGTGGCATACTTATGTTTGCCTGTTGCCTTAAGTATCGGAATCCACGCTACTATGGATGTCTCGACTCGCCCAATATCTCCGTGATTCATCGCGTAAGATAGCTCCTCATAGAGGAGGAAGTATTTGTTGAGCAGGAGTGCGTTTTCATACTGCATATCACGCTGTTCTCGAGTCTTACGACGTGTCCGCAGGAGTTTGTAATTTGCCACGTAGTTGAGTGCGATCTCGTTAGCAATACTCGTCAACTTCTGAAGGTCTGGTTCAGACGCTGCAAAAGCATCAAGGCGTGCATAACTAGGGTCCATACTCGCCACATGAACACGCCAGCAATCAAGACGCCGACATATGCCTGCGTGGGCAATGAGTTCGTGCATCCGTCTAAAACCAGGCTTCGAGCAATATATCCCTGTCTCCTTGGGTCGTAATTGAGTTACGTCGCGCATTAGACTCGTTTCATCCTCTCTCGCTGCTAATGGCTGTAGGAATATTCTCCAAATGGCATCGGCACATGCCATCTTCAAGTGAAACAATCCTGGAATGAATACAACGTGCTGAAAACGGTTCCACGAGGTTGCCTCCAGTGACCGTCGAAGCTGCGCTGCCTGCAATCGTTCCCCTGTACCCAGGTCACCATGGATCAAGACGACATATTGCGAAATGTCGGGATTGTCAACGATGTCAGTGTCGGTGGGATCATGAATGCCACCTTGACCGAGTAGTTCCATGACGGCACGAATATTCCCGCTGACAGTTGAGTTATTGATGTCCATTGCACGTGCAGCTGTGATTGACATTTTTATCAACGATATCTCCTCTATAGCATCCAGGTTGGGTATTTCGGATTGAAACTGCTGAAAATACACTGGCCCGTGTTCACATAAATTCTTCAAAAACATCCACGCGTTGAATCGATCACGTCGAGAGAGTTGTGGCGCCGAATTATTCGTGGATTCTGGGTGGATGTGTAACAGATCTTTCCATGATCTTTTGGGAGGTAATGTTGATAGCTGCGCGTTGGGATTTAACACTGATTGCCTCCATAACTCGTCAGAACACTTCAAGTCATCTGTGGTCACACCATGCTGCAATGGGAACAGCAAACTGGAGGCGAGATGCTTTAAGGAGTCATTGGACTTTTCAGCGAGAGGAACTTGAGTTTTGAGATCAACGTCGAAATTATCGTATGCATATGATGCAAGGAGTGATTTTCCCAGTGTTTGAAGAGTATTCTGTGACTCTGTTGACAATGATCGGATTGCAGCATTGATTGAGTCTGTGGATATCGAGATTCCAATGCGAGCAAGAGTGTCGATCACCTTCTGGGGAGTGTGTGTTGACTGTAAGAATATTCCGAGTATACTTTGCAAAGCATTTGATCTGCGGTTCGTGCTTTGCATTAAGATACTAAGTATGACAACTCGTTTCTAATTCTATTTGTTCAGATACATCAAAAAATGTGTGCCGTGTACTTACAATCATGATGATTGCTGTTCGTCGCATGGTTTGTTTTCTATCGCTCGTCATAGTATCCAAGAGGCCAATTATGAAACCCTCAAGATCTATGTCATCTACATCATCCCAATAGCTGTCCTCTTCAGTGCAGTCCATCGTGATATCACCGTCGGCATCTTTCACATCATCAACTGAAGATGTACTATCAGCCCCTAGCAGAAACCCAAGCAAATCCCACAGCGCAGGTGCACGAGACTGCATCTCTAATCCCATTTCCTCCATGCTAAACTCCTCCAGCTGTTGTGTAGTTGCATGCAAGGGTCCAAAATGCCAGCCGCCTTCTTCGGATGAGATCGTTTTGATCTCAGTGAAGTATTGCTTTCTCAGGGTGTCGTGAATTACAGTGGGCAGTGACTTGTTGTCTTGACGAGAAGGATGCTGAATTAAAGCTTCGAATATTTCATCTGAATGCAGAAGAAGATCTTCGGCAAGATAATGTCCTTGATATATTTTGCACTTTAGAATTGATATGATGAATTGAGATGCACTCAGGTTGCAGTCTCGTAGGGATGCAATTACTGTGTCCATAGCATAGTATGAAATCGGATGTAAGAATAGCCGGGAAGAGAAGACAATATTTTATTCAAAAAGATTGTAACCCTACACTAGGACTAAACTCGTATTTCTGAGGTTTGGCCATCACCGTCACTGTGGCTGACGATTGTTTACATATGTTATCTTCCAGCCTCCGCTGTGAGTTTGGGGGGAAGTAAGGTTATGCTGGGTTTCAATTTTTTCGAAGCACGTGACATTTGAACTAACATGTCGCCCCCCTTTAACTCACAGTGGAGGTGGGAAGGAGCCTGCTATTTACCTAGCTGAACATAGTAGAAATCTATTTGTCTGCACTTTGCACCTCTCTTCACTTGGCTTACATCATATCCTCACTTAAGCTTACTCTTTCTCATTTCCGCACACGCGCGCGCGTTCCCGCGCCTTCGTACCTTGCGCGCACCTGCGCTTTCTCGCGCCTCGCTTCAGCGTGTACCTCTAGATCTTTGCTGCACTCGCTTCCCTTTAGGGTCGAACGTGCTTGTCTCCTCAAGTAACGCAGACTAGGCAACGCACGACCTACAACATTTTATAGATACAGTCAGGAGCATTCAATTGTTCCTCTCAGTATTGTTGTTTATACACCGCGTCGTCCTTCTCCATGACTAGCACGCATGGACTTTGGACACAGACATTTATGCTACCAAAGAGAAGAGAAACAATACATCCACTCAGCAAAGTCCATATGACATATATAGATGAAATAATACTACTCACCAATTGGCACCATCAAAGGTCGAAGTTCAGGATGGATGGTATGAGTAGTTGTAGTAAGAGTGCACTTTGTTGGTTTTCTGTTGAAATCAACCGTGGGAGCTTTATAAAATATTAGTCATATTGATCGTTCGATTTTCGTTACACAAACAACTTCAAATTATTAAATGTTCTGCCTTCATATGGCTACTGCTTTCTCATCCCACATTACGCTGCCAACAATGCTGACACAGTTATTCAGCATCAATATTTCCGGCATTGTCTACCATAGTGCTTGCTAATGTTCTTGACAAGTGTTCATCATTTTATGTAAATACATACTTAGATCAATACAGTTTTGCAACATTGTGCTAGTTGCCAATGATTATCATTAGCTTGCACTATACTATTGGTCTTAGAGCTAGCTACTATAAAATTTCACAGCTTGTGAAAATTTGTCTAAGAACGTCTAATCTATCTAAGTCTATATGGGAGGGTTTTCCTGATGCATTCGAACTTCAAGCGTACAATGAAAGCTGCAACAAGCAAGATTCGAACTCTCACGTTTAACATTATCGACAGTGTCGTTCCGCTACACTACTCTACCATATCTTAAATCTATCGGGCAATAGCCCATGTCCGGACTTCGACCTGACATACCACCACCCCCTTTGCAGATGTCCGGACGTTCATCAGGGAAAACCTCCCACGGGAATTTTGAAAATGTGACAACAATTCTCGAGAATTATGGCAAACTTTCATCAAATTTTTGTAAAAGCTTGTAAATAGTTGATAAATAGTCACATCCATAACGCAGTCAGTGAATGCACTGAAAAAGATATCTACAGGGCTCTAGTTGAACCTGCCATGAGATATGTAACTAATTATTAGTATATCAAAAATGTAGAGTTCACGCAATGCAGAACGGGGACATATTTAAACAGGTGGGAGGGAGAATTCGGAGGTGTCTGCTGCTGGCTACATAGAGCTCGCTCGAAGGGCCTTAGCCTCAGCGACAACAAGTAAATTGAGAAATTGAAAATCGAACCACCAACGATTTAATTACTAATCACAGGGCTCCCATGGTTGATTTCAATGAACTCATTCAAATATTCATGTTTCACTCTGCAACTTACACGAGCCGCAGCAACCACTTGCACACCCTGTCACGTCATTTTCTTTATGTTTTCATTCTCCCTTACGGTTACTGTTGGGGACTCTAGGTGAGAGGCATCACCACCACAGAGCTAAGTCTCGCTCCGAGCGGGCGTCTGAATTCTGTTGTCGCATTCATCTGTGCGTGGTCATTCAAACCAGGTGTCTATGTAGGATTCCTTTTTTTCTCTTCTTTTTGGCGGTCCAACTGGCCTTCCTGATCTCTCCCAGCTACAGGCTCAATTTGGAGCATACACATAGCTCAAAACTGCATTCTGAGGGTGAGTCATGTAGTTGAATCCTGGTTTCACAGCGACCCGCTCATGCTCACTGTCAGAATCGCAAATTCCCTACTCGAGCCGCAGCTCAGGCCAGAGCCGGGCCACTGCATTCTGAGGTGTGCAGGTGAGTCATGTGGTTGATTCCTGGTTCCTCCCTACCCGCCTCCCCGTGGTCCACGGCTCTAGTGTGACGACTGAGCAGGACAAACATCCCATGGTCTTGGGCCTCACTGCTAGCCCTATGTTCAGTGGCAATCCTACTGCAGCCTTCTGGTATGGTGCTCGGATTGGAGACTACAAATATTATTGACATGCTTCCAGGAAGTTGGAAGCCAACCTCGACTGCGTTATTCATAGTCCTCGAGCCAATCGGGATGAGCTCTTGACTCATGTCCACTGTCCGATCTTCCGACACGTGTGCTACGATACACCGCAATACTCTGATCATAACTATACTTCTAAAAATTTATCAGCAGTCGATGCCATTATTGCTACTATGAACATCGGATCCCGAATTCCATGGTCTCAGCTGTGGTTACTGTGGTGCATCTTTTTCTAACTGTTCAAGCACTATCTCACTGTGTTCTACCAGATTTTTTCTTCCCTACTTGATCTGAAGTTGGTTGACTTTGCATCCGCTGAGTTGAAAGCAGCATTTGCACGAATCGATTTCGATGGGATGAGTAGGGCATTCCTGATAGCACAGGGACTTTGCATTACACGTTTTGTCTCATTTCCTCATTTTCATATCTTGTGATTTGCGATATTCTAGTATTTAATCACATTATAATCATTTTGTTGTATTCGTGTGGATTTTCATAAATTTTCACCCATCCGTAGAGGGACTTGGAATATTTTAATGTATTTTCAGAAAGTCAGAAAATTTCAGAAAATTTTACAAAATCTTCGCGGGAGGTTTTCCCTGATGTTCACCTGGGTTGACACCCAAATTAGACGTTTTGTGCCCGGACTGTAACCTGGGTGAAACGGCCATTTGGGTCAATTTTTGTCCGGACGCCAGCCTGGGTTCCATGTGGGTTCTCATGGGTCCTGCTGGGAATTGGTAAAATATCCATGGTAATCATCAAAATGAATTCTTCTACATATCGTCTGTAAAATTACAACACCCTAACTAAAAGCGAAGAAATTTCGCAACCAGGAACAATATCCAATCAGCCAGAATCAGTTTGAAAACTGTGAGAAGAGAATTCGACATCGAGTCTGGTGGTAAAGACATTGGGGCTGGAGCCATCGTTCCGGATGGCAGTGGATGAAATTCCGTCATCCGTGGATTTGTGCAGGTGAAGCACCAGTCGAGAGACGAGAGTGACGGACATGCTAGGTATCTGATTCAAAATCGACGTCTGTTTATCGCATCAATCACTCACCAACTAGTAAATGTGGCTAGATTCCCTCTGGTGATATCCTTGTCAATTGTCAGGAAGTAGCCAAGCCGATCGTAAGATGCAGTGCGTGCTCACCGAACCACACTAAATCATGGTGAGTGTGCGACTCGATTGATATATTATCTGTTGACTTACATAGTATGTCAGGATGTTAGGTAGATCGATCAATGTCATTGCTCTAAATCAACGCAGATCAGTTTCACTTGAATCACAGTTTCACAATCAATCTTACGCGAAATACACTGCACCTGCATTTGCTTGTTTCAGAATTTACACTACAGGTGCAACGAAAGAAATACCATCTTGGAATATGATATCAATGATATTTCTGCTGGATGGAATCAACCGCGGAGATCCCCTAGTCTTGCAAGTCCTGAAGACTGTAAGGACAAAGATAAGTAATTCGAAGACAAAAACTGCAATCCAAGCCAGTCCATAACCTGCAAGTAGATAAGGTAGTAGCATCATCAACTTGCATGCAACGTGGCTGAGAATTCACTGACGCGTGGCTCTGTCGCGACTTTTGAGCAGGCACGCATACCGATGAAGGGAATGACATACATCTTTGCTGTGAATGTGTTATGGCAATCACTTCCTTGGATGTAAATCGTAGTATTTGAATTATTTCCAAAAGAACCCGCCTAAAAGGTCAGCAGAATCTGGAGTGCAAAAGGATATGCGAACACGTACTGATGCTCCTCCCATAAGAGCAAGACCGATGATTACTATGTAACTGAGCAGGCGCCTGCTACGACCGTACAGTGCGTAAACGCGCAGAGTCAATATGACTGAAATATTTCAGGGCATGTATTTTTCGCGATCAACTTTTGACTCACCGCAAACAATGATTTGTTGGAGATAAAGGAACAGCTCTCTGACTAGCATATATCTTGAACAGCTAAAACTTTGGTAAGAAAAACAACAATATATATTCAAAGAAGGGTTGAAACCTCTGCAAAAATAGATAAATCGTGAGCCTGCCATCTGGGTAGACGCATAACAAAATTATCGAACCTCATCCGAAACTGCGGGTAGGAAATCGATAAACAAGCCAAAGATATTGCCCACCAGGGCAAGATAGCGATTGGCAAGAAACAATGTTGCAGACAGTAATTTCGGACGACCCCAAATAAACGCGATTTCTTCTGGGAGGGTCACTATATGATCGTACATCAGAATGCCTATGATATTTGTTATCGTCCTGAAAACAAAGATGGAAAGTCTCGGTACTGTTTGCCACGAGAACAGCGTTCAAGTGAAATAACCTGATAGATTATGATGTCAAGAAGAATATATTCGTGCGCGTATGACTCACAACTGCTGTTTTTCAGTGATATCCATTACAACGAAGCGATGATGCAATATAAAAGGTGGGTGTTGAGAATGCCTGCCGCACTCAGGCTATTACAACATTATTATATACATATCATCAGGGTCACAGGAATCGATGCGGTAGTTTTACAAAGCTAGCCTCAGTGGCAACGTTTCGATTTCTTGCTGAAACATGAAACATCAAAGTTGCCATCAACGCCACGGTGCATTAACGTTCTTCCCTGTGTATTTATATTGTATCTATGACTATCCCATGCACAGAGATGATCGCTGGGCATGATAGCATGTGTGCGATGCCAGGATCAAGGGGGAATATAGGAAAGTTAAAAATACGACTTTGTTACAATTGGGTCTCCTCGACGACGTCCGATGATCGTCCCAAGAGACTCAGATGTTACAATACCATGGCGCTTGCCAGTGATCCGTTCAACTATGTTACACAGCATCCTGATACGTTGATCTCGGTAATGGTACGTATGTGTTTATGATACAGTCGATCATGGGTGTTTTGAAGCTTTTTGTATATAGGCTACACACCTGCAGCACTACTCTGAGGCTCCGGATACTTTATTCTGCCCATAGACATACATTTGAGTTGAAACCGTCACGCGGGTCGCCCTATGTGTGTATTGGGATCAAGCTAAGCGGCATACGATATGTGTATATGGGCTTGCCTCGCTACGCACCAGTACGTTTCACGCGTACATGAATCTATGAAACTTTCAAATTTGAACGCTGAATGTCCAAACTTCGTCAATAGCTGGTTGAATGATTGTTTGCGACTTTACTTTTACTTTTGTAGGCTACTACGGGATATCCCACCTCGAAGGCGCTATCCAGCCTACATGAATTCACTGTAGGGGCCTGACGATATTGACCTACGCAAGACGATAGACCAGAAGCCCAAAGTAATTTGAGAACTTGAGGGGCACTGTGATACATGTCAGTCTGCCCAATGGAGGCTGAGCGCTGAGCGCTGAACTAACAGTGATTCATATCACCGCATATGGCATACCATAGACACCACTGATATAGCTATTAGTACTACACGTGCGATCAGGCCGATGAGGAACATAGACATATCTGCTGTATCTCAAGAAATACTAAGAGTGCGTAGGTACAAAACTATTCGTACTCGCGCATAATGGTTATCAAAATATACTTATCCGGGAACATCAACCGAAAACGAAAGAAACAATCTTGTACGTTACATCATGCTAAAGGGTACTATAATCGTCACAATGGAAAATAACATGCACCGAAAACTGTCACTGGACGAGAACGACGAGCTAGTGCGTACCTGACCCGACTTTCACCTTCTCCACTATCCCATTATCGTTCGGCGTGTACTCGAAATTCTCTGGGCTGCCGTTGAATGAACCGAGGAAAGGAGTAGCCGGACTGAGAGTAGATGAGGTGCGAGACGAGTAAGTTAGCGCCGGAGATACGAGAGTAGGAGACCTTATGTCATTTTCGAATGATAGTTGTTGGACCAAAGAAGGCGACTTCTGCACAGGAACGTATGCTTTAGAGGACACAGAAGTAGACTTGTGGCGATGGTCCTCTTGATCATCTGACCGGGGCTGGGATGTTTGGGGGGAGTGAAGATAGTTCTGCGGACCACTGTCGGGTTTATCGTTGGTACTGGACGTAGCGATAGTGCTGTTTAGGTTATTGGAGCGGCTGTCCGTGTGCTGATAACTGTGCTGAGATGAATTCGATGCGAGAGGGGAACGAGGGAGAGTAGCGACTTGTGCTTGCTGCCGCAGAGAAAGGTGTGAACGCGAAGAGAACTGAGAACGATGGTGCGACTGCAAAGGAGAACACTTGGAATCAAGGTGCTGAGGTGGCGCAACAATTTCGATAGCACGACTAGGCGGTTTCGTGATCCTGACGTTGCCAGCGTCACTGCGGAAATGCAGCTCGTCCTGATAATGAGTGCGGAGATGGTCATGATGTGACCTGGACTCCAGCTGATGTTGGCCAAGAGCATGGAAGTCGTCCTCGGAAATTGGCGGTAGAGCGTCGCCCAAGAATTTCGACCGGTTTGCCCCACCCAGGGTTCGACTAGTGAGCGGATAAGTGGCGATCTGCTCCGGGGCGTGGAATACTTGTGCATTCGCATTGAGTTTGCTTCCAGATTCTAATCGTCCAGATGAAGAGGCGCGCCGAGGGAGAGTGAGATCGTGTGGGTGCACAAGTTGCTGTTGGGTCTGCAGCTGTTGGTACTGTTGTTCACGTATCCTCGCGTGAGCCTGGAGGATGAGCTCCTCTGCGGGAGTGAAGCCGTTCCTCGCCTGTATCTGGCTGCGAGGCTGCTGTGCAGATGGCTGGGCGCTAGCCGTGTACAGCGTTGCATTTGCAAGGGCTTGAAGATGGGCGCGATGAGCGTCATGCTCTTGGTCAAGTGTCGACCCCGTGTAAGCGTGTGTCAAATTCAGGTTGTGTTGCAGTGAATGCAGAAAGTCATCAGTATAGGGATTCGACTGAAGGTCTTGGTACCTAGTCGACGGGGAACTGTCGTATGGATAACCCAGATGCCCTGGCAGAGACGTAGATACGGGAATGTTCCCTGCTGACACGGAGGGGGGATTCAGATTCGGATAGGAGTGATGAATACTTGATAGAGAAATTTCGTCGCGAGGCTGACCAATGATGGGGATGTCACGGGCACGATTTACATGGGTCTTGCGAGCGTGAGCTTGGAGCTCTTGGCCACGAAGGTTGAGAAGGGCAGCTTGAGCGATTGTCAAGCGGGCTGGAGACTGGTCCCCATTCTTGGATACTCTCTCTGATCGCTAACGCAAGACGCATGAATCAGTTCAAAGTAAAACACGTCTCAATCAGCGAACCGACCCTTAGCTCCCGTTGTTCAGCACTATCAGCAAACCGGACGGAAATCCTGCATCCAGGGTCATTCCATCCACGGACCATTCGACCATGCAGGCGTTCGATGGTATCCTCTGCAGCTGTACGATTCTCAAGTCTATACTAGGTGGATCAATTACAGAATTTCGATTTCCAGAACAAACTAACCGAACGAAGGCTATTATCCGAGGGGGTTCACTGAGCTTTGTTTTAAAGAAGCGGCTGCTCTTGATGGTGTAAGGGTGTACCAAAGCAGTAAGGCTCTGTATTCGCATGTAAATAACGTTGCATATGTGGACACCAGCTTTACATACCTCTTCATCAATCGAGAGCGGAAGTCTGAAAAGGATTATTCAGTACCAAACTGAGCTTATATCGAGGTGACCTTACCCCTCGATGTATAGGTTGGTGGATAACCCATCCTTCAGTTTTTCCATCCGCGCTTTGAAAGAATCTTCATCGTGCTCTATTTGAGAGGGGCTTTGCTGAGCGTACACTGTACCAGGTATGCGATGGATTTGCTGTATCGGGAATTTTTAAGAATGTGGGTGCATACAAGATAAACAATGTTGACCTTTGAGAATGACGGATGTAGATTGCGATATTTACGAAGACCTTCGATACATTTTTCTGCTGAATCGACATCGCTGAACCTTATCAAGAATGTGAGGTGGACAATCGCACAAAAATACATGTTCACCTACAAAACGAAGCCATACCCTCTGTTTACCAGAACGTGAGCTGTTGAGTTTCGTGCCGTGGCAGAACAGGACATACGTTGGTTTCTCGCTCACATGCCTAGTGAACGACCTCACACTCTTCACCTCGCCAAATGGGCGAGTGAGAGCAAAGAGCTCCTGCTCCGGAAAATGAGGGGGCAGTCCATTGATATATACATTTGGGGTACGGTGTGATGCGCGAGATGCACTGGGAAGGTGCTGGGAAGGCGTATCGGGACTCAACGACAACTGTGAGTCGCTTGAGTCAGGAAACATGTGGTCATACGAAAATTGCAAGCCTGTAGGACAAGAGAGGCTGTACGAGGCTGCAATCCGATACGGAATGCGAGTAAGTCGGGGGAATCATAACTGATAAAATAAAACCTCACGAGAATTGGATAAAACTGCAGTAGAAAGACTATAAGGCGATGCCGTACCATTTTCCTGTAGATTGAGGGACGGATTATTTGGTCTGGTGACAACATGGTTTGTAGACATAGTATTAGAATGCGAAGAACTGCTGGGCTTGGGGCTGCCAATGTTAAATTTTTGGGACGGAGAGAGAGAAAGGTTGGGCTGAGATGAAGAAAATGATGCACTACTACTAAGGATATTGTTGGGCGGCGACGAATCTGAATCCGGTGGTGTGGGTGGCGCTTGACGAGAAGAGATCGGAGTGTTCGGTACAGTGTCACAAGTAGTACAGGCTGAGGCGCTATGTTCAAGATGCTGGAACTGCTTGTTATCGAAGGTAGGAGAAGCTGGGAAAGCCAGAACGGCAGATTGCGGTGGCGAAGAGCAGGAAAGGCTCATACTGGAGGATCAGGGCAAGTGAATTCGCGGGAGAGAAAGGAAGCAAGCGAAAGGCAAGCTTTTAGGTAAGGTGAACGCCGGTGGACTGTAACGATTGCAATACGAATAGTATGAAGAAATTGGTTGAAAATCGTTAAGAGTAGCGGTGTGAAGATGGGGGGAAGGAAGAACAAAGATGAAAAAATGAAAAAAATGAACTTGCGAGGTTTAAATTCAATTTTCAACATATGACGCACGGGACTTCGAGGTTGGAATACTGTAAACCCAATAAAATGTGATGAAAGAAGCCTGGCTTTCACCACCTAATGTCATTGCATACCCCATTTTAGGTCGGTCACTGCCCAGATTTGGCAAGTACTCAAGTTCGTTTTGGAGCGGCGCAAATAGGATATGCACGTCGAGGGCATTCCATGTTCCAAAGGTGATCTCGTTCGCAACTTCTTGGGTCCACTATTCCTTCTGTTCCAGCGCGATATTGACAGAGAATTAAGCTTTAAGAAGCATAGGCGAAGACCAGAGAAAATCATTGCGCAAACCTGACTGACGATCCAGAATTCATTGGTCCCAGAAGATGCCAATCGACGGAGACCAGACCGCAAGCAACCAGTACTTCCGACAACACATGTGCAACTGGCCCAGCATCTATTCGTGTTCGATACTGCTTGGAAACAGACGACTATAAGTGCTTCATCGAGTGTCAAAAAGACCAAACCGAGCGTAGCGACTGGCAAGGGCGCTGACAGAAGCAGGTCCTGCGAATCCTATCTGATGACAACGAAGACGACGGATTGCACGAAACCTCCTTGAACCTGGTTCAGTCTGACCTGTACTATAGCAATGTTTGAGCAATATTATTGTCAAAGCACCAATATGATCGCAGGAAAACCGTGACAGCCGAGTCGTAAATCTTTTGGTGGCAGTGTTGACTCGGAAGAACTTGAGGAGAGAGGCAGGGTGGCTGTGCCATCTAGGTTTCGCGCTACTAACTTATTCGGTTCAATCGAAAACTCTTTGACGTTGCATGTCGCGGTCCACCGAAGTGGCCAGTACACGAACTCGCAGTTTCATGGTCACTGCCAGTGGGTAAGGTACCAAGCCCTTGACCATTTCATCTGGTATGTCTGTCCACGCACTTTACTCGGACAATGATATTATGGTCCTCCGTGTCAGACACTTTTTCCAAGTTTGTAACTTGAGCAGATCTGTTTGACGCTAGTCTGTCCTACTACTACTAGGCAGACGTTATCGAAGGAAGCCATTCGTTCAAGTTCCTTCGTATCTTGAATGTTCTGACTTGTTCGGACCGATCTTCTACGTTCAAGAAGGACTCGGACCTACAAACTCTTAAAGTTTGATGGGTAGTAAACGTTGGCCAGCTTCCTCACATCCACATCTTCTTGGTGAGTCTGGATATTCATTCGATAATCTCAGTTTCTTCTCCCCAGTTTTTTTCATGGTGGTACTCTCTTTCTCCGACTCATCAGGGAAACGTAATCCACTACAGAGTGCTACAGAGCGCTCTGTAGCATTCTGTAGCACAATCCGACCTGCTGGTGGAATATCGATACCTATGATATCTGCGTCTCTCTGCATTGCAAATGGGCCTGATCCACCCATCATGCCTCGGCAGATTCGTGAGTAGTTTTGCACGTTGTTACAGGAGCAGGCAAGATAATTCCTTTCAGGTTCTGCCAGTGCCCACTTTCGCTTGCATTGATACCACCGATCCGAGACAGCGGGAAAAATCAGCCCTGCATAAGCGATGTCATTCTACATCCATGATCTATGGTTATAGCCACTGACTATCGCAGCTTTTGTACGGCGTCGTGGTCAATTGGCAGCTAGTTTGCCCCAGTGGTACCAGTAAGCATAATCATATTCGCATCGTGGGATGCAACGACCCCTAACACCTACTTTGCGAGTTTTGAAATCGCCATGTTCCACGTGTATGTACTTAGGATCTCCGACTTCGCTTCTTTATGGGCCTGCGTACGTGAGTATTCCTTGAATCTCAAAGTTCGACCTAAATTGGATTCGCCGTGAATGTCACGGATAGCATCAAGTAGGTCACCTTATGTATCATACATCATATCTCTTCATCCCAACAATCTCGGCGACAGCTTGAGCGTTCTGTTGAAGTATAAGTATTTATTCAGATGCGGCAATCACCTGGACCTGGACGGAGCTCACACGAATTGTCTTCTATCATCTTCTCGGTTCCGGTGGCACGACTCTTATCTGCACCGCATGGGGTTGGCGTAAGTGAGTAGTCCCGCAAAAATCTTCGAGTGTTGTCCGGCGTTCACGGACGCAGGGGTAAGTCGGCGAACGGTATCCGCGGAGGCACCTCGCTCGAAGTCCGTTGACAACTTCAACTTGAGGTCGACGACCTTCAAGTACCTGTACGCGTTGATGTAGGAAAGTCACAGGATCATTGAAAACAGCTCAAAAACAGCTGCAGCACCAGTGTCAGGTATTTAACACTTGTATACTACCAGTCTTGAACACCGCGGCCTCCGAATCGAGCGTATTGTGCCATTGCGAAGGCTTCCTTGATTGGAGGGGTTCGTTCAGGAGTGAGACTCAAAGGTTTAGTAGGTCCTTGAGTGGCTAGACTTCAGCTTCTGTGCGACAGTCCGGTTCCGAGTTCCTCATCATGTATGTAACGGATGCTTCACGGCGAGAACTCGCCTGGAGCTTATGTGTAACTCTGTAATGGTTTACAAGTGCCGGCGAGTTTTCTGGTAAGCCTATTTGGCAATTGGACTTATGCGCACCTTGAATTACTCGTTCCTCAAACGATATCAGGAACTGGACCAGTACTACTTAGTATGTATAATCTATATGTAGTTCTGACAGTTGTAGCTCAGGTTACAAGTTAGAAGGTACAGCCCAGACATGATGCATGACCTCGGATCCGAGGACCTCGTTTGACCCAATGACTCTGATGCCAAACAGTGAGTGGAGTTGATGGATTAGTTTGGATGATGACATGCACTAGGTCTAGTAGATCCACGATGTGAAGTAGTAATTGCTGATCATCGGATATGTCTGACGATAATCAAGCTGTGGTACGTCTGTGATAAGATAACAGTGGTAATGTCGACGTGGTTATGCCACGATCGCTTGACACAAATAATGTACAGTAGATAACTCATAACAGCATGTCAGCACCCATCGCAGAAACTGCGCGCGACTTGTGTTAGGACACATCCATATCCTGATCCTCTGACGAACGTCCTGCCTTGTGCATCATTTGCGGTGACGACACTGGGGTATCTTCGATATCACTCCACGCCGAGAAGTCATCGACGCTAACACCCAGATCCGACAATTCTTGCCAGTTTGCATATTCTGCGGCGTAAGCCTCAATTTCCTCTTGCTCGAGGTCCTCCGGCGTCACACTATAACTGTCAGGGGGCATTTCTGGAGCACATCGAAGGTGAGCTTATTGATGCCATATAGAATAGGAGAAACTGACCTTGCAATTCGCTTTCCCACCGGTTTGCATCCTCCATGTCTGGGTCAAAGGAAGATCCGACATCATATGAATACGAAAGGCGATAGGAGTGTTTTTGCTTATGTGCAGTATTGGCAATGATTCTCCGAAAGAGCTGTTGCCAAGCGTCCAATTATGAGCGTTAGTAGACCCCCTGTCAGGAAAGTCACACACCTCATCTTGCATAACAAATTCATCGTCCTCATCCTCATCGCAGTCCATCTCAGCATCAAAAAACACATCACTGCTGCTACTTGTCCTTTGCTTTTGGACTTTATCATGTCGTTGTTTCTGCGCGCGCTCAAGACATCGCGCTTTAAAACGATCACGTAAAAATGTTTTTTGAGGGTTTTCTGGCGTTTGACTGCCAGCATGTGTGCATGGGAGCTGGGTTGCCGCACTTCTGGATGAACTGGTTACGCGAGTTTTGTATTGGGCTTGTCGTCTTGCTTGTGCGGCAGCCACCGGCGATGATTTCGGAGAAGCCAGTGGTGACGAAGTAAGTGGTTGGTGACTCCTTGCGGAATAATAAGATGAACGCCCGGGAGTAGAGGGGGTCTGGAAAATGGGACTTGAACTTTGCATACTTAGCATTTCGTTGGCCGTTCAGTCGCCGTGGTGAATGATGAGTGTGACAGTCAAGAGTGGCGCGTTTGTTGTGACTTGTTGACGTGTTTAAACAGTGCCCAGGAGTGGGTTCAAGCATTCAAATGTATGACATGACAACACTGACCGCCGCCCCGACCCCCAGAAGCCGGCATTTCAAGTCATTGAAACAGACGGTTGATGTGACCATGGCCGCCGACTCGGACAAGATACGACAAAACATTTCCGACGTTCGCATGGAAGCAAAACCAGCACCTGGGGTCCTGCATCTATTCCAGGCGCGGGTCCGAACCTGTGGCGTTGCTGAGGGACATGCATCTACTACATAGTAGTGTCCATAAATGATACGAGGCACAACATTTAGGACCTGGTCTTGGCTCTTTTTGGAGGCTTCGACATGGTGTTGAATCCGATCACCGGTCTACCTGATTCGGACTGAGCATTTTTTGCCAGTCACGCTGATTGCAACGAAACATAATGAAACGCGTCGTCCCAAGACGTGTCGTGACCAGAAACGCCAGCAAGTGCCCTGTACTCTCTTTACTTTATAACTCTCACAATTTCTCCGCAGATTTTCCAGCTGCTAGGCTGGAGGGTCTTCTAAATTCTGCTCTGTTCTGGAAGATACAGTTCAACGTCTTCTTTCGGCTTGCCTGTCAGAGGATGTCTAAAATATAACAGGTGTGATCAAATCTCCAATATATTTGACTGAGTGTATTTTGATATCTCCGTCTATTTATTTTCAATTATGGCACCCTGAGATCTGGTATCGTACCTTCGGGTCGCAAACAGCCCCATATTATGGCTAGTTCATCACTTACTTAGGACCTACGAGAGGTACCGAAAGCTTTTAATGAGGCAGAGTCTTGTGCGCTCATGATCGGTTTTGTGCCCCAATCTCCGATTTCTTGAACATGTTCTTCCAGTCCCAACATCAACGTGACTGGTATGCATCCAGTTGTTCCCTGTGTTCAAAAACTCACTTGTGAATCCGCCAGCGCCGCCAAACAAGAGGAACGACAGAAAACATTGGATGGGTTGTCCTCGTCGTTCTTCGAGCCATGCACAGAGTCCGATAATAAGGTGCTTGACTTGTCCCTAAGCGAACTAGTCCAACGCCATAACGCGGGTTCACTGTCAACGGCGAGCATTTTGAATGCTTATGGAAAGAAAGTGGTCTCAGCGCAGAAGGCCACTAATTGCCTAGCCGGGATCATGATTCAAGAAGCTCTAGTCCCGAAAGTTCCAGCTCCTTCAACTGGCTCTGACGGCACAGACATTCCCGAACAACCCGCGAAACTCCTCTCCGGTGTCCCTGTCAGCATCAAAGACTGTATCGATATCGAAGGCTACGACACTACTGTTGGTTATTCTTCTAAAGTTAATCACCCCGCTTCGTCGTCTGCAGCGATAGTCCGACTTCTTCATGATGCAGGGGCAATCGCTCACGTGAAGACTACCGTACCCCCCGGTCTTCTCGGAATGGAGACATCATCAGACCTTTTTGGGCGAACGAGTAATCCGTATAACGAGAAGTTCTCCAGCGGCGCTTCGACTGGTGGTGGGGGCGCACTTCTTGCATGCAGGGGGAGTGTCATCGAAATCGGCACAGATCTTGGCGGCAGCATAAGGTTGCCCGCCCATTATTGCGGACTCTATGCTATGAGGTCTTCGATAGGACGGTTTCCATGTCAGGGAACGCATCCCCCTGTACCTGGATTAGAAACAGTGGCCACTACATCCGCTCCAATGTCTCGAAGACTGGAAGACCTTGAAGAATTTTGGAAGCGTGTTGTGGAGATGCGGCCATGGGAGTATGACCATACGGTTCGCTAAGTTCTCATTTCTAACATCCACCAGACCTAATGATTACTGCAGTGTGTTCCATTACCTTGGCGACCCGCAAATCTTCAAGAGACGAAGCTGAAGTTTGGAGTCGTTTGGGAAGACGGTCAGCCCCTTTTACGCTGCTTTTTACATTCGTTCCTCATATGTCTAGGCATTGTTCCTCCCTCTCCTGCTTGTCGTCGTACTTTGGAATGGGTCTGTGATGCATTGGAGAAGCAAGGTCATGAAGTAGTTGATTTGTGCGCTCAAACCGCTCTAATCTTGAATTTTGCTGACCAATAACATCACCCAGTGCACCCCCTAGCATCCCAGAAGGTCTGAATGCCGGATTTCAGTTATGTTTTGGAGATGGGGGTGAGCATCCTTCTATCGAGCTGTAAGCCACATATGCTGAAGTCTTTGTAGGGGTTGCTTTCTTTGGTGCTGTGCGTAAGGACGAGAAACTTGATCCCGTGATGGTTGCTATCAAGTCTTTGTTGGGGATGCACCTTTGGCTCAAGAAGTTCTTGGCAATGGTAACGCGTAAAACTACTGGTGATGAGGTCTGGGCATCTATGCTCGAGACGATTCACCTCAAATCGCCAGCCGAAGAACGCGTGCTTGTCGTCTCCCGAGACGAGTACAGAGAAAAGTGGCACCAAGCATGGGAAGATGAAAGGTTCGACTTTTTGCTGACGGTTCCACATTCATTGCCCGCTATCCCTGCTGGAACCGCAGAGAAGGTGACCCTAATATCTGCTGCCTACACGATGATTTTCAATATCGTAAGCTTCATTTTCAACATCGTATTCTCATCGGGAGCTCAATGGCGAACAGTTGGACTATACTGCCGGTGTTCTCCCAGTATCTTTTGTTGACCGCCAGTTGGACGGGCTACCGAAAGATTTTATGAAGAGTTCCGACTACAAGAACATGGGGTTGATTTCTAAGGGTGCATACTCTGTTTATGATGCGGATAAAATGCACGGCCTGCCCCTTGGCGTGCAAGTTGTCGGAAGGCGTTTTGAGGAAGAGAAAGTCTTGCAGGGGATGAAGATCGTTGAAGATGCTCTCGAGGCATGCGGTCGTAAGTTCATTCCTCGGGAATTCTAGGGTGACTTTGAACATCGTTAAATTGGATCTTGACTTATGTGATAAACTGTGCACTATCTTTGTTTATTGTTAACTGTTCATACTTCATGTCCACTGTAGTCGTCGTACTGCATTGACCTTGTAATGATTATCCTGACTCCACAATGTGGGGAGCCTCGGTTGTGTATGCACGAAACATCTAGCCAAATGTGTGCCTGCCTTTTTATGACAACTGAGGCTCAGCCAACCTGTTGGTTAAAATTAAAGCTGCAGAGTAGAGGTACAATAATAGTCACGATTTTATTTGACCATTTTATTTCGTCAGCATGATGACAGTCAACAAGAAAAATAGGCACGTTATTGAGTGGCCATTTTATTTCGCACTCGGCATACTGTATCGAGTACGGAGTTTGATATGAGAGAGGGCTGCCGAAATGCCGACTGAGTGAGATCAACACACCCAGTACGAGTGCTCAACGTCGCAAGCACTGATGCCAACATGGACCAGCAAGAAAGTGCATACGGTCACCACAACACCCCAGAAAATATGCTGCCCTTGTACGATCAGTCGACAGGGCAGATACGGACCTTCTGATGATATCAGCCTGAGGCCTCAGAGACTGGAACAGGACAATCACCACGTCTTGAAAGATCTGTTCTCAGTCGAGAATGGAAATGGAACACATCAGTTTGGAGGGGAATTTGCCATGGTAGCATGAACGTGTTTCAACAACGTCTGGGTCGACGAGCACAGTACAAAGGCCTGCGTGCCGTTCAGCCGTCGCGTATCTGCTTTCGAGCTCCACTATGTACGTGCCAGTTGAAGTTCATTTTATTTCGGAAGCTTTTGCACGAACTGTCATGAAATAAAATGGCCAAATAGAATCGTTAATGAGTAGGGCTATATAATCATTGGCACCGTTCGCAGTCTTGTACAAGGATCAGACAGAACATGTCAGGACGACTTTGCGTGAGAAAGAGAAGAGAAAACAGAGTCCAAGGACTCTCGCGATACGTAATAGAGTAGCCTATACTTCAAGTTCCTCGTGCCAACTGAGGCCTTGAACATGGGGCGACTTCTCTTCCATACATAAGCAGTCAAGCGGATCTCATCTATCCCTTTCCTCCTTGGAAGGGTATCCTCATCGGGGCATGTTCGCCCCCTCAACTTCAACATCCCTTCCACCTTTTACCGACAATTCCATGTCTCAATCTTTGCCAAAGGTTGGCGAGACCAGATGCTGTGAGTCTACCAAAGTCTATTATTCCCTAAGGGGTCTCCAGTCCGATTGTTTCGGTACCTCCACAAACCTATCACAAATCTGTAATTTTCTCTTCGTCAATGATTTCGCTAACCAAGATTTTGTACTTTGTGGCACCTTTAGACTGGTCCTTATTATCGTCCGAATTGGATTTCATCTATCTGGATCCCGTTCTTGCCAGTCATCTTGAAACCCAGGCTGACTTGCTCATTGGCAAGTCCCTGCTATCCTTTGTTCACCCCGAAGAGCAGGCTACTGCGCGAGCAGATCTAGCAGAAGCTCTTGAACAAAGGACGATGCATGGTAGCGTTACCAGGTAAGCGATTCCAAGTGCAAACATATTTATCATCACCTCATTTTTTCCAGGGTCAGGTATTGTCGTCTCGCTCGCATCCGTCGCATCCTCGGTCACCAAGGGCCTACTCAACCGTGGCCTGATGGTGACAAGGTTTCCGTGGATGCCTACTACATGGTCGTTGACATCGTCATTAACTGGGCTGCAGAGGGCCTCGTGTTATGCTTTATCCACGCAGTCGTCGATCTTGAACCTGGTGACAATGATAAACATAACAGAACTCCATGGACGAATTGGTGTGGCACGCCATGCATGCACCCAGAACAGATAACACTATTGCAACAGCGGCTTCTATATTACTTTCCTCAATCAACCGCCACAACTAGGGTATTCCAGATCTTGTTCAACTCCAATTACAACCAGCAGGACTGTCGTCTTCTGTTGAGCTGGCCGTCGGACAGCAGCCAAGAATATACTGGTATGCCAGGAGCGAAAGACTTTGCAAGGCGAGCGGTGGGCATTCAGACGTCCACTCGGGATAATAGTGCGAAGACGAGTTGCATGAGACGTTGGAGAATCCAAGATACAATGCCTGGAATAGGCGAAGTAGAAAGCGTGTTCATCCCTCATGGTAAGCGCTTCCTTGATGAAGTTCATGTACTTCTATTAAGCAAGCGGATATAGGTTCAATAACGTTTGCATGCCACACCATTCAACAGCCTGCTTCGCGGAGCTTGTCTGTCTCTTATTCTCAGTCCCAGCCGTTCAGGAGGTCGACAGACGCCTACACGCCTGCACACGGCCAACATCACCACTATGGCCTGTCGGCAAGCCCGTACACACTCCCGCCTGTGTCTACCTCAATGCCACAACCTTACGGGCGCTACACGCAGTCTTTGACGTCCCAATACTCCCACTCGCCCTGGGGGAGTGACTCGGAGCCTTCTTCCTCGCCCTCTCAGTTTGACAGGTGGCCTGCTCAAAGCCCTGCACATTCGATGGCATCCCTCCCGCCGTCTCCAATTTACGGCGAGAACAGAGCGTCTTCAAGCAACTATCAAGCCACACCTAGTCCTGAGGACTACAGTACCAAGGCTGCCTTCGAGGCCAGTGTACCGCCGGCTCCGCCCTGTGGTACCGACATTGTACCTCCTCCAAGGCACCGAGTGAGCCCCGGATTATATAAGGACACCCTGCCACGTAGCACCAGCAATCGCCCTGAGGGTGTTCTCAAATGCAGTAGTTGCAAGGCAACGTCTAGTCCTGAATGGAGGAAGGGCCCCAGTGGCAGGAAGGAGCTCTGTAACGCGTAGGTGATACCACAACATGCGACGGGACTAGTTACTAATATTCACTTATTTTCTGTTTCATTGACCAGATGTGGCTTGCGCTACGCCCGTTCTCGTGCCAAGAAGGAAGGGCACGTGGGATCGACACAGCGTCGGAAGAAAGACAAGACCGGTGTCATTACAGCTAATGAGGAGTCTGCGGTGCCGTCTACTCCTCCGATACCTATTACTGGCATGGCTTCGAGGATTCGTCGTGGTGCTGTTAAAAGGAGCACATTTACTTCCTCATCATCTGTTGGCTCTGGATCTGGTAGTGAATCATATTCTCAACCAAACTATGTAGCAGCAGAAGATAATCGACCTTCACCATCACCTCCGTTGCCTGGTCTCAATTTTGTTCGCTACCACCCTTATCCGTCCCCCTCTGGACAACCACAAGTTGATGATCGTACATTCCCTTATCACGCGTCTAGCCCTTTTCAACCCTCATCTCCGCTTTCAGCACCGGTCAACCCGCGCTCCGTCGTCCCCGCCACCAGGCACTCTCGCTCCTCAGGCAGTCTGAGCTCTGCCATGGGCTACTCTTACTCTTCAGACAGCCTCAGCTCTACATTCTCAATGGGACACTCTTACTTCCCCCCGTCTTCGCAGTCACCCCCACCGTTTGTCAGAAGGCCTATCGCTACCAAGAAATTGTTGACAATGGACGATGACGGCTTTCAGCCTAGCCCGAGTCCCAAAGACTTGGGTCTTCTATTGCGCCCACCGTATGAAACACATCAATTCTCGCATTCTCCACAGACACCGGATGAGCTCCCGCGGAGCGGGCAGTCATCTAACTTCCGTGCTCGACCCTCCTCACAGGACATGCGGCACGGATACGGTCAGGCTCAGCATGTTCATCAGTATGACGACGACCTTGACAATTCAGATTTACCGCCAGGGCAAGTCGTATCAGGAAGTTCTCTACCTAACGATATCGGTGCCATGTCTATATCTCAGCGAAGAACCAGGCTTGGAATTCGTACACCGAGTAGTCCCTGTGCACAATCATCACCCAATACCAAAGATAAAGCAGCCACACGTCCTCAAAGAGACAATCGGAATGTGTTCAGAACGGAACACAAGAATAGGACAGAAACCGATTCTACCGTCGAGTCCAATACTACTTTCGGGAATCACATTCTATTTTCAGAGCTGACCCGAGCACCATCACATTCACTCCAAGATCTTACTAACGAGCTCCAGGGAAGATCACTTTATCCGACAGCTTCTGGAGGCTTTGGGGACATCTGGAAGTGTGATTTAGTGAAGCCCGATGGGACTGTACAAGTATGCCTGCCTTGTCGCATTTCCTACGGTATTATTCTGATAATGACTTAGGTAGCAGTAAAAACTATTCGTGCTTTCGAATCCGACGACGAGATCTTGATGCGGAAGAAAAGTAAGGTGATGTACTATCTATCCAATGGCGTCACGCATGTCTGTTTATCTGATGTTGAATCGACTTCAGAGAGTGCGTCGAGAACTCAAAGTTTGGGGCCGTCTCAAGCATGATAGCATTCTTCCACTCTGGGGAGTGGCAAATGACTTTGGACCTTACCCCGCAATGATTTGCCCATGGGCTGATAACGGAGCACTCACGGGCTATCTTGGGAAGCAAGAAAGCTCGTTGTCATCTTACGATAAGTTCTCCCTCGTAAGCCCTGTGCATCTAGCATCTCTAGATACTTACTGACCTCTGGCGCTCGCCAGTTGAATGATATTGCTCTTGGATTGCGATACCGTGAGTTCGTCGTTCACTGCACCCATTTCTCAAAAGCTCACGTTGGTTCAGTCCACAGCAAATCAGTTATTCATGGGGACCTGACAGGGGTGTGTAAGATCACACAGAGAATGTTCTCATTACTCACACGCCGACTCTCCAGTCAAATGTTTTGGTTTATGGCAATGGTCGGGCATGCCTTGCTGACTTTGGTCTTTCCACTATAATCCTGGAGTTCGTCGGTACCTCATATTTTAGTTCTACTCCAGGGCACGTCCGATGGGTAGCTGCAGAATTATGTGAAGTATCAGGGGATGATGAGCTCTCGCTCAGCACCGAGTGCGACATATACTCATTTGGCAGTATCACGCTTCAGGTTGGTGACTCGATTTTGAATGATATGTGTTTGTTTACTTTGCACATGCTCTAGGTATTGACTTGCAAAGTACCCTACTACAATGTGAGGAACGACATTGCGGTACTGGGACAAGTCATCAAAGGGATCAAACCAGAACCTCCTAAGGAATCGCAGATATCACCTGGGCACTGGGAGTTCATACAGCGATGCTGGTGGCCTCGTGCAAGTCGTCCGTCAATTGCAGAGATTGTAGTGTTTATAACATGTGAACGACAAGCTGTATCATCGCATTCAACCACAGTATAGGGAAGATTTAGGTAGCTTTATATGATACATGATAAAGCCATAGATAGGTTGAGATCTCCCTGTCAGCCCAGTCAAACTTTGATCAGGTGCCGGCGGACCCCTACCCACAGAATCAAGTTATTCAGCCATCGTACCCGCAGTGTCTTGGCTCTGTAGCCTTTCTGTGTTACCTCTGCAACACCCTGTCTAGCCTGATATGCACTCTGTACGGCTCTGTATAACTCTGTACGGGCTACATCTACTCTATGCAGAGTCATAGAGAGAGATCCCCTTCTGTGGACACTGTTGGTCTGTGCAGGGCTGTCTAAGGGTGCACAGTCTCCCTCTGTTTTTCTGATGCATGACAACTCAAGCCCATGAATATTCTAAGGGCAGAAAAATTACACAATACATACTGATTGAGTAGCTCAGATAAAATCGAAACAAAACAAGCACTGGCCACATTAGACAGACTCAGAAAGACACTTGCCATAACTCGCAAAAACACATTACTGTAGATGTACAATGCACAAAATTGATCATTCTTCCTGTCGAAAATATGCTTCCATGAAGCTGACCGTGCTGTGTCGAATTCCGTTCTGTTGGATAATCGATGATTCAAACGTACTGACATGAGTGCGGAACACAGCCTGAAGGAACCCTATTAATATCGGAAACGATATGCGTTTAACATACTGTGACACATGTCCAAACCAGCCCTCGAAGCGGAAGATTGCCGATCCTAAAAGCCCCATGGAGAAAACCTTCGTCCCGAGCATTCAGCTAGGTATGTATCCGAGAGGACTATAGAGAAATCAACTCCAGCTGCCTCCCAAGTAATCTCAAAGTGCATTATTCCAGTGAGACGACGCAGAATTCAAGTTGGATCCGAGCGAATGAACGGAAGGAGCGTACCTGAATATTATTATATTCGTTATAGTGGACAAAATTCAACCCCTTGGGGAGACGAAGACGAAATTTGATGGTGTCCGTGCTGAGGAGCCTAATCTGATGCTGTAAGTGACAAGAATGGAACGAGGAAAGTCTTCTCACAGATCCAGTGTAACATGATTGTTCTAGAAACACCTAGCTTGTCAAAATAATACAAATCAGCATCGATCTCTGACTAACCTTTGCTGAAGAAGTAGACTTTATGTGTCGCTGAGAGGTCTGTGGAGGCACATCGAGTTATACTAGGAACTCTTCCGGTGCCTCTGGTCGTAATTAAACTGAGTATCAAGGTACAGCTAAAATTCAAATTTGGCCCGTAACATAATTTGCAAAGCCCAAGTAAACACTGGAAAACAATCTGATGGTCTCATCCCATGAAACCTACTCCTTTCTCTCTTCTTCGTCAACAGTAGCAGCAGTGAGGAGCATCTTGGACGATCGTATCAATTTTTCTCAGGATACCACTAGTTTCGTTGGACCCGAAGTTTTACTGGCAAGGCAGTGGTCCCGGAAGCTTTTGCCGTACTCCGCTTACCGCTTTTCGAAGAACTTAACAACGGTTATAGCTCCCTCTCTACACCTACCGTGTCAGGTCTCCCTGGGTCTTCATATAAGTTCTTCAGAGTGAGTAGGATGTTTGTGATCTTATACGCTATTCATCGTTTCCTCACCTTGTTTTCACCAGCGTATCTTTTGTCGGTTTTAGCAGCAAGTAAGATCCGTGACGACATAGCACTGCTATACACTCAGCCTCGCGCCGCTAAGTACGTGGGTACTTGTACGCCTCCCTCTTGGATTGCGGGGCTTTGTCTGATAATTATAACTACATCAGCCATCATCAATCACAGGCGACCGTCATATTTAACCATTCCTCCCATCGTGAACATACCGTCTCACAAGCGATTCTGTCCCATTCACACAAAGCCTCGACTACCCCTGCGAGCCCCAGTGTCATAATAGTCGCTTGATCAGCCCGCCTCGTGCTCGGTGATCAGATTCCGTGGTCAAGTGGTCAGGGCCTTCGCACCGTCAAATCGAAACAAGCGATCTTTTGTTGGCTTTTTAACACGGATTTTTCCCTCGCCCCTAGCGTGAACGGCCGACTGCGCTTAACTTCACACCTTCACTTTCACTCTGTGCTTCATCTTATCAGTGGACCCAGCAGCCTGACACCTGCAGGCTTGCTGTGAAGTTGCTTTCTAACGCGCCTGTTCAGGAACGTCTCAACTCTCAGTTGTCGGTTTCTGTCTTTTATCCCGACCCCTGCATTCAAACTTAGGCGTGATGAATACATCTACCTCTGCCTCGCATGAACAAGCTATGGAAAATCAACCCTCATCAGATGATCCACCATTGTCCCTGCCGCAGCCAGACGCTCGCGAGCGTCCATCCACAGCACATGCAAGTGCTTCCCCTTCATTAGGTCGTAGAACTTCTTATCCTCCTGTTCCACTTCCTGCTGAACGCCCTTTCACTGTTCACGGCACCTCAAATATGCTCCCACGTGCTACATTTGCCGCAGGCCCATACAACTCCGCAAGTGCCCGGACATCGTTCACTCGCGTTGATGTCGATAGCATTCCGACCTTTGGAGCATACCCTGCCCTTCCGAACTCAAACTTGGGACAAGCCTCGCCAGACACTACAGTGAACAACACTGAAGCAGTTGCGCTGTCTACCGCAGACGGACCTACTACACCAGAAAATATTGTACCTCAGACACCTCAAGTGTCCCTGTCATTTCTCCTCGTCTCTGGCCGAAGGCGGACTATGTCGTTCGATCCAGCGATAACAATTGGGAGGGTCAAAGAGCTAGTGTGGAATGCATGGCCTGCAGGTCAGGGTTTCAAATCATTTTGTCCTGGATTTCGTTGTTATAACAGGCCTCATCCACAGATTGGCAAGATGAGAGTCCGCAAGCCCCATCGCATTTGCGAATTCTTTACTTAGGCAAGATTCTGCAAGATGAGGACACTCTTACTCGTGAGTATACTTGTCGCCCGCAATGTTTTGTCTTGCTCATATGGATGAATGGCATGATTACAAGATCTTTCATTCCCAACTTCTATACCGTCGGATTCGTCTTCCCTGCCTACAATCGTTCATCTTTCCATTCGCCCCTCTAACATCTCAACGGTTGACGATACTATGAAGAAGAGACGCCTTAGCAATGCATTTTCCCGCAGGGGAACAGCAATGAGCAACGACGCGGAGATCGTACGCGAAGGTGACGATACCGTGGGATCGGGATGTTGTGGATGCATCATTTGCTAATGAGGGTAGAGGTCCGACGATTCAGAAAATTCATCGCTTTGGTCTGGGAGCATGTCAAACCAAGATGTATCAGGTCATTTCGGAATGAGCGCAGATGCGTGTGATATCTGCTAACATCATGCGGAAGAACTTTGTTTATATGGAGGAGGACTAGCTTTTTTACGATGGTATGCAACGTATCTTTCGCGTGCTCCTCGAGCAAAACGGGTGGATATATAATACTATTGCAGCTAATACATTTGATCACTACTTCTTTTCAACTTCAATTTCAATTCACCTATGATACATGGTACTCATTCGGACAAACTTGAACTTTGCTTGATATGGTTCTGAGTCAGCGTCCTGGGAGCTCGCAGTAACCACGATGGGGACGTTCACACCAGGGAGCTTACGCGCTTACGGTTCATGCTTATCCGTGCTATTCTATCCGTAGGTCCAGGTGTGTAAACAAACCAAAACACAATACCCAGCGCCTCTTGTGTTAATCCATCCGGGTTTTGCAAGGGGCTATGATGGGAGCAGGAATAAATTGATAGAAGACTTGCAAGTCCCGTTTGGATAATCATGAGCAAGATGGCGACGCAAATGACAGCGAAGAACTACTAGTACTAACGTCACGGATGCTAAATATGCATTAAAGCTAACCATAAAAGCGAGTAGTAAAAGGAGCGACAAGATAAATGAGGGTATTGAAACAGTGTTGAAAAATAGAAGGGCATCGTTCAGCCAGGGGACTATCTAAATTCATCTCAGTCAGGAGAGTAGCGCACTCGCTTCCTCGGAGGTCGAGGTTGAGAATCATTCTCCAATTCGGTCAGCTTCTCTGCTCGACTGACCAGATACCAGCACTGGACTCTCTCGAAGAAGGTTGAAACGCATCGGCATTCAATAAATATAGTAGGGGTAATGTATTTTGGTTTGTTTATACTTAGGGTCTCTCAGGCCTGTGTGAACGTTTGTACAAAGTTCTAAAATGATTCTCCAAAGGTTCTCCCGGTTTTCAGTAAGTACCTGATACGTTGAATATCCTGATAAGCCCAACGCATAAATTTTAGACTTATACATCCCAAACTTGGGTGCCAGCTACTTCATAAAAAGAAATATCATCTCCGAGTGCTGATCCGACGAAGCTTCTACCGGTACCCTCCCTGACTTGTCATGAATTTCATTATAATGGCCGCGAGTGACTCTCTCCCACTTACCATCCCCCGGCACCCATGGGTCGAGTCTCTCACAGGTCCGTTACAATCGTCGTGGTTTCCTGCGTTCTAGGGATCACCTTGCGCAACCTCGTATTTGTACCACCCAATAACAGCATCGAACTTGTAATATCAACACAGGACCCAGATTCTCCCACGTCTCCATACCCTCACATATCTCACGACGATTATTTTGCAGAGGATGATCAACTAGACTTGGTTGATGACATAGTAGACACTGTTCGAGTGCAAGTGCAAGAGGAACGTCTGCCCCCTCCCCTCGGTGATCACTATTACGGCGAGGACGGGTTGCTCGTTGTCAACCCAAATGGACGTCATCCGATTCTTGATCTTATGGAGCGAGCGGAGGAGGCTTGGTCAAAGAAGCTCGGCCGCGCAAGCAAGACACTACCCGAAGCTGTCGCAGAATACAAACGAAGATATCACAGGCCTCCTCCAATTTACTTCGACAAATGGTACGTGGTCATCATGGAAACCAAGTTCAAACGAGCTTCATAGAAAAATTCCCGTCGGGTTTGTAGGTGGGACTATGTAGTGGCAAACAACGTTCAACTTCCAGACGAATACGACGAGATATATCAAGATTTGGAACCTTACTGGGGCATCGACGCCCTGGACTTCCAGACGAACAGAGAGCAACTAGAGGCGCAAGAAAATACCATTGTTCTTGCAAAAACAGATCAGAACTCCTTCATCGAAATCGTCGACTACCATTTACCACAAGATGCTACCGAAAGGCTCATTGGTCGCATTGACAATGTACTGAAACTCCTCCAGGATGTAGAAGATGCTCTTCCTCCTTTCCGCGCCGTTTTTTCGCCTCATGACAATCCCAGTATGCTATCAGATTATGGTATCAAATCGATGGCGCTTGAAGCGGCTGCCGCTGGCCACAGTACGTCCTTTTTGATTGATTGTTGCGCTGCAACAAATTTTGCTCACACGATGTTAAGCTCTAAAACGGAATGAATTACCACCGGCACAGCGGTCTGGATGGCTCTCTGCCTGCCAGTCATCATCTCCAGCGTGGCAACATCCCGTTGATCTTGATAACCCCCGTGAGCGCGCATCTAACAAAACCTTCATCTCCGATCATCGCCTCTCGATGGACCCGTGCCTAAATCCTTCTCTTCTCCACAACCACGGCCAATTTCTGTCACATGACAAAGGACCAGATCCCCGGAATACACTCATTCCTCGATTTTCTCTCTGTTCGACAGTGGTTCATCATGATATTCGACCGGCTGTCCCTTATGGCTGGATCGAGGACCTTCCTGTCTCAGACAACCCGCCATGGGAAGAGAGGGTAGACGAAAGATTACTCTGGCGCGGTACTAATACTGGCATATTTCATGGCACCCATACCAGGTGGCGGCAAGGGCACAGAGACCATCTAATACAGTTTGTCAACGATATGGCAGGAACAGCGGATGTGCTTCGTTCGCCTCTGAATGACTCTGAGCCTGTTGGAGAGCCCGTACCTATACGCAAAGCATACCTCAATCCTGCATTAATCGACATTCAATTCGCCGGAAAGGCAGGTTCCTGCGCATTAGAGCTCTGTGATCAGCTGGATAGACTTTATGACTGGAGAAAAATGCAGACGCTTCAAGAGGCTGGCCATTATAAATATGTTTTTGATGTTAGTCTTAGATTTGATTCAACGATAGCATTTAATTATTCGCCACCTTCAGATCGATGGACATGGGTGGTCAGGGCGGTTCAAGCGGCTCATCACATCAAATGCCCTTCCATTCAAAGCTACGATATATCCTGAGTGGTGAGTGCTCGTCTCATCTAATGCGCGCGAAATAAAAAGTCATGTTCTTAGGTTTATGGATCGAGTTGCGCCTTGGGTGCACTATGTACCCGTACAGGTTGATTTGTCCGATTTATATGATACATTTACTTTCTTCCGTGGAGGACCCAATGGAGAAGGTGCGCACGAAGAGTTGGCGAAGAAGATAGCAACAGCCGGGCGCGAATGGAGCCAAAGATACTGGAGACGGGAAGATCTGACAGCATACACGTTTCGGTAGGATCCATCTTTCTCAGCAGACAGTCATCCTAACCGGTCGATTCAAGTTTATTCCTCGAGTATGCTCGCGTTTCCAACCTGGACCGTGATGCAATGTCATACAAAGAGGACTTATAGTAGTACTGTGTATCGTACTTATGTAGGATCACGAGTCGATGGACCCTATAGGTAATCTTTCTTGACGAGTTCCCCGATGCTCCCGTGGATGGCAGTTGCATAATCGAACTGCTTTGAGGAGATGGGTCATTTGATTCCCTCCAAGGACCTAGCCGGTTTCTTAGATCTAACTGTCATTAGCTAGTTATTACTCACTGCGATATCGAACTTTGAAGATGCCATCTAGATGTCTGCCATAGCCTGCCATAGCGTGTCACCCAGATAATATTGAGCATGCAAGTTAGAGATAACGCACAACTATTAATATATGTTGGCCCAATTGGCCTTGCAATTGCGCCTCACGGCGATCGACAGGAATGATGATCGTGGACGAGGGAAAAGCTTGGCAAAAAGTGGAGTCGAGCTATTCATAGAAGAAACTGAGGATCATCATGCGTGATCTTCAGCCAGTGCACAGGTTGTACAGTTAACGACTCGCATCGGTTGAGGTGATGGATGGGCCAGTTGGGTTGGTGGAGGAGACGATGACAAGAACAAACGGCTGGTATTACATAGCAAGCGGGAAGCGAACCTAAGCTTGAAGCGAACAGGGAGCATTTGTTTGCCAGAGTTTGTGCCTATGATACGTAAATCAATAATCATGCGATGAATGGTATAGTTCGATAGGCACGCGAAGAAGATTAAGTGGATCTTTTTGAAACACCAGATTGCATCCGACGACGAACAAGATGAAATCCACAGCATCTTATTATCGCACTGTCTTATTGATCTTCAGGCCCCAGGCTACAATGACGGTAGCAGGATGTTGTTGGTGTTCGTCGTCCTTGCACAGCAAGGATTGAGACCCATCATCATGTGCGCCCCCCGCACTGTCCGCGACAGCCCCTGTCACGTTGGACTTCCTGTCGCTCGTGCCTTGCATGGCAGCGCACTTTTACCACTGACCGAGAAGCAATGCCGTATGCCGTATATCTAATTTTTGGTCTCAATGGTAACAAAAGGGGGGAAGAACTCACATCGTTATTGTGAATAGGCGATATCAGTGGGATGTACGGAAGTTTTGATGAAAGGTACGTTGAAACCCCACGCGCATTGACGTGCGGGAACGTGTTGTTCGAAAAGAACATCGAGCCCAGAATAAGATCACTTCTGAGAAGAACAGAGAGCGATAGGATTGGGGTCACTCGTTGACAGTCTGATCTTGGTTTCTAGAATGATCAAACTACCAGATCCAGAATGCCCCAGGAAAAGCCAGACCGCCAAAAATGTGTTATCTAGGAACCGAATTCGTTCTTGCGCGAAGCTAGTCCTCGTGGGCGAACCCATCAACTGCCGGCACATAAAAGAAAGGTATCAATATCGTACCATTGAAAAGATAGATACATACACTATTCAAGGACATGTGAAGGTCGACAATAAGACTTGAAGCTTTAAAACCTGAAGCTATAGATTGCCACAGCACGACGATGTCCATCTGCACACATGGTACAAAAGAAAGTCTGTCGTTTACATGTCCATAATAACAATACATCAATCCGTCCCTTGTCCATCGTGCAATCTAGATATAAATGCAGTCATAAGTTATCTCGGTCATCCCTAAGCAGTCAATAGTAAAAGTAAAAGTATGCAGATTACACTGGCATGCCCCGGTAATGCAGCTTTTTGAACATGAGTGGCCATGAACCGATCACGGCAATCGGGGCCGCAATGAGAAACATCACCACTGCACTCCACCCATTGTGATCGTAGTTTCGCGTGGATTTCCCACTTTGACGTGTAGCCGTTACCCTTGTAGGATTGGTGGATGTCGTTGCAGTGGCAGATGCAGATGGTAGAGCAGAGGTATATGCACGAACATATGATATGTTGAAATATGCATCATCATATCGTGGACTTCCAGGCCCGACTACGCAGTCCTCGTACTGTATGACAAGCGTTTGAGATAAAATATGTCATTTTCAGCTATGAGCACTCACACATTGACCTGTTGGACCTGCGTTGGCACACGTCGAAGCATAGTTTGATCCAACACCTGCCCTATATGTAACATGATTATGAAGGTCATGCGCTACGAGGTATGGCAGGACTCACCAGACTCCGCAAAGAGTAATATCTAAAACCAGATTCTGCGCGGTGTAGAACTGGGTAATGTTGCAAGTGTTAGAAAAATAACTGGCATGCGGAGTTCCCCATTGAGTGACGTCCACCGAAGCTGAGTTAGCTTGATTGATGGAAGCAGGTATGTTGGGGCGCTGAAACACATGTCAGCACATTGCAATATTCATCAAACCTAGGAATACGCCGCACACTCCAGAACCAGATACTACAAGTGATTGTTAGCCTTAAGGATGGTAAGGATGCAACACGTGCAACTACGTACAAGATACCCGATACATCAAATTGCGTTGCCCAAACTCCCCCACCAGCTGCCGCAAAATCGCTTGCATAACTATTCGGAGAAGTTTCCATCACTGTGCATCCAGGGGGTTGAGAACAGTCGGTCGTTGGACCGCTTATACCAAGTTGATATTCTGATCCATTATCAGTGCATCCTGGCGTGGTATGAATACTCATTTGGTTATAAGTCATCATATTAATGGCCTCGATTATATCTATTTCTCCATCCTGCGGCCAGTTGGGCCCTACAAAGTCGCGTCAGTGGGTGAGATCAAAACCAACAGCATCACGCGCACCAAAAGTCCAAAATGCGGGCCATACCTCAAGTAAATAGTTCAGATACTAACAGCAAGTGAATCAAGTTTCTCATAACATACCGAGCATCCAAACGGTATGTGACTGAGGTCGATTATCCAAACGCTTCCGATATCATATGTGTCTTGACTTGTTATGCGAACCTGTTGAGCTCTGATAAGTACCCGGTGCTCGCCTCTTGTGTTTTGCGTACTGTGCTACGGTTCTGGCCCAGAGGCACGTTTGTTGTGTTGTCCACTTTGATAATGGCATTTCCTCCACTGTCTATGTACGCCAGCTTCTGACTGGCTGCATAGGACTCGTTGGCCCATAGGACATTACCTGCATCATGTTTTATACTGTAGCAGAATATAAGGAATGGCGGATACGATGCTCACCTGCAGTTAAGGTTGTCATAATCGCCATAAAAGTCCCAGCGATCGAAGAAGCTCTGCCCCGAGTATTCGCGGATGAGACTATAGCCCTTCACAGAAGATATATAAGACGCAAAGACCCCAAACACAAGCCAGTATCTCATGGTGACGAAGTGTGAAAACATGAGCGGAGGAAAGCTCGAGGGCATTCATATATCTCGAGCGGCGATGGTCGGGCGAGAGTAGCCGCGCTGACAGCTGGAGAAGGGGTGGTCTGGAGCTGGAGACCCTGTGGAACGAAGTATTACATACTTAACCGCGCGCCGCTGTGACTTTCGGCGACTCGCCCGCACGACTGAGTACTGAATCCGAGCAAGCATGAGGCGCATGATAGAAGAATGCGTAACTGAAGCACGCGCTGGAGGCCTGGCCTTCCGTAATTGTACTATGATAGTGCTGATAGTGGGGTAATTACGTGCGGTCGCCAAGAATAGTCACACCTCCGAACAAAAAAGTCGACACCATCTCAGGCTGTCAGGCCTTCAGGGACGATCCAAGGATATATGTCTTTGGAGACAAACATAGGATGCGTTAAAGATCTGAAACTTGGAGCACATAGGACTACCGCTCAAGCTGACGAGCCTCGAATCAGGTGCTGTGGAAGCAAAGTATTAGATGCGTGGGAAAATATACAAGACATGGTTGAAACACACAAACACACCTTCTGGATATCTCAGTGTATGATGATAGAGGGACGTTTAAATTCCTATCCTTGTGTTGATAGCCCTGCGCGATCGCGAGAAGTTGAACGTCCAAATCATGGCGATGCATTTTCAAACTCGATTCTAATTTTTCTAATTGCCGACCCATTAAAAGCCAACCAACACACTAGTAAGTACTAGTATTACTAGCACAGTAAGTATTCTGGCTCAACAGCACGAAGCTTAAAGGTTTCTTATCACTTGAGCACTTGATGCTTAATCTTCGTACCGACGGGTTCAAGACTGTTCAAGGCCGGAACAACGCTGTCTTCTAGGTTTCTTCCACACAGCGCTGAACTCATCCAGATCCGGTGACGCGGACATTGATTCGGATATCCTGCAACGCGATGCTACGGTAACATTGAATTTGCATGCCGGCGCTTGTTGATACGTGTTAATGCAATGCACAGCTACTGACAAGGCCCTACAAGCGGGATTACATGATCACATCATAATCGCAGTGTCAATATCAGCCTTCCTCAACAGGAGGCAGTCAGAAGCAGTGCACAGACTCTATAACCCTTGTACTGAGCACATCAAAGGAATCAACGGCAACACAGCCGGGTACAAATTATACCATGAGAGGCAGCAGCGAAAATAGAAACTTATCGTTCCATCACGCCGGTCAACGTTTCAACCCCGGAACAACACCCGTTAACATGTCACTGCTAGTATTAGCTACGTGGGGCTTCCGGTGGGTGTGCACGTTTTTGGATCAAACATCATGCTGTCCTGATGGTGATGCGTAGTAGTATAATATCGTTCTACTAATAAAAAGAGAAGTTACCTCCGGTGATCGACGCTCAAGCCACTTCGAAATTCCGACCTTCTGTGCACTCCCTATTCCGAACTCCATGGAAAAGCCCTCCACAATGTTGATCGAGCAGTTACAAAGCGTCCACTCTCGTCAACGGAAGGTCATTCAACAACTGCAGGCAGATAACGCTAGATTACTCAGCGATCTCGTTGAGATTCGTCGGGAGAGAGACGCTTTCCGAGCGGAGGCTGCGAAGCTTCGCAAGGAGCAGGCAGAACTGCACAACCGACTGGATGAAACGTTGTCAGAGTATCAAGATTTGCGGCGGGAACGTCTCACTCTTTCTCGCGCATTCAGCAATGCGTCTTTGGGACGGCCATCAAAAGCTAATAATAAGGTGTGTGCAATTGGTCACAGTGGTTATGCGGCTCTAAGTCATCCGAACAGGCGATGCATATCTTAACAGCGTCGTTGACAAGAGATGAAGCAAAGAGTCCATCTCTTGATTACAACACAGTCAGTCGTTGAGCCGTTATCATCAACGCATGATTCCATTACTTTTCGCAGGAGATGACCCACAACAGGCAGAACTCATATTCAAGTCGCAAGTTACCAGAACCTGTAATAACGGACGATCCCCAAATGGATCAGCCTGTTCGCCCAAGTCGGAAGCTGCCTACGACCGTGATGCCTGTTCCTAGGGTATCATTGTACGCACTCGACATGAACTGTTGAATGATGGGCCATGGGTATGAGTTTATGTCACCACGTCAGGACATGTAACGGAAGGCAATGCCAAGAAAACTACTTGCGGCTTGCCTCGTGTCATGTTGTTGTGGATATGTATCAGAGGACAGTATAATCGGATGTTGGGCTTGGTACTTATGTTAGGACGTCAAGATCATAGTAACGGTAACGCCATGTTGTAATGACACAGATTGGACCTTGTGTAAAACTCGTCAACTGATGTCTTCACTAACCATTTCTGCCATGAAGGTAACCTTGAAATGGATTTACACTCACACTGAGATACCAGTAAGTGCGAAGTACAGTGCTATCTGAGACTCACAGGTGGGTATCTTGACTGTTCCCATACCAAATTGTCAATACCTTACTACAACAACGCAAATCTCTTAGCTGGCAATTTGCTGGCATCGCAGATACCATCTATTCAAAAGGTAATTCCAGTTAATAGGTCATTGATTTTCAGGATATTCAGAATTCGCCTGGAGTCGGACCGCGCCAAACAGTTACAGCAACTGCTCAACAACGGAGACTACATAGAAGGGGCATCTTCTATATCGTCCACCAAAATATTTGAATTGGTCCTCCTTCACATCATCGTAACAATGCGTGTCTATTTCGTCCTCGCCGTTGTTGTTGCTTTAACAACATTGATATCCGCCAGTGACGCTGGCACTTGCGCCAGCTGGTGCTTCTATGGGTCAACTGCCCACACGAACTTTGCGTGAGTATGAGTAATTCCCGGATTCAACGACAATACTCACCGAAGCTCTGCCCTATGCGGGCCTGCGAGCAAATAAATCAAACCAGTGCTTACTAAGCGAGCAAACGCGCGTGTCGTCCATCTTGTCTTCTTCCTTTCGCATTTGCTTGCAGCACTTTCGCTTATTCAAGAACTCTGCGCCTATAGTCTGTATATCAGATATATATCAACTTAAATGACCAACTCTCAGACTTCTGGACACCCTCTAGGAGCCAGGGTTAACAGTACGTCGGCTTTGACAGCATTTAGAGTTGCAGAGCCAGACCCAAACAGAATCGCGGAAGCGGTTGGTTCAACCAGTAGTCGCGTAAGCATCAGCATCTCATAATGACACCCTTGCCGAGAACGAGGCCCGGGCTGATTGTAGGGCCACGACGACAGATGCCGTCGAGGACAATGGGGGATTTCTTGATTGTTCCTGCTGAGGAACAGGAGCTGCCTAATCCACGGCCTGTCAACACGGACACTCCTATGATCAGCCTCTTCAGAGGCTATAATGCACTCACTCCTGGTTCACGTGCTGGATTCGAAGCTCTAGTGCAGTGGCGAACAACTGACATTGTTTCCTCGTTTACCACATGTCCTTTGTTTCAATGCAATCTCTCCTCTACATCTTCGTATCACTTCTCAGTTGACCGCAGGAAAGTTTATAGCTTTCGGATACTGATTAAATCATTATTTGGATCTTGATCTTATTTAACCTGTCAATGATGCTTGCAGTAAACGCACAAGTATCTTCTCGTCGTTCTTGTGCGTCACCTTATCCCCTTCAGCTCAGCGAGTGACTAGTAAACGCATACCAATGGTAACTGCCAAGGCTCCTGATGTGCGAGTCGTTTTTTTGCTTTCATATCGGTGCAGTATGGTTCATGGCACGACGCGCGAGTTTATTGCTGGGCTGATCAGCAAATTTGCTTCTGAACATATTTTAATGTCACTCGAAGAGATCTTGGAATGCGTAGAGGGTTCGAAGACTGATGTGTCTGCATTCCGTAGCCTGAAGACATGGTTGTCAAATAGCGGCGGAGAACCGAGAGGAACCTCTAGACTAAGCAAGGGTCAACGGCAAGGAATACTTCTGGCTCCAAAGAGAGTAAGATCACGCTCACGCGGAAGTACAAATAACGGACGTGTTCATAATCCTAAGTCAGTAACTGTGGTTGGCCTTGCATCAGTAGCTTTGCCTGGTGTATGCATAACCTCAACTCACGGGATACAGGTCTAGCCAGAAATAGTAATGTCGAACCTTGTGCGAGACCATGTGACCTACGGATACAGCAATAGCCCAAAGACAGATTCATGCGTCAAATAACGTGGTGTCTTATCTTACCATGTCACTGATTATTATTATGACATTGCAGCGCTCCGTGTGCCCATCTTTGCGCCTTCTTCCACTGGCATAAGCTCCTAAACTCAGGTTGTAGACCTCAACCCTTAATATCTAAAGGGTCGAGCTAGTAGATTGCCGGAAGTCAGGAACGGAGTCAGAGCCAGTGAACCTGTACACAAACCACGGTCATATGACACCACGGACTGAGGGTATAAGTCGAGAAAGAAGTACGCTCACAAATAAATCCCATAGATAAGTTGGGTCATTAAATCGGCAGTTCCATTGGCAGAATCCGGGTTGTGGTCCTTCACCCGAATAATGAGAAAGATATTTCACTAGGCTGCACAAAACGCGTTGTCGATGGCCGCGAGCAGTGTCAATGGTAGGAGCTTGATCTATGCCATCCGAGGACTGTCGTTCACAGAAAGAGGGCTGAATAAGGATAGAAGGCAATCACCATGAAATCATCGACGAGCGCTCAAAGGATATATGTAGTCGTCCCTTGCGCAGACCATGGATCAAAGTTAAGGTTCTCTTTAAAGAAGTCAACGTGGCCAAAGGGGAGCTGGGTCAGCTGGGTCATTCAATCCAAATGCGGACAACCAAAGAATGACAAACAAACGCGTCTTAAAGTCGTGTCACGGTCGCGTCCCGTCTTTCAGTTTGCACTTCTTCCATTTTGTTGCTAGCGCTTATCCTACATCTTGATGCCACGATGGACACGTCGTCACATCAGCCTGATATTCTTGCTATCGCAAGGGAGCAGCTCGGCCTTCAGAAACACGTGAAGGTAAGTACATGTTAATTGGCGTTCGTCTGTGCGGCGTTATTTGTGCGGCAAGGTTGAACACATTTCAGGACGCGTCTATTCCCAAGTCCTATCTCACAGCGCTTCGCCGGCATCTAGATATAGATCCTTATGACACCAACGTACGTTTCTATCATCCGGTGTCACATCAATACTTCTTTGATGACCTTAATTATAGTTTAGAGTCACGTTGCAGCCAAAGACAGGATGTATGCGCTCCCAATTGTGGATGTGAAGATTTGTTGAGTTAAATTTATAGATGGCGTGGTCACCTGCTTGGAGCAGGCTTGCGCTGCTATCAATATCCCATTGGGTGCCAGATCTGGCCGCTCGGGTGGCAAAGCAGATGGTTTTGGTAGTTTGGCTAATTATACGGTATGGTATTGCATATGCAAGTTTCTTTTGCCTATGAACATAACCTTTTTAGGTCCATGCCGGTACACCGAGGCACAAACAAGCGAGACTTCTGCGCGTCAAAACCCTTCATGCTGGAAAAGCGATCAAGAATGGAACAGTAAGTAGAATCGTATTTTCTGCCAGCTCTATTATGACAATGATTGCGCAGCCAAATGTACTTCCGTCAAACGTCGCCGTCAATACAAAGCCGCCGCGAGGTGGTTTGTTGGCACAGCTCGATGCAAATCTGAATGTAGATAGTCTCTCCAGCCCGAGTTCATCCGCGCGACGAGCCCCAGTAATGAAAGTGTTCGTGTCATTGCCATTGAGGCGTGGAACTGCTGAGACTGCCGTAAAGCCTGAGCCGGCTGACGCTGTCATTCCTCGAAAGCGCACTTCCTCGTCTCTCGTGTTTCTTGGTGCGGAGAATGAGGAAAACAAATCTAGCGTTTCCACTCTTTCCGTATCTAAGCTCACAACCATTCAACCGCCCAAAGCGCCTGTCAATTCCAACACGCAGCCTTCGCAAGGCCACATTCCCGTACAGTTCGCAGATCAAAAGGCTGTGCTTCCTGTGGCCCACCGACCATCCTTGCACCGCAGTTCTGATGAAACCCGTTTAAGGATCAACAACATCCAAAACGACCTCTACTCCCTAGCCAAGCTTTCTCAATTGACGAAAGACAGGACCGTCAGTCAAGGACCCTCCACTATGACTTCTCAGGTCCCTCGCTACAACGGCGACAATACTGGTTATTCTTATCCAACTCTTAATTACCAGCCTATTGCATCGGGATCACGGGTCCGTCTCGACGTTGCTATGGGGTTGGACACAGACTCGGAGGAGGATTGGGAGCTGCCTGAAATATTCGGTGGTGTTGACACCGGTGATGCGCGCTTTGACGAGGATGGCGACTTCTACGGGAGGGGTAAAGACCTATTTATCGGACCGATTGCGAACCCGGGCGAGTACGTCACGAATCTTTCAGAATGAATGCGTTCTCACGTTATCATTTCTGTGCTGTTTGCAGTATTGACAAGTTTTTGATCGCTGCTGGCAATGCGGAGCAATTCGATGGTAATGCCAGTGTCGACAAGGCCCTCAAAAAACTTGGATTGAAAAGCCTGTACGATCTCCTTCCAGGAATGGCCATTTCTTTGTTAGCTCACCAGGTTATTGGCGTCGCATGGGCGTTGGAACGCGAGAAATGTGGCGACAAGGGAGGCTGTTTGAGCGATGAGATGGGCTTAGGGAAAACGGTGCAGATAATATCGGTGATCGTCGCCAACCCCTCCAATGACCCTATATGCAAGACGAACCTTATCGTTGCTCCGTTGGCCTTACTGGACCAATGGAAACTTGAGATCGAGATGAAGACTACCAACAATCTGAAGTGTCTAGTTTACCATGGTACGTTCAGAATTGTATATGGGTTGATTGAATTCAAATCTCAAGTTCTCTTCTATTGAGGCTCCAACAAACCTCGCAAGAAGACCGACTTGATGAAATACGACATCGTATTAACCACTTATCATGTGCGTTCGAATGTGATATCTTTCATCGATTACTGACTCTGGTAGACTCTTGCACTGGAATGGCCAGATCTGGAGGCGGAAGAAAAAGCCAAGCAGAAGGCTCAAAAGCGCAAGAAGAAGACCGATTCCTTTATCGAAAGCGATTCGGGGGATGATAGGAAACATAAGAAGAAAAAGAGAGAATGTGAGCCATGGCGATCACTGTGGTCACCTAGACTGACTTTGCATAGTTGGGCTTCTCTTTCAAGTCCAATGGTACCGTGTTATTCTCGATGAGGCACAGAACATTCGCAACCGGCGCACCAGTAATATTTGCCACGTCTCTCTCTCCTATATATTCATGACCTTGCAGGAATATCTCGTAGCGTCACCGATCTTGACACGACCTATCGCTGGTGCCTCACAGGGTGAGCATCTCATCCATCAAGACCACCTTTCACTAATTTTCGGACAGCACTCCCATTATCAACGGCCTAGTAGATGCATACGCGCTATTTCGCTTCCTTCGCTTCCGTCCCTGGTATGATTGGCAACAGTTTAATGGACACGTCTCCATCATCGAGAAAAAAAATCGTACGTCGATGTTCGCCCAAGATCTCACATTCACTTAACGGTGCTTAACTATAGCTGAATTGGCAAGCAAGAGACTCCAGGCTATCTTCATATCGATTATGCTGCGTCGCAAGAAGGATTCGATGTTAGACGGCAAGAAACTTATCGAACTTCCCACAAAACATGTAGAAATGGAGAAATTAGAGTTTTCCCAGGAGGAGCGCGAAATATACCAAATGGTATATTCTACCAGTACATATATGTGTTGCGCTCATCGCACGTCTTTCAGGTCGAAGCTCGCTCTCAAGCTAAATTCAATCGTTTTCTCCGCGCTGGCACTGTCTTGAAGTAAGTCGCCCACTGTTCAGAAAAAAATTGAAAAATCTCAATTACTACTTGTTTAGAAACTATCATCAAGGTGCTTCATCATCTCACCAACTCAACTGTTGTTAATAACTCTTTTAAAATAGTCCTTGTGATGCTATTGCGTCTTCGACAAGTGTGCTCCCATCCCGCTCTTATTCAAGAGACTTCCGAAGCCCTTGTTGCAGCAGATCAGTTAGATTGTGGGCATGACCTTAAGGCTGAGCTGGCCCGCGCAGTTCGACTGGTGTCATCAGATTTTGTCACGAAGCTGAAAGCAAAGTATTTCCAGTGCGCGATGGCACGTATACAGGCAGAAAAAGAGGTGCGTTTTTCTTGTCACATGGATTTCATGATATTGACTTGGATATAGTCCCTGGATGCCACTACCGATGGTGAGGAATGCCCCATCTGTATGGATACATTCACCGAGGCCCATATAACGGCGTGCGGCCATACCTTTTGTCGCGAGTGTATTGCCAACGTCCTTAATGCTCCCTTTGTCCAAGACGCAGAGGATCCTCGTAAATACCGTAGTAATGAGAAGCCTTGTGAGTCACGCACGTAAAGCTTCTTGCTACACTCATTTTGTTTTGCAGGTCCTAGCTGTCGCGCACCCATTTCTGCGGATGCTATTTTCATTCGCGAAGCATTTGAACCCACTGATGCCGAGTTGTCCGGAGACGTGTCGACATCTTCCGATGATGAGATGCCCGAGATATCTGACATGATACTTCGGGGATCGAGTGGCAAAGGCGGGGCCAGGCGCATCCACAAGAAGCGTGCTGTGTATGACTCGGATGGTGAATCGGAAAATGACGACGACGACATCAGTGATTTTATTGTCGAGGATGGCGAAGATGAAGAACAGAAGGATGCCAGGCGCGACATCAAGAAACGTCTGAGAAAGCGCCGCGCGATGGTCGTCGAGTCTGATGATGAGCTTGACGCAGATGAGAGAGAAGTGGTCATAGGCCGGAGCACCAGGAAGGTGCCTGATTCCATGGGTCAAGTTAAAATGATGTCGCGTTTCCTTCCTTCTACAAAGATGAATGTAGGTTGTCACATTTCGTTTGCAAAATCTTTTTAATGTCTCTCACTCTCAGCACATGATGGAGCACCTAGAGAAGTGGGCCAAACAAAGTCCTGGCGACAAGGTGCGGCTTGACTTCCAAACAATATAGTGATGGTAGTATTGATGACATTTGCAGACCATAATTATATCGCAGTGGACCGAATGTCTCAAACTCGTCTCTGACTTCCTTGCAGAGAAGAAAGTACTCCATGTGAAGTACGAATCTTCTGATGAGTTCGTACCTGCTTATCTGAGTTGATGTTATCTTTCGGTTTAGGTACCAAGGGTCGATGAGTCGCAGTCAAAGGGATCAGGCTGTCCGAGTGTTCATGATGGGCAATACTGCACAGGTTATGCTTATGTCCTTGAAATGCGGAGGTGTTGGGTTGAATCTGACAAGGGCTAATCGTGAGCCTCCCCGGTTTCTTATTTCACTGCGTTCTGACTCCTCACAGGCGTCATCTCACTGGATCTTGGCTGGAGCGAAGCAATCGAAAGCCAGGCGTTTGACCGAGTCCACCGTCTCGGTCAACAGAAAGATGTCTTCGTGCACAGGTTGGTCATTGCCAATACTGTCGAGGATCGTGTTCTTGCTCTCCAGGAGCGCAAGGTAGAGCAAATTATACTTTATGTTTGTGCTCTGTTAATATATGGCATCAGCGAAACCTTGCGGATGGCAGCCTTGGTGAAGGCTCCGGAAAGAAGATTGGCAGTAAGTATTCGGCATGAGTCTTGGACACATTGCTGATGAGCACTTCTATTGTAGGGATGAGTGTCCGTGAACTGGCAAATTGTACGTGGCGTGTTGCTCTGTCCTGCACGTTTTCTCACGCTTGGCTAGTGTTTGGTCTCGACCACCGAGGCAACCTCCTTTGATGAGATGCATAGGACCACGTAACCCGAAAATTCCCACTCATTATGTCTGCTTCATTCTTTTCCTGCTACTCACTGTTGTAAAATTGTTCTGACCGTTATCATTATCCTAATCCATCGAATTTGTAGACTTATACCTTGCAGATGTTATACCTTAGAGCCCGTTGGTCTTTTGCAGTCCTGAGTAAATAACTTCAACTAGTTATCAAGGTTTCATGTTGCAGTCTACGTATCTACAAACTATGTGGAACTACAATAGGAGCAGCGTAGTTAACCAATCCAAATTGTTCGTCGCTCAAGCGCAGTCAAAACCAACACTCTTACCCTACGTCGTGGACGCCAGACTTTGATTTCTGTAATCAACAACGGACAGGATCAGACAAGCTTGGATTATTATTTATCTCTTTCGGATGTATCAACTAGTACATCAAGCAGTGGCCCAGTGCAGTGGCTGTTCTTAATATTCTTACCGTCGCCTTTCCCGGCTTCACTCATAGTAATGTCGAAAAATTCTTGTCGCATGTGGAATGTTCGCATGTATCATGAACCTTGAATTAGTATATGCATCGATAATGGTAGACACAGATAGTGAGGCCTGAAGCTTGATGCCTTGAAAGATGTCGATAGGGTACAGCCTCTCCATGGAGGGATACCCTACCGGGCCCCAGTTGATTTCTTCATATGTGCAAGAATCTTGTCTACTTCGGCAGAGTTCTTATCTGCGAGTTTCTGAAACTAATAGGTCGGATAAGATAAAATGATGAAATGAGTAAAAAGTAAGTCAAACTCACTTCTTCGAGCTCAACTGAGTGCTTTTTGTAGTCACCTTTTTTGACACTAGCTTGTTGTATTTTTCGAAGTTGTACCCGGGTATCTTCTGCCATTCGCTGAGCAGTCGCAGTCAACGCATTGCGGGCTTCGACTGTTGGCCTAAAAGAGAAAGAATGAACGACCATGCCACAGGAAGACGAAGCGAGTGACCTAGGTATGGGAATCTTGATCGTCCTGGAATCCTGCTTCTGAGGAACAATATTTGGTAGCTTTGCGGCATATAGGGCCTGTTCCACTGTTTTCAAATTCTACTGGTGCACCGATGAGCGAATGTCCTCGAGCCTAACCACGACGAGGGGCTCACATGTTCCTCGAACACCGTAATAATCAAGGTTGAGCCATCTCGAACGCCAATGGTGGCCACTTCCTCGAGTTTCACAAGGTCCTTTCCTTTGCCTGGAAGTTCTACGCGTACTGGCGAGAGAAGGGCTGGGGTAACGCGACCACTTGCACGAGTCTCTAGGCCAGCTACCTCTTTGCGGTACCACTCGACAGCGGCACTCATCTTCGCCTCGGATTTTCCATATTCCAAACGAGAAACCTCAGAAGTAAGAGCTTGTTTAGATCCCGGGACTAGGTCTGCAGTAGATTTCGCCTTCGACCTCGAGGCGTAAAGTCGGATGTATGATGTTTTGGGTGACCGAGAGATATCATTGTGTGCAAAGCTCTGTGTCGGGTAGAGAAACTGAAGGCTGCGACGGGACACAGCTCTTGGCGAGCAGGAGGTGGCAAGCCTCACAGCACTGGGTAGTGACATGATGTAGGGTACTCTGAAACTTCCATCTAATTTTTGCAGGTACTCGGATGTTTGAATTTCCTAATTTGGATTTCAACGCCCATATATTTCGGTAAGTTCCGCTCGTACTTATTTGCAGTCCATCAAGTCGTTCTGCCTTCCCCACACATGTTTCACCACTAATACGTTTCCCGCTACGTCATTTACGTTTGCGTTGTTCCTGGAAGAACGTGTACCCAAGTTGTAACTTGTGGCTCCCTCCACGGCATATCTGCAATCAGGTACATTTTGTGTTTGGGCTGTGGTGGCAAGAACGAAGTCCGGTGACTTGATGCTCGGTATCCATCGACAATGGTAGAAAAACCAGGAGAACGGGTCCCGGTCTTGGCCAAAAAATATTGACATTGGTGGCAGTAGTGATTTGCACCATGGCGCGTGGCGCAGGATCAATGCGAACTCTAGGGGAGCGTAAGTGTTGTCGCGAAGCAACAGAGCGCCTTCGAGCAGTCGAATGTCATCATCCCACCTATTGGCACATCTCCGCGGAATTAATCAAGAGCTTCATGATGGGCATTAGACTGCATTAGACCGACAAAGACCCTCCTTGGGAGTCGGGGATTGCAACCACTTTCGGATTTTTACGATATGGGACATACCGTTGCAATGCTATTGCAACCGCATCTCTATGGCGATTTCAAGGACTTTAACCCATTTCAAAGCTTTACAAGGTGTTGAGATCCAAATCAGGAATTTCCGACAAAGCAAACACACTGCGGCAGCTGCCATAGGATATAGCACGGGTACACAGCCATGAGGCTCTTACAAACATCCACCAGCACCTCGTTGTCCCCATCGCGTGCCTGGTCACCCCAGTGAATGTAAGGGCCTGACCGTATTTGACCGGTAACGAAGTATTCGTTTAGATCGCAGTTCGCTTGGGCGCTTTCAGTGGGCGCAGTTAGGTGTCACTGATTGCACAACGGGAAAACTTTTGCCGCCAGTGAACATTGTTTGACAGGAATCCAATACATGCCTAAATGTTCGAATGTAAGTGTTGCACAACAAAAGCGTACCTGGGAATTGTTTGTTGATACTTCCTTCGTATAGTCCCACTGACCAACTATTGTAAGACACCGTTTGTGTACGACTTGGACCGGACTATAGAACTTTTGTGCGACCTCTCATACCGCCTGTGGCCCGGCGTACAGATATCGAAGGCTTAAGCCGCTCCAAGTAACGCAAAATTCCGGGGGCGTGAGTGGTGAAAAAATAACAACACAGGTTTGAACGTTGGCATATGGTTTTCAAATCTGCTCCAAAGCATCTCTGATAAGATCTCCTATATTAATTTGTGCCAGTCTTTCAAACTTCAGAACGCGGCTGCTCAATATAAAAAGCAGGGGAGGGTAGTGTTTACCTGCCGTTCAGTCTCAATTCAAGATGTTATCCCTCACGATCCCGAAGCTTGCAGATGAGCTTTTCTTGCGACCCATCGTGATATCGATGAACAGTTTGGCCCTGTCGGCCCTGATGTCATATGTGATGTCCGCTAACGGACGTATCGACTGGAGACCGGTATGGCCATTAATTTAATACTAGATGATGTCGTTCATGCAATTATCCTCGCAGATGATTGTCTGCGTCACGTCCGATATTCTTGCCATTGGCGCTGACCATCTTAAGGATAAAGAAGAGGAGTTTTCGTTGGACCGCACAACCACCAACGACCCATACCTCACCTGTTGGTTTATATATGCACGAACTTTCCTCACCGCCAGGCGCTGTGCTCCTTGCATTGGTACTATCTCAGTGTCCATTTTCAACGCTCCTCACCACGGCAATGTTCGTCGTTCCTGCCTTGCTCTGGACCACTCCGATCAGCTTCAAGAGGTTTTGGCTAATCTCGAGGCGCCTCCTCGGGAGGTTTGGCAGTGACAGGCATCAGCCTTCTACCTCTGCGCCTGTCCTGGTCATCAAACGCATTCCTGGCATGAAAGCCATTTTTAATGGCATCATTCGAGGATATGTCTGCGTCTTCACCTTGAACGATACAAGGGATGCAAACCAATACTCTTCAGGTGTGGCATCTACGCTGTGGTTTTCTCCGTGTTGTCGGGATCAGGCAATCTCATTAGCACGTTGCCGTCTCCATGGAGCGTCGTTCAACTGATAGTGTGGTCGACCGTCAATCGGTCATGCCACGCAGTAAGTAGAACGCACATGATCGCACGATTTGACCCTGACTATCTCTATAGATCATGACCGATGTCCGTGATTTTGAAGACGATATGAAGGCCAGGGGTCCCCACTATACCTGTCCTTCTCGGTTCAATACTCAAAACCAAGGTCATATTGACGGTTTGTCATATGCTGGTTATGTTGGCCTTCATTGAAAACACATACATTATGGGAAGCTGTCTATTCGCTGCAGTTCTGGTGTGGATACTGGGCAAAGACTCGCCAAAAAAGGCGTTCTTGTTTAGCTCCCATTCGCAGTCCCTGTTTACTATTTTGTATTTGTTGACGAGGCAGTATCCTCCGTTATAATCAACAAGTACTTTAGAGTTTCGAGATGCAACTGGATTTATATGTAGATTGTTGTTTTCTCACCATGATTATCATATTAAGTTACCTACGTAAACTTTTTATGTGCATAAGCACAATTTCCTAGCTGTGATAAACCGAGTTCTCTAAAATGAAATACACTGCTGCCACCGTCGCACGTGATCGCCTTGTGATATCAGTCGAGGTACCTAGGTACCTGGATCTGAGCTTATGTGAGCGTGGGATATTCAGTCGGAATCCGCCGCATCAACAATACGTTAGTGCACAACCACTGCCGCATCCATGAAGTTCTACTATCACTATCGCTCAGTAGTGTGATACCGTTGCGGTGTGTACTAATTCCAAGGTGTTTGTACTAATTTGTCATGCAAGGTGTCCCTCAAGTACCAGAGGGTCTCTGCAAGTTGAAGAATACACAACTTGAGCATACTTCGTTAGACTCTATGTTACTTTGTACAACTCGGGCATACTTGGATATGTCGCAAATTCCTAATTTGGGTTTAAGTGCCTTGTCACGCATTTCAATATTCAAAGACCGAGCGTAGATTGAAAGTCCTTTCAATAATAGAGTCACGATTGCAATCACACTGTAACGACGGTTGCAATTACGATGGCAATTGCCGTTGCAACACGTGGCAATCAATCTTAGTCATTGTAATGAGTGATTTGGCTGGAAAGCCGCATGGCGTTGAAATCGATTGCAATGTCAAGTAGCAGCTTGTAATGCGAAATGAAGACCTGAAATCTTGGTTTTGATATTTTAATAGAGATCTTGAATTGTCATATTCTACCATAATTACAAGACAAGTATGAGCGGATACTCAATGGAAACCCTCTGAAGCCAAATCCCCCACTCCCTAATATACCCTGCATCTTTCCCTTGAATGAATGGGGCGCTTGTCCATCATTTCTGGATCCTTCTGTTGCTGCCGATACCTCTCACTAACCTTCTCCCTTCATCTAATAGGTCGCCATACATCATCCGGTCCAACCCTGCCCTTGTGCGGGAGATATTTGGTGACGAACAAGAGACCACCAAGCAAAGTGTGCTAGCCGCTGCCAAATGGCGATCGATGATGGGGCCTGACATGGGTAAAGGGCGCTTGGGTGGAACCGAGAGGTGGCATGCTGGTTGGGCGCTATGGGTATCCCGCAGGCATTTGGCAGTGGTCTAGGGAGTGGCGCCTTGCGTGTGGGTGGGGTGTGGCATGGGAAGGGTAACGGTTTGGTGGTCGCTGTGCGATGTGAGAAGACCTTGACAGTAATAAGCTTCAGCACACCAAATTAGATATTCTACATACCAGTAGTAGCGCGGACACCATTGGGAATTGGGCCACGACGGTGCAGTCTGGGTTGGCATTAAAACATTAGCGAAAAGTATCAAGTATCAATATAATAAAAAGACTGACCTGTAACTGCGATTATTCGTTGGACACACTGTCAATGGATGGTTCAGAATGTCTGTACCATTGACCAACGAAAGGCATAAGGTCACTAGACAATGAGAACTTTTCAATAATTGTCGCCCCAAAAAAAGACTGCACACCGTTTGCCATGTGCTCGACGTCAAATCACTGGTAACATTGACTTGTGTGGAGGTTATTAATGGAGGGGAAGAGGGATTCAGTCAAGAGAGGAATCGACGGAAAGTCCGAGCAGAGCGACGACAAGTCTAAGTCTAAGCGACGTTACAGTCACACTGACAATGTGGTTGTTGTAAGAGATGTAAACCGGTGTGAAAACTTTACAATGAATAATAAATGATTGTTATGTAAGCATCACTTACCCGCGATTCAGATCAAGCAGCTGTAGGATAATCTGTGACTCGGATTCCTCAATTTTATCCCCAAGAATGTCGGCGGACGACTCCCAGAAATCAAAATATGTATCTGGTTTAGTTGGTACGTTCAAACTTTACTCAGCTCCCCTCTCCTGGCTATATTACAATCTCTGATGATTCAGACACAACCATCTCCCATGCCCACCCCCCTGACGTTTGGTTCGAGCAATCAGCCCCCGCATTGCAACGTTATGCCCATGAAAGGGTTTGTTCACGAGGTTCTTCGTTGTTCTCGCACGTCAGGCAGCGTTCTACAGACAGCGCTCTGTTATCTGGATGCAATCTGCGCCAAGGTCCCAGAGTTGGTCTCACAGGAGAAGGGTCGCCTGGGTCCACTTGCGAAAAGGAATCAGCTGAACGTATTGTCCAGGGTGAGGTATCCACATCAATCCTATTGCACTTAAGGCTGACTCTATTTGTATCCATGCAGCAACCGCGAAATGGTTCATGGAGACTAGCCTTATTGTTTCACCAATATCTTGCACTGTCATGGCTCGCCTCTGGTGGCAAGGCCTCGTGTGTGTGTCAGGCGGCACGCCACACTACCCGCACAAACCTTCTATTGCGAAGACTCTTGTTTGGCGACAATTTTGTTTGCCATTGAGACTAGGAATGGTTAGCAGTCCGAACAGCTCCAAGATCAGTCCACCCGCTCTTTTGAGCTGCAGAATGACAAGATGTGTATTGACACTGAGTGATTTGACAGAGAACAGCAAGGGTATTAGCTAGCTATCATGTATTATATCACTTAGACTTTACGAGAACGTCCACGACGAGTAGGACCCTGCGTCGCTACAACCTTCCTCCCCCTAGTATTCTTGGCCTTTGCTTGTCCTCCACCCGATTCCGTCCTATCATCATCAGCTTCATCTGCATTGTTAGCTACTGCATTGACACTTGTATTCGAATCATTAGCGCGAATGACAGCCCTAGATACTGATTCGTCTGGATGTGTGACTGGCTGAGTGACGAGATTTGAACCTTCAGGTCCAGGCGCCAATGAAGGAGCTGGTAAGGCTGATATTGCCGAGGGTAATACTGAGAGTGCCGACAAGACCGGTGGAGTCACTGGAGTGTCTTCTTCGCTATCAGTGTCCATGTCAAGTGCTAGCATGGCGCGGTTGATCTCCTCTGAAAAATCTTCGGCACCAGCAGGATCCATCGATGTAGACAACTTTGCAGCACCGAAAACGTAGCGATTGATGTTAGTCACGATGGTTTTGATACGTTTTGTCTCCCACTTCGTAATTAGCAACTTCTTGTATTGAAAGAAGAGGTCCTTGTAGTTGATAGTTGACGACTTGCCAACTCCCGAACCTGGAAACTCTGTGTCTGGCGAGAGCAGAAAAATGACCTGTGTTGCAGTAGTGTATGAGTAGTAGAACGATTCAATGTCATCAAAATGACTTACAATAACCGCAGCCCATGCAATGGACCCTGGTGTGACTTGTTGCAAACTCCACTTCCGAGCGTTAGTCTTCGATCCACCACAAGGCTCTTGATGAAGCGAGGTGACGCCATAGAGTGAGGCCCTCAGGATCTAGATATGCCAGTATCAGTAGAGTACTAGTGAGCAGCAGGACAATTATGAGAGAATGATAGCGCACCTTTGCAAAAAGTGTCCAGTTGCCGAAAACGGTCTTGAGGGTTGTGTCTTCTTGGAGACTTGGGAACAAGAGAGGCGGAAAAATCTTGTAAGTCTGAGTCTTGCCGGAAACTCCAAACATCTTCTGAATGTCGACAATCGCAGCTCTGTCATAACTGGCATTGGCAAAGTATTTTCCCGGAAGCTCGAATATGTCTCCAGCAACGCCACGCAATTTCTTGATTTCGTTAGAACGAGCATCGGCGATGCACTTATTTACCTGTAACAACCAAATACATTAGGTAGTGGCTAGAATGAAAAGCAAAATTGACATACGAGGTCTTTGAAGTACTCGCTACCCATTACCGTTTCATGGATGCGTTCAGGGAAATGTGCATAGAGTTCATCTAAGAAAGCAGACTCTTGAGTTGCCAACGTCTTGTAACGATCAGCACTATTAAAAGGTGTAGGTGAATCGGGGCGCTTCTTGATGAGAAGCTCGCTGTCTGGGAACATCTCCACTGTCATGCCATATTTGCGGGCATACAACGAGATAGTTTGCTCATGGGCGACGAGGGCATCCGGTGCTTCTACACGCCGTTTCCGTTTAGGCTTCTCGGAAACCAGAACCTTATTTTTCTCCTTAAGGGCACGATTGTCTGCACGCAGCTGCTGAACCTCAAGCTGCAGTGCTTTGAGTGCCTGTATTGAGGAGAGTGTACGTTAGACAGCGTTATGCGATGAAGACGGTGGCTACATACTTCCATTAACTCTCCCTTGGAGGCATTAGGCCCTGGGATGTTATTCGAGACCTGGTCCGTATTGCCTTCGTCCCAGTCGCTATCTGAATCATCATCTGACACCCGCGCTGAGAGATGAGACATGTTCTAGATGCTCGATGGTAAGGTGACGGAGAAAACAGTGTGAATGTCACCCTAATATATAGGATGAGATGTACTGCTTACCTCGTGTATACTAGACGTAACATTACTGCGAGTGACGACATTGATTCAGTCTTGCGCGTAATAATACCAGTGAACTAATGAGAGGCACGTAAACAAAAACACGACTGAAGGCCACATGTTGATGGAAGAGCGACCTACCCTAGTCATTCTCTCTCACACATCGGCACGTCAATGCCAAGGAACCTATTGGAGTTAAAGCAATTGCAGCATTCATGGCGGCGTTAGAGGTCTATGACAAGCAAGGTCAGATCAAGACGTAAAAAACATTATAACAGAGGTCACAAACAACGCGACATCTGAAACACGCTGTTCCAATGCTGCTGTCATAGATTGCACGAAGTCTGTATGAGGTGAGTTGGTAGATCAGATAGACTGGGATCGAATTGCCCGGTTTCATTTGTGGGGTATTCATAGGCATGGAGGGGAAGTTGGGTGGTATGATAGGAGGGTTGGACTGAGGGTCATGAAAAGACGGGGCAGAGGGAGGGACACGCTGGGTGGAGGTAAGACCGAATTGCTGCTGAATCTGTTGTGGTTGCCAACGCCCGGGGGATTCGAAGCCGGAGGTACTGAAGGTGTCCCGTTCGGAGCAGGAGACTGCATGATACTTGAGTTGATGGTATTGGGAGTCGGGTGGCCTGGAGCAGCAGGAGCGTTGTGAGGTGACCCTTCTGGTATACCTGAAGGGTTATTGATCATGATGGGTTTGACATCCTTCTGATCTTTCATGGGACCACCCATAGCTGGTGACGCAGGTGGCGCCATGCCGCCCATAGGTTTGGCTTGAGCCAAGTTCTGGCCGATTCGATTGTTCTGGGGACCAGCAAACTGTTGTTGACCTTGCACAGGATGGAAACCTTGCTCAGAAGCACCGGGAGCGGCTGCCGCTAATAGGTTCTTTGTCGTTGCGGTCATACTCTGTCGGTACTGCAAGGCCTTCAGAACAGTTGAGGGGCAGCCAAGGGCTGCAACAAAATCGACGACTTACTGCATGAAGATAGCCTAGTATAATTAGACCATTAGTGAGACAACGAGCGAAGAAAATGAGAGGCTTACCAGGCATAGAGAGAGGAAGCCGACTTGAAGGGATACAATCAAATGCGTATTGGATGCCCTGCTGCAAGATGTAGCTCCTTTACACGAATGAACATGTCAGAGTCGACAGTGTCGACGACAAGGTAATCGGTACTGCCATCCGGCACGAGGAGAGCTCCGCGAATGATTGACCTCACTGAGAAAAACTCGGCTTGCGCTCGGGGTCTTGCTCGAACACGATAGATATTGAGGTGTTTGTCCTTTCGGAGCCGTACACCAGTGGGAGCGTCAAAAGGATGGATTAGAGCTAGAGAGAGCGTGATATCCCCAACTATACATTCAAACAGAAAGAGAAGGCGACCAAATATCACTTTGGCTTCTGTCTGAATGAAAACACAATCAAAACGCGCAGCATTGAAAAACTTGGGACTGCATCTAAGGTAGTCGGTGTGTAGTCGCCAATCCACCAAGGACTCGTAGTTAACCTTCAAAAAACGGCACTCAGTGATCTGTTTAACGATATTAGTGTAGCGAAACATAGAGCCGAACTGAACATGACCAACCTTATCACTTGCTTTGAATTGTACCCGCTTTCCACCTGGTAAAGGGAGCCGAATAACTTGAAGAAAGTCAGTCAAGAAATTATTGAGCTTGACCCGAAAATTAGTGAACGCGGCATCCTCCTTATGAGCATCCTCGATCAACTCAAAGGTCTGCGCAGCTTGCCTCGACCCAAGTCTTACATGAGGCGCATTTGCATCCGGCGAGACCAGATCATCCACATCTCCTAAATCCTCCAGGTCACCCGAATCTTCGCTGCCTCCGGACTCATACTCGTCTAGGTCTGATATGTGGCGGCGAATGCTCTCCGCAACCACTTGCCAATGGTTTATGCGGAGTATCTGCAATGAAATTGGTATCAAAATGATAGTTAGAGTGAAAAGAACGTCACCTGAGGCGCCACATCCCTGAAATTAGTGCGCAATAAGTACGAGTCTTTCAGCGACCCATGCATCCTTTCATTCGGCTTTGTATTGTAGTTACGTGTCGCACCTTTTGCTTCGATATTGTCAAAAATGTGCACACTCATGTGCAGTTTGGGGAAGTTCCAGTTTTTGTCGCTCTCATCAGCGCTTTTCTCTATATATTGCTATCATAGGCTTAATCAGTGGATAATTGTCTGAGTGAACTGAGGTAGACACACCTGAAGATAAGTCGAGAATGCCTGCACTGCATGTCGGCCGGCACTGATAGTCTCAGTGGTGTGAACTTCAAGCGCCGCATATGCGTCAACTTCGAGAAAGTGCCGAATGCAACGGAGTAGGAGATAGCCGAGTGGACTGTCGTCCTCCGTCAAAATCGCGTGCGCAGCATATACCACCATCTGAAAGAGTGTCAATGGCAATGAAGTAATAGTTTAAATCAAAAACACACCTTTGATATGTCCTCGTAGACACTGCCATCAGCGAAAGAGATGCTCATAACGTGAGCTAAGTGCTTCAAGTTTCGCCAGCGCGGGAATGCTTCGTAGCTAGTAGTTAAATGGGTCAATTCAAAACAATGTTACAGCGCTTGAGTCACAAACTGACTTTTTGTCCATTTGTGCTACTTTCACTCGTCCCAAACCGACAACGATTTTCTGAAGTTCGGCCCAGAGGTGGTCACGATACAGACCACCATTGAAGTGGAGTCGGTCCCATGACAACGCATCATGTACATCAGTATGCATCATGGCCGCAAAGGCATTCTGTAGCTTTGATTAGTTAGAACGAACTTACAACAGAGAAAACATTACCATGATGTCACGAAGGCCATACTCTTTCAGTTTCTCCTCTTTCTCCTCAGCAGTCGCCTCAGCTCGTGCAGCCTTCACCACTTCCTGCGACTGGGTAGCCGTTCGAGGAGGATAACACTTTAATGTATTCAAAAGCTCGTCGTGGGGAACGAGACACACTGGACATGGCCAAAGGCATTTTATCCCTCGGATTAGCGACATAATACATCTTAAATAGTTAATGATATTCATTAGCGATTCAGATTAACATCGAAGTGTGATATTACTCACTGTTCCTCGTAGTCTGCAGATAAAATTAGGATAATAGGAAAGAACCACCGCGGAACGTTGTCAGGGCAATCAAACCACTGTCCAGTATGAGACTTTGATGCGAGCGAAGATAGGATCTTTGAGAATGATTCATGCCAAACGGCATTCTTGAAGTTGACCCAGCTGGGCTTGCCAGCTTGGTCTCTGTCCTCCTTCACCTGCGTCAGAGTATAAGTCCCAACCGCAGATATATCAATATTACTGTGTCATACAATCGGAAGCCATCCAACTACATAGCCGCTACCCACACCCTGTCCGTTACGAATGTTCGCGGGGAGATTTGCTAGACGTGCAACAACAGGATACCCTCTTGCGGTACCAAATGACGACAACCTTGTCTTGTCCGCATACAAAATGAAAGCTAAGGGCTTGCCGCCCGGTGGTAGCTGTGACTACAAAGCAAAGTAAGGCGATCAAAATTGACAGTGAGATTAAGTACCTACTTGAACATTCCAAAAGGTTTCGGCAGTGAAAGGTTCGTCTATGAAACGTACGAAGGTCTTGCCATCAAATTTCGAGAAGCGCTGCGCATCAAAAACCATGTGTGGGAACAAGCGAGGATCACGGAGAAGATCTGCCGCCCACTCCCAGAGATCCCGGTAGTATAGCTCGAATTGTCGAATTGAATCATCGTATGGTACAGATATTACATCATGAGTAAACTAAACTTAGTTGTTAGACAATGAATATCAGAATGAACGAAGGAAAAAAACCCCAGTAGTGCGATGGGAGACGGCTTCCCACCTTTCGCGGATGTCTTTGTGGTTCTTGAACGTAAATTTTTCCGATTGAGAAGCGCACCTGTTACACAACGTAATGAGACGATCAGTTTGATCATTGTTGAGACAGGCCTCCAGAGCAAGTTCGGCTATCTCGAACTCCAAGCGTGACTTAAATGGAGCCCAGGGACGTTTATGAGGTGGGGCAGAAGACGTTGGTGGACGGCGTTTGAAATCGTTGAAGCCGTGTACTTCTGGTGTGATCCCGCTGCTAGGATGGTGCTCGAGCTTGATGTCATCGACCTGGAACATGGGTTCCACGCGTTCAGGGACATCGGCATCGAGAAACGAGGGAAGATCTAGTAAAGTTTCGATAATGAATGTAAAAGCACATAATTTGAGCTCACCTTGGTATTCCGCACCATCCAGATCATTCCAAGTACCTGCAGGTGAGGTATTGCATTGCCCTGTTTCAACTTGAATGTATCAATTTAAAATCAGACTAACAGGCACTTACCTCCCTGTCTCGACACTGTATCAATGTGATCTCCCATCGTCCGTTGCAGATTCGAAGGACCCGCTAGCAAAATTAGACGTTGTAAACAACGAGAAATTGTGCGTACCTGTGTCTCTTCGAATAGAATCAACGAAATGTTGATTCTGCCGTTGTTTTTCGGCTTTCTTCTCGCAAGCCTTGCGGTGGGTGGTGTAGCCACGAGGTTTGATGTCCTGTTGACACAAGTCGCAATATCTTGTCCTCTCAGGGCCCATTTTGTGGATGGTTTGTGTGCTGGGAGAGATTTGGATGGAAAGAATAGGAGAGAACACTCAAAATGCTGCGAGGGGGGGAATTCGAGAATCGAGACAAATATCAATCATCTTGCATGCGTATTGCAACCGCTTGAAACCCCGCCATCAATCTTACAACATGGTTTGTAATCGTCATTGTAACACGATGTAAACGGTACCTGATTACAACCGACTTAGGAAATTTGCGACATATCGGAAACTTGCTAGTACGTTACGTTCCTGATGCTCGCTCGTACTTACAGTCATACAAGGGTGTCAATCACAGTTTCGACAAGTCCCCTCATCACGCCGTACTGTCTAGCATTAGCTAGTAGCAATAGACACAAATGTATGCAGATGCACTGACCTGCACGGACTTCACGATTCATCACACGTCCGATCTCATTCCTTTGACCATCTCGCTGCTGAAATTGACAACTCTCACCCGGTCCTGCTCACAAAGATGAAAATCTCAAAGCACTACGCTTGGACAATGCAAAGCACCTAGTGGCTTAATGGGTTGGTCGAATGACTGCCTGTTGCACAGCCCAGGCCGGTTGCGACGACAAAGACCTCCAGAAATTTTTTGGACCTCGGTGTCATGGAATTCGACATCCATGTCTGTCTTTACTCGATTCTCCACGCTGAATTTCGATCGATGTGCATATCTCTGGCAAATCACTATCCTGGTGTTCGCTCGATGCTGTAACAGATGATGAAGCATTCAAACGGATGTGGTTGCTTCAACAACAATGCATTCACGCGTTACATGACCCACATCCACTAGTAACCTCTACAAAGCATCCTTACGAATTCCACAAGCGTCTGTCCACTGAAAACCACAACTCTGCATGTGTTTGTCCATCGCAAAGCACAATGCCGCGACCACAGCAGGGAATCGTATATATACCTACCCTGATACCTACCCAGCACCATCATCCGCTCAAGTTGAATCGTACATTCACCTCACAAGTAGTATCCTCACCCACATTCTTATATAACCAATTATGCCAAAGGTAAGCCTAATCAGGCGCATACTTCGTGCATTGACTTGAAGACTAACTCTTATAATATTTAGATCTACGCTTGCTCTAGCTGCAACCAAACTTTTACCAAGTTCGCCGACTGCAAGATACACGAGGCTATGCATTCACCAGAAGAGTACGTGTTTCTTCCCTATGGCATGCAGCTCACGTTACTTATATTCGCTCACGCAGTGCGTACTTCTGCACCTGGGGCGGGTGTAACTTTGTGACGTTGCATAAAGCAAGTTTCCATATCCATACTGATGGGCAGTACGTGGTCATTCATCACCATCATCGATTGCACCTGATCAACAATTTTATTTTATTTTATTTTAGTACGGGCGAGCAACGCTACATCTGTCCTCATGATGGCTGTAACTACAGAACTCACATGCCTTCCAGCCTCAAGTACCATCGCAAGAAAGAACATGGGTTTGTTCCTGAGCCGCGTGGCAATCGTCGTGACCCGGCCCAGTCGTCGTCCCAGCCTCCGCCACCGGCAGAGCCCCTTCCCCTTGGTACATTCTACCAATACCAATACCAACCCCAACCCATGCAACAGCAGGCCATCCAATCCTGTCCCGCCCAATACCAACCCATGCAACCGCAGGCCGTGCAACCCTATCCCACCCAATACCAACCACAATCCACTCAATACCAGCCTCCCCCACCTATCCACAACCAGGCGTTCAAAGTCTTATACGGCCCAGCGGATACCGCGGACGACTACACCATGCATACCGGACCCACAAGGGCCCCTAATGGGTGGACTGAGGGATGCATGTGTCCTGAGTTGATGCAGAGACGCCCTTCGGAGATGCCAGGGTATGAGTATAGGCGTGCTTAGTTTTGCATCATCTCAAGAATCAAACGTCATTTTGCGTGTCTTTTTTCTTCTGTCTTTCTTCCTTTCCTGGTGATGGCTGTTCTGTGGTTTTTCGTTTGTTTGTGCGCCATGAACTCTGGGCACCCTTCCATTCGTTTATATATTTCATTTATCACTTTGCGATATTTTCTCTTTCTCGGTGGTAACTTTTCTTTGGCTTTTCGTTTGTTTGTGCACCATGATGAACTCTGGGCACCCTTCCACTCGTTTATATACTTCATTTATCATTATACCCTAGAGGCCAATACATTCTTTTATATGTAATCCGTTCTCAGTTGCGAGTGTTCACCTCCCTCAAGTTTGATTTAAGTGTGCTCACCACTCATTCCCCATGTAGTTGGGGAGCAAAAGCAATCAGTCAGTAGGTGCTTTGACACGCAGTCAGCAGTTCCAACAAAGTTCCAATAGATAGATTTAGCCGTGTAGATCATGTTAACATCGACATCAAGCAATGCACGAGAGGTCAGCAATATAAATATGTAATTCGATCTTGTGACCATTCTACTATCCAAAACGACTACTTAGGCCATCGTAAATCAGGAATATAATCGCGCTACTGGGTATTGATCGAGCAACAGTAATACCGCATCCAGCGTAAAGCCCCTTCACACCCTGCGCCCTGTACATTGCTTTTGCGGTGCCAAGGAACGTTGGCTTCGGGGCATTACTGCCTCGAGGACGCAAGTCTTCCTCAGTTTGCATCGTACTCTTGATGCTGTCGGCGGGGAACATGGAAAAGTTGAATATTCCGCCTGCGCATGCACCAGACAACGCAGATTCCCATGGGAGGATATCTTTCCGTGTAAGCTCGGAGCCGCGCTGCTTTATTAGCTTTGTTCCGACGAACTCTTTCGTAGCGAACCATGCAGCTCCGCCACCGCATTCACGGATGAGGGTGCCAGTTTGGCCAAGCCAAAGGCCGCGGAGGCCGTCTGTGCGGATGACGGACATGAGAACGGCTATAGGACCGGGAAGGGGGCGAGAAATGGGTGTCACGCTTGAGTCTAGGGCTGCTGCTGCAGTGGATTCAGGTATCGAAGCTGACAGCGGCTTGGGAGCAATCATCTGTACTTGCATTTTACATTTTACAAGTTCCACAGGTGTGCTAGTCAAAAACAAGAATCAATTACAACTCGTATACCAGGCGTGAGTGACTTACAGTAAGAAACTAGTGATGGCGCCTGCGCCTGCACCAGCCAATGCAAGCTGAGGTAACGAGAGATCGTGCGACAAAGGCTGAGAATTGATCCGTCGTATCACGTCTTGAAGTTCGCTATATGACAGAAATAATGAAGCATTCTCTAGCATGGCGGCTACTATTGGCGCCGGAAGGCCCTGGGACCAGTATGAGCTCACGCCGTTCTACTGAGTAAAGATCACATACGCGGTAAAGACCTCTAACGCCCTCATTTTTCCATGTTTTAACGAGACAGTCTATTGGTCCGTTGAATCTAGCGGTGGTATCGAGAACTTGAGATTGTAATCGCACTTTCGTCAAGTCGAATGGGTGTTCAAAGACTTTGGAGACCATGCCTGCGATCTGTATCACAGGAACTGGTTGTCATTCTCATAGGTCAATAAAATTAATTCAGCCTTGGAAACGCACACTCCCGAACGTGATATCCTTTACTGCTCGCATCGCAGACGGGGGCATTGAGGGTATGTTATCCCAAGATAATGGGTTGGATGCCGCCTCCATGTCGCTAACGAATGGGGTGATAAAGCCAGAGAAAGACGAGTTTCGAGAGTACTATGTGGTCAGCGCATGGAGGAAAAGCTGTATTATGCCCCATACCGCCGCTCGCAAGCGCTCGCATGTGAATTAACGTAGTGAGGCGTCCGCTTATGTAAACCACCATCCGGGTGGCCGCTTCGGTCTGGCCCGTTGGGGGACTTGCAGGCGTGCATTTGACTTGCGTACACATTTACAACATCTTCATTCAAACTTGTGATAGTTCGGATCACTTTTATGTCTTCAATTGGGAGCTGACGAGGTACTTACTATATGTAGTACATCAGCAGCTAGCCAATCAATCGTCACAGCCTAAGTGTGAGTGAAGAACTCACTAAGTCCTTTTCCTGTACTTACGCAATCACTCCGTATTACGTACACTTTCCTAACTGTTATCCTGCCTACTCACTTTCCCGTTCCCAGTCTCGGCGAGCCTCTCTTCATTGGTAAGATAACAGCAGTCTACAGAGACCAGCTGTTTATGATAGCGTACACAACAATTGCAAGTGGATGCTGAGGAAGGAAGCTTTTCGAGAAACTTCCTAGGGTCCAAGCGGGAGCAATCACGAAGCAGGAGCTCCCCAAGATGGATGGAAAAGCCATCAGAACAGCTGCTCGACCGACAGCTCGGAGTATCCGTATCTTGCAAGGACAGGTATGGTTGGGACTCTAGCTTCTCGTCTATCAAAGTAACGCCCGTCTGACATAATCTTTCGGGGCTTCAAGTCGTAAGTTGGGAGTTCCATTACATGCACAACACCGCCTTGCAGATTGACCTGTGCGATTGACTATCGACCAAATGACAAGCTCAATGATCGTCCATGGTAGCGCTTTCAAGTCTGACTTCCACGATGCCTGCAGTACTGAGCGAACCACGAAGAATATCCCACAACTAGAGTTCTTCAAGACCGGAGAACTGTCAAGATGGGATAGCACATACCAGGCTCGCATGATGGTGTTGAATATAGCCTTCATGCCAGGAACTCATTTGTTTGATGACGAATGGAGTATCAGATATCGATAAACTATACCCTACTTCTTGACCATCCTTTGCAGGTATGAATCTCTGGAGTGCTGCACCAATTCGCCCATAGTCGCCCACAGGAAAACGGGGGTAGTAAAAATTGTGATGACGATGGTCATTTCTGGTGAACCTTGATATAAAGCGATCGCAGGCAAGCGATGCTTTGAGGACCAGAAACATGCGAGCAAGGTAGAACAGGAGGACGAAACGTTTTGCGACAGCTACTCTTCAATACCAACCGCATCTAACGCATACGGTGATCTTTTGCACTATTCAATCAGAAGACCGTAAGGACTGGAATCCACAAACAGAGGGCTTACCGGTGTCCAATTAAGCCGTTCAGCGATCACGTAGGACATCAGGGATGCAAGCACAAGACTGTTCGTAGGAATGGATGATCACAGCGCCAACGAAGCCCCAAACTGTGGGTGTAGTCATGTTGTCGAGGTCAGGCCCTCCCCTGAGGGCTAGGATTCCATCTTTCTTACCATTTGTGCGCTTGGTAGGACATGCCTGGTAGTTGCAGAGCTGAATTCGAGCACGACGACTCCACATGACAAGTGTACGCAGAATATCAAACGATGCCATTGTAGGAGCATTACCAGCCGTTTTGCAGGACGTCACATATGGTTGAACGTTGAAGAATATTAACGTAGTGTAGAATGAAACAAGACAATAGCAGGCAGTTCTAAGCGGATATAAGTTTGCCAATAGGACGGTGACCAGTGAGTGAGAACTTGTGACGAGGGCCTGAGGCAGACTCACCTGGGTTGCCCTTACTACGGCTATGGGAATCCACGAGTGCAGCCCATCTGAGGCTGGGAGCATGACCATAGTGTCTGGCTCTGCTACTAGGTTATTCCTCGAGGTCTCTGTGGTGAGATAATGGAGTTTACAATAATTTCCAGCTTTCAATTTCCTCATAGTGTACTGCGCAGGAATGGTTCGAATGGTGGGGTCGAAAAATAGTGTTCCGCGCATGAGGGATTCTCCTTCTTTCTCTCGCAGCCTCCTCTCTACATAATTGCCGATATTGCTCTTCTTCCTGCCCTCTTTGTCGTATCTCCCGCAGGCGCAGCTGCCCGAGGGCCAGATGCTCTTCGTCTGCATTGTTTGCTAAGGTCCACAAAGCTGCTAATGATGGAGCTCCGTATTCGTCTGTGAGACCGTCGTCAATTGATTGTCGACGCGATGCTTGGTGTTCTTGCGACGTGAAGTCAGGCCCATGGTCAGATGAGGGTTTTCTAGGAGCATAATTGAACTAAAAACGATACAAAAAGACGTAGATCTAGTAGCCAATACTAAAACCGACGAGGTGCGCAGGAGCAAGAAATGATGCGCCACCTCGCTTATTTGCGGGGATTTAAACACCAGTGCTTAGTTAAATAATACTACAAAATGTATCTGAAGTCCCTGTTCTGCCTATCCGTCAGATCCAGGAATTCCTAGTGCAGACAGAATATCAGCATTGCATACGAAAAAAAAAATTGGAGGAGGCACCTTGTCGATTTTGACCTTCACGCGCTTCCCATCCTCAGTGATTCGCTCGATAACGTATTCGTCTACGTCGAAAACAGACTCTGCATCGCGAATTCGGTTCTCTCGGACAAGAATAGCACGGATGACAAAGAGAAGTGCCGGACAGGCGATGTCGCACATCCCAATCACAGCCCATGGGATGTGGTTGCTACACGTGATTGATGATTATCTTTGCTTCCTAGAGTCGGTTGAGTGACCTACCGCGGCTTATACTGTGCCTTCCACATCAAAGGGCCAACTGCGCTGCCAATGCAGTAAGCCGAAAGCACAGTGGCGTTAGTGACAACCTGCAGGTTGGTTTTCATTCGAGGAGCGACTTCAGTAGCTGACAGAGTGCCTACCTTCTTCGTATGGCCAGCAGTCACACTATTAAGCCATGACAACGACAGTACGAATGCGGGCACGGGGAATCCAGCTATGGGTAGATGAACATAGCAACGCACTACAAGCCTCACACGCACCCAGGAACTGGCCAGCAAGAAGTCCAGTCTGATATCGTGTGAGATGCGGCATTAAAGACGGCTCCGTAAACTCGCAAAAGTAAATCACATACCCGATTCGACCAAGGAAGCAGATTGACTAGCAAGACGCCCAACAACCCCGGAACGAAGTATATAGCACCAACGTATGCTCTGGAATTGGGCCGTCGTGCTGCAAGCCAAACAGCAGTGAAGACTGTCAAAATTTGAATCACACCAGGAACACAAGACAAGAGAGTCGTCTGTAAATAGTTGAATCCAAACGAAACGAGGATAAGTGATTGTTGGTTTAATAATGAGGCAGGCACATTGCATAGAGCCGCGAGGAGAGCGAAGAGCCATGTCTTGGGGTCAGTCAGGGCTTCGATCATCCTAGAGGTCTATACGTCAGACATGAAAAATTACAATTGCATCGAATACATACTGCTCCCTCTTAAAGTGTTTGTTTTCTACTCCTGTTTGGTTTTCCTGTGCTAGCTGTAAGATGCTGGTTGATATCGTAACTTAACAGGCATGCCTTGATGCGCTGCACAGCTTTCACTCGCTCATCGGGAGCAAGGAACCAGGCGCTCGTAGGCGAATCAGGGAACAAGAACCTTTTTCAGGTAGAGACGGTTATGGAGATGAGGCACTAGGAACATTTGCTTCGTAAACTCACCAAAATAAGATGGCAAGGATCATCGTCATTGTAGCGGTGATAACCATAAGCCTGCGATATATCAGAGAGAATCTGAAACAATGAAAATAAAATGGCAGACCATTGCCATGGTTCAAACCCAGAGGTGTGAATGTGCAAAGTACCAAAGCTGATGAAACCAGAGATTATTTGTGCTAGAAATTACTGGCTTGGGTGGCAAGATCGATGATACATTGCAGTAAGCGCACCAATGCCAAGCATCATAGCTAGGTTCCAAAATGTCAAATTAGTCGACTTCGTCAATCGTTTGCAAACAAAAGCTTACACCAATAACCAACCCGTAGCGTCTGTTCTGTTCGCGTGTAGAACATGGAGCCAACGATCAAGAATCCGGCGGTGATCGACCCCTCACATACGCCCAGCAACATACGCACGACAAAAAGCTGATTAAAGTTTTTGCACGCTGCATGACATGCAAGTGCAATTGCCCAGACGAAGATATTGATACTTGTATATGCTGTCATTGATATTCACATTGAGGACGTCTGTGAAGCCTACCTTATCCACTTCCCGACCGGGAATCTCTGAAGGGCAAGATTCTGGGGATACTCAAACAGAATATAACCGATATAAAATGCAGTGCCAAGCCTGAAAGATAGTGTGAGGACTATGCGATCTCGAGTAATGCATGTCTCACCAATTGAACCTGAAGTCAGTTAACCATGAGATTTTCGAATCTAAGGACAGTCGAAGGGATATCTTACTCATTCGTAGTCAGGTGTGTGGCCCGCCTGATAATACGCGTCAGCGCGCCGTGTTTGGCTGGTCTCGATGCACAGTCCTCACTGCATTCCAAGGATGGCCGCAGAACCTAAGGTTATCTTGTCCAGGATTTGGATACTATGCGCACGTAAGCGCTAGTATGTGGCGAACGCAGGCAACTAACCCAAAAAGAACTGCGCAGCAATCATCAAATACAAATGTGGTCGGTTTATAAAACTGAGTACAGCAGCCGACTCACCACACATCAGAGGCATGACATGTCTATCGATCTTCTTTCTGAAGCGAAAGGTTTTTGAACGATATTGAGGTGTATGCAGTTTTCAGAGCGCACCTTATTCTCAAAGCCTCATCGGGCTTAAGAGTCGAAGTCAACCCAGCAACGAGCTGAGCGCCAGTGTCAACTTCAGACACAGAGATCCCTATATAGTTCTTGTCTCTGGATGCAACGCTAGAGGATTTCACACTCATTTGAGAGGACGTGAAGGCGATATTGGCTACACAGTTCAGGAAGAAACTTCCAGCGCTCGTACTAGGTTGATAAGTGAGACTCGCCTATAATATTTACGCTATCTCTTTGCGTATTGGTGCATAACGTACGTGTCAATGAATCCCCGAGGTCCTCGCTGCTATTCCCCTTTCGGTTTCGAGTACGATGCGAATTCGAGCACGCGCATCCACGCACTCGTCAAATGAAGGATCATATACATATTTCCCTATCAAGATGAAATATAACAGAAAGATAAATTCTCACCAGATAATTATTCGTGGGCATGATGTGTCCAAGCGTTTCAAAGTTTGAGTTTGACTCCTCGTGTCGTTCTTACCTTAACGAGGCCCAATTCTGCATATTCTACTGCCGATACCCAAGATCAGTTAGGAATCCGGATAGATGGTGGCAAGAGCTGCGACTTCTTCAAAACTTTAACTCGCCACTTGTGGCACAGGCACTGCCGAACAAAACTGAGCGCTAATTTTCGCTTGTCAAAAAGAAGTTTGATGCTTACGGTGAGTTTATACGGCGCTGGTGATGACCGCCGTGCGATTGGTGGATTCAGAAAAGAGAGTGAAGATGCAGACGCTGACGTGGATATCGCTGCAGCACTACATGCATAGTAATATCTAGCTGATAAAACTTTATCTAGACGCTGATAAGATATCATGCGATGAGCGCTTAGTAGAGACACAGCTGGACCTGTATCATATTCATCTTTTCATTCATGGCAGATCCCGACTGATACCACAGGGCGATGATGCAATTTTCTCAGATCATCAAGCAGCGTATTGCATTTATGTAATGTTATGGAACTCGGCTTATAAAAAGGAAATTGCCTAAATTAAAAGTCTAGGTAGGTAACTTGAAACGACAAGTAGTATATAGATACAATTTGAATCTACGCCACTGGCTATGAACGTATCCTTCCATAGCCAGCACTTTGCAATCTAGAAATGTTACCAACGTACTTTAAGTTATAAATATTCGTCTGCCGACAGGAGCTAAATATGCCTCGTCAACAGATACCAGATAATAAACAACGACTGCGAATGAGAGCTGAACAAAAACGCCTTTTTGGGCGAGTCTTTGCCGAGTATCCACACCAGAGCTGCGGCGAATAGACAGCTTCCCATAATGTATGTGTTTTCGATGAAGGCCAACATAACCAGCATGTGACATGCCGTTAGTATGACCTTCGTTCTGAGTATAGAACCGAGAAGGACGGGTATAGTGGGAACGCCAGCCTTCATATCGTCTTCGAAGTCACGGACATCTGTCATGATCTATAGATATGGTCAGGGTCAAATCGTGCGATCATGTGCGTTATACTTACTGCGTGGCATGAGCGGTTGACGGTCGACCAGATTAACAGTTGAGCAACGCTCCATGGAGACGGCAGCGTGTTAGTCAGATTGCCTGACCCTGACAACACGGAGAAGACCACAGCGTAGATGCCACATCTGAAAAGCATTAGTTTAGGCGTTCATTATTCAAGGCGAACACGCAGACGTACCCTCGAATGATCCCATTAAAAATGGCTTTCATGCCAGGGATGCGTTTGATAACCAGGACAGGCGCAGAGGTAGAAGGCTGATGCCTGTCTCCGCTAAACCTCCCGAGGAGGCGCCTCGAGATCAGCCAAAACTTTTTGAAGCTGATCGGAGTGGTCCAGAGCAAAGCAGGAGCAACGAATGTTGCCGTGGTGAGGAGCGTCGAAATTGGACACTGAGATAGCGCGAATGCCAGGAGCACAGCGCTAGCGGTGAGGAAGGTCCGTGCATACAAAAACCAAGAGGCGAGGCGTGGGTCGTTTGCGTTATTGCGGTCTGACGAAAACTGCTCCTTTTTATCCTTAAGATGGTCAGCACCCATGGCAAGGATATCCGATGTAACACAGATGATTATCTGCGAAGACAATTGCATAAGCGATATGATCTAGTATCAAATTAATGAGCGTACCGGTCTCCAGTCGATACCTGCGTTGGCAGACATGACATAGGACATAAGGGCCGACAGGGCCAAGCTGTTCATCGATATTACGATGGGTCGCAAGAAGAGTTCATCTGCAAGCTTCGGAATTGTGAGGGTTGACATCTTGGATCGAGACTGAACGATAGACAAATGCTACTCTTCCCGGCTTCTTATATCTGGTGCATCTCCGTTCCGTTACTCAAAAGATTGGCACTGATCAATTTAGGTCATCTGTACGAGATTAGAATTAACGCTCGGACCTCGTTCATTCCTGTGTTTTTTCTGTACTGGCGCCACTCGGCGTTTGCTTTGCTTGGAGTGCTTGGTACGTTTTCATTCTGCAGGCTGAGCCAAAAGCAGTGCGAGAAGTCGAAGTTCTATTGTCCGGCTCGGGTCGTTCGCATATACGAACAGTGTCCTACAACAGTTGGTCATACGCGAAATAAGTATTGAGACACCCCCAGGTGTGCTGTACAGCACTTACATTCGAACATTTCGGCCGACATTTGAATTCCCAATGATCATGCAAAGTTTGCACTCAACGTTCTGGTTGCCTGTCGACCATCTGTTCGCATCATTAGTTGAGAAGAAAAACAAACCAGACTAGCGAACAGTCCGTCGGTGTCGTAGATTTGTTCTTGGAAAATGACTTGTTGCACCCAGCCATACCGAAGTACACCGTGAGTGAGTCACACGCACGACGACCGCCGCCTTGTACTATTTCGTCGTTTGTAGCAAATCTATTAATAACTGATGCCAAGACTCGATAAGCAAAGCCCTAATATGATGTCATTCGCTATTATTAGAGCGAGTCAGTAGTCGATAGACTTCGGTTGCGTTCCGGACGCGCATTTTTCGAGCTGGGAAGGATGAGGCGGTATATGTGTATTGTGACCCATTGGCAGAGCCTCAATCACCAGGAATGCCACCAAGTTGCGCCCAAGCTGATAAGGAGGCGGTGATGAGCAGGTGGTACTGAACCTTGGATTTTTCCGAGTTCGGTCCTAGCCGCACTGCCAGTGATGCCCAAGAGACGCCGTTCGATTTGCTGTATAAGCAATCTAATACTAACGCCAGCCTATATATGTAGACGCCTACGGTTCCATCGGGCTCCCGATCAAAGCGCTTTCAACAGCACAATGTTTGCCGATATGCAACCCGACACGACCGGGTCACTGCAAATATTGACCGACAACAGTTGGCAACGAGGTGCTGGTGAATGGATGTTTGCGAGAATATGGGTTGTCTATCGCCTGTACTGCGGCTTGCCTTTATTTTTATTAGCATGACATTATTGGTACTACCGGTACCACTAAGTTTGAGGAGTAAATCCGAGATTCATGTCCAATCAGTTCGGACATATGATAAGAACTATTAGCAGAGTCACACACAAAGTACTCACGAGCGGAACTTACCGAAATATATGACGAACTCCTCAGAGTGAATCTATTTGTCCATGCAAGACCATAAAAACTAAAGAAGCTTGTTGCCTCCTGCTCGCCAAGAGCTGTGTTTCGTCGTAGCCTTCAGTTTTCCAGTCCAACACAGAGCAGCTTTACACACAATGCTTTCGGCCGCCCAAGACTTCATATATCCGACGTTACATTTGAAGATAGGCCCACGTAGCTGCGATGCTCTGACCCGGGTGAGCGTGAGTAAGCCTCGGAAATTTTGGTGCCCGTGGGTTGGGTGCGGGTATGACCCGCGTCGACTCATCTCTCGGCTACCCCAAACATCACACATCCGGCTTTGCGCTCCGAGATCTAAGGCAAAATCTACTGCAGATTCAGTCTCGGGATCCAAATAAACTCTTACTTCGAGGTCGCCGTCTGGAATATGGATAAGATGAGTATCGCTGTGGAGTGGTACCCCAAAGAGGTAGCTGCCAGAAAGTGGCCACCGTGATCGGCGGATGCTCAACCGTGTTTGAGGATCACGTGAGCACCTCGTCGTGGTCACTAGGTTTGAGGATATCCACTTATTGGTGCACCATTAGAATTTGAAAGCAGCAGGACAGACCCTATATGCCGCAAAGCTACCAAATACCATTTATCAGAGATAGCATTCCAGGGCAATCAAGAATTCGTCGCTCACTTCGTCAGAAGTTCGTCTGCATGCCAACGCACACCGGAAATACTTTTAACTTTAGCTTCGTTACAAAAGTACGATGACACCAGCCGAGCTGTGCAGGTCAGCTCAGCCCTGAGGTAATGCCCGCCATCCAACTGATCTGTTGAAACAAGCGCTTCATTAGTCTCTTGAATAAGAACGAGGATAAGCGTGAAACATGTCAGATAGTATGTTTTGCTATTTCCCAGCTCAGATTCATCCCTACCGAAACGACTAGTGTCTGAGAAAGTGAGCCTACTTCCAACGTGACTTTGAATTGCTGCGTGTACGCCATGTACATTTCAAGGAAGCCCGCAGCTAATGTTGAGCTTTCTTAATGATTACATGTTTTCAGAAGACTGACTGAACTACATTCATTGAACTTTCAGCGCTCGATATTAGAACTGATTGACGACTCTACCAATGATGGGATGTATAATCGCGGCTTCGGATTCGTTACAAAACTGGTAAAAGTTACAAAGGAAATACCCACTCACATCATTATTCAAGGATCAGCCGGAACCATCTCTATCCTTGCTTGACCCTCTTCTGATTTGTCGTCGACAACTTCCAGGACATCGACACCCATCCCTCCTAATAACTCACCCAAAGGATACGCACCTGCGAACTCCCAATCAAGGACAGCTTGCACCTGCGTACCGCGCATGATGATATTCCGACCGTGAAAGTCTCCGTGCACGAGCACAAATGGCTCGTCTTCAGCGACGAAGCTGGTCTCTAGCTGACACTTCTTAACTCGTAGCTGCTGCACAAAATCTTCGACAGATGTGAGTTCGAAAAAATCGGTATCGATATCGGACGCGGGGGCATGAGTATAATAGTATATCTCTTTGTCGTAGCAAGCGAGAATGTATTCCTTTGTGGTTTCGTATGGACCGATGGGGTAGCATCTATTGGAATGAAATTTACCCTGTCCAAATGTGATACATTACTCGTCAGAAAAATCAAATGCAAAACGTGACGAAGACTCACCCGTCCCTTGAAAAGCTTGCTTCCCTCTACGGTCGGTCCAAGGGCATGGCTTGTGGGACTGGCAAATCCGCCTATAGCACTGAAACGCGTCCCCGCCATATCAACAATTATCTCAGCTATCTTCAGGGCGACTGAGTGTTTCTCCGCCTCAGTATAGCGAGTCCATATACTACTCAAAGGCTCGCCATCGATGTATTCTTGAGCAACAAATGGGTTCAGTCCGTCAGCGCGAAATGCGTATATCTTGGGGACTGGAATATTTGGACACCGTGCGGATATCAAGGATATGGAAGCGACCTCATTTAATATTTGGTGAGGCAGGAGAGTATCTGGTTTCGGAAGGCGCAGAGCAAAAGACTTGGATGTCGTGGAGTCGTCCCAGCCAGAGAGCTATACACCATGGGACTTTGACGACGAGGAAGAAGGGCTTCGAAGAACGGACTTGCCCAAGATATCAGGTATACCTCATTATATCCCCCTTCACCAAGCTTCCTGTCCACTAAAACCTCTGGTGTAGGTCTGTCTTTGGAGATGGCACTGGTTGCATCTTTGAGGGTTTGCTGTAGTACTGGGATGGACATTGCGCATGCAGGCCGTATATCATTAATGGTTCTCAAAGTCGAACCTTGAAAAGAATTAATAGCGAATTCGGATGCTGCCGATACGGCAGGTTTTGAACTCCGACCTGCCCTGCCGGTGTGCTCGACGTCGTTGCTGCTGGTGTCAACGCTGCCAAAGCTCTAATCTGATTCTTAATCGCTGTCAGTAGGAACACCCTGGATCATGTCAAGATCCAATCAAAGAGGTCGGACCAATACATCCACTGGTACGGACACCTCAAAGAAGTGTACTATCCATTGGGAGGGGGTCCGTAGTGCTCGTACTGAACGCCTACTTACCTGGTGCAAGGAAAATGAAGACGCACGCATCAAGCTCTTCTCCGATTCTGCAAAGGATGCCAAGGAGCAAGGTCGGAAGAAGAAGCAGAGTGGTACTTCGAGAGATGTTGTCTATTCACAGGTCGCACAAGCTGTATTTTCGAACGACGAGGATCTGGAGGTTCAACGACTCTTCAAGGAGGATCCCAAGGCATTCATAAAACCAGTTTCAACCCGTTTCGGCACGTAAGTATCTAGTTCCTGCGTCATCCGTCTTCCCACTGGAATCACTGATAAGCTGTTTCAGACTGAGAAAAAAATACAACGAATTCAACAAGGAACTCAAGCAGTCGGGAGCAGGAAAGACATATGCAGAGCTACAAGAAGATCCAAAGATGAAGTCTTTGATCGGTAAGTTTCAGCTGCTGTTGATCTGCACCTGTCCTAACCATGTCTCCATCAGATACAAAGCTCGAAAAATTTCCCTGGTGGCCTGAGCTTCATGGCTGGTGGCGGACAAATCCAGCCTTCAATCACGCCTTCTCTACTGCGGACGCAGGGCAAGATTTTGCATCTGCTGCGCTGGAACATTTCAATCTTTCCAAGCACCCAAAACCATTGGCTACAGTCGACGATGATGCTCGCACGGATGATGATCCTGAAGATGGAGAAATAGTTGAGGTCGGTACTCGCAGTGTGGATGATGGTGCCGTTGTAGATGTGACAGATGATATGCTGGTCGACCAGCCCCCCCGCATAGAATCACAATCCTCCTCGTCACCGCTGATACCTTTGGACTGTGGTCCTAGCAATACACCTGACTCGTTCTCGCTGCATCCATTGCCACCCTGGTACCAACGACCTCAGCTCCCTCCCATCTCAACTTCTGATGCACCTGGAGTGGTATCATTGAATTCTCCTGAGCGCTCACCAGTACGCAATCGAAGTGCCCCCGATAATCCACTGTCTGTTTTTTCCGATTTCAAAGATTCTTCACCTAGCTGTCAGTCTACACCTATCGACTCAGAAGACTCGGATATTGGTGCCAGCCGAGCACTGCGGTCTCTCCGTGTCAGCTCACTTAAAGGAAGTCGTGAAAGTTCACCTTCTCTTGCCGCAAAACAGTCTCATCCACCTACTCGAAGTGCATCACCTCAGTTTAGTCGTCCCCCCTCTTCATCACGCAAACGCCCTGGCAGCAGTGCCCTTGACCAGACCTCTGCCGCTGCAGAAAAAATGTCCCAAACGGCAGACTCTCTAATGAAGCACCTCGACAGCAAACGTGAGGGTCGTGCCGAGCACGAAAGCTATAAACGTATGAAACTTCAGGGCGACATTTGGGCTCGTGATCTCAAGGCCCGCAGTGCTCGTGATGAGCGGGAGCATGCAATGCGTCTTGCGGAACAAGACCATCTCCACCAGCAGGAGAGGATGACTCAACAAATTGAGTTTGCAAGACTCGAGCTTGAGCTATCTCGTGCACGTCGAGAAGAGGAGGAGGCTCGGATTCGTCGTATTGCCATGGAGTGTGGTTTTGAATCAAACTGAAGTAGGTCTATATTACCACTTGTTTTTAGGACTTGGAAATGCATACCATCTTGTACTCGATCTCAAGCGTGACTACACACAGCAAACGCTACAGGTTTGGGATAAGCGCTTTGAGTTCGCCGAGCTCAAGTGCAAATTTCCCTCATTGGGTACTAAGGAGGACGAGGAGCTTCTACTTGACAAAGGTTATGTATGTACTAAAGAGGACGAAGAGCTTCTACTTGACAGAGCAACCGCGTCTTTAACGCGTTGCGAAAATCCTGCCCTGCAGTTCCAATGTAGGTCTGATCACCTACCGCACCACCCTCTTGCTGATCATCCTCTCCTGCGTCACCATCAGCTCGCCTCAACCTCCGAGTTTGCTGATAGAAACAGACATTCGTGTCCTCATGGTTGGATTTTTCCTCGATTTCGATGATTAGATTGTGCAGAATGAAGCACGAACGGATCCACATGTTTGCGTAGTCGAGGTCCTTCTGACTTTGGATTGGGATGCGAAGCTCCCGCAGTGATTGGAACCGGCCCTTGATAGAGCCAAAAAAATGTTCTGAACGAACACGGACCTAGATGTTGGGTAAGGACTATGAATGTATATTGCCATTCCTACTCACTGTCGATAGGTTATAGTTGAACGTCTTTTGGTCCGGGGTCAAACACCCTCCCGGTGGCCGTTTATACGGTGGCACACACCAGGTTCGTGCAGCATATGCTGAGTCCGCCCACAACCACTCTCCTGCACCGAAAAACGACTCGGGATCCCGGGAAACTCTTGTCCGCGCAAATACATTTGAGTCGTGGAGACTTCCAGGTACACCGATGACATAGTCCACGATACGAAGGTTGTGAGGGAATATAATGACCTTTTTTGATTGTAAGTCGCTGCGCTGCACATCGAACTGACACTTACCTGCGCTGTTAGAGAATAGTCTGAATTTTTGTCGAAGAAACCCTCCCCGTGCCAACCTGGCTTCTCGTGTAAGGGAGACGGAGTCCCATCGACACAAAGGAAGCCTCCACGCCATTCATGACACGTCCTACTTTCCACGTAAGTTTTCGCCCGCTCTCGCTCAATTTGATCCTCGTGATCAAGTGAATCAAAATGAATGGCCCGGTCGTGAAGTTGCAGGATCGCAATCATCACACGTTTATAGCAATTGTAGACGGTCCCCATGGACATGCCAGCCCAGTCGGATATGTCTTCGGTGGTTGCGGCATTGCCATAATGGCCAGCGCCGTTGAGAAACATGGTGAGCTGTATTGGGACGGAGAGTTGGGGGTTATTCGAATTATTGTAGAAGATGGCGTGTCCTTGAATCAACTTTGTAAGTTCTTCAAACACATCCGCATCAACACGGAGCTTGCGACGGAATTTTTCAGGTGAGAATAGAGCCCACTCCTTCAGCAGGTGTAGCTGAGGCGCGCGACTCAGAGATGGACGGAAATCAAGGACCCGACATTTCTCCACCTCGTCGTGGAGTGCAGTGATTGCATCGGCAAACTGAGTAAAGACTCGTTCGCACATATCTGGGATGTCACGCGATAGGAACTCGGAGTATGCAGTTGAGAGTGACGTCAGAGAGTTGTCTGACAAGGCAGAGGTAATCGACGACGTAGGGGACACTGGGGATACTGGCCATGTTGGTGATGCGGTCCGTATACTAACATCCGAGCCACTACGGCCATTGGCAGCGCCATCAGATTCCTTATCAGAGTCTTCATCGTCGTCTTCATCTAATAGTTGATCTACCATAAACTCAATTAGTTCCATATAACGTGCGATGGTGAGATCATTGCTCGTTTTTTTGAGACTACGAAGCAGCTTCTTTCGATCAGATTCTTGGGGCATACTAGATGGAGTTGCAGAACGCTATAGCAGGTGCCAGGAGATGATGGTCACAGTACAACGTTTAGGGTTTATTTGTCAGCGTCGGAGCATCAATAATACCGGCAACTCGCAAATCTTTGACCTTTCAAAATTCTACGAAGTTAACTTTGAGAACCACTATTGCTGCAGAGTCCAGACAAAGAATATTTGAATCTCCGCGAGCATGTTTGAAGTTCATTGAGACGCTGCAAATAATAGCGCCTAAATCAAACTTGAGGGAAGTGAACGTTGATATTCACAACTTAGGAGGTATTACATGTAAAAGAATGTATTATCCTCTAGGGAAAACATCGCAAAGTGATAAATAAAATATGTAAACGAGTGGAAGGTGCCCAGAGTCCATTATGATACTTCAAGTTAAACAAACAAACAAACAAAGAGAAACCATCACCATGACCAAGGAAGAAAGAACTGGCAACACAAAATGATTCTCGATTCTTGAGACTAACCACACCTATACTCATACTCCAGCATCTCCGAAGGGCGTCTCTACATCAATTCAGGACACATGCACCCCTCAGTCCATCCATTGGGGGCCATCACAGATCTGGTGTACATGATAGTCGTCCGGGGTATCCGTTGAGCCATATATGACTCCCAACAATTGGTTTGGGTCAGGTGTGGGAGGTTGGTATTGAGTGGACTGGGGTTGGTATTGAGTGGGTTCAGGTTGGTATTGGGTGGGGTGGAATTGCATGGGTCGGGGTGGCATAGGTTCTGGTTGCATGACTTGGGGTTCGTATTGGTAGCCAAAGGGCAGGGGCTGTGCAAGGGGGAGGGGCTGTACCATAGGCTGGGATGACGAATGGGCCTCATATGATCCTATTGCAGGGCGTGCAACATGACTGCGCGGCATAGGAACATGCTTATGTATGCTTTTGTGGTGGGCCGTGAGGAGGGAAGGATTGTGAGTTTTAAAGTCACAATCATTGTGAGGGCAGTTGTGGCGTTGCTTGCCCGCACTAAAATGAAATGAAATAACATACTCAATCAGGTGAAATTAATGACAGTGATAAATGAGTGCATACTGTTTATCAGAATGGATGCCATAGCTTTTTTTAATCAGTGTCACAAAGTTACACCCAGGCCAGGTGCAGATGTACTTACTGCATGAGTGAATATAAGCGAGGTGAACTGTATACCATATGGGAGAAACACGTACTTTTTTGGATGCATGGCTTCATGTCTCTTGAGGTTGACGCGCTTGTCAAAAGTTTGGTTGCAGCCAGGCCCCCCAGTAGAGCAAACATAGATCTAAATATGACAAGGGTCAGTCTTCAAGTTAATGCATAAAGTATGTGCGTGAATAGGCTTACCTTTGGCATGATTGGTTATATAAGAATATCAGTGAGGATATGACTTGTGAGGTGAATGTACGATTCAACTTGAGCAGATGATGGTGCTGGATAAGTATTAGGGTAGGCATATAAACGATTCCCTGCTGTGGTCTTGGCATTGTGCTTTTAGGTGGACAAACACTTGTGGAATTCATACAGAGGTTCTTTGTGGAGGTTACTAGTGGATGTGGACCATGTAATGCATGATCGAAGCATCCACATCCATTTGAAGGCTTCATTAGCTGTTACAGCATCGATTGGACACCAGGATAGAGTTATTCTATGGAGATGTGTACATTGATGGAAACTCGATGTGGAGAGTTGGGTAAAGATTGACATGGATGTTGAATTGCATGATACCGAGGTCCGACAGAATTTTGGACTCAAATATCTTTGTCGTTGTGACTGGCCTGGACCCATGATGCGACAGGCAGTCACTTGACAAATCCCTAAAACTTTACATGTCCAAGTGGTGTTTCGAGAGTTGTCAATTTCAGTGGTGAGATTGGATGCATGATTGATAGAGTCCGTGCAGGTAAGTGCATTTTTTTTAGATTGCTACTAGCTAATGCTAGACAATACAATGAAATAATGAGGGGACTTGTTGAGACATCCTTGTATGAATGTGAGTATGAGTGAATGTGAGGGAAAGGTGTAATATAACGTACTAGTGAGTATCCTCAAGTTGTGCATTTTACATGGAAGCCAATGAAGTATGCATTCTTGCAGAGACCGTGCAATTATATGAACACTGACAGAGGTGCGAAGTTCAAACAACATTGATATTCAACACTGGTAGCTTCGTCATGTGTCAAACCCTTTGTAGCATATTTCCATCGGGAGAAATGTACAGCAAGCACAGCCTGAGATTGACCTCCTTGCGTCAAAAGGCCAGCCTCGTTAGCATTCGGATGTTGCATAACTGCAGCTGCTTCTCCACAGGCCAATTCTGTTGTGCTAGGAGGGGAAACAAGATTTCTTTGTAAACATATTTCCTTCAATGATATCAACAAGGAGTGATAGAAGCCACTTATATTTTTCTTGTGACCGACAGCTACATCAACGGTGTGTTTCGAGCTTTCTCCTGAAAATAAGTTAAAATTCTGATGTTGAGGCTGCAGCAGTATTGATTGTGGCACATTTGAAGGTTGAATGCTGAAATGCAGCAAACAGAGAGAATTGCGCCAATGAAAAGAAGAGGATGGGCTGGTAGGAGCTGCAGGACAAGGCTCAGTCCCAGAAGTCCTTTCCCTATACCAGTGTCAGACCTGCAAGAGATGAAAAACAAGAGATCATACTGACATATATCGCCAAGCCTCTGTTCATGCGCTGCTGCTGGGAGACCTGACTAGCATGCAAGATCTGACGAGACATATAAGCAAATGAGTAGGGCATTGACAACTGAGCATCTATCAATCGAACTGGATGTCCCTAGTAAAGAAGATACCATAAGAAAGAGAAACACAGAAAGCTTTCCCTGAGATTCACATCGGGTCTTGCTTCAGTCGCAAGCTGAATTATAACCAAACAAACATACTCACATGGTCATCCCTGTATGTCTGAGAGCTGCATCGAGGCTCTATACACATATCTCTACGTCCAATCCAGCACCGATGATATATATTCCATTAGGGGACATGACAACATGCATGAGTATATCGTGCAAGAGCGGTGTAGAAACAACAATACTGTGAGGAACAAATGATGCTCCTGACTGTATCTAAAAAATGTTGTAGGTCGTGCGTTGCCTAGTCTGCTATGCTTGAGGTGGCAAGCACGTTCGACCCTTAAGGGGAAGCAAGTGCAGCAAGGATCTAGAGATATGCACTGAAGCGAGGCATGAGAAAGCGCAGGTGCGTGCAAGGCGCGGGAACACGCGTGTGTATTAGCGCGAAGCGCGGGAAAGCACGTGCACGTGCGGAAATGATAGGGAGACTAAGCTTAAGTGATAATATAATGCAAGATAAGTGAAGAGAGGTGCAAAGTGTAGAGGAATAGATTTCTACTGCGACTTTCTAGGTTAGTAAGTAGTAGGTAAAGTGAGAGGTGAAGTTCAGTGGTAAAAAGTGGTGGGGAGTAGTATGTACTGCTGGCGCTTATATAGCGCCTAAGCGCTGTAATGTGGAGCTGAAGCGCTACCAAGTAGGTATGTAGATATATATATAAGTAAGGGTCCATGATAAAAATAAGGTGGAATAATATACAATGAGAGAAACAGAAATATACGCACTAGAGAACTTGGAGGACAGTGGATGGATGCATCTGGATGGCTGGCGCTATAGGGCACTCAAGCACGGGAAAGCGCGTGTGCATATACATCACGAATGGTGCGCGGGAAAGCTGTGCCTCGTATAGGGATAACTGTGGGTAGTGCACAGAGTGATGCTACAAGTTCGTGCCATGCGCTCCTTGGTGGAAACTGCCATATCACGCCATGAGAGGCATGAGTCTCTACAGCGGGTCTCTGACTGGCTGATTGGTCCTGAGGTCCCAGATACAAACTGAGTAGTCAGCTGCTGCGCCAACAAGATAGATTTGAAAGCCATTTTGTTAATGCAGTAGCATCAGGGGAATGATAGAAGGAGTGTACGACCATCGATTTGGATATTGCCCTTGAGCCTACCATTCTTCCGTTACTAGTCCAAGGACTCCCCACTGCACTCCATCTATTGTCCACTGACAAATCGAACCATCGCCTGACGCGCTCAGTATATTGCAGCTTGTGCCCAAGCAGGCAAGGCCCTGAATGAATTTGGAATGACCCTCGATGATGCACTCCGGCGTCAAGCTCCCTGGTGGACTGTTCTGGTGTTGGTTTCTTCCACAACATGATCTGGGTGTTGTAATTGACAAAGCAGGGCCTGCAAAGTGGTGAGATGTGCTGTTTGCAATGAGTCGTCCAGGATGATCTATGTTTCACTATGAGTTCAACTTCCTCACTGCTAATGGCATATTCTTCGCTCACTTAGTCGCACTCCTGGTAAAGGTCATTGCCATGAAGTATACGAGTGTGACATCCTGATAGTATACTCTATCATTTAACATCTTATGCTGCCATCGTTGAGGAAGCAGTTCATTCCTGCCTGTTTCTCGTCGCGTAAGTCAGCAGGTATTAGAATGCAGGCATTCACCTTCCCAAAGTATATCGTGTACCAGATGGTGGTGGATCCTTCTCCTTCGTCCGACGAGGTGCACTGACCACTGGTGAGCTCAACATCGCTCCTCTTTCTCCACCTTGTTGTTGTGTTGATATGCTTGACTTGGCCATGGCGCCGACAAAGAAAGTTTTTGATTGCTGCACTCTGTACAGACGCATTGACAGAGCTCAATGCCACGAATGGTGAATATTGTTGAAGGTGAGGAGAGATGGTGAAGGTGATGAAGAGACCTGCTAGATAGTCAGCTGTACATCTTGAATTTTCAGGCGCCTCTTTGAATTGCATCCGTGCTTTGAATGTCTGGGCAGTTCTCTACAGTTCTATAGATTGCCATACATTTATGCCAAGGAGTGACCAAGGTATGACAATGGCCACGAGGAGTCCACCAGATAACCGAGTGCATTTCTAATATTAGTGCAGATATCTTGGGGATTGGAGTATACAACGTGCAATGATCAAGGGTATGGAACTTTGTTCTGATGGGGGAGGAGAGTATCTGGTACTTAGTTTAGGAAGGTGCGGAGGAAAAAAAATTGGATGCCATGGAGTCGTCCCAGAGATTTACACATCTTTGACGGTTGAAAAAGGGTTTTGAAGAAAGGACTTGCCCAGGCCCGAGATATCAGGTATACCTCATTATATCCCTCTTGGCCAAACTTCCTGTCCATTGTAACCCCTGGTGTAGGTCTGTCTCTGGCGATGGTGCCATGGTTGCATCTTGAAGGGTTTGCTAGTATTGGACCTTGCACATGTACATCTTGCTGACAACCAAATATTCTAATCTCCATGGATACATTTGAAATTTGGAGTTCAAAAGTGTTCAACCCCCTATTAAATAGATTGAGACGGTTGATACACGTGCACAACCTTGCACCAACGTTGCTTGTGCACCTAGAAAATCTTGAACAATACAGAGCAAGACCATGCTTCCTTCCAACATGTTTTCTGCTATTGGGAGTTCAGCATCAAACTTGGATTCACTGCCAGATGACTTGATTTTGGAGGAGACTTTCAGACAAGTCGCTGAACTTGACCCCATTGATTTTGGTATTTGTAGCCTACACTTACCCAAGACTTATGCTCATTTGTGATGTTCAATCTTCAAGATCAATGTAGGGATGTGTTGAAGTTCCTTACGGAGCCAAACCCCACACAAGAGTCTGTGGTATGTTTGAATTCATGGGTGGAGCGCAAATAGTCATTTGATCATTGTAACAGGAATTTTCTGATGTGTATTATGGGGTATGCTCGACAGTAGAGCACATCATCGAAGAGAATGATACAGTACTAGGAAGGCCAAGGTTAGGATGAATATCTCACTTTTTATGACTAACACCACATCATCATAGATTGAGTTACTTTGAGGATGAACACATCCTCCTCGTCGAAAAGTTCACCAGTATTCATGAAGTTCCATTCCTTCACCTGGATTCAATATTCTGACCATTTTTGGTTGGTCTCCACCGCCGTGACTCGGACTACTTTATGTACACCACAATATCCAGGGTCCTTACGCTGCTCTATGCATCTGCTGTTCCAGACCTGTCGATTAAGATGAATGTGGTGACCAAGAATATGGTTCATGAGCCTAAGGTCCTTGCCGTCGGGGAATGTGCATTTGCCCAGGACACAGATTCAGTTCTTCAGAAACTCAAATATGAAATCGCCTGTCATCCGGAAGTCTCGATGGCCATAATGGTTGCAATTAAAGAACACCAACCATATCGCTCACCTGGACGTACAGTGGCTCAAAAAAGTGTCCCAATGTTTGTAGGTTTTCATGTAATTGTGTTATTGCGAGCCAGGGTGTGAGAATCTGACTAAGTCAAAGGGAGGTCCCAAAACGCTCCGCTTCTCGGCTACAATTATGTCCCCTATAGCGTGAGAATACATTGACGCCGTGCGAAGATATGGCTATTTTAATTAGGTGACTCATTGGGACACTTTTTTGAGTTTCTATTAAAATATGAAAATCAGATCATTTAGACATGACACCATTTACAAATATATATATAAATGGTTCCATATTGACAATATGGTCTCATTTTAATATCCTGTACATATATAAACCCTTCCAATAACATCATGTCCCTCATAATCAGCATGAAGTCTATTTCCTCTTCTCAAAGAGATAATACTGTCATATCCCATATATTCACGCTTCTCTTCCGGACTTCGGACCCTGAGATCCGATCTGGTCCGATGTATAGATCCGCTTCCGATCTGATTTATGATAAGCTTTCTAATTCATTTCCTGTTCATATAACGTTAAACACAGCCTATTCGGTATTTCCTCTTCCCAGTGTTTCGGTTATACTTATTACCGGTATGATTACTGATCCGTTAACCTATGTCTCATTTCCGACTCGCGTTTGATAACCTTTGCACATGCTTCGTACATAGCCTCGGACCTTTGCTTACTGATACTTCTGTTATCCTCATAGTATATAAACTCGTGTATATGTCCTGTAGTACCTCAGTTCAAATATCATCTTAGTTTGTCCTCTTTCTGTCCTCCGGACTTGAGTCCTTCTTACTCTTGTCACCCTCTGAGACTTCGGATAGATTCCGATAGTCTATATCCTCGGCTCTACCTTCGGGTAGTCTTACTCTGTTAGTTTCTAGTTCGGATACATCCGGATTAGTCTTATATACGTTTCCGATATCCGGAAGACATCCGGATATACTATGAGACCCGTCCGGACCTTCAGACACGGTATCGTTAGTACTTTGAAATAAGGGACAGTACTTGGGAAAGGGGCACAGCGTACGAGCTGAGGCCGAAGTCCTTCGGATCTGATCCTACGAGAGCACGACCTTAACAAATATCCTTTTTCTCTCCACCTCTGGTCTATCTATCAGGCAGATTGCCTCCAAAACTGGTCTGGGGAAGTCAACTATTGCCAGGGCTATCAACCAGAATATTCCCAACAAAGAAAATGTCAAAATGGGTCGTCCTTCTAAACTTACTCTGCATGACAAAAGAGCTCTTGTTCATCATATTATATCTGGAAAGGCCTCTACTGCTGTTCAAGCTACAAAATACATCAATTCCATCATCACTACCACTGTCTCCACTCAAACAGTCAGGAACACCCTCAAGGAAGCCAATCTTAAAGCTGTAGTCAAGAAGAAGCAACCCCTACTGTCACCAGCCCATAGGAAAAGGAGACTAGCATTTGCTTTAAAGCACCAGCACTGGACTATAGAGGACTGGAAGAGAGTTATTTGGTCAGATGAAACTAAAATCAATAGGATGGGGTCAGATGGTCAAGAGTATGTTTGGAAAAAGGCAGGAGATCCACTTGGAGAAAAAGAAGTGAAAGGTACTCTTAAGTTTGGAGGAGGAAATATGATGGTGTGGGGCTGCATGGGGTGGCATGGGGTGGGAATTCTATGTGAGGTGGAGGGGAGGATGAATGCAGAGCAGTATGTCTCCATTCTGGAGGAGTGTCTGCTCAAAAGCATGCAAGAATCAGGTATTGATGAAGAAGACATTATCTTCCAACAAGATAATGACCCCAAGCATACCTCAAAGTTGGCCACCAAATGGCTTGAGGACCATGATATTACTGTCCTATCATGGCCAGCACAGTCTCCAGACCTCAATCCCATTGAACATCTTTGGGAATTACTCAAGAGAATGCTTGCTACCTATCAAGACCCACCTAATGGACTATTTCAGTTATGGGAGAGAGTTGTAGTAGAGTGGGGAAAGATTGCTAAGGAGGAGTGTCAGAAATTGATAGAAAGTATGCCTAGGAGGGTAGCAGCAGTCATTAAAGCTAAGGGAGGAAACACTAAGTGCTAGAATTATAGAGATTATGTATAATTGATTCAAACTCAAAAAAGTGTCCCAATGAGTCATCTAATTAAAATAGCCATATCTTCGCACGGTGTCAATGGATTCTCACGCTATAGGGGACGTAATTGTAGCAGAGAAGCGGAGCATTGTGGGACCTCCCTTTGACTTAGTCAGATTCTCACACCCTGGCTCGCAATAACACAATTACATGAAAACCTACAAACATTGGGACACTTTTTTGAGCCACTGTATGTCAGAAGCATGGCAGATGCTACTCCAGGACACCCTTTCACGCTCTTCATTCCTTTCGCTTCAAGGTGTTGAAGCACAATCTCTTGATCAACCTGTTGTGGTTGCAGGCCATACATGGTGTCACCTCGCATCTGTTCGATTCCACATTTGGGTCCGGGGAGAGAAGCCGATCAATATTGATGTTAACAATGAATTGCTGGCATGTGGTGTAAGTATATCTACAAAATACTCATCCGAGTTGCTTTATTGATGCCTTTGCTGCAGACCTTGTCTCTGAACCAAGATATGGATGTGATTGATACCATGATCGAGAAGGGCATGGTGATGATGTGGGACTATATTGCAACTGTCTACCAGGAGGTAGTTCCAGGCAATCACATCTCTGCCATCCGAAACTCCGGTGTTACTTTCTGTGCAGATTGGGATTATCTGTTGATGGATCTGAAATGTGCAGTCCACGAAACAGCCTATGACCGATACCACTCATGGTATGAATCATCCCCGTGAAGTACCTCTACTCTCGATCACCGGACGCGCTCATAACCAGTATGAAGGCAGGTCTTGAAAGCAAGGAGCCTTATGTGTGGATCGTGACAGTTATGTAGAGCCAAAGGCTGCTGATTTTGCACGAGACCGTGCTCTTGATTGGTCCGTATAAAGGCCACTGTCCTTGCACTAGTGTTTACATCACAATCTGATCATAAGGTCACATTTATGCATAAAACATGTATTGGGACTTTGCAACTGCTGACTATGTCAAAGGACCTACTGACTGATTACTTTTCAACTACACGGGGAATGAGCGGTGATCACGCTTGAATCAAACTTGAGGGAGGTGAACATTCACTCAGCTTAGAACAAATTACATATAAAAGAATGTATTATCGTCAAGGGAAAACCTCGCAAAGTGATAAATGACATATATAAATGAGTGGAAGGGTGCCCAGAGTCCATCATGGTGCACAAACAAATGGAAAACCAAAGAACGACTACCACCAAGAAAGGAAGAAAGAAATCAAAAAGCGACACAAAATGATGCTTGATTCTTGAGATGATGTAGAACTAAGCACACCTATACTCATACCCTGGCATGTCCGAAGGGCATCTCTGCATCATCTCAGGAAACATGCATCCCTCAGTCCACCCATTTGGGGCCATTGCGGGTCCAGTATACATGGTATAGTTGCCTGCAGTATCTGCTGGGCTGTATAAAACTCCCAGTGACTGGTTATGGATAGGTGGGGGAGGCTGGTATTGAGTGGATTGGGGTTGATATTGGGTGGGATAGGATTGCATGGCCTGCAGTTGCATGGGTTGGTATTGGGAGGGATAGGATTGCATTGCCTGCAGTTGTGGTTGCGGTTGCGGCTGCATGCATTGGAGTTGATATGGGTATTGGTAGAATGTACCAAGGAGAAGGGGTTCTGCCGCCAGCAGAGGCTGGGATGACAACCAGGCCAGTGTAGAGACTCATGCCTCTCATGGTGCAATATGGCACCTTTCACTAGGAAGTTCACAGCATGAACTCGTAGTATCACTCTGTGTGCTATCCACAGCTATCCCTATATGAGGTGCAGCTTTCCCGCGCAACGCGCACCATTCCTGCGCTTCGCGATGTATACGCGCGCGGGCGTTCCCGCGCTTGAGCACCCTATAGCGCCAGCCATCCAGAAGCATCCATCCACTGTCCACCAAGCTCCCTAGTGCGTATATTTCCATTTCCCTTATTAGCATATTGTTCTGTCTTTATTTTTATCATGGATTCTCACACATATATATCTTTACATACCTACTCGGTAGCGCTTCAGCTCCGCATTACAGCGCTTAGGCGCGCTATATAAGCGCCAGCAGTACATAGTACTACGAACTTTCCAAACTACTTTTTACCACTGAACTTGACCTCTAACTTTACCTACTACTTACTACCTAGAAAATCACAGTTGAAATCTAATTGTCTATACTTCACATCTCTCTTCTCTTGTCTTACATCATATCCTCACTTAAGCTTACTCTTTCTCATTTCCGCACGCACGCGCGCGCTTTCCCACGCCTTCGTACCTTGCGCGCACCTGCGCTTTCTCGCGCTTCGCTTGAGCGCATTGTCTTCTTAGATAGATGATCTATAGATAAACACCTATAAAAACAAATATCTCCACGGTCAGCAATTCAGACAAATACCAATGACTGATAACGTGGTCGTTCGTGGGTGGCTAGTTGTATACTACCCAAGGTATGTTCAGCTAAGGATACTTCTGCAAGATCAGTAATACGATGGTCAATCCAATCTATGGACTTTGACAGGAAAACAAACAAACAATGGTCAGCCTGACAGTATGGCAATGACCAAAAGAATATACGGGATTCTTCCTCAAGTTCCCTTTCAACAACAGTGCTTCGTACCAACTATACTCCAAAGAAATGGTGCAGAATTACAATGATAAACCCCCTCAGCACAAAACAGGTAGAATCAAAGGTCAAGACTAATCAGATGCTTTATTGTAGAACTCTTAGCTCAATATTGAACCTGCTGTCAAGGAACTCTTCTTTGAGTATTCAAACAGACTCAGGAACGGACGTCCTTGGGTTTACTACCAAGTCCCCTCTTCAACGGCTAAAGCCTAGCAGGCACAGAATATCTTGGCTCAGTATCGCTACTCAGATGAGTGAGGTCAAGCTTCACTATCAATTCCTAAAGTCTCCCCACTATGCTACTTCTGAGTCTTAGGTGGACGTAGAGACAACACGAATATTTTGGAAATATATTTCTGGACAAAGACCACCAAAGGTTGGTGAAAGTAAAAGAAAAGAAAAAGAATAATAGAAATCAGAATATAACTGTGGCTGTACCTTGCTTGCTGGTTGTTGCACACAGTGAGCTCACAGCTGGTCGTTCAGTATGATGAGCTTGCAGTATTACTGTCTCTTGAGAATGTTCCTCTCAGTCTTGAAACAGTTCTTGACACTGGTACTGACACTTATCACACCTTACTCACAACTTAGTGTTGGATGGGCTGAAAAACACCCTACTATCTGCTGCTGTTCGCTTTTTTTTATTTCAAAAACTGGGGTCATTATATACACAATAAATGTGGCTGTGCTACTAGTGTATTCAAGAGTCATCAAGAGTCATAATGAGTCATAGTGAGTCATATATTCAGAGGGAGTCATAGTGAGTCATTGGGTATTTTGCTAAGTCATGTGACCTGTCCAACCCCTGATGACAAATCCAGAAGGAGAGTAAGAAGTGTCACATGATATGAATCCTGTGTGTGGCTGTCTTTGCTTTGCTTTGTTTGAAGGGTGAGAATGACGCGAGCCTAGTATTTAGGGGTTTACTAATGTTTTTCCAGGACAACATATGTGGGAAATATTTTTCACAGTCACCTGACATGTGTGGGATTTTGTCTGAGTCATCACCATGGCTGACTAAGCAAAACTCATCGCAGAATTAAATGTACTAAAATATTCAGGCTGCTGGTATACAGACTTGGAAAATAAAAAGAAAAGCAAAAAATATTCCTTTAGCCTCAGTCCAACTTCAGATAAAAGGGAAAAGGGTTTCATAGTGGTATTTCAGGGTATATGACTCATGAGAGAGTATTGGTCGTCCATGCACCGAACTGGTTTGGTGCAGGTCAGCGTACCTCTAGATCTTCGCTGCACTTGCTTCCCCTTAAGGGTCGAACGTGCTTGCCACCTCAAGCATAGCAGACTAGGTAACGCACGACCTACAACATTTTTTAGATACAGTTAGGAGCTTCATTTGTTCCTCTCTGTATTGTTGTTTCTACACCGGGTCACAATGATTGCACAGCCGAGGAACATACCCATGTTCTTTCTTGCGATGATGTGTGAGGTTTGAAGAGGTGTGAGCTCTGTAGTTACAGCCATCATGAGGACAGATGAAGCATTGCTCGCCCATGCTAAAATGAAATCAAATAGAATTGTTGATTGGGTGGAATCAATGATGGTGATGAATGACCACATACTGCCCATCAGTATGATCATTGAAGCTTGTTTTATGCAATGTCACAAAGTTACACCCATCCCAGGTGCAGAAGTACGCTCTGTGTGAGTGAATATAAGTTAGGTGAGTTGCATACCATAGGGTAGAAACACTTACTTTTCTGGTGAATGCATGGCCTTGTGTATCTTGCAGTCGGTGAACTTGGGAAAAGTTTGGTTGCAGATAGAGCAAGTGTAGGTCTAAACATTACAAGAGTTAGTATTCAAGTTAATCCACGAAGTATGCGCCTGATTGGGCTTACCTTTGGCATGATTGGTTATATAAGAATATGAGTGAGGATACCACTTGTGAGGTGAATGTACGATTGAACTTGAGTGGATGATGGTGCTGGGTAAGTATTAGGGTAGGTATATATACCATTCCCTGCTGTGGTCGTGGTATTGTGCTTTGCGATGGACAAACACATGTTTTCAGTGGACAGACGCTTGTGGACCCCACTGCGGTTGTAGTATTGAGCTTTGCGATTGGCAAACACATGCAGAGTTGTGGTTTTCAGTGGCCAAACACTTGTGGAATTCATACAAGGATGCTTTGTGGAGGTTACTGGTGGATGTGGGCCATGAAATGCACAAATGCATTGTTGTTGAAGCAATCACATCCGTTTGAATGCTTCATCATCTGTTACAGCATTGAGCGAACACCAGGATGGAGTTATTTTCCAGAGATATGCGCATCAATCGACATTTGACATGGAGAATCGAGGAAAGACCGACATGAATGTCGACACTGAGGTCTGAAAAATTTCTGGAGGTCTTTGTCATTGTGACCGGCCCGGGCCATGCAACAGGAACTCACTTGACCAATCCTTTAATTCACTAGATGCTTTGAAAGTTCGGTCCTGGTATGCATGACCAGGCGAGAGTTGTCGATTTTAGCAGTGAGATGGTCAAAGGAATGAGATCAGACGCGTGATTGATCAGAGTCCATACAGGTCCGACAGTGCATTTTTGTCTATTGCTACTAGTGAACTTAGCCTGCAGTACATTGTCTTGTTACTTAAGGGTCTTATATAAAAGTTGTGTATAATGACAACACAATTATACACGGTGAAGACTTCTTGCCAGTCCTTAAGTCCACGGTCTCCGACTTTTCTACTTTGTGGGAGGTAACGTGGTGAGTTCTTGGGAGGATTTAGTTTGTTGTCCTCTTCTTGTGTAGTCTTATACAAAGTGTTGTGGAATGTTCTGTGTTCTGGATAATTCGTTAGGTTTGTTTCAGCCTAGTAGGTCGTGTTTTAACCTATGAAAGTCTGTTTCAACTTTGTCGTCCTTAGATATGTGTCTCACTTTCCGTTGAAAGAGAGAGTCTTTTGTATACACGTAAAGCTTAAGAATGAGAGCTGTTCAATGGTTATATAGTCAACCCCTGTAAGGTATATATATAACCTAGAGTAGAATAACGATAATGAAAGTTATATAGTCAACCCCTGTAAGGTAGTATATAACTTTAGAGTAGGTAATGATATCTTAGATTACCTCAAGGCACTTATATTGGCCTGCACTTTAAGTCTTAGTGGTCTCACACTGTTTGAGATAAGAGTCAAGTGGGAGGATTGTATTTCATGGGTGAAAATGGGGTCCTTTTATACCTTTTGGGAACCCCCTTACTAAGCATGATTAATCAGATGGATTGGTAAGAATGTGGCTTACAAACCAGGTGATGAATCAGCTTATTACTAAGTACATTACAAATACAGTGTAATCTTACAAAGAAATTACAAACCATGACAAACCATGAGTGAACATGTTGAGTCAGCTTAAATAATGTTACAAACCAGAATATTTCCCAGTCACATGATGTGATGACAAATAAAATCTGGTGGCTGAAAGAAGCCAAATAAAAATAAACAGTCAGAAATAAATAGAGATACAAAACTTGGTGGCTGAAAGAAGCCAAATAAAAATAAACAATGAGAAATAAACAGAAGGTCACATGCTTGATACAAATACAAGTTAAAAATAAGTCTGAAAAGTGAGAAATAAAATACAAGACAATGAATCAAAGGAAAAATGGAGAAGTAACTCAGTGACAGAGGGCTAGACAGTCTCTCATATCTTCCTTATCACTCTCTATATATATCTGACATGGTATGAATCACATACCATGCATGACAACGTCGATGGGGCAAAGAGGGGATTTGTTGTGTCTGCAGTTGACACCCTTGCATGAATATAAGCATCGTTGAATATCAGGAACATAACTGTTACAGTCACTACATGAGCCCCCAGCTACAGATATGCCCTCTGCCACCCTGCACGGCAATGACACGATAACCGGGCCTTTAAGGCCTTGATGACAGATGACAGATAGAAGAGAAGTCCGGAAGATGCCGGATTAGGTAAGCGATCTGGATCGCTTACATGATTATGACGACATAGGTCTAGAAGACCTATTTATGTTATCAAGATAGAAGGCAAGCCTCGTGTTGCCTCATGTACTGATAGAAGGACGACCACATGTCCTTATCATAGATAGAAGCCTGCCTCATGCATGGTATCTCTGACTTGATAGATAAGCACTTAGAACCCAGCTTCAAGCTGAGCTTAGATACGATAGAGTAGCCTTATATAAGGTCGACGATTAAAGTAGATGCTCCTTACTTTAATCTTACTGGGTTTTACCTTGAACTCCTTGTCCTGCTAAAGCTACTTGCTCAACATTTGATCCGTACCTTCAGAAGGACTTGAGACCCCTTCTGCCTGTAACTGCTATTATCGCTTGCCTCCGCAAGTGTACGCAACTCCTGCTCTTCTGTAGGAGCCGACCTTGGACTCTCAGTACGAGATATCACGACAGTGATCGTTGCTGTTAGATTATCCCAGTTCGCACGCAACTACTGTCGTAACAATAACGTACCAGCAAGTTTTGCGTCCAAGTATGCCTAACTTGACATTGTGTCATTTACAACTACTAAGCGATAGTAGAACTTCATGGGAGCGGCACTGTACCTCGTCAACAATCTTTCCCAACCAGCGCTTCCTCAGGCTGAATCATCGAAATCGTGCTCTCCAAACTCCAGTGCCTCGTCGAGGTACTTGTCATTGTCATCCCAAGCAAAGCCTGCCGGTCATGTCTGCCCTTGAAGAAGTAGATGCTTATTGAACTCTCGCACCAGGCAAATTGGACTGTACACCAGCACCCAATCCTATCACTCACCCAAGCTCAGAAAGATCAGGAGCGATAGAAGTCATAAGCAGAACTGACTCATCACAATGTCTGTGCAAAAGATGTTATATAGCATGTCTGTTGATTTCTATTGAGTGAATGAAAAGTGACTGGACTTCTCTCGACTACTCACAACCAAGACCTTCGCTTCTCATGTCCTTCCACCAGTCGCAGGTTACTTCGTCACAGTCTTGTCCTACTGCCCCCAACACAGCCAGTCCACATTGCATTATGGCCTGTCACTGCGATCCTTGCATTTCGTGCGGCGACATCACTAGACATGTGCATGGAGCAACCGAAACTTGCCTTTATGAATATCGACCTGCAGGTGAGTTCCTGTCGTATTTGCATTAACTGCCACACCATTGAACTTATCTCTCAGCTATCCATGTTTCGTATTGCAGTATGCACCTTTGAATGGACAAATGGAACCCTTTATTAGTGTGGCTCGCCGATCGTCAACCGACATGCCAAAGCAAAATCTTGTGCTCGATGCAATTGATTTGGTATGCAATCCTCAAGGCTGTGGCTAGGATTGGTCGCAGAGACTGTACATCCCACCTGAGACACATCCTACATCATCAGGATTGGCCTTTGTTACATCCGCCCTAGTTTCTGGTCTAAAGCACTCATTTCTGTGGCGTAATTCACTCTGCCATGAAGTCTTTCTCTCCAGATACATTTGGATCTGTTGATGGTGGTACCATTTTCGACGACTCACTTTCCCCACACCTCCATTATTTACGATCAAGCATCATCGCAATGGTATGTGCATTCACCATCTACTCATTAATCAAAGCCAATTATGAGATCACCGTAGTTATATGCATACTGATATTCAGGCAACATCCAGAGCAATCCCCCCCCTCTTAATTGACTCTTCCTGGCATGCCACCTCTCTCAGAGAATTCTGGAACCATCGCTGACATCAGTGGTTGTGTCAGATAATCATGTTCCTCGGGGGAAACCCACTTTCTCTACTCTTTGGGCGTATTGGGGGTGTCATAGGCACATTTCTCGTCTCTAGGTTTATTCATCACCTCACACTACTCCCCTTTGACCCGTCCTCGGAGATGTGGCGCATGATGCTGCCATTTGGAATGATGGGCACTGGGATGGTCATTGAGCGTGCTGTTTCGGGGAATAAGACAGGTGACTGGATGGGATGGATGTGGACAATGTGCTGGATGTTGTTGTGGGGGAATGTGATGGTGGATGGGTGGGCAAAAGCTGGGATGCTTGGGAGTCTGAGCATTTTGGATAGTGCGACGCCTATAAGGCAACTGATTGAGTGGCTGTTTGACGAGTATCTGCATGCTATTGGCAGAAAACCATGATGGCAGAAATCTGGAGATATTTCCAGTAGCTGATGCTAAAATTGTGAGATATGAGAGCAGCTAGTCCAATGAAAAATTCTGAATGCTGGTGGATGACATCCATTGACATACATACCAGTAGTCTGTCCCACGTAAATCATTTGTATGCTCCAGCACGCCTCCTCAGTGTCAAAGACAGCAGACTCAAGCCCAAGTCTTATCAAGCTAGAGTCATCTCTGTCAAATTTAATTCGGCATATTGCAACTCAAGTATTGATATAGGCTCCAGGTCAAGGAACGCAGCGCGAGCATCTGCCTGAGGACTCTATGATTTTGGAACAAGCTGAGGGCGTCTCTGAAATGGCCGGTCTGGGACAAAGTCTGGGAGCAAGTCTGGGACAAAGTATGGGACAAAGTCTGGGACATCGGCAAGCCCATCGGCACCTCCAAGCGGAGTATGAATAATTCTGTATCCGTCACTCTTTCTCACACTTGCTCACTGTCTGCAATGGCACCAAGGACTGACTTCCATCACTGTTCCTCACGCTTCCTTAATGTCTGTAATGACACTAAGGACTTACTTCCATGGTCATTGCGAATATTTTTGCAGCCATACAGCAACAGAGCGAGCTCATTACTATGTCATATATTGATTCGGTCCTTAACATTGGCACCTTCAAGCGGAGTATGAATGTTTCAAAAAGGAGAGGGGCAGGTAAGGAGATGGGTGAGCAAGGAGAGTGGCGGGCAGAGTTGTGGTGGGCAGAGTTGAGGCGAAGCATGAACATGCAGCATTAATATTCCAGTGAGATGTTAGGCAGCAGTGACGGCAGGCACGTTGGCAGGATTGATTGACATGGTTGTTTGAAACATCAAATGGAGTTTGGATTCCGCTCGGAGGTGCCGATGTCCCATACTTTGTCCCATACTTTGTCCCAGACTCTGTCCCAGACTGGCCAAATCCCAGACTCCTACCCAGTCGGCAGTGTGTAGAGAGCCACATCCAAATACAACCACACATAGTTTTTCCGAACTAATTCTGACTTCTTGTTAGGCTCTAACACACATAGCCAACTAGCACAACTTGACGTAGCATAAGATTATGGTTTGTTTGTCTCTCCATAAAATCTAAGTTTCCAGCGGTCGGAAGTTGAGATGTCAGTATTAAAATTAATTCTTTTGAGATATGTGTCAATATGCGTCATTCTTTGTGCTAGTAGTGTCATGTCGGCCTTGCAATATAAAGTCCCCGCCTTCAATGATCTCAAGAAGCTCGTTGAAACTTCATTCAGATTCACTCCATGTACCTGGTAGCTCGACTCAGCTCTATCTCAGCTCCAGAAAAAAGATGTCTTTACCATCTCACCTACGGGCTCTGGCAAGACTTTGACATTCTGGATTCCAATGCTCTGCAATGATGGTGGAGTCACCATTATCATCACACCATTAAACATACTCGGTGACAAGAATGAGACCGAAGTTCGTGCCATGGGCATCAGTGCCATGAACTTGACAGCCACAACTGCAACAGATGAGGTATTCAAGGTCAGTTTTCATTAGTTAGGACTTGAAACATCAATCAAACCCTCACTGATTTATAGGATATCGAAGACCTCAAATACCGTGTGATTGGTGTCAGTCCAGAGCGTATCCTGCAAGACCAATGCTTTCGGATGTTATGGAAGTCGAAGAAGTTCACTGGAAAGCTGTTTAACATTACTATAGACGAAGGGCACTGTGTCAGCGAGTGGGGAGATGGATTCTGACCTCTTTACAATGAACTGGGCATTCTCCGGTGGCTACTACCATCGCATGTTACTTTTCATGCTGCGTCGGCAACCATGCCTCCACACATTCTCAGTGACGTGCAAATGAAGCTCTGAATAAATGTTAACAGGGTGGTCAAGATTCAGCATTCAAATGACCGACCGAATATTCAATTGATGGTCATGCTAATGCTTTACCCCAAAAACTGCTTCCATGATTTGGATTGTATCCTCAATTTCGATGCTGGGCCACCAAAGAAGTTCATGGTTTTCGTCAATTCCCGATGAATTTCTGAGCATGCCGTTGAACACTGCTGGACTCAATTGCCTACTCACCTTCGCAACAAAATCGTTTGGTTCCATTCCAGAATGACAATGGAGTTTCGCACTGAGATCATTGAGAAGCTTTGCAAAGGCGAAATCTGGGGAATCTTTTGCACAGATGCAGCAGGGATGGTAAAGTCATTCTTTGTAATTGCCATAGTGACATAGACTCACGGTTCACATACATTTAGGGCCTCGACCTTCGAGATATTCAGTTAGTTATCCAGTGGGGCTACACTGGATCATTGTGTGCACTTATGCAGTATTTAGGACGAGCCGCTCATGACCCTGCAGTGACTGCAATAGCAATGTACTTTGTCGAGCGAGAGCACTTCAACACTTACAAGGGCAAATGGAAGCAACCTGCCAGCTCATCAAAAAAGTGGCTCTCACAAAAGAGTGCCAAGGTCGTCAGAAGAGGCAATGGTAATCCAACTGAAAGATTGTAGGATGAGAGTGAAGGGAGTGCTGATGGAGATAGCACGGATGATGATGATATTAATGACAAAGATGGTAGAAATGGCACAGGGAACAATGCGGAAGGACCAGGAGTCTCACAACAAATACTTCCCACCAGCCTCGATAATGAGGAGTACGAAGCAGCTGCAATGGCAGCATTCATCAATGGACATCTGTGTGGGTTCTGCTGTAGGAGGGTGGCAGACAAATACTTTGACAACACTGCAGGTATAACTTTTAAATTGATTTAAAGTTGTTGATGCTGAATTGTTGACAAAGTACGAGAAGCACAAATGTGTTGTCATTGTTGCACCCCAGATTGGTCACACGTGTGCTGTGACATATGCAGTGACGCAACATTGAGTGTCAACTTACTTCCAACACAAGCTCCATCGTCAATGCAAGCCAAATGCAAGATCAAGATTCCCGAACACGAGATGACATCTGGCGAGCACCGATTACGGGAGAAGTTGTGGGAATGGCGTAAATTTCAGATGGTGGAAGAAGGTCTTGACAGTGATGTCTTTTTCGGTCCTCAAGTCATCATGTCAAACAAAACTCTCGACTGGATTGTTGAGTTAGCATATGGGTTGAAGCTTCCTGATGTCACATCCCTCTGTCAGCAAACTGACTGGTGCCATGTGAACGAGTATGACACCAAAATCATCGATATAGTCCTGGCATGTATACCCACCCATCCAACTCCAGCACTAGCACCCTCAACACAGCAAAATCTGTCAACACCTAGTTCACCTCAGGCTGTGGCTCCATCAAAATGGCAGAATCGTTGTAGCGCATGTCTAGGAGTAGGGCACAATGGGTGAGTGTCCTGACCATCACCAGTAGTTTAATTTAAATCGTCACTCCACAGCAAGAAATTGATTATGTCCAATGTATGGCACCAAGAGCTGCCAGTCAAACAGTGAGAACATTCCTCCTGCCCCTGCCACCATTCTCCCAACACCGTCTGCTACTCTTCAAGTCCTTACATCGTCGGACATGTTTTCATCTTCCAATATGAGGTCAGTCTATCAGATCTTCTGGTTCTATGTCATCCGTCTCTGCTTCGTCTACCATACTGACTTTCCTCTCTTGCATTAGTGTCATGCCAGCAACTACTTGATCGGGAATGCTGCGCAGGGCTGACCGTCCAGGTTTGAAAATATGCAAGTGCTTTCTTTAATGCATGATGCGAGGCGCTGAATTGTTTTCGTCATGTCAGGTTGCGCATGTCGGATTGTGCAATGAGTCAAGTGGAATGTGTTTTCGACGGTGATGTGGCAGTTACGATACACTTCAATAAGAGGCGACTGCTTGATGATGTGATTGATTGTGCAATTGGGACCTGTTCCAGCAAATATAACCTTTCATACAGTTAAATCTCGTGTCTGGCCGTCTGAGAACAACTGACTTTTGTGTACAAGTTGTTTCTCTCTACCAACCAGTCAACCAGACAAAAGGACAAGGATTTTCCCATTGGATTACATAGTAAGTTCATCTGGATTATCTTTCTGCTTATATTGTTGAACTCCTGCCCCTAGTAGACATTGTAAGTCACGCACCTGAGTTCAACAGGGTAGTTGTATTGAAGGTTGGTCAGGAAGTGCAGGATCTGTACTGCATATTTATGCTTCCCCGTGGCCTTGAACATGTATATCCATGGCAGAAACGAAGCCTCTACTTGACCAATATCTCCAGCATTCATTGCTTGACACAGGTCAATATACAGCAGCTCATCTTGATTTCGAAGTACTTGGTTTTCAAAATGCCTGTCTCATTGTTCCTTTGGCTTCACACATGCACAGTCAAGTGTATCTGTGCGTGCAACATACTTCTGCACAATTGTATGTGACATACTAATGATAGCATCCCAGGACAGTTTTGAAGCTGCAAACAACTCTAAGGTCGTCCACTCATGGTTTACGCTCTGTGCTTCAAGTCGCCAGCAGTCAAGCATCGATGCTTGAAGGTCGTGATGTATGACTTCATGCATACGTCGAAATCCAGGCTTGCTAACCATCTTCTTGGTTTCATCTGGTCGCAGGTACCCCACTGACTGAAACAGGCTATTCTCGTCATCCCTGCCTTCCTTTGGCTGAAGATATATATGCCAGAGTGCATCTGCACATGCCATCTTGTAGTAGAAAAGCCCAGGAAGAAAAACAACATACTGTAGGCAGTTTTTCGGTGTTGTTTCGATTATCCTGCTGTCGCCAACAGTATCTAACCATTCCTTTGTCAAAAGGTCACCATGGACAAGGAGTACATGCTCTGACATATCTATGTCATGACTTTGGTCGAAGTCATTGCTGTTTTTGTCTCTGATCCCTCCTTGATGAAGTAAGTTTTCCATCACTTCAACATTTCCATCCGTTGTTGATTGTTTGATGTTCATGACACGGCAAGGCACCTGTTCAGTCTTGTGTAAGGGTATGCGTTCCACTGGTGCTGGCTCGCATAACTCCTTTTCAAAATGTTGAAAATGCTGGCCATGATGGACTAGGATCTCCCAAGCATGCCATGCAAATGCTTCCTGCCGCGGTGAAGGTACAACAATTCAGATGGTGAGTCTGAACAATGTTGGGTCTTGCAGAACCTAGCTGCTATTCGACCCTAAAGGGTTTCTGGACCAGGCTTAAGGCTCAGAGGAGAGGAAATATCATAGAAAACTACTGAGCACTCAGACTCATACTGGTAACTGGTGAAAAGATTGATTGCTTATGTAAGCTACAAAAGTGCCAACATAAGGTAAGGTAAAAACAGTCTCTACAAGCCCAGCCAGAAATGAATCCCTACAGCGGACTGGGTCTAGTTGGATTTGACTGTTAGTTGTAAGTGTCATCTTTGTGCAGCTGCATCATAGATTTAAGTTCAATGAACAGAGGATGTGGTGGGTTGAGAGGGAGGGCTGGGTTGCGAGGATTTCATTCCCACATCCACTGGGAACAGCACTATTCACGCCAAATAGTGGTATCACAGTTGTAGAGGTTGCACTGACAAAGTTCGAATGGTGCTCGAGTGTTGGCTGCTCAGTTTTGAAGTCGATATCAACGTTGTCATAAGCAAATGCAGATTGTAGTGATCGAATTGCACGTCTTATTCTAGCTGATGCCTGATGCGACACAGATTGTACAGCGTTATGGATTGATGAAATGCTGATGGACAGACCAGCATGAGCAAGTGTTTCAATGACTTTCTCAGGGACCAAGGTTGAGTGATAGAAGAACCCCAGGATGCCTTGAAGGTAATTGCACCTTTCATTTGAGTTCTGTAGCATTATACTGATACAAACAACCGCCTTCTGTAGCAAGTTTGTAAACTCAAACAGTCACATTATTTCAACTGCAGACTCACGATGGAAATTAGTGCAGCATTCCTTTCTGCTGCGTGCACATGTTTTTTTGTTTTCATCTTTGTGTTTCCCCCACTCTCGCCGTCCATTCCCTCACCACCAAACTCACCAAGATCCATCTCCGCCTCTGATCCAAGGCTACTTGTCATACCATCAGAATATATCATGGCACGTTGGCAGTCCTGATTGCTGTCGAGGAGAGTGCTGATGAGGCCCCACAACAGTGGAGTTACAGTGCGCATTTTTGTTGCCATCATCTCCATAAATTGGCCTTTGAGCTGCTCAACCGTTGCTGCGCTTGCCTTGAAATGTAGCCCATGCCGCTCGTGGCTCAGGTTGGTGTAGAGACTCGTGCGTCTCATGGTCTGATATGACAGTTCTCACTAGGGAGTACATAGCACAAACTTGTAGCATCACTCTGTGCGCTACCCGCAGCTATCCCTATATGAGGCGCAGCTTTCCCGCGCTTTGCGATGTATATGTGTGCATGTGTTCCTGTGCTTGAGCGCCCTATAGCGCCAGCCATCCAGATGCATCCATCCACTGTCCTCCAAGTTCTCTAGTGCGTATATTTCTGTTTCTCTCATTTGTATATTGTTCCACCTTATTTTTATCATGGACCCTTACTTATATATATCTTTACATACCTTACTCGGTAGCGCTTCAGCTCTGCATTACAGCACTTAGGCGCGCTATATAAGCGCCAGCAGTACATACTACTCTTCACTTACTTTTCACCACTGAACTTCACCTCTCACTTTACCTAGCACTTACTACCTAGAAAGTCGCAGTAAAACTCAATCTGTTTACATCTCACACTCTCATCTCTTATCTTGCATTATAACATCACTTAAGCTTAGTCTCTCTCATTTCTGCATATCTGCGCGCACTTTGCCACGCTTCGCGCCTTACACGCGCGTTTTCCCGCGCCTTGCACGCACCTGCACGCTTTCTCATGCTTCGCTTCAGCACATATCTCTAGATCCTTGCTGCACTCGCTTCCCCTTTAGGGTCAAACGCACTTGCCATCTCAAGCATAGCAGACTAGGCAACGCACGACCTACAACATTTTTTAGATACAGTCAGGAGCTTCATTTGTTCCTCACAGTATTGTTGTTTCTACATCGGTAACTTCTCTGCACATTATCTTTGTGGCTGTTCCAATTGCCCATTTTGACACTGACTTGTGGCTCTCTTGATGATAGAACAATGAACAGATGTTTCCAGCATTGCGAAGCAGTGACTCGTGCCCAATGTGATGATGCGGCTCTTTGCTATTCAGTAGACCTTGCACAAAGCCAGCAACAGACAACTGATTGGCGTGAAGGGCATACAATATGTTGCTGATTGAATTAGCAGCTTGCATGGGGGAAGAAAAATCGCTCTAATTTGTGCCAACCATGCTCTTAATCTAGTAGCCTCAAGGTGCAGCATGTTCAACATGCGGCACCTCATTGCATACCTTCGCTTAAACCTATTTAATATATTATATTTATTCAAACGCGGACACCAGCGGATGACTTCCCAAAAAAACTTAGATTTTACAGAGAGACAAACAAACTATAATCTTACGCCACATCAAGTTGTGCCAGTCGGCTATGTGTGTTAGAGCCCTTTTGTTCGTAGTAGGACGTGCGGAGCCAAACGGACGAGCTTGAGACTAGAGACAAAAGAATGTATACTAGTAGAGTCAGTAAATGAATGAACTATAGTAATGAATGTCTCACCTCAGTCTTACACTTGTGGTGTAGTAGACTGAGGTATTAGTAACCGTTCTGTCTGTATGTACTTGCGTGATTATGTAAGTTGTACTCGCCATATGATAATCGATAAACAAACAACAAGCCCAACAAAAAGTCGGAAGTATTTCGGAAAAACTATGTGTGGTTGTATTTGCACAGCGTGGCTATTAGGATGTGGCTCTCTACACACTGCCAACTGGGTAGGAGTCTGGCCAAATCCCTGACTTTCTGAACAAGCTAGTTTATATTCCGCTTATTAATAAGCCATTTGATCTTCAGCGACGCTTTTCCTCACGGGCATATGCCAGATTGATCCTTTTCGAACGAGCATGTCTGGCTTCGATGCAATCATTAATCGCAAAGCTCCTAGTCCATGGGAGCTGTTCAAGACCAATCCTAGCCTTTATATAGCTTCAAAGCTATATAATAGTCTCAGCCAACGAATGCTACGTCCTTTGTCTACCCCCATTCGCACCATATGCATATCAGACACTCACAACACCGACATATCTGCCCTGATACCACCCGGTGATATCCTCATTCACGCAGGTGATCTTACTCATTCTGGCACTCCCCGTGAGCTCCAGGTCACCTTTGACTGGCTAGTCTCTCTTCCACATGAACACAAAATCGTTATAGCCAGGAATCACGATACGTACCTTCAGACAGCTGAGGGTCGTTCATGGGTCCACACATGGTGAGATTGTGGCATAATTTATCTGGAGGATGAGGCTCACACTATCCAAGTGCGCGGTCGCACATTCAAAATCTTTGGCAGCCCATTCACTCCGCAGCACGGCAATGGTGCTTTCCAATACCCACGTATGGGTGTCACTGGCACTCCCAGCCATTGGTCTGTTATTCCAAATGACACAGATATTCTCATCACTCATGGTCCTCCTCATGGTCATCTCGATCTCGCTGGACTTGGTTGCAGAGCCCTGCTTGCACGTATATGGGAGCTTGGTAGGACACACCAGCCAGTGCTTCATGTGTTCGGCCACATTCATGGCGGTCGTGGAATCGAGAATATGCCCTGGGACTCTGCTCAGTCAATATGGGAGGACATTGTGCTCAAAAAAGGGGGTTGGTTTCACACTATGCATTTGCTATGGGCAATGCTTTGGGGTGGCCAGGATAATGGTATAAGGACAATTGCTGTCAATGCATCTGTGGTTGGAGGTCCGCGAGACCGTGATATCCAGCCTCCTGTCGTCATTGATATATAAGAAATCGAAATCCACTATCGCATTCACCCACTGACTAGTAATGTATTCATACCGCTAGCTCTCTACCCACTTACAAGTTTGGGTCAACATGTCATGCCCATATCCTTGTATGATCATATACTTATAATACAGGAAAGTGTGCTCATCGCTGAATTGATTCACCCCTCTATATATCCTCCACACAAAGCCTTTAACTCCTTGATCTGCGCTTCCTGGATTTTGGCCCCATACGCGATCGCTTTCGCCTCAATGTCTGCGACCTTGGTTTTCGCTCCCCTCCTCTTGGATTCTTGGATGAGGTATTGCGACGCATCGGACATATCATAGGACTTCGCGTTCCCTCTCTTTCCAGCCTTCTCTAATTTGGCTACTAGACAGTACATCCAGGGCGCAGTGAGCACCTGAAGCCCAGGCTCATCAAATATGACTGCACCATCGCTAATTGCTTCGTTGTGGAGGCTGGTTTTAGTGTTGGGAGCAATGAAAAGTGCAGTGTGGTTGTTCATGCACCCTTCACCAAGCTGCATGGCTTTGGCGGCGCTTTTAATACCATCTCGCAAGACAGGATTGTTTGCAGTATCAAGGCTGGAGAAATCTACATCCACCGTAGAGGCACGGGAACCTGTACGAGATTGTCAGTTGCATCATCATTAGAAGATCGTTGAACGAATACGCACGAAGAAGAATCGTGTTTATTGCACCTCCAACAGCCACGACGGTTATCTGTTTTTCTTGCTTTTCAGGTGTTTGACCGTCAGCTGTATCGCTGAAACACTGACCCATTGTGATTTATCTCAGTGGAAGAAAGATGTGTTTGACGCTCCAACACTTCGGGGCGCCGAAGCTTCCACCTTCGTCACATGCATCCAGCCACGATTCTCGCCTCCTCCAGGCTCCACTCGTGACCCGTCATTCCACCGGTCTCACCCGGAATGTGAGGTTTACTGTACTAGAGGACTCGTTGTTTGGTTCCTGTAACATCAGATGTGCACATATTAGCAAAAGGCAAGCTTTTCCTATTGCACTCATTATATAGCCATATTCTCGACTTCGATTTTTGTCAGATCTTCTAGAAGGCATGAAAAACTGCATAACCACCGATCCATTATTTAACAACAAAAATACAAAGATGAAGCGTCAATTACGCGAGGCCCAATTACTGATATTCTACTGCCGATAGCCAAGATCAGCTAGAAACCCGGATAGATGGTGGCAAGAACTGTGACTTCTTCAAAACTTCAACTCGCCACTGTGGCACTGGCACTGCCGTACACTGCTAAGCACTGGGCGCTAATTGTCCCTTTTCAAAAAGAAGTTTGATGCTTACGGTGAGTTCATACGGCTCTGAGTGATGGAGCAACCGTGCGATTGATGGATTCAGAAAAGAGATTGAAGATGTAGATGCGAACACGGATATCGCTGCAGCACTACATGTGTAATGTCTAGCTGATAAAACTTTATCTAGACGCTGATGAGCGCTTAGTAGAGACACAGTTGGACCTATGCCATATTCGTCCACCAAAAGTTTGTGATTCATCTTTTCATTCATGGCAGATCCCATCTGATATCACAGGGCAGTGATGCAATTTGCACATATCTTCAAGCAGCGTATTGCATTTTAATGTTATGCAGAACTCAACTTATAAGGAAATCGGGCTTATGCCCCTAAATTAAAAGTCTATGTAGGTAACTTGAAATGACAAGTATATAGAGACAATTTGAATCTACACCGCTATGAATGTATCCTTCCATAGCCAGCACCTTGCAATCTAGAAATGTTACTAATGTACTTTAAGTTATTAATATTTGTCTGCCGACAGGAGCTAAATATGCCTCGTCAACAGATACCAGATAATAAACAGCTTGGCCAAAGGCAGCGCGAGAAGTCGAAGTTCTATTGTCCGGCTCGGGTCGTTCGCATGTACGGACAGTGTCCTACAACAGTTGGTCATACGCGAAAGAAATGTTGAGATATACCCAGGTGTACTGTGCAGCACTTACATTCAAACATGTCGGCCAATATTTGAATTCCTATCATGCAAAGTTCGCGTTCAACGTTCTGGTTGCCTGTCGACCATCTGTTCGCTTGATTAGTGAGAGGAAAAACAAACCAGACTAGAGAACAGTCCGTCGATGCCGTAGATTTGTTCTTGGAAAATGATTTGTTGCACCCAGTCATACCGAAGTACATCGTGAGTGAGTCGCACGCACGACCGCCTTGTGCTTGTCGTTTGTAGCAAATCTATTAATAGCCGATGCCAAGACTCGACAAGGAAGCCCAACTAAGTATGATGTCATCCGTACCTACGGGTTTAGTAGTGCGTAAGACTTCGGTTGCGTTCCGGACACACATTTTTTCGAGCTGGGAAGGATGAGGCGGTATGCATTGTGACTCACTGGCAGAGCCTCAATCACCAAGAATGCCACCAAGTTGCGCTCAAGCTGATAAGGAGGCGGTGATGAGCAGGTGGTACTGAACCTTGGATGTCTCCGAGTTCGGTTCTAGCCGCAGTGACGCCCAAGAGACGCCGTTCGATTTGCTGTATAAGCGTCTAATACCAATCTAATACAAACGCTAACCTATATATGTAGACGCCCACGGCTCCATCGAGCTCCCGATCACACCGGTTCAACATTATAATACAATGTTTGCCGATATACAACCCGACACGACCGGGTCACTGCAAATATTGACCGACAATAGTTGGTAACGAGGTGCTGGTGAATGGATGTTTGCGAGAACATGGTTGTCTATCGCCTGTACTGCGGCTTGCCTTTATTTTTATTAGCATGACATTATTGATAAGTACTACCACCCGCCCAGAGCATTATTCAAGGATCGGTCGGAACCATTTCTATCCTTGCTTGACCGAGGACAGGATCTCCATTGCCCAATAACAGCGCCAATTCCTTCTCATCCCATCCTCTTTGTCTCGCCGTCTCTTCAACCCTACGTACAATCTCCCTGCTCCAAAGTGCATTATCCTCTTCTGATTTGTCGTCGACAACTTCCAGGACATCGACACCCATCCCTCCTAATAGCTCACCCAAAGGGTACGCACCTGCGAACTCCCAATCAAGGACAGCTTGCACCTGCGTCCCATGCATGATGATATTCCGACCGTGAAAGTCTCCGTGCACGAGCACATATGGCTCATCGTCAGCGACAAAGCTGGTCTCTAGCTGACACTTCTTATCTCGTAGCTGCTGCACAAAATCTTCGACAGACGTGAGTTCGAAAAAGTCGGAATCGATATCGGACGCGGGGGCATGGGTATAGTAGTATATCTCTTTATCGTAGCAAGCGAGAATGTATTCCTTTGTGGTTTCGTATGGACCGATGGGGTAGCATCTATTGGAATGAAATTTACCCTGTCCAAAAATGTGATACATTAATCGTCAGAAAAGTCAGATGCAAAATGTGACGAAGACTCACCCGTCCCTTGAAAAGTTTGCTTCCCTCTACGGTCGGTCCAAGGGCATGGCTTGTGGGACTGGCAAATCCGCCTATAGCACTGAAATGCGTCTCCGCCATATCAACGATTATCTCAGCGATCTTCAGGGCGACTGGATGTTTCTCCGCCTCGGTATAGCGAGTCCATATACTGCTCAAAGGCTCGCCATCGATGTATTCTTGAGCGACAAATGGGTTCAGTCCGTCAGCGCGAAATGCGTATATCTTGGGGACTGGAATATTTGGACAACGTGCGGATATCAAGGATATGGAAGCGACTTCGTTTAATATTTGGTGAGGTAGGAGAGTATCTGGTTTCGGAAGGCGTAGAGCAAAACACTTGGGTGTCGTGGAGTCGTTCCAGCCTGAAAGCTGTTTTAGGAAGAATTTAGCTCGACAACGACTGATCAGAAACTCAAGGACTTGCCCAGGATATCAAATATACCTCATTGTATCCCCCTTCACCAAGCTTCCTGTCCACTATAACCTCCGGTGTGGGTCTGTCATCGTCACCTTTACTGATGGCACTGCTAGCATCTTTAAGGGTCTGCTGTAGTACTAGGTTTGTAGTAAATGATTGCGTAATAGACATTGCAGCGCTCTTGCCAGTGGTGTTTCGTGAAAACCGTAGTTACAGAGTTTGCACTGGTGGTGGGTTGATGATGGTATTATGTGGATACCACTGGAACATTGAGTCCCATTGACTATGGTATTGATTGTTTATGAACGAGGAAAACCTTCGCACGATCCAACGTGGATTTGTCTAATGGTAACGAGCCTCCGCTCCTTGTCACGATCAGAACTTGGTGTCAGTCAGAGAGATCGCATTGCTGTGGAACGCCACAGCCACAATCGTCAGTTGACAGTGATCTTGTGTGAACAAGGTGATCAGGCTCCTATCCAGCACTAAGTTAGATTATTTGACGAAATTTACACTTGGCAGGTAAAAACCGTAAATGGGAATCTGCCGCGCCCACCGCTGCTGACCAAGCGCGCCCATCCCGCTGGTTTTCTGCCTCCCTTTCGTCTTTCAACGTCGAAAGACCGATTGTCGAAAAGGTGCGACGGTGCCACGCAGTGGATAGTATTAGTAGTCTGTTTGAACATAATAGTGAGCATGTGTTCTGACCCGAAGTCACTACTTGGGTTGATTTACGGATCACTTGAGCTTAGCACTGTGACCTGAAAGGTCCGCTGTGCCGGTGGGTCCTCAGATTTACTGATTTACGAGTTTACGACAGATTTACCAGATTTACGACCAACTTTGGGTGGTCCTGCACTTAACTCCTGCTTAACTCGCCTTAACTACCCAAAACTTGACTTAGTTTGTCTGTGAGGCCGACCATGGTGAGGACCAAGCTGAAATCGTGCAAAGGGCCTCCTTCCCCTCATGCTGCAGAGGCCAGCCCAAGGAAGCGACGGAAGGGGGCAGTGCCCACAGGAAATACCACCCTGCCGGCCATCAACAAGGTGAAGGAAAGGGCCAAGCAACAGCACAAGCATGCAAAGAAGACGCGCGAGAACTACAATGGATATGTGGAACGAGGACAGACATGGCTGAAGGCACATTTCACTACTAGCAGGGGGGCTATGGCAAGCATGGATTCGGAGACCGTGTCTATCAGTACTGATGCCTACGAGGATCCCACATTCAGGGATGCACTCGAGAGGATGCCCAACCAACATTCTGACAAGGCCCTCGCACTCCTCATCTCCTTCAAGTGTTTCCATGAGAACTGTGGCCAGAGCACGTGCGACGGGACCTACTCAGCCTTCAAAAAATTCTGGGAGGAAGCGTGAGTGCCATATCTGTGTCAGTGAGTCTCATACTTATGGCTTTCGACGGAATGTGCCATCCAGGGATGGAGATACCTATCGTGGGAGGTGGCATTTCAACGAGGCACGTCTGTGCTGGGAAGGAAACCCTGCATCGTCAGCTGAGGTTCAAGACATCATCAAGTCCGTCAAACACAAGACCAGCAGCGAGGGTGGGGACAGAACTCACTCCATTGCAATGTCGAAAGGATTCATGGATCGAATCCTGGCCTGGACCCACAAACTCTGCCCACCAAAGACATTCCTTGGGCTTATGAGGTCAGTTCTGGCACCAGATACGACGAGCACAGAACTCCTCACACTGGAATCGCGTGAATTGCTCACAAAGATGACGATGTACCAAGCATTTAGTACAACGGCCTGGAACCTGTGGACAAGGTCAGCTCACTCGATACAGACTGCTTGCTAAATTTTGAAGCAACCCATGGCAGGTGCTTCGAGCTCATCAAACTGAAACGGAAAGACTTGACCATCGATTTTTTCCAAGTCGGCACAACATTCACAAGATATCTGAATGGCGAGAAACTGTGCTCGAAGGACCTCCACACATATTTCGAGGTGTTTTTGTCCAACCGAAAGGGCTGGCAGCGGAGGGTAGACAAGGGCACGAAGGAATCAGACCTACGGAGTGAGTACCTAGTTACACCAGTTGTTGGTTCATAATTCGAACATTAACCTCCTGCTGCTCTCATCATCAGGCAACCGGTACAAGCTCTACCCACAGCCAGACTTACCAGGCTGCGACTGCTTCTTCTGGCTCTTACTCTGGCTTACCTTCCTTGAAGTTGCCCACTATGGTCGAAAACTCGAGCCCGAAGACTATATCTTTCCTGCAATAGGTGCAAATGGCATTGTCCACTGTGGTGAACCTATCTCGCACGACACTGTTCAGGCATGGATCGACGAAGCAACCACAGAAGCAGGAATCCCACGAGGCACAGGTGACAACTTCACAACCCACACCTATCGACGTGGTGGTGCACAGTGGCGTTGGATGTTTGCACCTATCGGTCAGCGTTGGACTCTCGCGAGGGTCAGGTGGTGGGGTTCATGGGCAGAGAATGAGAATGTGAGTCTTAGACTGACTCGAACTTCTCTGTTTCTGACAATGAATTACTTCAATTAGTGCGACACACTCATCCGGTATCTCCTCGACGAGCTCTCCACCTACGAAAACGACCATAGTGATGCCCTCTGTCCAACACAGCGCGAAGCTGATGCATCTCTGCTTGGAGAGCACTTGCTTGTCAAGCCCGTTTGCATCCAGGACCTGCAGTCAATGCATGAATGCATCTCAGCTGACGTTGCAGGTCTGCGGAGTGACCTACGCACCCTCGCAGCCACGCTCTACAACGGGCAGCTGACTAACCTGCCCAACTCACGCAGCAGCACAGGCATGTGCAATGCTCCGCACTCGTCAACTCTGCTGTCAAACCCAGGCAACCCCTGCATCGTTCATCACTCATCTGGATCCCTGCCACCCAGCTCCGAGTCTCAGCCATGCTACCCTGCTATTCCCTCCTCCACTCTCCCACAGCCCTCTGCACTCACTCGAATCACAGACGGCGCCACCATTCTTGAAGTTGGTTCCCGCTCACTAGTACTACCTGAGAAGGGACTTGTCATCCCTGATGTCCCAACACGACATCCTGATGGGACCCACACCCCAAGAGCTGCCTCTTGGAGACAGATCGTGAAGCACTGGACAGATGGTGACCCCAAGCACGGATTGCTACTTCCACTTCGAGATTGGCCGCCTGAGTGGATCCGCGGGAAGAACAAGAAGTTTTTTGCAATGAAGTACCACCAACGCTCGGTGATTGCACTGGAGTTTCTCGACCAGTGAGTTGATGTCGCAATTTTCGGGCACACGAACTGCTCTCATCCCCACCCATCATCATTCCATGCACACACTACTAGATTCAATGGACACGAGCCTGCATTCCTCGCCGCATATCCAGAGGCCACTGTGGGCCACACAGCTTTGCTTCGGGCGATCAACCGCGCGAAAAAGGAGCGCGGGGATATTATCCCTCGAAAGTAGTGAGTTATACTTCTCGCGCTCTGCCAGTTGACCTGCGCTGATGGTTTTTAGACTCTTTTTCTTTCTTTCTTTCTTTCTTTCTTTCGGCACCAACACACTTCGAAGCTCCCTCCCTTTTGTTGCCCACTGTCCCTTGTTAATTCAGGCCAAGTCTCGTAGGTCCCATCCAATTCTAACTAATCTCAATGAGCTCGTTACACTACCTACTAGTACTGCTGTCCCCATACTGTACATCCTTGACACACGTCCCTAGCCCTAATGCTCAAGCCTTTCGTTCATTCCCAGACTTGCCTCCCACCAGCACCTCCATCTGTTCCTCCGAGTCCCCATCATCCGGCCTCGTTCCCTCGCGACTTCGTCCTCTCGCTGTGCGCAGCACCCACCCCAACCGCGGCGGGAGGCGGGGTCACGTGACGTGCACTACCGTATATGGCGCGCCAAGAGGTAAAATTTTCGACCTAAGTAAGACATAAGCTGTATGTGATGAAAAGGCGTAGCCCGAGGACTAGCGGGCTTTTAATTTGGTTATGACGCGCGCCACCGAGAGTCTCGTTCCTTGTTTTCGACCTTGTTTATTCTACCATCGCAGTCTTGTAATCAGCAATCTATCTTGTTCCCATCTACGGGATCATCATCAGAGCTATAACAACAGACTTAGGGTGTTGCTGACATTAGGTCGAAAACCCATCTTAAAGCCAGAAACCATTTTATTGGTCGACCCCTATCATGTCGTCTACCACCAACTCACTTGACACCGACCAGAATATGGCCGCTCCTAATAATGGAGACGCACCAGCCTTGTTCCAACTCCTTGCGCAGCTCGTACAAGGACAACAAGATTTCGGACAAGCGGTGACTCAAATTTTGAATCAGCCAGTGCCAGCACCGCAGACACAACCTGCCGCACCTCCCAAGGCATCAGTCGCAGAGCCTGACGCCTATGATGGAAAATACGACACCTTTGATCCTTTTATGAGCCAGCTCTATCTATTGTTCTCTGCCAAACCAGCCGTCTACGTTAACGACCAGATGAAGATTGTCACTGCCTTATCCTTTATGAAGAAAGGCTTTGCAGGAACTTGGGCGACCAACATTACGAAGCAGTTGAGAGAGGGAACTGTTACATTCACAAGCTGGACAGCATTCGAGAGGAAGTTGAAAGAAGTGTTTGATGATCCGAATAAGAAGCGAGCTGCTCAAGTAAAGCTACATGCGCTGAAGAAGAATCCCAAACAATCTGCCAACGAATATTTCACAGAGTTCGACCAGCTTGCGACTCTTGCAGGATTCAATGACGAAGCCCTGCTTGATGTCTTACAGCAGAACCTTGATAAGCTGACCTTTGACGCAATTGTAGCAGCACCACAGGTTGACCGAACTCTGGCGGCCTGGAGGGATTATGCAAAGAGGTATGATAGGAACAAGAGGGCCAATGAGAGGAATGAAGGAGAATCTGCAGGTGGGAGGAGGTTTGGTGAAGGACGAGGAGGACCGGGTTGGTTTCGGCCACAAGGAGGTGTAGGACGGGGATCTCCCCATACAGGTACCACTGGAACGAATGGCACCACTACGGATACTGGGGGTCATGCGGGCACAGGCACTGGGGGCACCAATACAGGGGGCTGGCGCACCTTTCCTGGACGAGGGGAACCTATGGATCTTGACCGGCAGCGTGGACGAGCTAACCAGCTCAAATGCTATAACTGTGGAGAGACGGGACACATTGCTCGTGGTTGTCCTAAGCCACGAGGATGGAATACAATGAGGGCAGTTTTTGAGGGACTGACTGAAGAACAAAAGGGAGAAGTAGCGGAGATTTTTAATTTACAAGAGAAGCAGGAGGATTTTTGAAGACGCCGGGAGAGAAGGGTGCTAACTCACCGGCGGATTGTATGATAAGTGCTGAATCAGTCAATGAAACATGTGGTTCGGACTCCCAAGCACCCACTTCTGTAGATCAACCAAAGAGTAAACTACAAAAGAAGAATCAGCGGAGGAAGGAGCGAAAGCAGAATGATAAAAAGGAGGAAACTAGTAAAAGACAGTTGGAGGATGACGAGAAGGCGAAGAAAGGTTCTCTGCTATGGACCATGGAAATGCTTTATTCCGATGATGAAAAGGCATTGAAGACGTTACGTCGTTGGACCAATCGTCAGCGCATCTCAGAGGTTGATATTGACCTCTTACTCTGACTTCGACAGCTCGCGCCAATTCAACAAAGGGAGGTTCTCCGAGAGTTGAAACATCCAAGAACCTGGATCCGCAAAATTAATCAAAATTCCGTTGTCACGCCGGTTACTATTGGTACCCTTGATGATCAACGCACTTTCCAATTGAACGCTCTTCTGGATTGTGGAGCCACAGGCTGCTATATCGACGAGGGATTTGCACAAGCCAAAGGTCTTAATCTCGAATCACTTCCTCGACCCATTCCAGTTTATAACGCGGATGGCTCACACAACGAAGGAGGTCCAATTCGATCTGTGGTGGTTGCGTCTCCAGGTACAAGATCACATCGAGGTCTTTAATTTTGCAGTTACCAACATTGGAAAGATGGACCTTATCATTGGTTTCGATTGGCTTCGGAAGCATAATCCCTCTGTTGACTGGCGCACTGGAGATATCACCTTTAATCGCTGCCCACTTGCTTGCCGTGCTACCTTCGGAGGAGAGATATCACATGAGCCAGAAGATGAGCCTTGTAAAGAGAAGCAGAAAGCGGAACAGTTGGAAGATGGAGACCGCATCTTTGTCACTAAGTTTGAGGTCGAGACGTTGGAAGAATGGCAGTATTGGGAGAAGGCTAGAGGACGTGAAAAGATTAGGGCTGTGGAAACACGCTCTCAAAAGTTGGCAGAGGAGGCACTCAAGAAGGGAACGAAGATGTCATTGGAAGAATTACTTCCCAAACACCTTGAAGATTTTACGCCAGTGTTTGAGAAAGCCTCATTTGATCGCTTACCTGACCGACGTCAGTGGGATCATGCTATTCAACTCAAACCAGGCATTGAACCTTTCAATAGCAAGATTTACCCGCTAAGTCTTGTTGAGCAAGCTGAACTCGACAAATTCATTGAAGAACATCTGCGCACAGGACGAATTCGACCTTCAAAATCCCCTATTGCTTCCCCATTCTTCTTCGTCAAGAAGAAAGATGGCTCTCTGCGTCCTGTACAGGACTATCGCAAGTTAAACTCAGCCACCATCAAAAATCGGTATCCCCTTCCTCTGATTTCCGAAGTGATCCACAAACTCCGCAACGCGCGATATTTTACCAAGCTCGATGTTCGATGGGGGTATAATAATATCCGCGTCCATGAGGGAGATGAGTGGAAAGCTGCGTTTACAACCAATCGGGGGCTCTATGAACCACTGGTAATGTTTTTCGGCCTCACAAACTCACCGGCTACCTTTCAGACGATGATGAATGATTTATTCCGAGATCTCATTAGCCGTGGAGTGGTAATTGTTTACATGGACGACATTCTCATCTTTACCGAATCCCTCGAAGAACATCGACGAGTTACACGTGAAGTTCTTCAAATCCTTCGCGACAACCACTTGTATCTGAAGGCCGAGAAGTGTGCCTTTGAACAGACAGAAATCGAATATCTCGGACTCGTTATTCGCCATGGCGAGGTTTCTATGGATCCAGTTAAAGTGAAGGGTGTACAGGAATGGCCTCGGCCCACTATGAAACGCGAACTCCAGCAATTTTTAGGATTTGCCAACTATTATCGCCATTTTATTCAAGGTTTCGATCATATTGCTCATCCTCTTCACCGCTTGACTGGTAATGAACAATGGCATTGGGGAATAGACGAAGAAAAGGCATTCCAAGGCCTGAAAACTGCTATCACCACAGCACCCGTACTTATTCTGCCCAAAGACGATGCCCCATTTCGTGTCGAAGCTGATAGTTCTGACTATGCTACGGGAGCAGTACTTTCCCAACTCCAATCTGATAATCATTGGCACCCTGTCGCATTCCTTTCGCGTGCGCTATCTGATGTCGAGCGCAACTACGACATCCATGACAAGGAACTGCTTGCTATTATGCGAGCTCTTGCTGAATGGCGACATTATTTGATGGGTGCGCAACAAACCATTGAAATTCTCACTGACCACAAGAATTTGGAGTACTTTACTTCGGCAAAGAAACTGAACCGTCGTCAAGCACGTTGGGCCTTGGAACTCGCAGAGTATGACTTCCGACTTACCCATAAGCCAGGAAAATCCCATGGGAAGCCTGATGCCCTCTCGAGGCGAGCGGACCATGGACGGGGGGAGGAAGATAACGAAGACCGAGTTTTATTGAAAGAGGAATGGTTCTGAGCAGTAACAATGGAGGTAGAGATGGAGGGTGACGAAATCTTGTCGAAGATTCGCGCATCGAAGAGGGTTGAGAGGTTCGTAAGAGAGGCAATAAAGAAAGGCGAGAGAGGCTGGAAGGAGGAGAACAGATTGAGGTTGTGGAAGAATCATATTTATGTGCCGAATGAACAATCCCTCCGAGATCAGATCATCCACTCTCACCATGACCTACCTGTGTCTGGTCATCCAGGACGCTACAAAACGGCAGAGTTAATCTTGCGGACATATTGGTGGCCACGAGTCCATGCGGATGTAACGCGTTATGTGAGTGGCTGCGAGAAATGTCAGCGCACTAAGACCTTTCCCGCAAAGCCATTCGGACTACTCGCGCCTAATCCAGTACCAGAGCATAACTGGCAATTTGTATCAGTGGATCTCATAACTCAACTTCCCCAGAGTAAGGGAAGTGACGCCATTCTCGTTGTTGTGGACCGACTGTCCAAGATGATACGTCTCGCGCCGACAAATGGAGAGTTGACTTCCGAAGGTCTTGCACGTTTGTACCGAGATCGAGTATGGCAGGATTTCGGTATTCCTGAACGTGTCATCAGTGATCGTGGCTCTCAGTTCGTGTCTAGCTTTATGCACGACCTCAATCAGTTGCTTGGGATCCAAACCAATCTATCCACAGCATATCATCCACAAACAGATGGTCAGACCGAACGGATAAACCAAGAAATCGAGCAATATCTTCGTTTATTCACCAATTACCGTCAGAACGACTGGGCAGAGTGGTTACCCCTCGCTCAATTTAACTATAATGACAAGGTGCAAACCTCCACTGGATATTCCCCCTTCTTCCTAAACTACGGCCGTCATCCTCGCAAAGGAATTGAACCCCGTTCTAACGTGAGGGCGGAAAGCGCTGACGTCTTCGCCTCGCGAATGCATCATCTTGCGCAGGAAGCCACTAGCGCCTTGACAAAAGCGGCGAGTGACATGAAACGTTATTATGATGAACACCGTCGCAAGGCTCCTGAATACCAACCGGGAAATTTAGTTTACTTGGAGGCCACCAACCTTAAATCTGACCGCCCTTCAAAGAAGCTCGATGATCGTCGTTTTGGTCCTTTCAAAATCATTCAGAAGGTTGGAGAGCGAGCCTACAAATTGGATTTACCTCGCACTTGGAAGCGAATCCATCCGGTGTTCCACACTGTTCTTCTTCGTCCCTACACACCACCAACCTCCCCATTGCAGCAATCGCCGCCGCCGCCACCACCAGTAGATCTCGGAGGAACCCCGGAATATGAAGTTGAGGGTATATTGGATAGTCGAGAGAGACGTGGAAAAAGGGAATATTTGGTGAAATGGAGAGGACAACCAAGAGAAGAGAATACTTGGGAACCAGAGCAGAATTTGAAGAATGAGTATGGCACCAACAAGGCATTCAAAACCTTCCTGGCGCGTGAACGAGAACGCCTCAAAATTCGTATACCACCTCGAGGAGAATGGAGATATGCGATACCAAATCGAGGAGTGTATGATTGGAGGATAGGGACATTTAGAGAGATCGTTGATGAAGACATCGACCTTGGGAGAGGGTAATGTGATGAAAAGGCGTAGCCCGAGGACTAGCGGGCTTTTAATTTGGTTATGACGTGCGCCACCGAGAGTCTCGTTCCTTGTTTTCGACCTTGTTTATTCTACCATCGCAGTCTTGTAATCAGCAATCTATCTTGTTCCCATCTACGGGATCGTCATCAGAGCTATAACAACAGACTTAGGGTGTTGCTGACACTGTAATACAATGATCATTCACAAGAAATGGTAACACAAGAGTTCACTGCGTGAATATGCAAGCGGTCTCACTTCATATCTGATGAAGTAGCAGAGGCTGCATTTGTGGAAGGCGCAAAGCAAAAAAACTTGAACATAGAATTATCCCAGCTAAAGAGCTATCATGGGACTAATTAACTCGACAAGTGGCAAGAACTCTGAAGAACGACTTACCCGAGATATACCCTCTTCGCCAAACGTCCTGTCCACTCTAGCTGCTGTATCATCTCCCCTCATTGCGACACAGCTTGCAACGTTGAGGTTGTCCAGTAGTCCCAGGTTTGTAGTAGTAGACTTTGGGATGAAACTGGCATTTCACTTGGTGCTTGTTGCATAAGCCAACATGCCTACAGACTTGGCAGTGGTGAGTTGTTGGCATATTGATACAGGTTAAGTGGATAGATGTTGAGTGTGATCATGAGTCGGAGCGACAATATATGTAATCTCGGCAGCAGTTCTGGTACCTTGTTATCAGTCCGACCGTCCCATCCGTCTTGTTTAGATGACTTCTCACTGACATGTGTGACTTGTCAGGACTGTTTGACTACTGTATCGGTGTGTCCAATTTGAGCTCCAAGGGTTTAGATGTGCAAGCAGGATTCGACCACATGACTTCACCTCCGCACCTTGGAATGGAGTTTTTTTCTTGCGACCAGCAGCTACATCAACGGTGTGTTTCGAGCTTTCTCCTGAAAATAAGTTGAAATTCCGACGTCAAGGCTGCAGTGGTATTGATCGTGACGCGTTTGAAGGTCAAGTGCTGAAATGCAGTGAACGGAGGGAATTGCGCCAACGAAGGGAAGAGGATGGGCTGGTAGGAGCTGCAGGACGAGGCTCGGTGTCGGTATCAGTGTCCCAGAAGTCCTTTCCCTATACCAGTGTCAGACCTGCAAGAGACAAAAAACAAGAGATCATACTGACATATATCGCCAAGCCTCTGTTCACGCGCTGCTGCTTGGAGACCTGACTAGCGTGCAAGATCTGACGAGACGGATAAGCAAATGAGTAGGGCATTGACAACTGAGCATCTATCGATCGAACTGGATGTCCCTAGTAAAGAAGATACCATAAGAAAGAGAAACACATAAAGCTTTCCCTGAGATTCGCAGGGTCTTGCTTCAGCCGCAAGCTGAATTATAACCAAACAAACATACTCACATGATCATCCCTGCATGTCTGAGACCTGCATCGAGGCTCTACATATATCTTTGCGCCCAATCCAACACTGATGATATATCTTCCATCAGGGGACATGACAACATGCGTGAGTATATCGTCGTGCAAGAGCGGGTCACTGACTGGCTGATCGGTCCTGAGATCCCAGATACGAATCGAGTAGTCAGCTGCTGCGCCAACAAGATAGATCTGAAAGCCATTTTGTTAGTGCAGCAGCATTAGGGGAATGACAGAAGGAGTGTACGACCATCGATTCATTTGGAGATATTGCCATTGAGCCTACCATTCTTCCGTTACTAGTCCAAGGACTCCCCACTGCACTCCATCTATTGTCCACTGACAAATCGAACCATCGCCTGACGCGCTCAGCATATTGTAGCTTGTGTCCAAGCAGGCAAGGCCTCGGATGAATTTGGAATGACCTTCTATGACGCACTCTGGCGTCAAGCTCCCTGGTGGACATCCTGGCATTGGTTTCTTCCATGACGTGATCTAGGTATCGTAATTTACGAAGTAGGACAGACCAAACGATGAGATGTGCTGTTCGCAATGAGTCGTCCAGGATGATCGATCGATCTGTGTTTCACATGAGTTCCTCGCTGTTAATGGCATATTCTCTGCCCACTTAATCGCACCCCTGGTGAACGTTTCCAGGAAGCCATTACGAGTGAGACATCCTGATAGTATATTCTATCATCCGACATCTTATGCTGCCACTATTGGAGAGGAAACACTCATTCCTACTCGTTTCTCGTCGAGTGAGTCAGTAGGTATGAAAATGCAACCACTCACCTTCCCAAAATATATCTTGGCGATACTGTGTGCCATAGGGTGGTGGATCCGTCTCCTTCATCCCGACGAAGTGCGCTGACCACCGGTGAGCTCGACATCACACCTCTTTCTCTACCTCTTCGTTGTGCTGATTGCCCGACTCGGCCATGTCACTGACAAAGAAAGTTTTTAATTATCGCACTCTGTACAGACGCATTGATAGAGTTCGATACTACAGACATTGAATCGTCGAAGGCGAGGAGAGATGGTGAAAGTGATGAGGAGACCTGCTAGATGGTCAGCTTGAGTTGCATGCTGATGGCCGTGCTTTGAATGTCGGGGCAGTTCTCTACAAGTTCTAATAGATTGTCATACATTATGACAAGGAGCGATCAAAGTATGGCCGCGAGGAGTCCACCGGACAACCGAGTGCATTTCTAATATATAAGTGCGTATATCTTGGGGATTGGAGCATACTTGTCAAGGGTATGGAACTTTGTTTACATAATATCTGAGAGAGGAGAGTTAGTTTCGGAAGGCGCAGAGAAAAAAACTTGAATGTCACGAAGTCGCCCCAGAGAGTTACACATCGTGGGAATTTGACAAGGAGTTGACTAGGAAACAGGAGGGTTTCACCGTTTCGGAGAAAGGACTTGCCCGAGATATCCCCCTTGGCCGAGCTTCCTGTCCACTGTAACCTGGTGTAAGTCTGTCGTACATCTTGCTGACAATCAAATATTTCAATCTCCGCAGACACGTTTGAAATTTGGAGTTGCTTGACCCCTATTACAATAAATCAGTAGATTGACACAGTTGACCTTGCGCACCCAGAAAAACTTGAACAATACAGAGCAAGATCGGCCTACTTTCCAACATGCTTTCTACTATCGGGAGTCCAGACTCAGATTCAGATTCTGCTGTCGGGATTTCAGCATCAGACTTGGATTCACTGCCAGATGACTTGATTTTGGAGGACACTTTCAGACAGGTCGCCAAACTCGACCCCATTGATTTTGGTATTTGTAGCCTACACTTACCCAAGGCTTACGCTTATTTGTGATGTTCAATCTTCAAGATCAATGTAGGGACGTGCTGAAGTTCCTTACGGAGCCAAACCCTGAGCAAGAGTCTGCGGTATGTTCGAATTCATGGGTGGAGCGTGAACAGTCATTTGATCATCGTAACAGGAGTTTTCTGATGTCCATTATGGGGTATACTGGACAGTAGAACACATCATCGAAGAGAATGATACAGTACCAGGAAGGCCAAGGTTAGGATGAATGTCTTACTTCTCATGACTAACACCACATCATCGTAGATTGAGTTACTTCGAGGACGAACACATCCTTCTCGTCGAAAAGTTCAACAGTATTCACGAAGTTCCATTCCTTCACCTGGATTCAATATTCCGTCATTTTATGTATGATCTCGAACACTGTGACTCGGGCTACTCTGTGGACATCACAGTATCCAGGGTCCTTACGCTGATATCTGCATCTGCTGTTCCAGACCTGTCAGTTGAGATGAATGTGGTGACCTGGAATAAGTGGATTCAGAAGGTCCTTGTCGTCGGGGAATGTTCATTCGCCCAGGACACAGATTCTGTTCTTCGGAAAATAAAATATGAAATCACCTCCCGTCCAGAAGTCTTGATGGTCATAATGGTTGTGATTGAAGAACATCAACCATATGTCAGAAGCATGGCAGATGCTACTCCAGGACAATCTTTCACGCTCTTCATTCCTTTCACTTCAAGGTGTTGCAGCACAATCTCTTGATCAACCCGTTGTGGTCGCAGGCCATACATGGTGTCACCTCGCATCTGTTCAATTCCACGTTTGGGTCCGGGGAGACGAGCCGATCAACATTGATGTTGACAATGAATTGTTGGCACGTGGCGTAAGTATATCTACAAAATACTCATCTGAGTTGCTTTATTGATGCATTCGCTGCAGACCTTATTACCGAAACAAGATATGGATGCGGTCGATACCATGATCGAGAAGGGCATGGTGATGATGCGGGACTATCTTGCAACTGTCTGCCAGAAGGTAGCTCCAGACAGTAACATTTCTGCCATCCGAGACTCCGGTGTTACTTTCTGTCCAAATTGGAATCATCTGTTGAGGGACCTGGAACATGCAGTCGACGGAACCGCCTATAACCGATACCACTCATGGTATAAGTCATCCCTGTGAAGCACCTCCACCCTCGATCACCGGACGCGCTCGCAACCAGTGTGAAGGCAAGCAAGGACCCTCATGTGTGGACCATGACAATATTCGTTGGTTATGTAGAGCCAAAAAAAATGTCCTAATTTACACGATACCGTACTCTCGATCGGTCCGTTTTTCTGTAGAGGCCACCGTCCTCGTACCAGTGTTTACACCACAATCTAATCATAAGGTCACATGTATGCATAAAACATGATTAATGAGCAGTGATCGCGCCTGAATCAAACTTGAGAGAGGCGAACATTCGCAACTTAGAACGAATTACATATAAAAGAATGTATTATCCTCCAGGGAAAACATCGCAAAGTGATAAATGAAATATATAAACGAGTGGAAGGGTGCCCAGAGTTCCTCATGGTGCACAAACAAACGAAAACCAAAGAACGACTATCACCAAGAAAAGAAGAAAGAAAGAAAAAAGCGACACAAAATTACGTTCGATTCTTGAGATGATGCAAAACTAAGCACGCCTATACTCATATCCTGGCATCTCCGAAGGGCGTCTCTGCATCAACTCAGGACACATGCATCCCTCAGTCCACCCATTGGGGGCCCGAGCGGGTCCGGTATGCATGGTGTAGTCGTCCGCGGTATCCGCTGGGCCGTATAAGACTTTCAACGACTGGTTGTGGATAGGTTGGGGAGGCTGGTAGTGAGTGGATTGGGGTTGGTAATGGTATTGGGTGGGATATGATTGCATGGCCTGCGATTGGATGGGTTGGTATTGGGAGGGATAGGATTGCATTGCCTGCGGTTGCGGTTGCGGCTGCATGCGTTGGAGTTGGTATGGGTATTGGTAGAATGTACCAAGGGGAAGGGGCTCTGCCGCCGGCGGAGGTTGGGACGACGACTGGGCCGGGTCACGACGATTGCGCGGCTCCGGAACAAATCCATGTTCTTTCTTGCGATGGTACGTGAGGTTGGAAGGAATGTGAGTTCTGTAGTCACACCCATGATTAGGACAGATGTAGCGTTGCTCGCCCGTACTAAAATAAAATAAAATACTTGATCAGGTGGAATCGGTGATGGTGATGAATGACAACGTACTGCCCATCAGTATGGATATGGAAGCTTGATTTATGCAACGTCACAAAGTTACACCCGCCCCAGGTGCAGAAGTACGCACTGCGTGAGCGAATATGAGTAACGTGAGCTGCATACCATAGGGAAGAAACACGTACTTCTCTGGTGAATGCATGGCCTCGTGTATCTTGCAGTCGGCGAACTTGGGAAAAGTTTGGTTGCAGCTAGAGCAAGCGTAGGTCTAAATATTACAAGAGTTAGTCTTCAAGTCAATGCATGAAGTATGCGCCTGATTAGGATTACCTTTGGCATGATTGGTTATATAAGAATACGAGTGAGGATACCACTTGTGAGGCGAATGTACGATTGAACTTGAGCGGATGATGGTGCTGGGTAAGTATTAGGGTAGGTATATATACCATTCCCTGCTGTGGTCATGGTATTGTGCTTTGCGATGGACAAACCCACGTTTTCAGTGGACAGACGCTTGTGGACTCCACTGTGGTCGTAGTATTGTGCTTTGCGATTGGCAAACACATGCAGAGTTGTGGTTTTCAGTGGCTAGACGCTTGTGGAATTCGTACAAGAATGCTTTGTGGAGGTTACTAATGAATGTGGGCCATGTAACGCGTGAATGCATTGTTGTTGAAGCAACTACATCCGTTTGAATGCTTTATCATCTGTTACAGCCTCGAGCGAACACCAGGATAGAGTTATTTGCCAGAGATATGCACGTCGATCGAAATTTAACGTGGAGAATCGAGTAGAGACCGACATGGATGTCGACACCGAGGTCCGAAAAATTTCTGGAGGTCTCTGTCGTCGTGACCGGCCTGGGCCATGCAACAGGAACTCACTCGACCAACCAATCCTTTAATGTGATTTGACCAATCCTTTAATTCACTAGGTGATTTGAAAGTTCGGTCCTGGTATGCATGACCGGGCGAGAGTTGTCGATTTTAGCAGTGAGATGGTCAAAGGAATGAGATCAGACGCGCGATTGATCAGAGTCCGTACAGGTCCGACAGTGCATTTTTGTCTATTGCTACTAGTAAAGTTAGCCTGCAGTACGTTGATGGAGCAAAGTGGAGATTTGTTGTCTGCGGTTGACACCCTTGCATGAATAGAAGCATCATTGAATATCAGGAACATAACGTACCAGCAAGTTTTGACGTCCAAGTATGCCGAAGTACGCACTGCGTGAGCGAATATAAGTCAGGTGAGCTGCATACCATAGGGAAGAATACCATTAAACATGGCTTTCATGCCAGGAATGCGTTTGATGACCAGGATAGGCGTAGAGGTAGAAGGCTGGTGCCTGTCTCTGCCAAACCCCCCGAGGAGGCGCCTCGAGATTAGCCAAAACATCTTGAAGCTGATCGGAGTGGTCCAGAGCAAAGCAGAAGCAACGAATTTGCGTGGTGAGGAGCGTCGAAATTGGACACTGAGATAGTGCAGATGCAAGGAGCACAGCGCAAGCGTTGAGGAAGGTCCGTGCATACAAAACCCCAAGAGGCGAAGCGTGGGTCGTTTGCATTATTGCGGTCTGACGAAAACTCCTCCTCTTTATCCTTGAGATGATCAGCACCCATGGCAAGGATATCTGATGTAACACAGATGGTTATCTGCGAAGACAATTGCATGAGCGATATGATCTAGTATCAAAATAATGAGCGTACCGGTCTCCGATCGATCCCTGCGTTGGCGGACATAGGACATAAGGACTGACAGGGCCAAGCTGTCCATCGATATTACGATGGGTCGCAAGAAGAGTTCATCTGCAAGCTTCGGGATTGTGAGGGTTGACATCTTGATCGAGGCTGGACGATAGACAAATGATACTCTTCCCCTCTCTTTCTATTTTATTTTGAAATCAAATTATTGTCCCTCCCTCTCTTCATAACTGGTGCATCCGCATTCCGTTACTCAATTGATCATCTGTACGAGATTGGAATCAGCTCTAGCGTAGGGTATGACACGGATAAGGCTGTATACCCGGATACGCACCCTCAGGTGAATGTGAGTCGGGTGGTGCGGGGTATGGGTACCTGCGTTTGGCCTATCCTTAGCACGGGCACCAGTACGAGGACTTGCAAATCTTGGGTACCCTGGAACTGTAACCAGTCCGTCTATGAGGCAAACCGTCGATGGACGCACTTGAGACGGACTGGTAAAGTTTGAATTTGGAATAGTGCATGAACGAATGGATTTTCATTTGGCGGGAACGTTGAGAACTCGAGATATTGAAATCAACTTTGAATTTTAATTAGTATTGGAGCAATACAAACGTGGTCAGACTAGGACGTGAGCTTCATCATCCAAGCCATGCGGGAAGTATCATTGGAAGGACTAGATTCATTTGCTGATACAAGAACGGTTCCAAGCTACGCACTGCCACAGCTTGTGAGTGTTGTTAGCAAGAAGCCTTTACGTAATTGCGTGCCTATTATTAGGAAATATACAGTTTGCGGAGCATGACTCGGAGCGCTGAGAGCGCGAATCGAGAGGTAAATGTTTCAATTAAAACTTGAAATGTGTTACATTGATAAGAGTGTATTTCTTTGACAAAAAGAAGTGATAAATGATATATACAAACAAGTAGAAGGATACAGAATCCGAGGCCGTACATAAACGAACGAAAATCACCGACGAGGAAAGAAAAAGATAACAAATGATTCTCACTTCTAAAGATCATGAAAACTAATAACGCTAATATTCATACCCTAGCATCTCCGAAGGGCGTCTCTGCATTAATTCAGGACACATGCATCCCTCAGTCCACCCGTTGGAGGTCCTCGCGGGTGGAGTATACATGGTATAGTCATCCGCGGTATCTGTTGAGCCGTATAAGACTCCCAATAATGAGTCGTAGATAGGTGGAGGGGTTTGGTATTGAGTGTGTTGGAGTTTATGTTCAGTGGGATGAGATTGCATGGGCTGGGGTGGCATGGGTTGCGATTGAATGGGTTGCGATTGCATGAGCTGCAGTTGAATGGGCTGCGGTGGCATGGGCTGCAGTTGCATGGGTTGCGGTAGCATAGGTTGCAGTTGCATTGTTTGCGGTAGCATGGGTTGCAGCTGCATGGGTTGCAGTTGCGTGGCTTGAAATTGGAACTGGTATTGGGAGAATGTAGCAGGGGGAAGAAACTCTGCCGGGGGCTGGAGCTGTGCCGGTGGCTGGGATGACGGTTTAATCCCACCTGACCCTTTTGTGGAGGGAACACCACGACCGCGCGGTAGAGCAACATACCCATGTTGTTTCTGGCGGTGGCGCGTGAAGCCAGCGGGGTCGTGGGTCTTGTAGTTGCAACCATCGTGAGGACAGATGTAGCGTTGCTCGCCCGTACTAAAAAAATGTCGACAAGGTGGAATCAATGACAGTGATGAATGAACACGTACTGCTTAGCAGAATGGATCTCATAGTTAAATTTCCTCTTTGTCGCAAAGTCGCAGCCGGGCCAGGTGCAGATATACCCACTGTGTAAGCGAATGTGAGTGAGGTACGCTATATAGCATAGAAGGAGAAAAACGTACTCTGATGAATATGTGGCCTCGTGTCTCTTGAAGTCGATGAACCTGGTAAAAGTTGCGTTGCAGCCAGGATGAGCAGAGCAAATGTAGGTCTAAATATTCCGCGTCCGAGTCAGTCTTCAAGTTAGTGCACGAGGGATTAGGCCTACCTTAGACATGATTGGTTATAGAAGAATATGAGTGGTGGTGCTAGTTGATTCTGTCTGAGGTGAATGTATGTTTCAACTTGAGATGATGATGGCACTGGGGAGGTATTGGGGGAGGTATATAAAACGATTCCCGACTGTGGTCGTTCCACTGTGCTTTGCGGTAGACAGCCGTTTGTGGCGTTCGTACAGGGACGCTTTGTGGAGGTCACTAGCGGATGTGGACCATGGAACACGTGAGTGCATTGTCCTTGAAGCAACCACATCGGTTTGAAAGCTTCAATCTGTTACAGCGTTGGATGAGCATCAGGATCGAGTTATTTGCCAGAGATAAGTTATACGGATCATCGAGCTCAACTTGACGTGAATAGTTGAGTAAAGATTGAGATGAGTATCGAATTACTTGACACCGAGGTGTGGCAGGGTTTTGGAGATCTTTGTCGTAGTGACCGGCCTGGGCCATGCAACAGGCAGTCACATGATCAACCCCTTGAGTCACTCGTTGCTTTACATGTCCAAGCGGAGTGATCAGAGTCCTTGTGAGGGGCCGCCTAGGCATGACCGGACGAAAGTTGTCGATTCAGCGATTCAGCGATACGATGGTCGAGGTGATGAGATCGAACACTGAATTAATAGAGTTCGGATAGGTCAGTGCATTCCATTGCTATTAATGTTAGACAGTACGTGGACATAATGAATGAATTCGTCAAGTCGGTTGACATCCTTGTATGAATATAAGTATAAGTGAATACCAGGAAAAGATGCAACACAACGTACTAGCAAGTTCCAACGTCCGAGTTCCTAAGTTGTGCCTTCTGAAGACTGTAGTTACTGCAATCTGCAATGAAGAGACGCTAAGTGTGAGGGTGCCACGTGCAAACATTGTACAAGTCAGTGCTAACCGATCCGAGTCCGATCCAGTAATCACATGCTCGTTCGACGCGCGCTTCATGATGAAGTTCGCCTGCACTGCTCGCTGTAACGTACAGCGAGCATGGCGATATTCTCGAAACCGCTCAACCCTAATGAACTATTTCGACACCAGTCATCACGACGACCATTGCTTGTTCTGATCGCAACAGTTCTCATTCTTCGGTCTAGACTGTTTAAACCCTTTAGGAACAAGACAAGCAGTACACCAACGTACAGTCAAAGCGAGCTTGCCATCAACGCTGTTCACTTTCCGCTGGTGAATGCAACTCCAGGACTGGGTCTTCCATTTGTGCACCAACTCCGTTCGCTCCTGCGAATCGTTCTCCCTTCGCTTTACACTCGTGAAGCACTCCTACTCACTGCTCACTCTACATTTCTCGTTCTTCGTACTGTGCTGAGCATAGCTGTCGCCCGCCTAGATGGTCGCATAGTAAGAGACTTGGTCAGTGCAGACGGCAAAGGGTTCTTGACCGGCCTCGCTCTATGGTTCGCACTCGCTATACCAAGTATATATACAAACTCCATGGTATGTATCCTCCCCAACTCCCCTTCTATCCCCATTTATACGCTCTTCAGATTCGCCACCTTCAATCTACACTCTCCCTCAGGTTTAGAACCCGCTTGACTCGATACATCCACGACCTCTACCTCTCCTCCGCTCCCTATCTCCGCTACTACCGTGTTCCCCTCCATGGCATCGACCAGTACATCACAGCAGACGTCGACGCTTGGGCAGAGAGTGTCGCTGGTATATAGTATGTCCTTCATCCCTCCGCCTGGATAGAACTAATTCTTTGTACTAGCGGCAATCTCATGAAACCCTCCCTCGACCTCCTTCTCTTCACCTCCCAACTCGCAAGGTCTCTCGGATTCAGAGGCACCGTACTACTTTTTATCAATTATTATATTACTGCCAAGGTCTGTCCACTACTATGTTCTAGGAACAACCCTAACATTCATCTAGATCCTCCGTGCCGTGACACCTGCATTTGGTCGTCTCGCAGCTGTAGAAGCCCGTCTGGAAGGCGAATATAGAGCTGGCGTCGGACGCGTCGGGAGAGAAAGCGAGGAAGTCGCGTAGGTGCACTTCCTTCTGCTGCCATGGCCATCATCTGATGCCAATGCAGGTTCTACGACGGAGGTGCACGCGAACGAGATATACTGACGAGAACGTATTTGCGATTGATCAAACATGTCAATTCGATATACAAGGTTTGCTTCCTATCTTTCCGCACATCATCATTCTGCTCACTTGTCCATCATTACCCTCATCCATTGTGCTTTCTTCCGACCAATCTCTTACATACATCCCTCTTCATCCCAAACTCACCCATCCCATTTCAACTAACACCTTCACAGATCCGCATCGCATACGAATGGACAGAAGATTTCGTCATCAAATACCTCTGGTCCGCCGCTGGGTACGGGTTGATAGCCGTACCGTTGCTTATCACGAGGAAACGCTCCCGTGATGCGGGTGTCGTGGATGGAAAGGGAAAGTGTGGAGAGGGAAAGCGGGGACGAAACAAGAAGAGCGACGCAGATGGTATCGTTGCTGCCAGGACAGAAAGTGAGTGTTTTGGTGCTTGGCGTGATCCTCATCTCCCTTTCTCTATATCCTTCAACGAGCAAACGTAGCTAACAAATTCACACAGCCTACATCTCCAACCGACGCCTTCTCCTCTCCCTCGCAGATGCGGGTGGGAGACTCATGTATGCGTATAAAGATCTGCAAGAGGTTGCTGGGTTGACTGGGCGGTGAGTGCTTTGTGTTGCTTGGGGGTATGCTTATGGGTCTCATTTTGGTTTCTTGGATTGCTCGTCTTATTCCGTTGTGTCTCCTGGATCACTCGATGAACTCACCCACCCACCAAAAGACTCTACACCCTCCTTTCAACTCTTCACAACCTCCCACCTCTCCCTCTTGCACTCTCAGGGGACGGCGATACATTCGCGCTGAAGGACGTGGATATATGCATTCCAGAGGATCCCTTGACCTCTCCCAACTCACCCTCACCCACACCTTCTCATTCCTTAGCCACTACCTCCAAGCTTCAAGCTCACGCAGAACCAATCCCCCCAGCCCCATCCTTGGAAGCGAC